AAAGCTTAGCAAATTTCAGCATCCCTGGCATCTGGGGGCCTCCACCACCTGCCCAAGTGGTAGTTTCCATCCCTGGTGGGCACCGCCTTGTAACCCAAAGACACTCTGCTGCCCTGCTGTTCTCCAAGCGCAGCAGTGCCCTAACCCTCATCCCCTGCCATACTCTGCCCCTCTGCTGCGCCTGTCACACCCTCTGCCACTCCCTGCTGCTCTGCTGCTCTGCTGGCAAAGCCTGCGCTCTGCTGCACTTGTTCTGCTTGCCCTGCTGCTGGGTGATCTTCTGCTGCTGCTGCATGACAGCCACACAACATTCTGCTGCTGCCAAGTCTGCTGCTGTGCTCTAGGCATGCCTGCAGCGCTTTAACCCTACTTCTCTGCCATGCCCTGCTGCGCTTGCCATACTTCTTGCTGTCCCTTGTTGTTCTGCTGCACTCTCCTGCCCTCTGCCCTGCTGCCCAGTGACATTCTGCTGACATGCTGCTGCTGGCCTGGCCCTCTCTGCTGGGCTCTGGGGCTGCTGTGCTGGGTGCATGAGGTGGTGGAGGGAGAGGAGGAGAAGACGTGCGACTGGCCTGTCCAAGTTTGAACAGGCCCGCTGCCGGCCAGCGAGACGCGCACGGACGGCCTGAGCGCCACGGCGCGCGGCCAGCAGCCGAGCCGAGGTGAGGCGCTCTGGCTGGCGCTGCCGCGCCCACCGCGGTCCAACACCTTGCGCCTTCTCTCTCTCACCACCACCATCCCTCTCGCACCCATCGGCGCTGCACGCATCCCGACGCAGCGCGCAGGATCTTTGCACCGTGCCTCGCGGTGGCCACCCTTTCGCCGCCCGTCCGCCGCGCAAGCCGCTCCACGCTGCCAGCGCCCGCTCTGCCGCTCGTCCGCCGCTCAGGCCTCTCGCACTTCCCTCTGCCGGCCGGCCGCCACACGTGGCCCTCTTCGGCGGCGCTCTTCGGCGGCGCTCTTCGCGCCCATCTGCCGGCCCTGGCGGCACGACGTTCGTCACCGAGGCCAACCCCTCGTCTGCCGTTCCTTTCGCTCTGGCCAGCCGCCTGCCATGCCGTCGTTCGTGGCGTCGGCCCGCCGCCGCAGCACGCAGCCGCAGCCGCACGGCGCCGCGCCGTCCAAAGTCGCCGGTGCGATCGCAGCGCACGAGGCCGCGACGGCGCCGCTGCGGCAAGTACCCGGCGAGGCCAATGCGCCGCCGACACGGAGGAGCTCGCGAGCACCGGCCTCGGCGCCGTTCCCGCGCAGCTCGCCGTCGCCAGCCTCGTCGCCGGCGCTGGCAGCGAGTGCGCTGGCTAGAGCCTCGTCGCCAGCGCTCGCCGGTGCGCTCGCCAAGGCCCCGTCGCCGTCCCTTGCCGCAGCGGCACTGGCTGCTCGGCGGCCCGAGAGCCGCGCGAGCACGCAGAGCGCCGCGACGGCCGGGCACGGTGCAGAGTCAGCCGCAGCAGCGACGTCTAGCGCTCAAGCACCGCCAGGCGGCCTGGGCATCGAGCTGGGCGCGCCCGAGGAGGACGTCGTGGGTGAGTGACGCGCCGCTCTGCCGCAGATGCCCTCTCTGACCTCGTACTAGCCGCGCTGCAGCGCCAGCTGCTCGAGCTCCAGGCCCTCGTGGCGCAAAAGGACGCACTCATCGCCGAGCTGCAGCCCGCCGAGGAGTCGGAGCTGCAGCCCGGACCGCAAAAGGACCGGCTGGCACCGACGTCGCGGTCGCGCGCATCGATGCCGCCGTCGCCGCGCGTGCCCTCGCCCCTGTCACCGCGCGTGCGGACGTCGTCGCTCGAGGAGGTCCTGTCAGACGGGCGGTCGTCGCCGGAACTCCAAGCCGGGGCCGCATCGTCGCTGCGGGCCGGAGCCGCATCGCCCCTCGCCGGGTCGCCGCGGCCGCTCGCGGGCTTCCGTGCGCCGACCATCGCCAGCGAGGCGCGCTCGCAGGCCCGGCGGGTGAGCGCCGCAAACGGCGATGCCCCGCAAGGCTCGCCCAGCGGCGCGTCGGGCAAAGTCATCCAGCAGCTCACTGCCGAGCTTGCCACCACAAGAGAAACGCTCGACGCCACGCGCGTGACGCTGCGCACGGCGCAGCGCAGCGCGACGGCCGGGCAGCGCACGCTCGACGACACCAAGGCCGCGCTCATCCGCTCGCGCGCGGAAAACGAGCACGCGGCGACGATGCTCGCGCGCAAGGACCGCACCGTCGCCGACGCCCTCGAGCGCGCGCGCAAGGCCGAGGCCGAGGCCAAGGAGCTCGGGCGTGCGAGCCGCGAGTGGGGCGCGCGCGTGCGCGAGGTCGAGGCGGAGCTCGGCGAGGAGCGGCGGCGCAAGCAAAAGGCCGAGGCCGGCTACGAGGCCATTTCGGCGGCGTGGAAGACGACGCGCGACGCGTGGCGCACCGAGATCGCCGCCGCCAAGGGCGAGGTGGCGGCCAAGATCGCCGAGGGCCGCGCCGAGGTCGACGCGATGCGCGCGCTCTTCGACCAGGCCAAGCACGAGTGGCGCAGCCGCGAGACGGAGCAGGCGAGCCTCGACGAGACGCTCGCGCGCCTGCAGGCCGAGCGCACCAAGGCCGAGGAGGTCGTCGGCACACAGGTGCGCGAGCTCGTCGAGCGCCTCGTCGCGCACGAGGCCGAGACGCGCGGGCAGGAGGAGACGCTGCGGCAGTGCGAGCAGGACGTGCAGCGCATGATTCGCCTGGCGCGGCAGGGCGACGTCGCCGCCGACGTCGCGTAGAGTGCGCTACAGCGGCGACCGCCTGGACTTCCCCTTTCCCTTCACGACATGCCCCTTCATATGCCACCAGTCACCCCATACCCATCATCATCTCACTTTGAGATTCGCGCGCAGTGTGTGACGATGCCGATACGCCGCCGCTCAGCGGCGGATGCCCTGCGGGCGCGCGCCCGTGCCTGGCCGGCCGCGCCGCGATTGCGCTGCGGGAGAGGGTCAGCACACCACGCAGGTCACGTCGACGCCACGACGCACCACGCAGGATCGTCGCACGGCCACGCGCCGAGCCGATGCCGCGGCCCTTCATCGCATTCGGGCCCACACGCTTGAACACTAGGTCTCACGGTCAGCCATGGCAGGTGCGCATGCCTGCGCGCGCACTCACTCGGCGCCTGCTGCAGCATGTCGGGCACGACGATGAAGCTGTGGAGGTGTCAGCGAGATGGCAGTGGTCCAGAGCGCCCATATGGCGCGTCGAAGGGGCAGCAGGGATTCAGAGAGCGATGGCACTTCGCCTGATCCCTGCGCCGCCGCTACTCCATCGAGTCGCGCTCATGCCGCCGCCGCTCCTCCCGCCTCGCGTTGTTGTCAAGGTCCTCCCTCGCATGTATGCCGCTCCTGTCGGCCTCGTCGCGATGGACGCCTTCGCCGGCGCCTTGCGTGGCTCTGACGGCATCTCCGCACGCCCGCCAGTCTCCCCTCTGCACCGCGCTGTACATGCCGGGCCTGCACCTGCCCGCCGCTCGCGTACCCGCTCCACACCGATCCCCGCATCTTGCCCGCCTGTCAACTCCGCACCTGTCCACCTCTGCCTGCCCGCTCTTGGCATGGCGACTCACCGGATCATGCTGCCGCGGATGTAGATGCTCTCCAGCCGGCTCTGCTTGCCGTCGCGCGCCGTGCACGTCACCTCCTTCATCGCGACGTTCATGTTGTCCTCCGCTGCGGCGCACCGTCAGCTCACGCCCTGCAGCACCGGGCATGCTTGCTCACCCTCGTGCAGCTTGCCCCGGTACGAGGCACCGCCCTTGACCTCAATCGTCACCACATGGCCCGCTGCCTCGTGCAGGAGCTTGATCGTCACGGCCGAGCCGGCAGACATGGCGGCGGCGAAAGGAGGTGCGCGGTGAGGTGCGGCGGGGACAGTCGGGCTAGGTCAGGAGTGCGGCAGGAGCTGTAGGCAGAGGAGCAGGCAGCAATGCGGGCAGTCGAGGTGGAGAGGTGGTGGTCGCAAGGCCAGGCGCAGGTGCAGCGGCGCGCGTCGCGATGGAGGTGCCCGGCGCGCGACTCCGATGTTGCCGCCCGCGCCGCGCGCCTCTGGCTCACAGCAGCCACCCCTCCGCCACTTCGCACCCTCGTCAGATCGGCATGGCGCATGCTTGTGATCTGAGATTAGACTCAAAATCATGCGACGCTTCATCGCAGGCGATGGCGGCACCGCAGTGCTCGCTTTGCTTCAGATCTCGACTTACACGCACTTCATCCGCCGCGTGGCCTCCCCCGCATCAGCAAGCGGCGCGTCATGCACCGCCTTGATCACACTACTCATCACGCTGCGTGTTCAACCTGAGCGAGTCTATTCTATGATGCTGTAATACATATGGGGGAGTCCGGAGTGGTGGTGGCGCGATGTACCGAGGTAGTAGTGAGATGTGCCACGGCTGTCGACGCTCTGCGCTCTGCAGGCCGTCGACGCTCTGCGCTCTGCAGGCCGTCGACGCTCTGCGCTCTGCAGGCCGTCGACGCTCTGCGCTCTGCAGGCCGTCGACGCTCTGCGCTCTGCAGGCCGTCACGCAGGACACGGCGCCTTCTCGCGCAGATACGAAGGCCGCTCGCCGTACGGCTCGGCGTGCAGGCCCTCGCTCGGGCTCGCCGGGCGCGACGGCGTCCACGGCGGCGGCTCGCTGCCCTCCTCGTGCGCATCGATCCACGCGCCGGGCGCCGTGGGCGCGCCGCCGAGGAGGCGCTGCTCGGCCTCGGTGAGCTCCTCCGTCGTGCGCCCGCAGTTGCACGTCTGGTGCCCGCCGGGCGTGCGCGGCGGCAGGTGGCTGTTCGCCCACGGGTACGACGACGGCAGCGAGCGCGGCGTGTTGGTGCCGGAGGCCGGCGCCGTCATGACGCTCGTCGTGGCGTGCCCGGCCGTGTGCGCAGGCGTAAAGGAGAGCCCAGAGCGCCCGCGCCGCGACGGCGCCGAGCTCGACGCCTCGTGGCTGGGCCCGGGCGAGCCGGTGCCGCGCTCGGGGCTCGAGTTGCGCGAGCGCCGCCCGTGCAGAAACGCCGAGAAGCTGCTGCCCGAGTGCGGCAGGTGCGGGCGCGTCGGCGACGGGTCGCGGCTCGCCGGCCGCGAGCCCGGCGCCGAGCGGTTGGGCGGCGCGTGCGTGACCGGGCCCGAGGCGTGCGGCAGCGCGGCCCGCAGCGTCTGCGCGAGGCGCCAGTGGTCGACGTCGGCCTGCGTCGGGTTGCGCGCCGTCGGCGGCGTGGGGCTCGACGGCCGCGAGTTGCTCGGCGACTCGAACGAGTACGGCGGCAGGTGGATCGTGTCAAACGTGCAGCAGCACGACGGGATGACGGTGCTGCGCCGCATGCTGAACACCTGCACCTTGGGCTTGCCGCGCGACTCGGACGCCTCGCGCTCGTCGATGACGGAGAGGCGCGAAAAGTACACCTCGACGCCGAGGTCGTGCGAGACGCGAATGTCGCTGCGCGAGCCGCGCACCGTGCTTGGGCGCATCGCATTGTCGTCGGGCATGCGCACCGTCGTGCGGACGCGGTAGGCATGCGCCGGCACGCCGGCGGCGCTGCGGCCCAGCGGCGAGCTCGGGCTGAACGGCGAAAAGGAGCTGTGCGAGGCGGCGCCCTGGTACGCGTGCGCCGCGCGGCCGGGCCGCCCAGGCGTGTCCTCGCCCTGTGCCAGCCAGAATGCATCCTCGGGCACGATGTGCGGCTCGGCCTGCTTGGCCTTGTACGGCATGTAGCCCTTCTCCCACAGGCGCAGCTTCTCGACGGGCAGCTTGAGCCAGCCCTTGCGCAGGTCCGAGTACAGCTCGACGGTCTGCTCGAGGAACACGCGGATGACGTGCACGCTGAGGCCGGGCGGCGGGTCCGGATGCAGGATGCTCAGCGTCGCCGTGCCGCCGACGGTCAGCGAGGCCGACGTCAGCGACACCGACAGCGGGCCGAGCGCCTCGTGCACGTCGTGGTACTGAATGTCGAGCGGCACGGGCCCGCCGTCGGGCGTCGCCTGCACAATGACAAAGACCTCGCGCCAGATCGACACGGCGCTGCGCCCGCGCCCGGCGCCGAGCGCCGTCGCCGTCACCACGTAGCGCACGCGCCCGTGCCGGTAGCGCTCAAACGGCGGCGACGACGAGGGAATGATGAAGCTGAACTCGAAGCTGCGCCAGGGGTCAGCACAGCACCGCGGGCTCTGCCGCTGCGACGCACCCATGCAGGCCCTTGTCCAGGTGAATGCCGTCCTCCGCCTCGCCCTCCTGCGGGCCGCCGAGCGGCGACACGGCGGGGCTCTCGCGCGCCTTGCCCTTGCCCTTGCCGACGCGGTGCGCGTGGCTCAGGCCGCCGCTGCCGTCCGACGTGATCTCAATCGTCTTGTCGAGCAGCACCTTCTCCTCGTGCCGCACATGCGGCGCCGCGGCGCCGGCGACGGGCTCGGGCAGCGAGAGCGTCTGCAGCGCCTGCAGCTGCACGCGCAGGGCGGGGATCGTGCGCTCCGACTGGGGCTTGTCAGCATACATCAGCACTGCTACTGCAGCGCAACTCACGGGCGCACGCAGCTCCACCACGCCGCGCAGCGTCTGGTCCTCCCCCGGCAGGTCGCTGTTCGCCGGCGGCGGGTGGATGAAGATGTCCTCGGAGACGAGGTGCAGGCTGATCTCGCACGGCGCGTGGATCACGGAGCTGAACATGGCGGCGAGGGGTGCAGCGAGGCGCTGCGCTGCGCAGGGCGCGGAGAAGTGTACCTCAGCCAAGCGAAGGTGGGCGGCAAGGCGGGCTTGAGAGGCTCGAGATGGTGGTGAGGAGGTGAGGGCGTCGGCGTCGCTGCGCTCGGCGTTCTGGCTGCGCCCCCAGGCGCGCCCGAAGTTGCGCCGAGCGTGCGGGACCGGCGGCCTGCGTGGCTGACGTGCTGGTCTCGCCTGCGGCTGCACGCTGACGGCGGCGGCGCGGTGGGCGCGAGATTAGCCGCGGCGAGATACAGATGCAGATCCGCAGGCGCCGCACCGGCAAAGGTCACCGACGAGCGCCGAGCCCCACGCGCCGCTTCCTTCCTCCACACCTCTCGCCATGCCGCACCCCGTGTGAGCACGCCCCCTCCGCAGCGCCGCACGCCTCGCACTCACACCCGCGCAGGACCGTCGCGACGTGCTCGCTCAACCAGTGGGCCCTCGACTTCGACGGCAACCGCGAGCGCATCCTCGCGTCCATCGCCGAGGCACGCCGGCGCGGCGCGACGCTGCGAGTCGGCCCCGAGCTCGAGATCCCGTGAGTGGAGCGTGCGGCGCGCGAGGCCCCGCCGCTGATGCCCCCCTCAGCGGCTATGGCGTGAGTGCAGCTGCACCCGGCCCACCGCCGCCGCTCACCCCGCGCAGTGCTTCGATCACTTCCTCGAGGGCGACACGACGCTGCACAGCTGGCAGGTGCTCACGCAGATCCTCGCCGGCGAGGCGACGCGCGACATCATCGTGGATGTGGGCATGCCGGTGATGCACCGCTCCGTGCTCTACAACTGCCGCCTGCTGCTGCACAACTCGCGCGTGCTCCTCATCCGCCCCAAGATGTGGCTCGCCAACGACGGCAACTACCGCGAGATGCGCTACTTTACGCCCTGGACGCGCCGCGGCGAGACCGACGAGTTTGCGCTGCCGGCGATGGTGCAGAGGGTGGCCGGGCAGGAGACGACGCGCTTCGGCGACGCCGTGCTGCAGACGCGCGATACGACGGTCGGCGTCGAGCTGTGCGAGGAGCTCTTCACGCCCGCGAGGTGAGTGTGGTGGAGCTGTACCTCGTCCGTGCCCTGACGCCCGCGCAGCCCGCACATCGCGCAGGGCCTCGACGGCGTCGAGATCTTCATCAACTCGTCGGCGAGCCACCACGAGCTGCGCAAGCTGCACCGGCGCGTCGACCTGATCAAGGAGGCGACGCTCAAGGTGAGCCGCCTGCGTGCCGCCGCTGGGGCGCTGCTAATCCGCTGCAGCTCGGCGGGGTGTACCTGTACGCCAACCAGCAGGGCTGTGACGGCGACCGGCTGTACTACGACGGCTGCCCGCTCATCGCGTGCAACGGCGCCGTCGTGGCGCAGGGCACGCAATTCAGCCTCGACGACGTGCAGGTCGTCACGGCGACGCTCGACCTCGACGATGTGCGCGCAGCGCGCAGCGCCCGCTCGCGGGGTATGCAGTCGGTGAGCGGCGCCGCCGTCAACGAGGGCCGCGGCTACGAGCGTGTGCGCGTCGATTTTGAGCTCGGCGCCAGCGCCGCGCCCGACGTGCTCGCGAACGGAGACGATGTGCCGTTCCTCGAGCCGCGGCCGACGACCGAGCCGGTTGACGTCTTCTACCACTCGCCGGAGGAGGAGATCGCGTGAGTGCGTCCGGCTTGACCTCTATCTTTACTGACATCGCGCAGCCTTGGGCCGGCGTGCTGGCTGTGGGACTACCTCCGGCGCTCGCGCACGCAGGGCTACTTCATTCCCCTCTCGGGCGGCATCGACTCGTGCGCGACGAGCGTCATCGTGTTCAGCATGTGCCGCCTTGTGCACCAGGCCGCCACGGCGCCCGACTCGCCGACGCGCACGCAGGTGCTCGACGACGTGCGCCGCATCGCCGGCGAGCCCGAGGGCAGCACGTGGGTGCCGCGCGACGCGCAGGAGATCAGCAACCGCCTCTTCGTGACGTGCTACATGGGCACGCAGAACTCGAGCGCCGAGACGCGCGACCGCGCGCGGGACCTTGCCGCAGCGATTGGCTCGTGAGTCGCCCGGCCGAGACAGGGTCACACCAGGCTCACCTCCCCCTCCCGCAGCTACCACATCGACCTCAACATGGACATCGTCATCGACGCCATCATCACGCTCTTCACGGCTGTGACGAGCCGGACGCCGCGCTTCAAGGTGCACGGCGGCTCGGCGGGCGAGAACCTCGCGCTGCAGAACATCCAGGTGCGCCACCAGCCGAACGCCCTCGTCCACTGCTGACATGCCTGCAGGCCCGCCTGCGCATGCTCCTGGCATACATGTTCGCACAGCTCGTGCCGTGGGTGCGCGGCCGGCCCGGCGGGCTGCTCGTGCTCGGCAGCGCCAACGTCGACGAGAGGTGAGCCGCATGGTGCAGCCGGCACAGCTTGACCTGACACCTGCTCAGCCTGCGCGGCTACCTGACCAAGTACGACTGCTCGTCGGCCGACCTCAACCCCATCGGCGCCATCTCCAAGACGGACCTCAAGCGCTTCATCGCGTACGCCGGCGGCGCCTTCGAGCTGCCGATCCTCGAGAGCTTCCTGAACGCAACACCCACGGCCGAGCTCGAGCCGATCACGCACGACTACGTGCAGGCCGATGAGGTGAGCCGCCCGCCCGCTCGTGTCGTATCGCCGTGCTGACGTCGCTGCTGCAGGCGGACATGGGCATGACGTACGACGAGCTCAGCATCTTCGGGCGCCTGCGCAAGGTCGGCAAGGCCGGGCCGTATTCGATGTTCTGCAAGCTCGCACAGGAGTGGGGCACGCAGCGCAGCCCGGCCGCCGTGAGTCCGGCCCACGCTGCCGCTGCACACACACTGACCCCCGCGCACAGATCGCGGAGAAGGTCAAGCTCTTCTTCTTCGAGTACGCGCGCAACCGGCACAAGATGACGACGCTCACGCCCAGCTACCACGCCGTGCGTCCCCCTGCCGCTGTCAGCCGCTACCTCTCCTCACCCTCCGTCCCCCGCAGGAGTCGTATAGCCCCGACGACAACCGTGAGCCGTGCGCAGCTCGCCTCCGCACACGCGCTGACGCCCGCCGCAGGCTTCGACCTCCGGCCGTTCCTGTACCCGTCGCGCTTCCCCTTCCAGTTCCGCCAGATCGACCAGCTGGCGGCCAAGGTGAGCGGACGTCGCTGCTCGTCGTCGTGCCCGCGCTGAGCCCATCCCGCAGATGCCCGACCGTTCCGTCGCAGCGGACAAGTGATCACCCTAGACTGTCACATCCGGATAGACGCCTCGCAATGCACATCATGCCTCGCGCCTCATCTGCGTTGCCTGCGCCGGGCGCTGCGTGCCGTTCGCTTTCCACTCACCGAGTCGGCAGCACGGCTTAGGGCCACGGGATGAGTGCTTCGGCAGCCTCTCGTCCGGTGCGTCCTTTGTGCTGAGAGCGCGCGCGCGGCGCGCGTTGCGCTCTGCACTGCTGTTTCCTTCCCATCACACCACCTGTAGCACACGCCTCTGGTGGTTCGTGCCTGTAGGTGCCGCTCGTGCACTCCCAGCACCTCGTCATGGCCCGTGGGGCTCCCACATCGCGCGGCGGATGTGATCGCGTGCTGGGGGACCCAAGCAACGTCGTGCGCGCAGCGTGTGATCCCGCGGGCGGGCAGCGAGCGCTGAGCAAGGCCGCACCCAGCGGTTTGACGCACGCTCATCAACGGCGCTGACAAGCCGGCGACGCCGCAGTGCAGTGTCGCTGCGACGCTCTGCGCAGGGAGGGGCCGCAGTGCCGCCGGCATCTGTGAATGAGCAAGCACTCTACGTGCCATTTCGCGGCGTGCGTGAGACGCGCGATGAAAATGCTGCTTTGTTGCAGCCGGCGCGAATCCCAGACGGCTTTGCACGCGTTTGCGGTTCGTCTCGGCGGCAATTTGCGCCGCGCTCTCGTCCCTTCGCTACAGGTGCAGTTTTCGCGCGCGCAGCGACAGTGTGCGGGCTTTTCTGGCGAGCTCACCGAGCAGTGTTGCCGCGGGGCGAGCGACGAGGCTACGGAGCCCCCGGCAAGAGCGCTCAGCGCTATGTTGAAGGCGGTCCGCATCATCCAGAGAGGTCAGGCGCCGCCGGCAGTCACCAGGCTGGCGATGCGAAGATCAAGGACGGCGTCGAGTGCCTGGCCAGCAGCGATAGCAGCGGGACAGCGCGATACGGCTCGCCACACGCGCGAGATGGAGCCAGGAGGTGCTCATGAGGCGAGAGAGGGCATCGCGAGCCCTGCAGCGTCTTCGCGGCGTTGCGGAGGGCAGGATAGGCAGCGCGCCGGTGCAGCAGCAGAGCACGCGACCCGCCGCGCGCCGCCGCCGCTAAGGCCGATTTGGGGCGGTGGCACGTGACCTGGCGCGAGGTCACGGCTGGCCAGTGCACCGCCGCCCCACCGCTGTTGGCCCGCGCCGGGCTGCCCCTTCCTCCCGACCACCACCCGCTGCGGCTTGCCTCGACCCCTCTCGGCCCTCTCCTGCTGTCGCGATGACGTCCTTCTCCACCAATCCGCTCTCCTTTGGCGGCTCGCCGGGCGCCGCCGACGACGAAGACCCATGGGGCTCGGGCGCGGCCGCCGCCGCCTCCACGTCATCTGCCCAGCTGCCGCCGAGCTCGACGCTCTCGGGCACCGGCTTCGCCAGCCAGGAGCTCTTCGGCGGCACCCAGTTCAGCATCCCGGATCCCGACGCGCCGCCGCCGGTGGATGACGCCGGCGGATGGGGCGTGCCGCAGTACGGCGCTGCGCCGTCGCGCCCGTCGGCACCCGCGGCGAGCCCGTTCGGCGTCGGTGCCTCTGCGCGCGACGACGAAGGCCTGTTCGGCGTGGCGTCGAGCTCGAACGGCGCCTTTGCGTCGCGGCCAGCAGCTCCGCCTGTCCGCCAGCTGTCGCCCTCGCCGCCGCCGCCGCCGACGCGCCAGCCGCCTCCACAAAGCGTGGTGCCCGAGCAGCAGCAGCACGGCGGCTTCTCCTCGGCGCAGACGGCGCCGGGCGGGTCGCGCTTCACGGCCTCGCGCCCCTTCTCGTCGCACACGCCCTCCTCGCTGATGCCGGCGCAGGGCGGGCCGCAGGGCTCGCTTGTGCCGGGCTACCCCGTGCCCACGCCAAACTACGGCTCAACGGCGTACTCGCCGTTTGCGCGCGTCGAGAGCCTCAACGAGCGGCGCGAGGCCAACGAGGAGATGTATGGCGTGCCGGAGAACTTCCTCGAGGTCGAGGTGCGCAACCCGCTCACACACGGTATGTCACCCGTGGTGGAGGCTGCGGCACAGTGCTCATCCCGCGCGCGCAGGCTTTGGCCGCAAGCAGTACACCGACTACGAGATCGTGACACGGGTGCGTCGACTCTGACCGCGCTCTGCCGCGCCCGCTCACCCCCGCGCAGACCAACATCCCGGCCTTCCGCGTGCGCTACTCGAGCGTCCGGCGCCGCTACTCGGACTTCGAGTACTTCCGCGACGTGCTCGAGCGCGAGAGCGCGCGCGTCAACATCCCGCCGCTGCCGGGCAAGGTCTTCACGAACCGCTTCGCCGACGATGTCATCGAGGCGCGCCGCGAGGGCCTCGAGCGCTTCCTGGTCACTGTCGCGGGGCACCCGCTGCTGCAGGTGCGTGAGCTGCTGCATCCTGCGCCGGAGGTGCTGATGCGGCTCTTCCAGACCGGGTCCAAGATCCTCACCGAGTTCCTGCAGTCGTCGGCCTGGCAGGCGCGCGCATGGTAGTGCGCCGCTGCTGCTCCTGGCACGGCGGACCCAGCAGGCGCGGGAACGACGATGCGAATGTCGGATGAGATCAGTCATGCGCATGGAAGAGGGGACAGATCGCCGCACGCGCACGAGGGGAGCGATAGAGTTAAGACACTTGGTGAGGTACATAGGTAGAGGAGGGTATCCTGCGCTGTGCGGAAGCTGCGCCGGACGCTGCGCCGGACGCTGCGCCAGACTAAAGGTCCGAGTGCGAGGCGCCGTTGGTGTGCACGTGCAGCTCGGAGCGCGCGTCGCCGTTCTGGTCGATGGACGCATCGTCGGGCGGCGCCACGGCGAGCAGCTCCTGCAGGCGCAGGATCTCCTGCTCGCGCTGCCGGATCTTGCGCTCGTACTCGCGGCGCTCGCGCTGCACCGTGTTCATCTGGCGGGCGCGCCAGAGCTCCTCGAGGCCGCGGCGCTGCTGCTCGAGCGTGGCAGCCTGCTTCTGCGCAGGCGCGTCGCGGCCGATTCGTCAGCGGCGAGGATTGCGTTTTGCAGTAGCGGGGGACACACCTTCAGAGCGGCCACGTCGCGGCGCGAGCGCCACAGCTCCGCCTCCGTGACGGTGCCGATGGCGCTGGCGCTGGTGCTGGAGTCCGCGGGGCTTGCGTCGAAGTCCGGCGCGGGCACGGGCATGGAGCGCCGGCGTGCAGCGCGGCCGTCCTCGTCAGACAGTACGGCCTCGGTGTGCTCCTCAGCGCCGTTGAGCGCTGGCGCAGATGCGCCATTTTCAGGGGCCGTCTCGCGTCTCTCCGTGCTGGGCCGAGGCAGAGGCGCGCTCGGGGTCGTCGTCGCGGCAGAGTCGAAGCGCTCGGCGGCCGCACGAGCGCACGGGCGTGCCGGCTCGCTGGTGTCCTGAACCAGGCCCGTGAGCTGTGCCGAAGAGCTTCCAGCTGCTACTGCAGCTTCGGCGCCTGCGATGACAGCGGTGCTGTTGAGGCCCATCCCGTTCTCCGTCGCGCCGTGCGAGTCCGCCTTGCCTTCGCCGCGAAGACCACCGGCGCCAGCAGCAGCATCGAGCGACGTGACCGGGCTGCGCAGCGGAGACACAACCTTGACCGCTTTGCTTTGCGTCACAGCGATGTTGCTGCCCGCCTGCCTGGCGGCGAAGAAGCCGGCGCGCTGCTGCTCTCGGCGCGCCTGCTCGGCGGCATCCCAGCCGATGGGCGGGTCCGCGGCGAGCACCTCGACGAGCGACAGGCGCCGGCTCTGGGACGCGAAGCTGAGGTGCTCGTTCGAGCCGGCGCTCTCCACCGTCGTCGGCGACTTCGACTCGCGCGACGGACTGCCCGAGGACTGCGTCGCCGTGCGGTCCATGGCCTTATCGCTCCCAGCCACCCCGCCCAGGCGACCATTGCCGTTGCCGCCGGCGAAGGTGTTTGCAGAGCGCGGGCGGCCGAGCGAATCCGTGGAGCTCACATTGTACGCAGCGTCCGTGGCAGGAGCGGACACGGCATGAGCCTCGCCGTTCGCGCCGCTGACTGGCTGCGCCGACGCGACTGCTTGATCGCCGTCTGGCGCCGCGCTCGCAGCAATCTGGCCACGCGATCGCTTCGACGAGAGTCGAGGTGCCGGACGCAGCTGGCCGGGCGCTTCTTGCGGCAGCAGAGCCTGTGCGGGCGGCTGGACCGAGCCGCTGGCCATGCATTCGGCAGAGGGCCGCTCCGAGATGTTCGAGAGCTGGGTGCGCGGCGTGAAGGGCTCGTTGACAACGTCGAAGTGGCTGCGCAGTGTGCGTGTCAGCGCAGCCTTGCGCCCTCCCAACATTAAAGACGCACAAGATGACGTCCGGCGCGTGCTCGTGCAGCTCGGGCTGTGACGCCTTGCCGAGTGCACTCGTGTGCCACAGGTGCAGTGTGTAGGACGAGGACGCCTCCTTGCGCGCATCCTCTGCAGCGGCATCAGCCAGGCCGCACGTCACCGCAGGCCGCACGACTCACCCTTGTCAGACACCCGGATGGCGCCGAGCGGCATGCGTACGCCGCCCGCAAATGCGAAGATTGCATCCTCGAGCTGAGCAGCGGGCACCAGCTCAGCCCCGGCCTTGGCCTCTTTCGTCGTCTCCTCCTTGCGCTTGCGGCCGAGCAGCGAGTGGCGCCTCTTCTCAGTCGAGACGCTCGCCGTGACAGGCTCCGGCGGGTAGCGTATCGCCTTGCCGTCGACTTGCAGGAGCGCGAAGCATCTGTCCGACGACAGTTCAGCAGCCGCGCCGCCTGCTGAGCGCTGCGTGTTCTCCGCCTGACGTTCTCTGACGATGCGCTCCTTGAGGCTGAAGCTCTTGTTCGCCGAGCCGTCGTCGCCTCTCAGCGTGCCTTTGCCCTCGCCCAGCACGGAGCAGATGTCTGGCAGCGAGCCTGCTGTCGCCGCGCTCCCGACCGAGCGGCCGACCCAGCGGGCGAGCAGGACGGCCGTCTTGCCCGGCCCGACATAGACGACGCCGCGTCGCAGGCGCGAGAGTGCCGCATCGTGGAGCGCCGCCGGGTAGAGCGAGGTGAGGTCCGGCGCGGGCAGCTCGAGCATGAACTCCTCGAGCGGCTTCGTCGGGAGCAGGCAGAGGCGTGCCTGGAAGCCCTTGGCGATCATGGCTGCGGCTGCGCGCAGGGCGAGGAGCCGTCGTGGCAGCTGGTGGTGAGCAGAGGCGAGAGCTGATGAGACCGCCTGCCTTTATGAGCTAGACGCAAGCCCGGCAAAGATCAGTCGCCGCGGCACGGTGGCCCGGGGCTCCTTGCCGGCAGGCTCCCTCTCTCCATCTGCGCGGGCCGCGGTCGGCCTTTCCAGTGCGGTGCCGCAGCAGAGCTGTGGATGCGCCATTTGCTGCCGCCACGGGGCGAGGACTCCGCCCCTATCGGCGAGCTGAGACAGATGAGGCACGCCCGCCCTGTGACTCTCGGGAGCGGGGCCTTGTGATCGTCGCGCTGAGGCTGCCGTCCGCTCCTCACTCAGCACATCGGCGGTCGAAGCTGACGAGTGGCGGGGCACGGCGACTCTTCCACATCTTCTCCGTGTACGAAAAGGCCTGCGCTGGCGCCCGATGCGCATGAGGCTTGACGAGAGGTGGCTCATCAGGGGCGGTCGAGAGGAGGCTCGAAAGACGGCACAGCCCCTGAGGCGATTGCCGTCGGGCTCTGGCCCCGCTCCCAGCGCGGCAGCACCCCAAAGCGATTGCCACGTGGCGCGCCTGAAGCGTCCGCGTGCTCTACGGCGGTGCGACATGGCACTCGACTACGGCGCCAGAGCGGCCGCACCGACGTGGGCGGGAAGCAAAACGACGCGTGGTGAGGTGGGCGGGTTGATGAGGTCGCACCCGGCGCGCTTCACATGCAGCGCGCGGCGGCTCCGTTCTGCCACACGGCATCGGCACCCTGCCGGATCATGCTACTGGAGCATCGGGGCTAGGCTCGATCGACGACGTCCAACATTGTGGCATGTAAGGGTCCTGCGCTGCTTGAGACGTTGCGCCAGACCAAGGATGTTGAGGTGGGACGCGAGCTCCACGCAGACGTAAGCGTCGTTCCCCACGGTCGGGCTGCCGCCGCGGCTCAACTAAAATTCTGGCGTGAAGCAGCTTGCCTTCCGACCACGCGTCGCGCCAGCCTCGTCCACCTGCCCTCCACCATCGCCCGCCCACCCCACAGTCTCACTTTGCGCGCCGACATCCGGGTGCTGCGTCTGCCGCTGTGAACGGCTGCCAGAAGCGCACCGCTTCCGCCCCACGCCGGCTCAGACGCCGCTGCTCGCGCTGCGCGCCGCTCTTCGTCCTCGGCCGCAGCACGCCCGCAGCGGGCTCCCGTCGCCATGCCGTCCTCCTCGAAGCGCAGCGCCACGGCGGGCAGCTCGCGCTCCGGCAGCGGCATGAACGCCGACGAGAAGGTTGTGTGGCAGGCAGCCATGAGCCGGCCGAACAATGTGCGTGGGCGCTGGCCTCCGCGCATCTGAAGGCCGATTGCTGACGCGCGTGCGCCGCAGACGCTCACGGACCTCAAGGACATTGAGCTGGACATCGACCGCCAGCTCGCCGCCATCAATGGGCTGCTGCGCAAGAGCCTCTTCACCGCGAGCAAGGTTGGGGGCGCGATGCACTACACGGCCGTGAGCAAGGGCGAAGCCAGTGTGTGAGTTGCTGGAGTCGGCGCGTTGGACGGGCAGTCTGCGCGCGGAGACATCCGGTGGGATGCGCAGGCCGACGGGGTTGTCACTGCAGCTGTCTGCTGCTTGGCTCTGTGCTGACGCTGCGACAGAATGGGCTCCATGGAAGGCGACGAGGGCATCATCTACTCGCTCATCAAGGACTCGGGCACCGAGGGCATTTGGACGAAGCAGCTCAAGACGCGCTCGAATCTGCACCAGTCGGTCATGACGCGCTGTCTCAAGAACCTCGAGCAGAAGCAGCTCGTCAAGGTGGTCAAGAGCGTCAAGGTGAGCCGGCGCGTGCCACGCCAGCATGTGCACTGCTGACTCCCCCCGGCAGTTTCCGACACGCAAGATCTATATGCTCTACGGCCTGACACCCAGCGTCGAGCTCAGCGGCGGGCCGTGGTACACAGACAACGAGCTCGACACGGCGTTCATCGAGCAGCTGTGCCTCATGCTGTACCGCCACATTGCCAACGAGGTGAGTCCGCGCGGCGTGGCGTGCGGCACGACTCCGCTGAGGCGCGAGCCGCCTGCAGACATGGCCGTCGAGCGACGCGCAGGGCAACTCGCTCGGCCCGCTCTACCCGGCCTCGCACACGGCGAAGCTGCCTACTGCTCCCGCATGCCTGCGCTGGCTCAAGGCACGCAAGGTCACCGACATCCCGCTCGGCGTCGAGGACGTGCAGTCGCTGCTCGACGTGCTCGTCTTCGACGAGAAGATCGAGAAGATCCCGTGCATGCCTGGCGGCGGCGACGGCGGAGGTGGGAAAAAGGTGTACGACGCCGACTACCGGCCCGGCAGCGTCGACGGCATGGAGACGCAGAGCTCGAGCAGCTCGTCGTCGGGCAGCGACAGCGGCTCGGAGAGCGGCAGCGACAGCGGGAGTGACAACGGAAGCGAATCTGGTAGCGACAGCGGCCGCAGCAGCGGAAGCGCCAGCTCAGCGTCCGGCTCCGAGAGTGGCAGCGGCAGCGACGCGAGTAGCAGATCGGACTCGCGCAAGCGCAAGCGCAAGAGCAGCTCGAAGTCGTCGCGCAAGCGCTCAAAGTCCTCCAGCTCCAGCAAGAAGCGGCACAAGAGCAGCAGCCGCAAGTCGTCGCACTCGTCGCGCAAGCACCACTCCAGCTCGCGCAAGCGCTCGCGCTCCCGCTCGTCGTCCAAGCGCCACGGCAGCAAGAAGAAGCACCGCCACAAGTCCTCGTCGCGGGGGCGCGCCGTCAAGAACGCGGCACTGGGCGCCGTCGACGGCGACGACGACGACGTCGAGGAGATGTCGACGGCCGCAGCCGGCATGTACGTGTACCGCGCCCTCAAGCCGCTCGCCGTGCACGTGGGCTGGAGCGAGACGCCGTGCGGCGCGTGCCCCGTCTTCGACTTCTGCGAGCCGGGCGGCCCGGTCAACGCCGAGGGCTGCGCGTACATGGCGCAGTGGCTCGAGGTGCAGCACGCCGGCGACGAGCCGGAGCCGGACAGCGAGAGCGACAACGAAGACGCAGCAGGCAGCGGCGCAGAGGCGGGTACGAAAAGCCGCAAGTAGCAGCGCGCTGCTGCACCGCTAATAGCATACCACTCACGAGGCCGCGGGCAGGTGTGCAGAGGGCTCCCAGCATCTCGACTGCAGTCTTGACGCGTCTTGGTCAAGCAAGCTTCTTCGACTGAGAGGTAATATGGCTTGGGTAGAAGTACAGGATGCAAGTATACAGGGAGAGTGTGAGAAGAGGAAGGCCGAGGGAAAGCACAGAGGCGGAGGGCGGCACGTCACACTGGCTCGTAGCCCGCCCGCGAGTTGCCGGACACGGTGCGGACCAGATGGCGCCCGAACTCGCGGAACTGGGCGCGAGCTGCGTCAGACATGGGCCGAGATTCGCACGGCCACGGCGACGCACCAGATACGGACCCTCGCGCCACAGCTCGCCGCCCTGCCGCTGCACAGTCGCCTTGGCTGCGACGGCAAAGTCACGCACTGACTGCGAGAGGCCGTCCGGCACCATGGTGCGCGCCGCGCGCAGGCCGGCGGCCACCGATGTGCCGTCCTCCTCGGTGCTGCCTGGATTGGCGCTCTCTCGCCGAAGACGGAGGTAGCGTCCAGTCAAGTGCAGAGCGCCAAACACGAAAGACCTGCGTCAGTGCGATGCGTCAGTTGATGAGCGCAGACCAGGCTCGCAGCATGCCGGACGTGTCCTTGACGCCTGTCACACAAAACGTGCAGCACTCACAGGAAGAAGAGCCATGACCAGAAGCCCCAGCCGCCGCTTCCCTCCGCAGCCGTATCTCCACTGTCTGGCAGCTGCTTCTCGGGCTGCTCCGGCTCCGCGACGGGCGGCGGGCGCTCGCCTGGCGCGTGCGAGCAGGCGGAGGGCGTGTTCCACACAAGCCTGAGCACGCCGGCAATGGCGTCGAAGCCCTCGAGACGCGGCGGCGAGTCTGCAGCGATAGCGCGGTCGCAGACCATGTGCAGCTCTGTGCGCTGCACGACGTGGCCATACTCGGCGGCGTGCAGTGTCAGATTGAGGTGCCCTGTGGAGGCGGTCAGCGGAGCAGCTAACACGCAAGTGCTGTCGACTCACCATCGCCCTCGTGCACCTGCCAGTCGTGGTCGCGCGCCGCGTTCTGCACGAGCTGCGTCGTGTGCTCCACGCCGTCGAGCACGCTCACGACGCGCGTGCAGATGAGCGTCTCGGGGCCGCACTCCTCGTGCCCGCCGGCGTCGCGCAGCACGGCGCACAGCGAGCCGCGAATGTGCAGCTGCGTCGTGCTTGGCGGCGTGGCGGTCTCGGTGAGGAGCGAGAAGGGCACGGCGGGCAGCGAGTAGGCTGCGCTGACGTGTGGCGGCGCGAGCTCGCAGTCGAAGGCGCGCGCAGAGGCTGGTGGGGCCAGGAGTGCGAGGAAGAGCGCGTGCGGCGCGCGCGGGCGGCGCAGACGCATCAGGGCGGGGTATGCGGCAGGTGGGTCTGGGATGGTGGTGGTCGGGTGGAGGGCGGGACGCGCAGCAGGGCGGCCAAGCCAGCCGACTGCGAGTGCGGACCCCTTTCTCACGCCGCGGCGCGCACGCTATCAGCAGCCAGCCCCTGCCGCCGATCATTGGCCTCGTCACTCGCGGCTGTTGCGGCTGTACACTCTGTAGAGGGTTTCGGCGGCTGGATATCAGTTCAAGCTCTTCCTAGCCTCTGCCAGAAGCACCGAGATCATAGCAGCAGGCCTTATTGTCAGCAGGCGGCGGGTGGCCCGTGCGAGAAATCGGTCTTGATGAGGCGCGCGGCGGTGCGCAGCCGCCTGCGCGGCGCGACGCGGCGCAACACAAAGCAAGAAGCGCATCGTGATCGACCGCTTGCCACTCGCCTCCGCTCCACATCGCCCTTCTGCGCCCCTCACTCTGCCAAGCTAGCCGGCGCTCGACTTGCAGCGGCTCTCCGAGCTCATCCTCTTACCTGCTCTGCTCGGGCCTGAGGCACCGCAGCGACTCGCCGCCGCGCCACCCCTTTTCGGCGTGCCGGCATGGCCTCGTCTCCGGCAGCGCGCGCGCTGCGAGGTGTGATGCACCATGGTGCGTCTACGACAGCATGGACATCGCACATGTCTGCAGTCCCGTGTCTCGTGGCTGACCCCTTGCCGGTTCATAGAGAAGCAGGAGCAGGGCAGCATGCTCTGCGCGCAGCACGCGCTCAATGCGCTGCTTCAGGGCTCGTACTACGACCCGAGCCAGCTGGCCGGTGAGTCTGGCCTTCCAGCACTGCTGCCGGTGCAAGCGATCTCACCGTGTTGCCTTCAACTGTGGCTCACATCGCTTCTGCAGACATTGCCGCGCAGATGGACGACCTCGAGCACGCTGAGCTCGACGATGCTGCATGGGAGGCGCGCGGCCGCGACGAGGGGAGCCTGAATGTGGATGCCACAGGTGGGTCCGCCGCAGCATGCGCAAGGCACCTCGAGGCTGACTACGGTGCCCATGCTTCCGCAGGCTTCTTCTCGCTGGGCGTGATGGAGGCGGCGCTGGGCATCTGGAACCTCTCGCTCGAACGCTGGCGCTCGGCCAGCATGCGCGAGTATCACGATGCGCCGGAGGAGCAGGCTGCCTTTGTCCTCAACCTGCAGCAGCACTGGTTCACGATCCGCGGCTTCGGGCGCGGCTGGTGGTGAGTTGCGAGAGCTGAACCGGCAGTGAGGAGGGACAGCTGTTTGTGGAGCGGCATCGTCTGCGTCGCCAGTCACAGCTTCGAGATGCCGGAGCTGATCGTGCGCGACAGGTTCAACCTCAACTCGCACATCGACGAGCCTGCGTGGGTGGGCCCCTCGTATCTCGGCGCGCTGCTGGATCAGGTGGGTGCTACTTCCTGCGTGCATGCGCATCTGGGCTCACGCCTCCTCTGCAGTGCGAGACAGAGGGCTACTCCGTCTTTGTCGTCCGGGCGACCGGCACGCCGAACCCTCTCCACACTTCACCTGCCGACGAGCTCGCGCGCACCCTGCCAAGCGCTGCAGCAGCATCGTCTGGCGCCGTCGAGTCTTCTCCGGTGCTCGGCAACGACAGCGAGGAGGACGCAGACTTGCAAGCTGCACTCCGCGCCTCTATGGCGCAGGCGCACATCGGCGGCTCTGCTGCGGAGGCTGGCCCCTCTGCCGGTAGCTCTCGCGCGGCAGGCGGCTCTGCGTCTGGCAGCGGCAGGCCACCACACGGCACCCGGCGCGCACGCTCTGTCGAGCTGGGCTCTGACGACGAGCTCCGCGGCGGCCTGGGCATGGGCGACTCGGGTCCCGAGACCGATGCGCATGTCGATGCGCTTGCGCCTTCACGCCAGCGCGCTCGCCTGCTGCCGCAGAGCCTGCCGCATGCAAGCGGGGCCCGCAATCGCCGCCGTGCCTCTCGCGCACGCCAAGGTCGCGACGAGCAGAGCGGGGCGTCCCGAGAGACAGCCATCAGTCTCGAGTCAGACGAGGAGGAGGGCGCATCGCAGGACGGCACGGGCAGCGCGCACCGCTCGCCGTTCCTGAACCCAGTCCTCGCCGGAGCGGCACTGGATGGCATCGAAGATCTCGACGACGACGATGACGAGATTGCCTTTCACTCGCTCGAGAACTCCGATGAGGAGCGCGACGCACCAGTGCCGAGCGGGCCAAGACGCGACCGCACGTATGACGATGAGGATGCCGATCTGCAGCGCGCTCTCGCGGCCAGCATGCGAGACGCCGGCGGCTTCGAGGAGGACGGCTTCGCCTTCACCGGCTCTTCACGCCAGCAGCAGCCAGAGCGCACGCCGCCGCCCGCCGACGTCGACCGCATCACCAAGCTGCGCGCAGAGGCGAAGCGCCAGGAGGCACAGGCGCAGGAGGACGCCGACAGAAAGGCGCGTGGGCTGCCGACGCGTGCAGAGGAGGAGCGCAAGGCTGCATCCGGCAGCGGCGCCGAGGACAGCAGCGACGAGGAGGACGAGCCGGCGGAGGTGCTCAGCCCGGATGAGATCCGCCGACGGCGCCTGGCTCGCTTCGGCGCCTAGAGCGCCTGCAGAGGGACAGGCAAGGGAGGCGGCGGCAGCAGGGCAATGACGACATTGGTATAGGCGGTGACAGCAGACGCACATCAGAAAGGAGCAGGCGGGGAGATGGAGTGGCCGGTGCCGTTGGCCGCGTACGGCGGGCCACTTGCGGGCGGCAGGGGCGAGGGCGTGGCGCTGTGCCGCGGCTCGGGTACGACGGCCAGCTGTGCACCAGGCGGCGCGCCGGTGGAGCGCAGCGCCGACAGCGAGGCTGCGGCAGACAGCCGCAGCGAGCTGTCCGGAAATCCGTTCGACGGATCGCCCACCTTCTCGGCGAGCTGCTGCTCGAAGCGGCGGATGCGGAGGGACAGGTCGGCGACGCTGCGCTCCAGTCGCTCTTCGCGCTCGGTCCGCAGAGACAGCACACGCAGCAGCTCGTGGTGGCGCTGGACATGCGCGGCTTCTCTGGCCGCGGCGGCACGCTCCTGCGCTGCGACGGCATCTGCCAGCGCGCGAAGCTCGCTTGCCGTGTGCAGCGAAGCGCCGTCGAGATGCGAGCCAGACGCCGAGCCGCTCCCAGCAGCGGCATCGCCTGCGGCTGCGCGCTTCGAGGCATGGGCCGACCTCCACCACCGCGTCGGCGGCCGGCCAGCCTGGGCTGCCGAGGCGTGCTCCTCGTCGGCAGTATCCGCAGCATCGTCGTCGTCTCCGTCCATGTCGGCATCCTCGGGCGCGACGGAGCTGTCGCCGTCGTCGGCGCTCTGCATCTCATCAGACAGCGACGACGCATCATCCGCGAGCACAGCAGCTGGCTGCTCAGACTGCGGAGGCCACTTGCGTAAGCAAAAGCTGTGCTCCTGCAGGCGAGAGACTCACGGCGGGCGCGCTTGCCGACAGACGGGGTGCCTTGGCGCGTCGCACAGGTTGCGGACTCGGACTGAGCGTCTGCAGCTCAGACGAGCGCCGTTTGCGGGTCTTGCGCGCTCTCTTCTTCGCCGACGCTGAGCCCAAGGAGATTGCACCGACGATCCTTGGCCCGTCGAGGTAGCCTGCCTGCGCTCGCGGGTGCAGCAGACGCGGCGCGGCGCTCTCTCTCACTACCCTGACGAGGCGAGCAAGAGGCGCGCGCTTCAGGTTCACGGCTGCCGGGCTGGCGTGCCACTCGTAGTAGAGCTCCTGCGCCTTGCCTCGGTGCAGGTCGTGGAACGTCTGGGGCGACGAGTTCAGGCCCTCGATGGCGTGGATATAGTGATTCTTGAGGATGCACGGCCAGCAGAAAGAGTAGTGGCAAGGCTTGCACTTGAAGCGGTTGGGCGCCGTCTCGGGTGAGCCGCATGACCGGCATTTTGCCACGTTCTCCTCGTTGGGCTGCGTGCGGATCCAGTACAAACGGTGGCCTGCGCGATGCGGCTGCGCCGCGGCCACGCCCTCGAGACCCTCGAAGTGCTGATAGGGCTTGACGCCCAGCGGCTCAGTTATCCCGGCCTGGCCCCACCGCTCGGCGAGCACCTCCGCTGCACGGTTGTACATGTCGACGAGCGTCTGAAAGGCCTGCGACATGAATGGCTGCAGCGCGTCGGGCGGCTCGCCTTTGCACAGGCGGCCGCTGGCATAGCACATGCTGCACAGGCGGAAAGCCGACTGTGCGGCCGACGGATCAGGCGGTCGGAGCGCAGCTCGTCCCTCGGAGTCGGAGACGTCTGCGGAGTCCGTGGGCTCGAGCTGCCAGTACGACTGCCACAGCGCCGCATGGCAGACGTCGCACTCGGCAGAGTTTGCCTCGAGCTTGCGGACCTGCGTCTCTTCTTCGCTCTCCTCGTCGTAGCCGGACCACGAGTCAACCAGGCAGCGGCGAAAGAGCAGGAGCGCCCTGCGGAATTCGCCTGGAGGAAGGACTCCGGACTGCTCGGTCGCGGCCCGGACGAGATGCTCGATGTGGTGCTTGATCCCGAAGCTTTCGCGCTTGCAAAGCCTGGCGTCGAGAGCATCAGCGCGCAAGCTTTGACCGCTGCACACGCGTCTCACCTCTGGTACATCGGCAGCTCACTGTCGAGCGCGAGAGCCAACGAGTCGAGCGTGAGATGCGAAGTGCGCGATCGCACTACTCTGGCGCCCTTGTTCACGATCTGGCATGCAGGCGTGAGTGATGTGGCATGCGGGTGCGCGATTTGGCCTCACCTGAGCCGCACCCAGAGGCGGCAGTACCACGATATCGCCGACTTGCTGCTCGTGGACGTACATCACGACGGTTGGAGGAGCCGCGCGCAGCTCATCGACAGACAAGGCGCGCTCTCCGACGTCCAGGTGCTTGCCGATGGTCGCGCAATGCTCGGCAAGCGCTTCGGCGTCGGCGGTGCCAGTCATGACCCACAGCGATGTCGCACCTGCTTCAGCATGCACCATCGCGCTCTGCGTTTGCGGCGGGAGCACTAATCAGCGGCTGAGCTATCGCATATGGCCGTCCGCGACTGTCTCACAGTCTGAACGGCTGCGCAAGGGGCCTTGCAGAGCGGCTCGATGCTGTCGTTTCCGGCGACGTCCAGCGTGCACGGATCGCCGGTCTGTCGCAGGTCCCATGGCATCGGCGGCACTGCTGTTGCCGGCGTTGGAACAGGCATCGCGGGCAGCAGACGCGACTGGATCTGTGGGCCAGAGGCATCTGACGGGAGCGGCTCGCCGTAATGCACAATGCCGCGCACGGAGTAGCTGTACGTGGCTACACATGTGGAGAGTCATGATTAGGAACATCACCTGCAGCGCGCTCAGTAGATGCACTCACGAGGGCCATCACCCAGCACTCTCAGCGCCTCGTCAACAGCCGTAACCCGGCTCGCGAACCCATCTCTGCGCTGATTGCTGGCCCAGCGCTGAGCATCGGCTTGACGGTCTCTGCCCTTGCCAAGACGAGCTTCCCAGGCATCTGGTGTCTCGCTCAGCTCTGCGGCGCCTGCTGCGTAGAATTTGTGGCGGCGCGCAGCTGCGCCCGATCCTCGATCGAGCAGGTCTGCAGTCATCTGTGAGCCACACGTGCGTGACATGCCTGCCGCGAGCACATACTGACCTGGGTAAGCAAGACCGCGACGGCAATTGCTCATGTTCCAACTCTGAGACCACTCGTTGCTCCCGTCGCAGTGCGTGAGCACCAGAGGCTGGCGCGCCATGATGACCACTTCTTCGACGAGCGCACGCGCCTCTGCAGGTCCCAGACGGCGGGCGTCCTCCGTCCTCGGCGCCACGAATCGGCTGCCCGGAGACTGCAACAGTCCATGCAGGCTGAAAGAGGCTGCAGACACTGCTTTCTCGTCTACGGCCTCGGGCTCAGACTCGTAGAGCGACGGCGGGACCTCGCTGAGCGGGCTGCTGGGCGCCTCGGACACCGGCCGCTGCAGCGCACCACGGTCAAGCACCTTGCGATCAACATCAGAGGGCGTTCGTGATCGGCTCGCGGAGCGCAGGTGGTGACGGCTGGGCCCTTCGCCGTTGTCGCGCGGCAGGGCCGGCAGGAGGCCTCGCGCTTCGGGCGCCAGTGCGCTGCTCACGGCCGCGGCCATGGTGGCAGCGAGCCCGAGGTGGCAGCACAGCAAGGCGTCAAGCCTGTCCGCAGCGCGGCTGCTGAGCGTGTGGAGGCGTCGCTATGGAGCGGCGAGGGACGATGCGGCCGGGTGGAGCGATGGTGGTGAGGACGGAGATCTCCAGGAACGCTGCGGCGCGCGCGCGCAAGGCCGAGAATGCGCGCAACGACGCACGGACGCCAGCCGCGCGCGCGCGCGCGCTCTCTTCTCCTCTGCCCCTTGCTTTCGCTCCTCCACAACGTCCGACGCTTGGTGCCCTCGACAAGTGGCCGCCCGATGGCATCGACCAGGGATGTCGTTGCGTCTGGCAGCACGACGCTCGCGACGCAGCTGCCGCTCAGGTAGGTCCGGTGGCTTCGACGACACGCGCGATGCTGCACTGCTCACACCCCGTTGGATCCAGCGAGATGCGGGCACGGGCTCTGTCAGCTTCGGGCTTCGCCGGCGCGCAGCAGAGCCATATGTCTCGAGGAGAGGCGAGCTCCTCAAATGCGAGCACCGAGAATCCGCCGTCAAGATCCGGTCCCGCCTCGCCCGACTGGACGTCAGGCCGCACAGAGGCGTGGTCAGTGCCAGCCCGGCGGCTTCTGACCGTGCTCACGTCGCAGCTGACACACATGCTCCAGGCTTGTCCTCCTGGACCTGCCTGATCATCTCGCGCAACTGCAGAACCGAAGCTCAGCGTTCTCGCCGGCTCATCTCGCTCCTGGCCATGCCGCTGCCGGCCATGAGGAGGCGGATGTGGAGGAGCTCGACGCCACGTCTGACGATGCCGAGTGGGAGGTCGCTACTACCAAGCGCGCCCGCCGTCGACAGCACAAGTCAGCAGCATCTGAGTCTGCCGTGCGCTCCCGCGCGTCCAGTGTGGCCTACCACACTGAGAGCGAAGCCTCCGCCAGCCGCGCCGGCTCGCGGCCGGCAGGCTCAAAGAAGAGGACACCGAAGAAACGCGCCAAGCCGCAGCCACTTTCTGTTGCGCACCGAGACGAGAGCCAGGTCCAGCTCGATGTCGACCGCAGCTTCGCAGGGCGAGCATGGGAGTCCTGTGCGTACGCCGCGGACCCGTAGGCCTGCCCGTAAGCGAAGCGCTCACGCTTCATTCCCAGCGGTGTCCGCAGCAGATCGTGCGCAGCGAAGAGCGCAGCTGACCGACGTCATTCGCCGAGTGCTGCGCACGACGCCAGCACTCTGCTACTACCAGGTGAGCGCCGGCGTGAGCAGCCGCTGCGCTGTTCCAGCTGACAGTGCGCCAAGGGATACCACGACGTGATCTCGCTGCTGCTCCTCACCCTCAGTCCAGACCTGTCCAGCCAGCGCTTTACGGTCGCGGGCCTCGATGGCACGCCCGCCGTCTGGCAGAGCGCGGAGGAGAGGGATCTCGTCGTACTGGCGAGCTCCCGCCTGAGTCTGCATTGGCTGCGAGACTACATGACACGCGGGCTGGACCCCGCGCTCGGCGGGCTGAAGTACGTGCCGCCCGAGCTGAGGCGAGCGTTGCCGTGGCTGACGTTGCTCTCACAGGCTCACGCGCAACCTGCTGCGCAAAGTGGATGCAGAGCTTGCTGCGGTGGTGGAAGCGTGCGTACGCCAACGCGCTAGCGCTCGGCATCCAGCTGACAGGTTCACGGCCTCACAGCGCGTCGCCGCTGCCGTATTTCGCACTCTCTTGGCAGATCACCGGCTTTGCCCACGATATTGCGCCAGAGCTGGCCGCGCAAGTGCTCGACTACCTGCTTGTGGACGGACAGAGCGGCGTGCTCTATCTCACTGTCGCGGTGAGCACCCTCGCTTCAGCCGCTGCGGCGTCACGCTGAGCACTTTTCACAGATGCTGCTGTCGAAGCGCGCCGAGATCCTGGCCCAAGACGGAGAAGACGGCGCCGAGCTGCACCACATGCTCTCGCGCCTGCCGAGCAGCATCGACAGCAACTCGCTGCCGGCACTTCTGCAGCAGGCAGCCGCGATTGCCGCTGAACACGGGCCGCTGGAGCCGGTTGCGGGCTTGGGCGCATCGACAGGCGTCATGGGTCCCCAGTCGGTGCTGCGCACCTTTGCTCGCCTCCACCGGCCCGCAAGCGCTAGCTCGTGGAGGACACGAGACGAGCGAGCGCGCACCGCCTTGAATGGCGATGTGCGCGCCATCGTCCGGGACTTTGCCGTCTCTCCGCCGCCGTCTCCGCCGCCGGAGCCAGAGCTGCAGAAGCGGCGGCGCCGCAAGACAGACGCGGACGGGCAAGGCAGGCCGGCTCACGACAAGGCTGAGCCCGCCAGGGGCTTGCTGCTCGCCGGTGCGCTGGGCGCCACTGCGATTGTGCTGTGGCTCGCTGCGTCGAGCCCGGCTGCCACGCAGTACATGCCTGCCGAGACGGTACAGCTCATCAAGAGCTTCGCGGCGAAGATTGCGTAATGAGACGAAGTGCAGGCTGACTGAAGTGTGGAGGAGGCTGGTCGTACAATTACAGATCGAAGAGAGAAGCGATACACGTCGAGAAGAGACTGGCTCTGCGCACGGCCGCACGCCCAATTGTGCGGGATGGTCGATGATCTTGAAAACAGCCGTCGTCCTGGCAGAGAGCTTGCGCAGTCGGGGCTTACCGGATCCGCTCGAAGTAGGACGATCGGCCGAGCACGACGGTCGTGAAATCCATGGCCTGTGGGAGAGAAAAGTGAGCTCCGGTGTCGCGGTGGTGCACGACTTGCTGGCGGCCCCGCCTGTACGAGATCCATGCACAACCGAGCTCGGGCAGGCCCGTCTCACAGCGACCGCGAAGCACGCAAGGGGCTGGCCAGAAGTCTGGCGCCGAGATGACGTCTAGCAGTCACAGCTACAACAGCTGACGCCCACTACGTCTATATCGCACATCGCTGCCCTGCTTGCCAGCTTCCACTCACCCACTCGCCCGACTCGAGCCAGCCGCGCACGATGCCGCGCGCATCCATCGGCAGCGACTTGAGATCAACGGCCAGGCCCGAACCGCGGCGCAGACCCGAGAGCACCATGGACAGCAGCAGCGCGTCAAACGTGAGGTGGAGCAGCTTGCCGAGCATCCTGGGCGTGGGCTCAGGAGAGACGAGGCGCGCGAGGCAGGAGTGCGGGCTTGATGAGGCGCTGGTGCGGCGCGGCGCGAGGTGGAGGGTTCCGAGGCTGGCGGGCAGATGGCTGGGCAGCTGCAGATGCGGCGGCCGGTGCGGCTAGCGCAAGAGAGGCGAGGTGCGGAGCGAGGCAGTGGCAGCGGAGGTGGAGCTGCTGATGAGGTGGTTGTGGTCGCAAAGGCAGATCGGGCGCGGTGGGGAGCGCCACCGTGCGCAGCAGCCGCGGTAGGGTGCCGGCCGAGATAGACGAGAGCGGTGTGATGCCGCGGGCTGGCTGCTCAGCTGCTGCAGCAGCAGACCAACACCGCGCGCCGGCGGCGGCGCGCCTCCATCCTTCGCTCATCAACACCCCGCGCGCGCCCGATCGCCCCACTGACAGCCTCGCCAGTCGCTTTTCAATCCCCTCTCGTCCTCACACACGCGCCGCGCCATGTTCTCGTCGCGCACCGCCACCACCGGCGCCATCCGCCGCCTGCAGGTCGAGTACAAGCAGCTCACCAGCGACCCGCACTCGCTTTTCCCCGCCACCGGCCCCATCAGCGAGGACGACTTCCTGACGTGGGAGGCGCTGCTGCCGGGACCCGAGGACACGCCGTTCGAGGGCGGCGTCTTCCGCGCTGAGCTCAAGTTCCGTGAGTGCCGTGCGGCTGGGTGCGGAGAATGCGCTGCAGTGCAGGCGGGACGATGCCTGCAAGAAAAGCGGACTGCTCGAGCGCCGGGACGATGCGCAACCTTGCCGCTCGTCGCAGCGGTCAGCGCTACGATCTGAATGAAGTGGTATGCCGTGCTGAGTGGCTGTGAGACTCGCAGGTGGTGCTGCTTCGCTGCCACCTCCTGATGCGCTGATGGTCGGGCAAGTAGCTGCGTTGGGAGCAGCTGGCGCGATCTGGAGGTGCATGTCTCATTCGCAGCATGTCCGGGCCACACCTGCCGCAGCTCTTGCGCTGTTCCCGGGCCGATCCTGAGGCAAGACTGACTCGCCTCTCGGGCAGCGCCGTCCTACCCGCATGACCCGCCGACGATGAAGTTCGACCCGCCGATCTTCCACCCGAACGGTGTGTGCAGCAGCAACAGCCACGGCGTGCGTCGCTTACGCTCCGCGTCCAATGCAGTCTACCCCGACGGCACGGTGTGCATCTCCATTCTCCACGCAGCTGGCGACGACCCGAACAGTAAGCGTCGCGCAGAATCTCTGTCTACTGGCCCGGGCTGACGTTTGCTGCTGCAGTGTATGAGTCGTCCTCTGAGCGCTGGAGCCCCATCCAGTCGACGGAGAAGATCCTGCTCAGCGGTGCGTCGGACTTCTTGCACCGCCGCTGCAGCCCTGGCTGACGGTCTCTCCTGCAGTCCTGAGCATGCTTGCCGAGCCGAACGTCGAGTCGGGCGCCAACATTGATGCCTGCGTGAGCCAGCAGCAGGCGCCATCATGGCAAGCTCTCCGCTGACAGCTCGTCCTGCGCTTCAGAAACTGCTGCGCGACGACCCCAAGGCGTACGAAGAGAAGATCCGCGCCTCGGTGCGCGAGCAGCTCGGCCTCTAGGCGGCGCCGCTGTTGAACACGAGTGCGCGCTCGCCCGTCCGCTTTCAGTCTCTCGTCCTCCGGGCGCTCGCCGTCCTTTGTCACTGTCATACTACTCCTCTCTCATACAGCATAATCTCTCGTGCGTGCTGCGTCTGAGTCTGGACGTCTGATGGGTCAGGCGTTTGCGGATGGCAGCTGATGTAGGGCTGATAGCTGCGTTCAAGGGTGCAGCACTCGCTTGCGTCGAGCACGCTCTGCAGTCATAGACGAGAGGCTTTTCCCGTGCGACCACGAGCCTGCGAGCACTGTCACGCGACCGCTCGCGATGGCTCGCCTGCTGGAAGATCTGCCTGGCTGCGGCTCGGTGAGCAGCTGCTGTCGCTGTAGGATCGCACAAACCGAGGCGCAACGTCGCGCCCCTGCACCCGCCCAGGCCATGGTGCAGCGGCCGAGGCGGGTGTAACGCAAAGCACACGCAGCATGCAACTGTTGCTGATGCGCCTTCAAGGCTTCGTTAGGCGCTGTCGCTCTTGGCGTCAAGCCTGGCTCTGTGGGGTGGCCCACTGCGGGGAAGAGGAGGGCCTGCTGCCTACTTTTCTCAACGGAGCCTTTCACAGGGCGCGGAGCTGCGTCACAGAGGTGCGGGGACTGTCGCGCTGTGCTCATGCAGCTGCTTCGGTGCCGAGCGTGCATGGCGCTGCTGCCTGCCCATCGCACCGTTGCAGAGTATGCTGCTTCTTCTCCCGGCGCGCAACCCCTCGCGGACGCAGCGCTCAACAGCCCAGGAAGAGGACTTGCTGATCCTGCAGCATGCGGCTTGCAGAGCCTGCGGGTGCAGAGGATGTCTGAGGTGCTGCGTGCTAGAACGTAGCAGGTAGGCTGTCGGTGGCACCACCGCGCGGTACGGCAGCGCAGGCGGCGCAGCGGCACGAGCGGAGTGCGGCGGGGCGCAGTGGAGGCCTTCGTTAGCGCGTCTCGGCTCGGCCTCGTGCCTCGGGCGAGATGTCTGTGCGTCGAGGCCGCTGGCCAGCTCCCTCTGCCCTGATGCCTCATGCGCCGCCGTGTGACGCAGCTGCCATGCTCGGCAAGCAACGTTCTCGCGCTCTTGTGCTGCGTCGCGCTAGCGTGCTGCGGGGAAGCAGGCGGTTGCGCGGCCGCCGTGCCCTCGTGCCCGCTGCACGACGGCGATCCCGGTTCTCGACCTCGGCGCCGAGCCGCAGCAGCAGCAGCAGCCAGACGCAGCTGAGAGAGGCCAGCTCTGCAGTCGCAGCGCTGCAGCGCCGCATCGCCCAAGCTCGAGTGCCAGCTCGTTCCTCTGCCGACTGACTGCTCGTGCGCCTGCTCTGCTGACAGCCACGAGAATAGCACGGGCAGCGAGCGGCGAGCCACATGGGGCCATTTGCGCTGCTACCCCGCATCGTGCCGCCGACACTTCCTGCTTGCCGACCACCACCACACCACCTAGGCTGCACTCCCATCTGCGCCTCGTCTTACTCCCATTGGACAGCTCCTGTGTACCGCATACCACACCTTCACCGCCCCCCGGCATACCCACCCCACCTCCACTCGACACCAACACCATGGGCAAGGAATACGAGATCCCCAACGAGCCCGTGCCCGCGCTGCCCGGCTACGTCGGTGCGTGTGCTGCGCTGCGAGAAGCACCCGTGGCGCGCCAGCTCACGTCCTCGCAGGCAACCTGACCGACGAGCAGGAGCAGAAGCTGCGCGAGATCTGGCAGGGCTACTTCGACACGTGCGAGAAGGCGACAGGCTCCAAGAAGGGCGCGCAGAAGCAGGACCTCGAGGCGCTCAAGAACCAGAAGGCCGAGGACGACAAGGCCAAGGTGTGTGTCCCGAGCGCAGGGCTCTGGCTGCACATGCTGACGCCCTACTCCAGGCGGACCCGAAGAACTCGGGCATCGCCAAGGACGACAAGGCCAAGGATGCGGCCAAGGAGGCCGAGGAGGCTGCGGCGCTCAAGGCGCTCATGGACGAGTACGGCGGCGAGGCGCTCCGTGATGCCTACTGGAAGTTCGTCAAGGTGAGTGCGGAGCCGCGCAGAATGGCGAGCGAAAGGGAGCGATCGAAAGAGAGCCGGCGACGCGGCGGAGCCGTGTCTTCTTGAGGCCTGATCCTCAGTCAGCGTGCGAAGAGCACGCGCTGTTGCGGCGTGTCCCTGCAGCCGAGCAGCCCTTGCGCTCAGCTCCTCCGTTCAGAGCACTGCGAGACTGAGCCGAAGAACTGCAAGACAAGAAGCTGACTCTGCCTGCTCAGGGCGACTCTCCGGACACGGCCATGCTGCGCTTCCTCCGCGCGCGCAAGGTAAGGGCGCCTGTCTCATTGTCCTACGCTGCCCAGCTCACACTTCGGCCCAACAGTGGGACGTCTCGCGTGCTCTTGCCATGCTGTGCACGTGCATGAAGTGGCGTCTCGACAACGACGTCGAGGCGCTCCAGGAGCGCGGCGACGCCGGCAACGAGCAGATCCCGGTAAGCAGATGATGCACGCTTTGTGCCAAAACCACGCGCTGAGAAGCGCCCGCGTTCGCCAGCACTTCCTTGAGCAGCAGCGCTCAGGCAAGACGTACGCGCTCGGTACTGCCATCAACGAGCAGCCGATCTGCTACATTCAGTGCGTAGCCTCCACCCTTTCGGAAGAAGAGTTCAGCTGACAGGTGCGTCCCAGCGTGCGCAAGCACCTGACCTTCGGCCAGCCCTCCTCCTCGATGGAGAAGTATGTGAGTATTCGCACGCAAGCTTGTGCTCACCCCGCGCTGATGCCTCTCTCGCTCAGGTCATCTACGCCATGGAGTCCTTCCGCCTGCTCATGCAGCCGCCGAACGACAAGGTCGTGCTGATGTTCGACCTGTGAGTGCGGTCTGGCTGATGCCTATGCCCCACATGTGCTCATCGATCCTCGCTCCCCGCAGGACTGGCTTCGGTCTGAAGGTGAGCCTAAATCGTGCTGCCTCTTCTCTGCCACCTTGCTGACCTGCTTCTCCGCCAGAACATGGACTGGAACTGCATCTTGTACATCGTCAAGTGCCTCGAGGCCTTCTACCCCGAGTCGCTGGGCACGCTCTACATCCACAACGCGCCGTGGATCTTCAAGGGCATCTGGATGGTCCTCGGCCCGCTGCTGGACCCCGTCGTGCGCTCCAAGGTCGTCTTCTCGAGCAAGGCGACGGACATCGAGGGCCACATCCCGCCGAGCCGCCTCATTGCCGACCTCGGCGGCAACGTCACGACTGGCTTCGAGTTCACCGAGCCGCAGGACGGCGAGAACGACCTGCTGAAGAACGAGGGCGAGCGCAAGAAGCGCTTCGACCAGTGCGTGTGCCGACTGACGATGCGTCACGCCGAGACTGACGCTGTTCGGACGCGCAGCTTCATGGAGCTCGCTGACGAGTTCGAGGAGGTCACGCGCAAGTGGAGCAAGGGCGGCAGCGCGTGAGTACGCGTGTGTGTGCTAGAAGCGCGCAGCCCTGACGCCATGCTTCCACAGCGAGGACGAGGAGAAGCGCAACCTTCTCGTGCTGAAGCTGCGCGTGGCGCAGTTCGAGCTCGAGCCCTACACGCGCGGCACCACGGTCGCGCACCGCCAGCACATCATCGACGGCCAGGGCATCGTCAAGTGGCGCTACGAGCAGAAGGACGGCGACACGCAGATCCACGTTGGTGCGTCGCGCCGCGTCGCTGTGCGCATATCCTTTCGCTGACCCAACGCCGCCTCAGTCGGACGCCGCGCCTGCGCCGCCACGCTGCGCCGTGAGATTGCAGAGGTCGAGAACGGCTCGAGCCTCAAGGAGGCGCAGGAGAAGTCGGAGAAGGCGCTCGAGGCCAAGGACTGGGCGACGCTGTACGGCGACGAGAAGACGGCACAGCTCGTCGAGGGCGGCAAGTATGGCGAGGTCGTCGCCGGCACGCTCGATGCCTCTGATGCGGCTGGCGCTGCTGCCGGCGCTGCTACTGGTGCCGCTGCGGGCGGTGCTGCCGCCGCCGCAACCTCCAACGACGACGCCGCTCCGGCCGCTGCCGAGCCTGTCACGGAGGAGTTCAAGGACGCACCCGAGGCTTCAGCTGCGCACGCCGAGTCCGTCCCCGCCGTGCAGCCGACCAAGGAGCAGGAGGCGCAGGCTGCCGTCGAGCCCGAGCCGGCTCCGAAGCCGGCTGCCACCAAGGCCGAGGCACCGGCCGACACGCCGACGAAGGAGAAGTCCGGCCTGGTGAGTGTGCTGCGAGATGAGCTGCTGCCTCCGTGCCGCTCTCTGACGCAGACCTTCCCAGGGCCGCCGCTTCTCGAAGCTCATGAGCAAGGTCGCGGCCTAGGCTGCCGTCGATACCTGCTCCTTCCCTGCTCCGCTCTCGCAGATACCTCTTCCACCTGCTCGTCTGCCTCCCTGCTCCGTTTCATGTATATGGCGTGATTGCTTATGTGCTTCATCTGCTGTGGGACTATCTTGGAGCCGGAATCGCCGCGAGAGCAGAGGCATGAGGAGGATGCAGGCTCAACAACGAGTGTACGCGCGGCTCGCGCCTGGGGATCCGCGGAAGCGCGCGCGAGCCCAGAATTTGGACGCGCATGCTTCCCGCACGGCTCGCGCAGTCATGGTTCCTTCCTCACCCCCACACCCTCGCACACAGCCATGGCACCCGTCGCCGGTCCCTCTACGCACGCGCGGCACGACGCGTCGTCAGAAGGGCACGAGTCGAGCGCGTTCGGCCGCTTCCTGGCCGCATGCTCGCGCGTGACTGCTCCCACATCGCCCTGCGCGCAGCAGCGGCCAAGGGACCTGGCAGCCCGCTTCCCGATCCGGTCGGCTGCCGAGTCGCCGGCAGACGCCGTGCTGGCTGCCTCCAAGGGCGATGCGGGCCCTGAGTGGGAGCCGTCAGACTCGGATCAGGCGCTCGTGCAGCGGTCGGTGCGGTGGAAGGATGAGCTGATGCGCACCAGTGAGTAGACTTGCGGGCAGAGGCTCGATCGCCAGAGCAAGTCGGACCGCAGGCGTAGGCGCTGCGGCCTGACGACTGGGGAAAGCGCAGCCTCGACGTGTATCAGCCGACTGACCAAGCAACGTGCAGGCCCAATGCTGCGCTTCATGACCAAGCACCTCGCGCTCGTCTCATGTCCCGTCGACGGCGCCTCGCGGACCGACGGCACGGGCATCATGATCCTGCCGTGCGCGCCTGGTGCGGCAGGTGGCTTCGGGCCGAACGAGCCGCGCGAGCACAGCGCCATCTTGATATGCGGCAACCGCATGATGGACAAGGGCCACCTCGAAGACACGCTGGCGCACGAGATGACGCACTTCTGGGACCACTGCCGCTTCAAGGTCGACTGGGACGACCTGCGGCACGTCGCCTGCAGCGAGGTGCGTGGCTGCGCTGCGGTCCACTAGACTACTGCTCTGACCCCAAGCTCTCTCGCAGGTCCGCGCTGCATCGCTGTCGGGCGACTGCTCCATGAAGCGCGAGATGTGGAAGAACCGCAACTACAACTTCGTCAAGGGACATCAGGTGCGTGTCTTTAGAACCGGACCGAGCGTGCCCTGACTGACGCGCCGCGATCGCAGACATGCGTGCGGCGGCGAGCAGCGCTCAGCGTCGCAATGCACCCCAAGTGCAAGGACCAGGAGCAGGCCGAGAGCATCGTCGACCAGGTCTTCAACAGCTGCTTCCGCGACACGCGGCCATTCGACGAGGTGAGGCGTCTGTCAGCTCGGCTGCCCGCCGCTCGCTGACCCCTCGCCGCCAGATCTACTGATCGCACGCGCAGCTGGTGTATCGTTGCAATGGCACGTCTAGATATAGCAGCAGAGCGCCCCGACGATCGCGTGCGATGCGGAAAGACGTCGTGCGCACTGCCCGCGGACCTGCCGCTTTCCCACCCAGAGAACGTGGCTACTAGACCGTCTCGACACCCTGTGCAAGCCCAGGCGCGTGAGAACGCAGCTCGAGCAGTCAGATCGCAGCTACGCGCCACTCACCGTGTACTCGCTGGACACTGGCGGCTCCGTGAAGGCGGCATGCCCGAGCACCAGGATGGCGGACGAGCCGAAGAGCCAGAAGATGAGTGCGAAGGGCGAGGCGATCCACAGCATTGGCAGGCCTGCGCGAGCGCCTGATGAGCGTCTGCCGCTGCAAGGCTGGGACAGGACAACACGCACCGATGCAGAAGAGGCCCGTGTACAGGCCACGCTGAGTGATGACATGCTCGCCAACCTGCAATGGCTCGGGCGCGAAGCGGTTGATGGCAATGAAACCTCCGATGAGGAATCCGGCGGCAGCGAGCAGCCACGGAGACGTGAGCCTGCAGCAAGCGAAACACAGACGTCAGTAGCGGCAGGCGGCGCAGGGCACAGCGAGGCACGCACAGGCCATAGATCGTCAGCAGCAGCACGATGATGGCATAGTTGCCCGAGAAGTGCCGCGTGTTGTACGTGATGCGCTGCGATTCGTGAGAGAGGGTCAGCCTTGCTCAGCACTCGGGACTCATCTCGGCCAGCCTGGAATGCTGCAGGGCTGACAACACAAAGTCTGGCATCGCTCGTCGATGGTCTCCATCTCGCCGGCCAGCTCCCCCGCGACCTCCACTCTCAGCACAGCATGAGCTGAGCGAGGCCATGGCGTACCAGCGCGAGCGCCGCCAAGGGCAGAGCACAGAGTGCGATGTGAACATGCCGCGCCCCTCGGCAGCTGCGCTCTGTTGCATGTACCGACCGGCTCAGCTCGTCTGCTCGCTCCTCCATGCTTTCGCGTGATACGCCCGCCGCCCTCTATCGGCCCGACTTCGCACAACAATCGCACCAACACTGGCCGCAGCGCTATGCTACCCCTTTGGGATGATGCCTGCGCCGCAGTACCGTGCGAGTGGCCCACTGCTGTGTGGCACTTACCTGCGTCGCCTCGTTGAGGTCCACTGGCCGCGAGATGCGCTGGTGGTCGAAGAACTCGCCGATCGGCCGCAGGTGGCTCAGCCTCTCCTTGCGCAGGTTCCGGAACGTCTCCGGCACTGGAGAAAGAGCGCACGCTAGGTCAGCGCTGGCGTCCTGAGCGAAAGTTCGCCGAGCGGGTCCCTGCCCGCGGCCCGAACACGCGGCGCCGCGAATAGGGGCAGCGATGGGCATGCTACTGGCCCGAGCGCGCGGACATGGCGCCCAGCCGAGGAGCGCGAAGACGACACGCACCGCGCATGGCAAACTCGATGACTTGGGACGTCATGTTGGCGGTGAGGAGCGAGGAGGATGGGCGTGAGAAGGCACGCCGGACGGCGGACAGACTTCGCGAGGCGGTGCGCCGCGGCGGCGCAGCGAGCAACACGTCGCCGCGGCGGGACGCCCGTGCCCGTTCCCACGCCCGCGCGCGCGACTCCGCCGCTGGCGTGGGAGCAGCGCACGTCGTGTGACCTCGCCGTGCCTTGGGGCCGGCCCAAGCGTGAGATAGCGGGGCCGCGCCGTCGGGCCAGCTCCTTGCCCCTCATCAGCACTCCTCCACCACCCACAAGACAGCCTAGAGCATCTCGCACCGCCGCAGCAGCCGGGTGCCACCTCCAAGCACCGAGTCTCTGCGTTTGGCTGGTCTACTCGCCGCGCAGCGCTGCGCTCTCCTGCTACTCCACTTCGCATCGCGCCGCCAGCATGCGCACCGCTCTCTCCTCGGCACTCCTGCCGCTCCTCGTGGCGCCACTGGCGCTCTCGCTGCAGCTGCCGCTCATCGCCTCGCCGAGCTTGCACGACGCCGAGCCGCTCCAGCTCGTCCGCGCCACGCTGCCCGCAGGCGCGCTGCCGCAGCTTCGCGCAGCCGGCGCAGACGTGTGGCACGCCGCGCCCTGCGCAGGCCCGAGCGCAGAGGCGTCCACCTCTGCGCCACTCTGCGCCCGCATCGCCACGTCCTCGTGCGCTGCACTGGCACGCACGCTCGCAGCGCCGTCGTTGGCGTGCGAGGTCTTGCACGCAGACGTCGCAGCGCTGTTGCGCGACCAGCAGCGCAACGCGACGGTCGCGCGGCAGCATGGCAGCTCGCCATCGGCCGAGTTTGACGATGCGTACCACACACTTGAGCAGTGAGTAGTACAAGCTCAGTGGTGTTGAAGACGGGAAGCACGAGAATTGGCTGCGCGACGCCTGCTGGCGTAAGCGAACAGTGATGCTTTCTCGAGGTAGCCCCACCTGCCGCAGGCTCGATTGCGCATGTCTGGCCCAGACCTCCGCTCCGCCAGTCCGCTGACACAAAAGCATCTCAGGTTGGAAGCACGGGTGCACGAGCTCGCAGCGCTGTTCCCGTCTGTTGTCCAGCTCGAGTCGATCGGCGAGACACACGAGGGCCGGCCGATTCGCTCAGTGCGTCTAGGAGCTGCGCGTAGCAAGTCAGGCAAGGTCAAGCCTGCGGTGGTGATCAGCGCGGGATCGCATGCTCGAGAGGTGAGTGCGCCTGGTCTGATCGACCACCCTTGTCCCGCTGACGCCGTCACAGTGGATCGCGCCGGCAGTCGCGCTGCACTTCATCTCTTCGCTCCTTGCCTCGTCCGCAGCCATGCGCGCACCCGCGCTGCTCGAGCTCTTCACGATCATCGTGATTCCGGTGCTGAACCCGGACGGCTACGCGCACTCGCACTCGTCGCCAGCCGCTCGGCTGTGGCGCAAGAACCGCGCGCCGAACGCCGGTGCACCGGAGGCGTGCAAGGGCACCGACATTGGCGCAGGCTTCGTGCGTGCCGGCTCGAAGGTGCATCGCTTCTCGCTAGCTGACTCTTGCACCAGCCGTCGCACTTTGTGCCGTCGTCGAATCCATGCGCAGATGCATATGCGGGCCGCAAGCCTCTCGAGGCGGCGGAGACGCGGGCGCTGGCCAAGCTGCTGGACGATCAGGCGCAGAACGTCGTGGGCTTCTTCGAGTGAGTCGGCCGCTCAGACGCACTACATCAGCCTCATCGCTCACGCTCCTGCCGCGCAGTCTGCATTCGTATGGTGCGCAGATGCGACACTGACTGCATCTGCTTCGCGTGCTGACTGTCCATCCTCATGCAGGGCAGCAAATGACCTACCCGTACGCGTACTCTTGTGACGAGGCCCTTCCCGACGAGGAGGACCTGGCCGAGCTGGCCATCGGCGCCGTGCGTGCACTCCGTGCAGTGCACCGCTCCGACTTTGGCACCGGCCGCGGCTGCGAGGTGCGTGAGACAGGCGCAGAGCTGCCGTCAGATGCTAACTTCAGGCACAGGCGCTCTACCCGACGACGGGCACGGCGATGGACTTCGCCTACGAGCACGACGTCAAGTGGGCTTATTCGCTTGAGCTGCGCGACGAGGGCGAATACGGCTTGTGAGTGGACCGCGAAAGAGTCTGGGTGCGCGGAGCATATCGCTGACGTGCCTCGTCTGGCGCAGCCTGCTGCCCGCCGAGTACATCCGTCCCGCCGGCGAGGAGACGACGGCAGCGCTGCGCTATGCGCTCGCCTTCATCGCCCGCAAGATGCACCTCTAGTGTGCACGGCCGAGCACCGTTCCGTCCGCTCGAGGTCTCGCATGTGACGGGGAACTCAGAGACTGCGACCGAACCTGCAATACCACTGTGCTGCACAACACCTTGCGTGACGATATGGCTGGCTCGCTGTTGCGAAGCGCAGACTGTGTCCGCAGTCTGAAGCGGGGAGCTGGGCACGCAAGGTGCGGCTCTCGGCAACTCGCGCACGCGCGACAGGACACTCTCTCCGTGACTTCGCTGATTGACTCTGGCCCGCTCAGCTCCACGTAGCGCAGAGGCGGCCGCTTGCACGCGCTGCGATCTCGGCAGTCTACGAGTTCATTGCTCTGTGCAGCTCCCGCGCGCGCTCAGAGTGCGTGTCAACACGACGGTGAGGGCGGCGAGCCGAAGGTCCGGATCGAAGAGTGGCGAGCAGAAATCTGGCGAGAGGCGTCGTGAGCACTTCGGTACGTGTGCGGGACAGTCGCGCAAGTCATTGCGACGCAACGAAGCAGCCGCGAGCGATATCCATCGCAGCAGACGGCCGTGCCTTCACGGCCGCGCAAGGCACGCAGCACCGTCTCTTCATCCAAGACGGCATGTTCCACGGCGCGCACGCTGCTCCCAAGTCTCATCCTCCCGCTGACATACTGCCGGCGAAGTGTAGCCTCGACGTGCGCATATCATGCTCGTCTAGCTCTATCGGCACCAACAGCAGTCTCCTGTCCTCATTGTCTGCGCATCTGTCGCATCTGCAGCGCCTTCCGACCGTGGTCCATCGTGTCCCTCCCTTCGCCCTGCCCGTGCCTGCACCCTGACGCACATCCGGTTGTAGGTCACTCACTCACCTGCACATGCCACACCTTCCTCCCAGCCACCATGCACATTTAGTGAGCGTTGTTCTTGTGGTGCTTCAGGTGCATGTTGTACTGTCGGTGTGGTACGTCAGCCCTGCGCCGCACACAACGCCCGCGCGCGCTCTACTCACGTCGATCGTGTAGCCGAACAGCAGCATGAAGGCAATGTAGGCGACGATGGGCTTGGAGCTGGCGTTCTTGCCGTCGAAGAAGCGCGCCTTGATGCCGCCGCCGCGCTTGGCGGGCGCCTCGCCCTTGGGCAGCGCCTTGTAGAAGCCGACGACGGCGTCCATGCGCGCACTCGAGCCGCCGGACGAGACCATGGCGGGCGTGGCGATCTTGGGCGGGATCGGCAGCGACGACGCGAGGCGCGCGCCGCGGGGCGCGAGGGCGGGGGCGCGGGCGAGACGGGCAGCGAACATGGTGAGCGAGGTGTGGGGGTGCAGACAGGAAGGAGGCTCGGCGTCGTCGCCTTGGCTGGCAGCGCGCACCGGCCGCGCGCGGCTGCGTTCGCTGGCGGCGCGCGCGACGATCTCGGGCGCCGGGCGCGGCCGGTCGCGCACGTGACACAGTGCTGCCGGCTCGCGCGGCCTCGACGTCCGCCGCGCCCAGCCGTCCAGATGCGTGTGCTTCAGAGCACGTCAACAGCTCTCGCGTTGCACTTCAACATCGCATCGCTGCAAAATCGGCAGCAAGGTGAGCTGCTTCTTCCTGGCTCGTCGGTCGCTGCATTTGCTCTGATGACTGGCCCGAAAAAGTGCAGTTCACTCGGAAGCAGCGTGCTGTTTGCCACTGTGGCTGCACCTCAAATGCCAGCTTTCCTTGCCCCTCCTCGATCGACGAGACTCGATACCCCGGAGTGAATGACGCAGAGACACAGAGAAAGTCTGAGACAGGCAAGGTACAATGTTCGATGCATGACATTCCGGCGCTGCAAGCGCCTATTGCCCCTCGAACACCATGTTGACGGCACCCTCGAGGCGCACGTCGTCCGGGTTCAGGTCGATGCCAGGGTCCTGCGGCGCTCCAACGGCGGCGCCGCGCAGCATCATCGGTGCCGCTGCGGCGTAGCTGCGCTGCATGCCCCGGTAGTCGCTGCTGCAGTCGTGCAGCTCGACGCAGCGCACGCTCTGCAGCTCGAGAGTGGACACCTGTTGCCGGCGGGCGTCAACACTTGCCACGGACGGTCTCACAGGCACAGCACAGCTCACATAGTCCTGCAGCTTCTCCTTGGCATCGGCAACGGCAGCACGACGCAGCTCAGACTGCCTCGAGAGGCGCGTCGCATCGGTGAGCGCCCAGGTGATGCTGGCGATGCGCACGTGTGGCGCAGCGGAGAGCGTGCCGACGATGTCGCTGAGCTGTGGCGCACGAATCAGCAAGACGGTTTCAGGATCGCAGCATTGCTGCTGCGCTCACCTTGTCGAAGGCCCGGAACTTGGCGCGCAAGTTGATGGTGCACTGCTTGAGGCCCTGCGGGTCGTCGTAGCGCTTGTACCCGAGGCTCATCGTGTCCATCGTCCACCACGTCACGGGTGCCGCCTCCGTCGCCGTCTTGGTGCCGGCGACGAGCGGGTTGAGCTCGCGCAGCATCTGCGCCACCTGGTTGGCCGTCTGGCGCGCCGTGAGGCTGGCCTGCTCCTTGTCGCGGTGCTCCGTCTGCACCGAGATGTGCAGCGTAGCGCGCTCCGGCGGCACAAAGACCTCCGAGCGGCCGGAGACGTGCAGGCGTGTGCTGCCTGATGCTATGGCCGACATCTTGCGGGTGGTGGGTGTGGCGAGCACGAGGAGCGGGTGCCAAGGCCCCACCTTGGTGCGCAGCAGCAGCCGGCAGCCGGTCCCACGCCAGCCCGGGCCTAGCGTGGGAACGAAGTGGTCGTGTCACGTGCGATACAATTTCATGGCTTGCGCTGCAGCTGTGCTGCCTCCGCGGCCCAGCTCAGGCAGCGCGATTTCTTCGTGGCGCGCGGACGGGCAGAGCGGCATCTCATGCAGCCTCGACGCTGCCTCCGCCTTCCTCTCCACCGCGCCCTTCTCGACCCGGCCACTCCTCCGCTCTGCGTCCCTCTGCTCTCCGCCTGCTCGCCGTGGCCCGCCGTCTGCCTCCGCTCCCACTCCCCGCCGCCCGCATCGCACGCCCCACCATGGCGTCCTCCTCTGCTCCTGCCGCCACGCCGGCCGAGGGCATGACCTCGCGCGACTAGTGCGTTGCTCTTGCGCCTTCACCGCTGCTGCAGAGCTCCAGCTGACCTCGCGTGTGCGCTGCGCAGCTACGCCGACTCGTACGCGCACTTTGGCATCCACGAGGTGCGTGCAACGTGCCGCCCGCCCGCCCTGCTCGTGCTCACCCGCTCCACACGCCGCAGGAGATGCTCAAGGACAGCGTGCGCACCGACAGCTACCGCAACGCCATCATCAACAACCCGCAGCTCTTCCGCGGCAAGACGGTGCTCGACGTCGGCTGCGGCACGGGCATCCTGTGCATGTTCGCCGCCAAGGCCGGCGCCAAGAAGGTCGTCGGTGTGGACATGAGCAACATCATCGACCAGGCCAAGATCATCGTCGAGAAGAACGGCTTTGCCGACGGTGAGTGTGCGGGCGGACGGCGGAGCGGAGCGTCAGCTGCGCCGCCTCAGGGCGGCTATGAGTGTGCTGCTCACGCGTGCTCTGTCAGTGATCACGCTGGTCAAGGGCAAGCTCGAGGAGGTGGACCTCGGCCTCGGCCCGGACGGCAAGGTCGATGTCATCATCTCCGAATGGGTGCGTAGCTGCAGGCAGCTCGTCGCCCACATTCCGAGCTCACCTGCTGCTTAGATGGGCTACGCGCTCCTTTACGAGAGCATGCTCGACACTGTGCTCCTTGCGCGCGACAAGTACCTTGTGAGTGTTATGTCTGAGCGCATCAGGGAAGCAGGCCGCGGCGGATCGGGCATGCAGCGTTCCTGACGCGCCCGTCTGCGCAGGCGCCCGGCGGCTGCATGATGCCCGACGTGGCCACGCTCTACGTCAGCGCCATCGAGGACCAGGAGTACAAGGACGAGAAGATCGGCTTCTGGGACGACGTGTACGGCTTCGACTACTCGTGCATCAAGGACATTGCGCTGCGCGAGCCGCTCGTCGACACCGTCGAGCTGCGCTCCGTCGTGTGCGACCCGGCAAAGGTGCTGCATCTCGACCTGATGACGTGCAAGAAGGAGGACCTGACGTTCAAGAACGACTTTGTGCTCACGGCCACGCGGAATGACTGTGAGTGCCGCGGCCAGCGCATCTCTCGCTCTTGTCTGACAGCCGCTGCGCACAGACATCCACGCATTCCTCGCCTGGTTCGACATCTCCTTTGACGCCTGCCACAAGCCGGTGCGGTTCAGCACGGGCCCGCACTCGCGCTACACGCACTGGAAGCAGACCGTCTTCTACATCCCCGACATGCTCACCGTCTCGGCCGGCGAGCGCATCAACGGCACGTTCTACTGCGCGCCCAACGCGCGCAACAACCGCGACCTCGACATTGAGCTCGACTGGGAGCACAACTCGGAGAAGGGCCGCATGGTGTACAAGATGTGAGCCCTGTGCCGTGCCCGCCGCCTCTGTGCGCGTGTCCCTCGCTTCGCTGACGCTCATCGCAGGTCCTGATCGACGACCAAAAGGTACTGAGCGACTGCGCAGCGCAGCCCGCATGCTCTTCATCTATTCGCGCAATCGCAGCATTCCACACATCACTCGTCTCGCTAGTAGAGTTGCACTTGCTGCTCATGGCACCGCTGCCTCTTCCTCCTCCGCCAACGGGTGGCGCGCCACGTCTGCAAGCCGAGCCTATCTAATTACCATCCATAGACCTGCGACACATGCGCCAGAGGCGACGGGTGAAGCCTGCAGAGCGGACGAAGCTAGTCGTAGTGCTCGCGCTCCTGCGTCTTGGGGATGCGCACGAATGCCAGGCCGATCGCGGCGCTCACGAGCGCCACGGCGAGCGAGAACCACCAGACGGAGCGCAGCGAGCGCATTTCGAGATCGGCGTGCGCCACCTGGCCCGGCGTGGCGGTAGCGATGGCATCGCCGATGCCGATGAAGATGGCAGCTGAGAGTGACTGCGCCGTCATCAGGAAGGCGCCCTTGGGAGCTGTCGTCAGCTTCGGAGGTGAGGATGTGCGAGGCCGGGCGCTGCTCACCGCCGAGCCTTGGTATGTGCGCGGCACGCTCGTCGTCAGCAGCACTGCGACGGCGGCAAAGCTGAGGTCGGGGCAGAGCGTGGCGAGCGCAATGCCGGGCATGGAGAGGGCGTAGTACGAGGTGTTCGCCGCTGTGGCAGGGCGTCAGCCCTACTCCTGGGCAGAGGGCTTCGTACCGCGACGTACTCTGCGGCAGGAAGAAGACGGCGCCTGCGCCGCTGGCCAGCGCCGAGACGCAGAGCACGTAGTGGCCCGGCACGACGTGCAGCAGCGAGGCTGACAGAAGGCGCACCTGTCAGCCGGCGCGCATGAGCATCCCCATCCAGAGCATGCTCACCTGTACCGAAGGTGCACAGCAGGCCGACGATGGCGTTCGGCGTCAGATACAGCGCGGCCGTCAGGGGCGCCACCTTCTGCACGCTGAGGAAGAACTCGAGCACTGGAGCAAGCCTCAGCGGAGCGTTGCGGCGCTGTTGCGCGAGACGCACTGTAGAACTGCCAGACGCTGAAGGCGCCGAATGCGAGAAAGTACACGAGGATGACTGTGTGAGGTATGAGCACCGACCGCCTCTGCGTCCTGTGCGGTGCACTTACCAGCCGGAAAGTTCGGCACGCTGAACAGCTGCATGGGGACGAGCGGCCGTGTCGCCTGGCGCTCGGCCAGCGTGAAGGCCGCCAGCGTGGCGGCACCGGCGATGATGAGTATGTATGTGTACGGCTGCCAGCCCGCCGGTGAGCCCTGCGTGAGGCCAGCAACAATGCAGCCAAGGCCGATCATGGCGAGCAGGGCGCCGAGGTAGTCGAATTGCCTCAAGCTCGGGCGTGCGGCTGTCGCTCGTGGATCCACCGAGGCAGGTACGACGGAGAGGGAGAGCACGAAGAGCAGCGCAATGCCAATGGCCATCGAGAAGAAGATCCACGGACGATGCTCCGTCAGCAGGCCGCCGTGGATGGCGCCGAGCCAGTAGCCGACCGGAGCCATGGCCGCCATGCCGCTGAAGGCGCGCGACTTGCGGCGCCCGGGCGAGTAGGTCTCTGCGTAATCCGTGAGCGTGCAGGCATCGCAGCAAGGTCAGGGGCGACTCACGGCCCAACAGACTGATGCTCGAGCTCGTCAGTGCGCCACATGCAAAGCCCTGCATGGCACGGCTGATGAAGAACAGGTACTTGCTGCTGAGCGAGAAGCCGGTCTGCGAGGGAGGCTCGTCAGCAGAGCGCTCTTCGGATGCCGACATGCTCTCTCGCACAATGAGGTTCCACAGCGACAGCCACGCGAAGCCGCCGACCATCAGCATCTTGGGCCCGAGATGGTCCGCCAGCGAGCCAGAGATGACCTGGGCATCGTTCATGTCAGCTCGAGGCGGTAGAGGCGCGCCTGTGGCACTCACGACGCTGAGGCCGTTCGTGAGCAGGAACGAGCCGAGCAGCCAGGGCTTCTGCGAGTTGCTCGTGCCGAGATCGGCAGTGAGGCTGCGCTGATTCACCACGACTGCAGAGAGGTCAGCACTGGGGGCAGAGCGACGCCAGCCAGCACGCACCGTTGCCAAGCAGCCAGCCAAAGAGTGCCTGTCCCATGCCGCAGACGCCCACGAAGAGCAGCTCCTGCGGCAAGCTCTTGAGTGCCGCAGGCCGCGGCTGCATGCGGTTGTGTGGCCGCGCCACGGGAGCGGTGGCAGCAGCATGCGCAGCGCGGTCCGACCCCACGATGGCCGCCACTTCTTCCTCCTCGTCGCCGCCGAGAGAGAGCGAGGCGGCACGCGAGAAGACCTCGGGCGTCTGGGCTCCGTCTGCGCCGCGCGCCAGGTGTGCGCTGCTGTTCAGTGTCGAGGCGAGGGCGCTGCGCGAGGAGGCCGCATGCACCGCCGACGGGCGCCGGATGCTGCGGCCCGGCTGCGAGGCGCTGCTGCCCTCGGGTGCGTCGAGCACGTCGAGGGCCGAAGAGGCGCCGTGCTTGTGCGGGGCCGAGAGGTCGCTGAGCTCCATGGCGATGTTGCTTGATGGTGGTGCAGAGCCAAGCGTGCAGCTCACCGAGGCCACTCCGAGCTGTCGCTGGCTCTTCCCACGAGAAGAGACCGCTTGGACCCCGCAGCGAGAGGCCAAGTCGGCACCTGCTCGGCGACTTTGCGGTCCGAGCGCGCGGCGAAATTTCTGGCGTGCCGCACCGACCGGCGCAGCGGCACACGACGGGCTTGGCAGCGGATGCCGGCCAGACAGGCCGGAGCCAGGGCTGTCCGGCCGCTTCTCGACACACACACGGCTTCTCTGCAGATCTACCCAGCGCGGCAGCGAGCAGCAAAAAGCACGCCGCTGCCGAGTCGGCCTGCGGCTTGAGTCTAGTGACGCATGACGGGAGGCGGGCGAAGGAGGCCGCCGCTCGGCGAAAGCAGCTCTGCGCGATCTGTGCCGCGGGCCAACTCTCGCAGGGCGTGGGAGCGCAGCGGCGCCCCGCCAGCGTTTTGCCTCGCAGCGCCGGCTACGACCTTCTTGCCGCACCTCTTCCATTTCCACACCTCCACACACCGCCATGGCCGAGGCCGGACCCTCGTCGGCGCAGGCCGCTGTCTTTGTGCGCTCGGCGCCCGTGCCTGCGTCGTATGCACAGGTGCGCGGGCCCAACTTCGACGACGAGCAGACGCTCGACAGCCTGATGGACGCCTACGCGCGCGTCGGCTTCCAGGCCAGCGGCGTGGCGCGCGCCATCGACGTCGTCGAGCAGATGCGCACCTGGCGCCTCTCCGACGACGCCATCGACGACAGCACGCCCGACGAGCTGCTCGACCCTGCCGTGCGCGCTGCGACCAAGGCGACCATCTTCCTCGGCTTCACGTCGAACCTCATCTCGTCGGGCCTGCGCGAGGTCATCCTCTTCCTCGTCAAGCACAAGATGGTCTCGGCCCTCGTCACCACCGCCGGCGGCGTCGAGGAGGACCTGATCAAGTGTCTCGGCCCCACGTATCTCGGCGCTTTTGCGCTCGACGGGCGCGAGCTGCGCAAGAAGGGCCTCAACCGCATCGGCAACCTGCTCGTGCCCAACGACAACTACTGCAAGTTCGAGGACTGGGTCATGCCCATCCTCGAGAAGATGCGCGCAGAGCAGGGCGACAGTGTGACTCAGGTGTGGACGCCCAGCAAGGTCATTGAGCGGCTGGGCCGCGAGATCGACGACGAGCGCAGCGTGCTATACTGGGCGCAGCGGGTGAGTGTCGGCCGAGGCGCATCGCTGCTCGGCCTGCCCTGACAGCGCTCGCAGAACGGCATCCCCATCTTCTGCCCCGCGCTCACCGACGGCTCGCTGGGCGACATGCTCTACTTCCACTCGTACAAGTCGCCCGGCCTTGTCGTCGACCTTGTCGGCGACATCCGGCGGCTCAACGACATGAGCGTCCGGGCGCGCAAGGCGGGCATGATCATCCTCGGCGGCGGCGTGTGCAAGCATCAGATTGCCAACGCGATGCTCTTCGTGAGTGCCGAGCGTGCTGAGCGCGAGAGTGTACTCACGCCCGGCGCGCTTTGCAGAGGAATGGCGCGGACTACGCAGTGTACATCAATACGGGCCAGGAGTTTGACGGCTCAGACAGCGGCGCGCGGCCCGACGAGGCCATCAGCTGGGGCAAGATCAAGGGCACGGGCGAGAGTGTCAAGGTGCGGTGCGCGCAGTGGCGCCTGCAGTGCCTTACTCGTCCGAGGCTTGCACCGCTTACGCTTCTTCTCAATTCTAGGTGTACTGCGACGCGACCATCATCTTCCCCCTCATCGTGGCGCAGACATTCGGCAAAGCGCACTGGGCTGCACAAAAACAGCAGGGCGCAAATGGGGCTGCGTCTGCTGACGACGAGCGGAGATCAGGCGACGCATAGAGGCAAATGCACACATCTGGAACGCCCTCGGCAGATGCTGCATTCGCGATGTCAGGCTGTGGTCCGGAAGCGGCGACGAGATGCGACCCCGATGGGCGCGATTGCAGAGTGCCAGGTGAGAGAAAGTAGGCCTGGCCTGCACCGAAGCGCGCCAGAGCGCCAGCAGGAAGACCTACTGCTGGTGGTAGTAGTAGCTGCCCGGCGGCGGCGGTGGCGGAGGCTGCTGCTGCGCGTACTGGCCCGGCGGGGCGCCGTATGGCTCGTAGTACGGCGTGCCCTGCGGCTGCGGCGTGTGTGGCTGCTGCGGAGGCGGCGGCGGAGCATAGTACGCCTGCTGGCCCGCCGGCGGCGGCGGTGGCGGAGGCGCAGAGTACAGGTGCGCCATGCTCATGCTGTGCGGCATGCCTGCCGGCGGCGGAGGCGCATACATCCCCGGCGGCGGCTGGCTTGGCAGACCAGACGGCGGAGGCGGCTGCTGCCGCCAGTGCTGCTGTTGCGGCGGCGGTGGTGGCGGCGCAGACTGAAAGTGCTGAGAGCTCGAAGCGGACATGTACGACGTCTGCGGCGGCGGAGGCGCATAGTAGTAGCCCCCACCTGGCGGCGGCGGAGGCTGAGTCGTAGGCAGCGGCCGCGCACTGCCGTTTGGCGGCGAGCCAGCGCGGCCTGCAGCGCCGCTGTGCGAGAAGAAGGACTGCGGTGCAGGCGGCGGCGCATAGATGGAGCCCGTGGTCGAGTGCGCCATCGAAGGCGCCGGAGACGAGGCGCGCGGCGGCGGCGGAGCAGGCGGCTGGCCCAGGTGTGAGGACTGGTACAGTGATCTGAAGCGAAGTCAAAGTGAGCAAGCTGCAGTGAGTCCATGCAAGCACCTGCTGGCACTCACTGCGCATTGACAGTGCTCGTCGAGTAGCTGCCCTGCATCGAGTGTCCGTGCTGCATCTGCGTCTGGCTTGGGATGCTTGGCAGCGCATGGTAGCCGCCGCCCTGTGCCGAGTGCGGGCGCTGCGGCTGCGGTGCCGGGCTTGGCGCGCGCAGCTCGTGCTGTTGCGGCTGCTGCGACGGAGGTGGGGGCGGAGGCTGCTGATGCTGCGGCTGCTGCTGCCAAGGCGGCGGCGCGTGTCCATATGCCTGATGCGCTGGCGTGTCGTGATAGCCGCCGGGGCCTGGCGGAGCAGACGCAGGGTGAGGCGGCGGCGTCGGCGCAACGGGCGCCGGCGAGGCCGGGTAGTATGCGCTCGGCGGCTGCGCATAGTAAGCCGACGGCGCGGTCGTGGGCGCATAGTGCTGCGACGCGGGAGACGGCGCAGAAGGCTGCGCAAAGTTCATCGAGCTGAGCGGACGCAGCAGGTCGTCCACCGGGTCCGCGCCCGAGGCCGGGAAGCCCGCAGGCGGCGGCGGATGCGGCGTGTAGCTATTGCGCCGCAGATGGGCGCTCTCATCGTACGACGACTCTCGCGGCGGCGGCGGCGGTGGTGCTGGCGAGTGTGCGCGTGCTGGGGCATACGGCGGCTGATAGGCGTCGATCTGCGCCAAGCTGGAGCTCGGCCGCATGATGGACGCTCCGTCGTCTGTCGATGCCGAGAGGGCGCCGGCATGGCTCCGTGAGTAGGACATGCCACCGCCATGCCCAGTGCCCCCGTTGCCTGGCCGCATGGAGCTGGGAATGCCAGCGTGCGAAGGGCCAGTCTTAGCAGGAGGCCGCGGCACGTCGCTGTCGGGGCCAAACTCCTCGCCGAGGTCAGAGATGAATGTGCCGGCGCCGCCGTACGTGTCGCCGCCCGACATTGCGGGCCGTGCGGCGGCCTTCTTCTTCTTTGGCGGTGCCGCCTGCGAGGGAGCAGAAGTGAGCCACGGCCGCACGAGGCAAGAGACAGAGAGCAACGCACAGAAGAGTAGAAGGTGAGCTCGAGGTACACCTCGCCTGCATAGCGGTCGCGCGCCTTGATCGTGACCCAGTCTGCGGCAGAGGCGTAAGTAGCCGCGCTCAGCGATACATCTCCGACCAGTCTGGCACGATCGCTGTGCTGCGTCCGGCACCAAGGCAGCTGACTACAGCAGTCATGCCGACAAGCGTCTGCGCACCGCGCCCGGCGACGAGATGCGGATTGTGATCGCCGCAAGATCGCGCTGACGTGCGCCGCTATGCAGTCCGCTTCCCACACGCTGCGACTCCACTCACCGTCAAACTCGCCCGTCTTGAGCGTCTCGGTGAGGTCTACGATGCCCTCTCCAATGAGCTCCGGATCCGTCTTGTCGTCCGCGTAGCACTTGACGTTCATGATCTTGCCCTTGCCCTTCGTCCCATTCCTCTGCGGCTTCACCGTGCCCCCACCGGCCGCCTCGACGCGGCGCAGCATGTCCTCCGTATCCTCGTAGATCTCAAAGTGCAACTGCGCGTCCCACTGCGGATGCTGTCCGCCGCGCTTGTCGGGGTCTGTCTTCTGCGTCTCGCCGTTGAGCGAGAGCACGGCGTAGGGGTCCTGCTTGCCGATGGTGCGCTTGTTCGGCAGGTTCTTCTGCGGGGCCCGGCACGCGGCGTCAGCATGTGGGCGCGCCGAGGCTGGCAGAGCCGGCCAGCGTCGGGCCACGCACCGCCTTGAGCACGACACACACGAGCGTGCCGCGGTGCTGCGGCTCGTTGGCACTGCCGCTGGCGGCGCTGCCGCTGCTGCCGCCGGCGTGGGACGAGAGCGTGGGGCGCTCGAGCGACATGGCGACGGCGACAGAGGAGCGCACGGACGGAGCGGCGAGGCGAGGCAAGCTTGGCGTGCGCGGCGCTGCTGGGCGCGGCGACAGGCGAGCGAGGTGAGAGGGCTGGAAAGAATGAGGGCGAGGGCGAGGGTGAGGTGCCAGCAGCACGAACGACTCCGCCCCGGGCTGTGCAGCGCCGACGTCGCCGCGCGCGGTACGTGCGCTGTCGGCGCTGAGCGCTGAGGAGGCAGCAGTCGAGCCGCGGCGCTCGCCCAACTCCACGCCTGTTCCCACGCCGTGCTGCATCACGTGCAGCACAGCCCCGACCAACACCAGCGGGCGCGCCGCGCGGCACGTCCAGCGGCCTCGCTCGGCATGCCTCCGCCTCACCCTGGCGCTAGACTTGGCATGCCACAGCAGAGGCTCGCGATGTCACAGCGGGGAGGCCTGCTGCTGGAGTGCAGAGCTGGTCTCTGGCGGCAGATCTGCTGCAGCCTCGCAGCGAGCATGCGCGGCGCAGCGCGATGGTGAAGCACCGTGCGGCACCGCCCCTCGAGCTACCCCGCACTGCGCCGCGCTTCATTTGCCTCATGCGCTTTGCTTTGCCTCCTCCTCATCGACGGCACCCTACGCACCCCTCTCGCCGCTCTCTCACCTCGCTCATCTTTCACAAGCCCGCGGCAGCTTATCGACGCTGCCCGCCGTCGGGTGCACCGCGCTCGCAGCTCCGCCGGCTGCTTCCCACGCTCCCCACTCCCGCGGCGGTGCGGCGTTTGTGCCATGCGCACCTTCGCCTTGGCTGGCCCCTGAGATTACCCGCCCGCTGCGAGGCCCCGATTGCCTCGCTGGCGAGACGCCGGCCTGGGCCTGGACGCCGCCGCTCTTCCCTTCCACCACCGCCTGCTCGTCCACTCCCGCCTTAGTCTCTGTCTTGCGCTCTCCTGGCGCCGCACGCGCGCTGCTGCCGGCGTTGGCCCTCTCTCACTGCGCGCACGCACACGCACGATGATCGACCATCTGCTCGGACGTCCCTCGACGCGCCTCAAGCGCCTCCAGGTGCTCCTCGTGCTGGCCTTCTGGGGCTCCGTGCTGCGCTCGGGCCCGCGCAATGGGCCGCGCCGCGTGCCGGTGCTGCGTAAGGCGAATGCCTGGGCCGGTGAGTGAGAGGCGAGGTGGATCTGGCGGCGGTGGCAGCGCGTGCGGCGGCGGTGCAAGCGGTGCTGCGCTGCTGCCGCGGTGGAAGCTTCTGCTGGCTGCTGGCTGCCGCTGCATTGCACGCACCCCAGGCAGTATCTGGTGCCCGCCTGACGCCCTCTTCCTCTTGCAGCGCGCTTCTCGCCCTGGCAGCTCATCGTCGCGACCCTCACCTCCATCTACGCCGTGCGCCACGTCGATGCCCTCTTTGGCTTCGGCGCGCCCGAGCCGCTGGCACGCATGGTGAGCCGAGCACATAGCGGAGAGAGAAAGAGACAGAGGCTCGGAGGACGCGGGTTCACGCTCTTGGATCAATGCGCTCGGGCAGCGCAGCTCAGGCCTGAGACACCTGGCTGCCAAGAAGTCGAGAGCAGCCGACTGACGACTCGCCTCTTTGGCTAGTACTCGCGCTCCTTCTACCGCGTGACATGGATTGTGACAGCACTCGGTGAGCAAGAGGCGCTCAAGCTCGCTCCAGGCGACGGAGCTGCACCGCTGACTTCGCCTCCACAGATGCCGGCTTCGCGACGGCCATGACAATCCGTCCCGTGTGGCTACGTGACATTGCGTCGCTGGCATTCTCCATGTACTATCTGGTGAGAGACTGGCGAACTTTAGCAGCGCCTATGCTCCAGGCTCACGCCTCGCGACCTGCCAGATCTATGCAAACGAGGCCGATGAGAAGCTGCGCAAGTTCCGCGCCTTCTGCACGGTCGAGATGATGCGCGCAACGTGGCACAAGGTGCGCCTGATCTGCGTCGCTGTGCGGAGAGGCACGTTGCTGACCATGCCGTGCAGACGACAAATCCGTACATTCGAGCATTCACCCGTCCGCACCGGCCCTCGCTCGGCATCGCGCGTCCGCTGCTGCTGCCGCGCCCCACGCTCGGCGCACACGCCAAGCGCCCGACTCGCGCATGGCTCTTCTACTCGGGCAGTGAGCGCGAGCTGCGAGAGGAAGAGGAGGTGCGTGCACTGAAGCGCTCCGGGCCGCAAAGCACGGCTCACGCTCCATACTCGCCTAGCTGCTAGTGGACCTGCCCGGCGGCGGCTTCGTGTGCATGGATCCGCGTGTGAGTGTGGCTGCAGAAGGCGGCACGGCTTCCACTGACTTGCGGCACCGCAGCACCACGAAGAGCGTCTGCGCCAGCTGGCAAAGGAGATGCAGCGACCCGTGCTGTCCGTCGGTGCGTTCATCGCTTCTGGCGCACCTGCTCCGCTCACACTTGGCGGGCGCCAGATTACTGCAAGGCGCCCGAGTATCCATACCCCTACGCGCTCGAGGAGTGCTACGACCTGTACCGCACACTGCACGAGACGGGCGGCCGCGTCATCGGCATGTCCGGCTCGCCGCGCTTCCGCACGCTGCTCACGGGCGACAGCGCCGGCGGCAACCTGGCCACGGGCGTGCTCCTCAAGGTCATCGAGTACCCGCAGCCGCACATCCGCAGCGCCTTCGCCGCGCACGCCAACGGCGGGCCGGGCAGCAAGCCGCCGGAGCTGCCGAAGCCGCTGGCCATGGTCTTTGCGTACCCCAGCCTCAACTTTGGCTTCAGCGCGTGGATGAAGGTGCGTGCTGCCGCTGCCGCGACGTGCATCGAGCGAAGCTGATCCGCTCTCCCGTCGCAGCCCGATCACATTCGTGTGCTGCGGCAGCAGAGCGAGGTGAATCTGCAGTCATTGGCAGACGAGTCGCCCCAGACGGGACGGCGCTCCTCTCCGCTCAACCCGTCCAGCAGCTCGACACGCTCGCGCTCGCGCTCGCGCCGCTCCAGCATCTCTTCGCCGTCGGTCATGCGGCCCTCGACGCCGCTTGCGAGCAGCAGCGGCTCGGGCGGCATTCTCAGCAAGGCCGGCGCGGCCGCCAAGGACAAGCTTGCGGGCCGCCGCGAGACGAAGCGCAGCTACAGCTCGCTCGCCGAGCAGGCGCAGCTGCATCTGGCCGAGCGCGCGCGCTTTGCCGAGGCCGAGGGCAACACGAGCGACGAGGGCGGCCTGGCGTCGCCGCAGAATACGTCGCTCGACGTGGCGGGCGAGTGGGACAAGGAGGTGTGGATGGGCCGCGTGAAGCGCACCGAGGAGAGGGAGGTCGAGACCAACGGCTTTGGACTGCACGACGTGATGGACCCGGAGAAAGCCGCTGCGCTCAAGGCCGAGGAGCAGCAGCGAGCCCTTCAGGCCGCTACGACGCAGGCGGACAAGGAGCGCAGCGCGCGCGACAAGCGCGCTGCTGGCGGCACGCGCCTCACGATGAGCAGCATGAGTGGCTACTTCCAGGATCGCATCCTGACGCAGAGCATGATGCGCGCCATGGCCATCCTGTAGTGCGTATCGCGCATCGCTGGCGCCGCACCGCGCTGACCACCCTTGCCGTGCAGCATCGGTCCTCGCCGCCAGCCTGACTTCGACCACGACTATTATCTCTCGCCCATCGTCGCTCCCGCGCGTCTGCTTGCCGAGTTCCCGCCGAGCCTTTTCATCTGCGGAGAGAAGGACCCGATTTGTGAGTTTGCGCCGTGGCCTCTCTGTCGCTTCGTCTGACTCATGCGCTTGCAGGCGACGACACGGTCGTGATGGCGGGGCGCATCCGCGAGGCCAAGCTGGCGAAGCAGGCCGAGCTGCGGCGTCGTCGGGCCGGCGCCACGGCGCGCTTTGGCGAGCAGCTGCGCATGAGCGTCGAGCGCGGCCATGGCGTGTCGCCGGACGCCATCGAGGACGAGACGACGGAGGACTGGGTGCAGATGCGCATCATCGAGGGCTACTCGCACGGCTTCCTTCAAGTGAGTTGAGCACAGTAGTACGCATGCTAGCTTTCGTCTGACGCTGCGCTTCGCAGATGTCGGCGCTCCTGCCTGAGGCCAAGCAGATCATCTCCTTCATCGGCAGCTGGATGACCGAGTCGTTCGAGGACTACAACGATGCGCAGCACGAGGCTGATGTGGTGCTGCGTGCCGTGCAGGTGCAGCAGCTCCCGCCCGCCTCACCCGCCAAGCCAGCAGCGCCGCGGCCGAAACTCGCTTCGCCACTGCTGGAGGCCCGTGGTCGAAGCCTCGCGCCTCGTCCTGCCGACGAAAACGACGATGACGACGACGATGAGCCGCTGAGCTTCACGCCCAAGAACCGCCGCTCTCCGTCGGTCGCGACGAACGAACTTTCGTCGCCACGCCTCGGTGCCTCGCTCGAGGCATCGGGCAGCGGCAGCAGTCTGCGTCTGCCGGCAGTGGCTGGTCTGCAGCGTCCGCCCGTCGGGCGCCCGGCGTCCTTTTCCACGCCCGACGACGCGCCGGGACGTCCACGGCAAGTCTCTGCGCTTCTGGACGAGCCGGCACGCGACAGTGCGCGACGGCGCTCAAGCGACGCCTCGAGCAACGGCACAGCAGGCGCGGCGTCGAGCCGACGTGCAGCCCGCGAGGCGGCCGGCGTGCTGCTGGCGCCCAACGGCGCGCTTCGGCGAGGCAGCAAGGAGCCCGGCGCAGACGAGACGTACAAGTCGCTCCTCGTCAACGAGAGCAGTTTGCTGCAACGCCGCCGCGAGGACGCCCTTGCGTCTATGGGGCACAGCACCAGCGCGGTTCACTCGGATGACGACAGCGAGTGAAGCCTTCTCCCTCCCGACTCCTAAGCCGTGCATGCCTCCTTGACTCCTCCTACTCTGTATAGATCATCTGTATCATTTCCCACGCGGCACACTTCATCATCGTCTCCCCTGTGCTTGACGGCCGGGCTTGTAGTCACTTGCTGCGCTGCAGGTGGAGTGACTGGTCAGGCATGACGGTGAGATGCGCCATGTCCGTGCGCACCTCGGACGAGACCGGCACGATGCGGCTCAGCAGGTACGGCGAGGCGCGCGGACGAGGACGCGGGCGCGTCTTGACGGGCGTGCGCGGCGTTTCCATGCTCGTCGTCTCGATCTTGACAGGTGGCTCGGCAGTGCCGCAGAGCAGCTCGTCCTCGTCGATGCTCGAACGACGAAGCAGCTGCTCGACCTCCGCTTCCTCTCTCTTTTCTTCCTCCTCCAGTCGCGCCTTCTCGAGTGCGAGTCTGGCGGCCTTGGCTTGCGCGTCGGCAACGGCAGCTGCCGTGCCGGTCTGCGGACGAGGTGGCGGGAGGATAGCGGCGAGATGCTCGTGCAGCGGACTCCACTTGCCGCTGGGCGTGCAGTCGCTGAATGCGCCGACGGGCGTCGAGTAGACGCTCAGCTGGTGAGCCGCGCGGCGTAGACGTGAAGTACGCTCGGGCTCAGCAGCGTGCAGCGGCACGAACTCGGAGATGCCGTGAGGCGTCATCGCGTAGGTGCGTGAGCTGGGTGATGGTGAGAGAGGAGGAGACGGAGGCGGAGCCTCATCACCCACAGCCGAGCAGGCCCGGGCCCGGAGATTGGCCATGACAAGCCTGGGATAGCGGCGGACGTCGAGACCTCCACTCCCGCTCGTCAATCATTAGTGTCACGGGTCCATGGGTACCTCGCCGAGACGGACGGCCCAGGAGGCCACGATCAGGAGATGTTGAGCTGTCAAGTGCCATCGAGAACGAAGGCAGACGACGTCGATGCACCGCTGTGGGTCACAGCATGCGTGAGATCTGCGCTCCTCTCACAGACATGGCGAGGCGTCGGCGCGAGAAGAAGCGGCGGCGACGCGGCCCGCACCCCTGAGGCCCGACGCGTAGCGTCTCGAATGGCACAGCGACGCCGGGCGAGCATGGTCATTGCAGATGCAAGTTGCAAGCGTATGCAACAGCACCACAGGATGGGGATCCTCACCTCTCTTCACTGGGCGCAGAACCGCCAGGCTCTGCCGTTGGTGCAGATACAATGTGCCAGAGCGCAGCAGTTCCCGGCGACGCGTACTCGCACATGCACGGCCCTGCTGGCGGCTGGATGCTCCGCGAGCCGCTCTGCCGGCTGCTCAGCTCTGCTTGTGCTTCGCACGCCAGCTCACCCGACGGCCGTCTGCTCAAGGATCGGTCGAGCATTGTGCCGTCCTTGTGGCTGCAACTGCAGACAGCTGCGGCAAGGGTGCTGGGTGCTGCGCCCCGCCCGCACGCGCGCAGCTTTGTCGCGGAGGCGCATGCACGCCTTCTCGTCGCAGCATCCTATCAGCCGCAGCTGCAGCTGCAGCCCAGACGGAGCTCGCATGCAGGATGCTGCGGCATGCTTATGAGGGCGACGCTTGGCCGTCGGCCGGCCGTTGGTCCTGTGCAGCCGGTGCTGCGGCAAGGATGTGCTTTCCTGCGTGGCGCTTGGGCGCAGCGCGCTGCCGCCACGGGCGCCGTGCAGCGAGCGAGGCAAGGAGCCATGGCGTCCACTCCAGCCGCAGCCTCGCCGCCAGCGACAGCCGCTTGCTTCTCCTTGCCGGAGAAAAGGGAGGTGCAAAGCCCACTCCCCGGCAGCGACGCGCTGTGTCTCCGTCGGACGCTCTCCGGCTCGCAAGGGTGCGCGTCCAGCACCGACAAGGAAGCCGAGCCGGGCGTGGGCGTTGCGCGCGGTAGACTCTGGACTTGAACGTAGAGACTGTACGGCTCCAGCAGTCAAGCTGGTCGCGGCTGCGAGACACTTCAAGCAGCGCCCTCCGAGCTCCGCGGCTGCGGGCGGACCAAGGCCACAAGGGAGGCAGACATTGCGTTCGTTGCGCCCGCATCGGGCTCGTGAGCCGTGACTGCTGCCGCTGCCGCTGGATGCGCCGCTGCCATGCTGCAGCTGCAATTCTTCTCGCCGACCTGCGTCCTCGCGTAGCATGAAGGGTGCCAGCTCGAGCGAGGCTGCACCTGGTGGCTCACCTCAGCGGTCAGCGCAGGCGGAGCGCTGAGGCTGCTCCGGAGCGCCGCCGCTCGCTGCCGCTGGCGAATCGTGTGAAGGCAGTTCTTGGCGCACGCGGATGCGTTTGTGGCCGCAGCTCCTTCGCTCTTCTTCGCGGCAGCCGCAGGGTGCTCGCGGCGTGCGGCTACGGACGTCTCCCGGGCCCGCATGCCGGCTCTCACTGCACACCCACAGCACGCCTTATTTTGCCTCTCGCAATCGCGCTCGGACAGCAAAAGGCAGCGGCACAGCACCCAGAGACGGCAGCTGCGGCCGCATCGCCAATTCGCCATCAGCGCATCGCGATGCGGCAGAGCATCGAGGGTGCACGGCCGCAGCAGCGCAGACGCAGCGCAGCGTGCCTTGCAGCCAGAGCGCAGGTGCAGGATCAGCCGCAGGCGTGCAGCAAGCGTGGGGAGCGGAGAGGCGCGAGGGCGGAGAGGCGTCGAGCCGTGCAGGCGCAGGCAGCGGCAGAGCGCAACGCTGCCGCCTGCTGCGGCTGATGCTGCGGCTCTGCAGCTGATGCTGCATCGCTGCAATGCTGCAGCCGCCTCGCCGCGCTGTCGCCCAAAGCACCCCATCGCAGGCGGCAGAGGTTGGGCCGGCCTGTCGCTTCAGGCACGGCGCGCTTTCCGCGGTGCGGACGCCGGGCAGCGCTGCGGTGGGGTGCAAGGCGACTGCCGATGCGCCGTGCCCTCCAGTCGACGGCAATTCGACACAGAGCGCCGAAAGGGCGGTTCGGCTGCGGCTGCGGGGGGCACGGGCGCACTTGCCTTGGCCGTGGGTGTGCCGCCCGCCCGGCTGCGCGTCAGCGCAGGAGAGCAGCTTGGCAGCGCGTGTGCACGGCAAGAAGGCCGCCGCCGCAGTGAAGCAGCAGCGCAGCGCAGCGCCCGAGCGCAGACGCAGCATAAGCTGCACCTGGCTTTGAGCTGCTGGCAGCGTGCGAGAGGAGGAGCAGAGCGTGCGAGCAGGCCTTGCGAATTGCGATGGTGCGCATCAGCATCAGCGGCCGGGGCAGCTCGCAGCGTGGGGAGCGGCACATCGCGGCGGCGCGCCCGCACGCCGCAGACGCACGCCAGCAGCCGCGGCAGCGGCAGCACGCGGCGGGCGGCCTGCCAGCACGCGCCTTAGCGCTTGCGCCTTGCGGGCCCGCACGCGGACGGCGAGCGCGCGCGGCACAGGCAGCACGCCAGCGGCAGCCTCAGCTGCCGCCGCGCGGCGCTCGCCCCTCGGCGGCCTTCCAGCCAGACAGCTGCAGGCATCAGCTGCTTCGGCCCCTCGTCCAGCCGCACCCCATCCTCGCTCCACTCCACTCCTCGCTGATCTTCCGCATCGCCTCGCTTCTCCATCCTCAGCCCGTGTCTCGCTCGCCAGGCCTAGCAGCGTCTGCCGATCTCCACGCCGCCTCGCTCCACGCTCGGTCTCGAGCAGCAGCGCACGCCCCGCTCAGGGCACTCATCGAAGCACTTGCGCCCAGCGGCCGCACACAGAGCTCGCAGCGCGCCCTCGCTCCGAGTCCGCAGCAGCGCTCTCTGCGCCCCTAGATAGCATAGCCTTCGCCTGCGCGAGGTCATCGCTCGGTGCCCTCACTCGCACGGCAAGTGCCGGCGGCGTGCCTGACGTGCTGGCTCCTCGCGCACGGCGTGTCCAGCCCCAGACGCGGCCACCCCTAGAGCCAGCAAGTGGCCCGCGCTGCCCCTGGTGGTGCACCGCTCGGCAGCAGCACCGCTCGGCAGCAGCAGCGCGACCTCGGCGTCGTGCTTGGCGCCTCTCGCAGCTCCGCGTGACGCTCCATCTCTCCGCTCCACTGCCGCACCTCTCGCTGTAGCCTGCGTCGCGCCAGCCGCACGCCTCGGCACCCGCCATGCCCTCGCTCGTCGAGTCCTCCATGCCGGCTGCATCCACGCCGTCGGCAGACCGCTTTGCCGGCATCTCGACGCCGCCGCTCTCCTCGAGTGCCACATTTGGCGCGATGCGCGATCCCTCGACGCCCACTGGCAGCAGCAACGTCTCCAACGGCGGCGGCTACCTGCACGGCGACCACTCGCCGGTGCACCACCGCTCGCCGGGCGCCAGCAGCTCGACGCGCGACCGCAGCATCTCGAGCGGCACGGCGCCCGTGTCGCCGAACCCGAGCATCAGCGGCAGCCGCGACAAGAAGTGGAAGTCGATGCTGAACAAGTTCGGCTCGATTGGCAAGAAGAGCAGCCACGCGGCCTCGTCGTCGCACGCTGCGGGTACCGTCGCAGGCAGCACCTCGTCCTCTGCCGAGTCGGGGCGCACGCCAAGCGGCGGCGACGGCCACACAAGCAGCAGCAATGGCCGCTTCCAGCCGCTGCAGGGCAGCACCGTCGTGACGGACCCCAACTCCTTCTCCGGCGACTCGTACGACGACTCTGAGGGCACCAACGGCAGCTCCTCGCGCGGCGGCTCCTCAGGCGGCGCCGCTCCGGCTCTCTCTGCCTCGGCTTCGGGCATGCCGGGCATTTCCGCACAGCGAGCTGCTCGCTTGCAGGACGTGCGCATGCCGACGAGTGCGCCGCGCCTGGCGCCCGCCGCCGAGGTCGACGGCGTCATTGACGCCAACGGCGCGCCACAGCTGACATTGCCTGGTATTCCGGGCACTCCTGGCTCGCAGGCCGCCGCGACTACAGGCGCAACTGCGGGCGCAAGTAGCGGCAGTGGCAGTGGCAGCGGTGGCGGTGGCTTTGCTAGCAAGCTGCTGCGGCGCGTGTCGTCGGCGCCGGACACCAACAAGCTGCTGGCGCAGTCGCGCAGCGCCAGCGCCAGTGGCACGGGCGATGCCCCGCCCATGCCGGCCTCTGCTGCGGCGACGGCACGCGGCAACGGGTTCCTGTCGCCCAACGACGACAATACGCCGTCTGGCCACTCTGCCTTTGCCAGCGAAGGCGCCAATGCCTCGCCGACACGCGAGCGCGACGGCTTCTTCCCCAACTCGCCGGTGCGCATGGACTCGACGGCGCTCTCCTTCTCGTCCAAGGACTTTGAGAAGGGCGCCAACGGGCAGCGCTCCACATCGACGCCCAAGCCTCGCTCGGGCATCAGCTTCCCGGGCTCGGGCCGCTCCAAGTCCGGCAGCATGAAGTCGCCCGGCGGGCGCACCTTTGCGCCGCCTGCGTCGGCGAGCAACTTGGCGGCGCTGCAGAACGGCGCCAACGGCGCATCGCCAGGCGCGGGACCGGCGCGCGGCAACTTCCGCCGCACCTACTCGAGCAACTCGATCAAGGTGCGCGACGTCGAGGTGGGGCCGAGCAGCTTCAGCAAGGTCAAGATGCTGGGCAAGGGCGATGTGGGCAAGGTGTACCTGGTGCGCGAGAAGAAGACGGAGAAGCTCTTTGCCATGAAGGGTGAGTGGCTTCCGTTGCGCCTCGCATGGGCTGCATGCTGAGTGCCTGCCTGCAGTTCTGTCGAAGAAGGAGATGATCAAGCGCAACAAGATCAAGCGCGTCATGGCCGAGCAGGAGATTCTCTCGACGTCGAACCACCCCTTCATCGTGACGCTCTACCACTCCTTCCAGAGCGACGACTATCTCTATCTCTGCATGGAGTACTGCATGGGCGGCGAATTCTTCCGCGCCCTGCAGACGCGGCCGGGCAAGTGTCTGCCCGAGGAGGATGCGCGCTTCTACGCGGCCGAGGTCATTGCGGCGCTCGAGTACCTGCACCTGATGGGCTTCATCTACCGCGACCTGAAGCCAGAGAGTGAGTGGAGAAGTGCTTTGCGATGCACGCGTCGCGCTGACACCAGACACAGACATTCTGCTGCACCAGTCGGGCCACGTCATGCTCTCCGACTTTGACCTCTCGGCGCGCGCCACGCACAAGGGCGGCGCGCCGGCCATGATCCGGCAGGCGACGCCGAGCAGTGCGCCCCTCATCGACACGCGATCCTGCATTGCCGATCTGCGCACCAACTCGTTCGTGGGCACAGAGGAGTACATCGCGCCCGAAGTCATCAAGGGCTGCGGACACACGAGTGCCGTCGACTGGTGGACGCTCGGCATTCTCATCTACGAGATGATCGTGAGTCACTAGTGCACCGCAAGCACTGTGCTGGGCACAGGCGCTGACACCTCCGCCCCGCAGTTCGCCACGACGCCGTTCAAGGGCTCGTCGCGCAACGCCACCTTCTCCAACGTGCTGCGGCACGAGGTGACGTTCCCCGAGGCGACGCCCATCTCGTCGTTTGGCAAGTCGCTGATCCGCAAGCTGCTGCTCAAGGACGAGCTGCGGCGCCTCGGCTCGCAGTCGGGCGCGAGCGAGGTCAAGACGCACAAGTGGTTCGCGCCCATCTCGTGGGGCCTGCTGCGCAACCTCACGCCGCCCATCGTGCCGGCCTTCTCCAACGGCCTCGACGCCATCAACTTCCGCACCGTGCGCGAGAGCCGCAGCCTCAACCTCGACTCGCAGGCCGGCGACTCGCTGCGCACGCCGCAGAAGGAGGCCGGCGGCGCGTCGGCATCGCGCGGCGACGCAGACATCAAGGCCAGCGCCGGCAAGCGTGGCGTCGGCGACGAGGACGGCGACGCAGTCGTCGCCAATCCGTTCCAGGGCTTCAACAGCGTCACTCGCGTCATGGACTAGCGACGCCAGTCCGCTCGCTCATCAAGCGTATCTCACGCCCTTCCAGCACCGTGCTCGCCATCATTGCCTAGCACACGCCCATCATACGACTCTCTCGTCATGCCCCTCTTGATCCCCGCCGCTCTGCGCTCCTGTCCTTTTCCCTCGCACGATCGCGTCCCGTCTCCCTCACGCCCATTCATCGCCCAAGCCCACACGCTCACAGACATCGCTCCGCTCCTCCTCTCACACTCACACGTCTTTTCCTCCTCTGCCCGCCTCTTGTGCTCGCTCGCTCCTTCTCGGTCAATGCCAACTCATCCATCTTCATCGCCCATTGCGCCTCTGCCTGCTGCTCAGCCGGGGCGCGAGACACATACTTCAAGAAGCGAGCAGTAGCGGCGCCACTTCTGTGACCTGGCGGGTCCTAGCGGTGGTCCCGCGACCTCGGCAAGAGCAGATCCTCCAGGGCTCGCGCACTGGAGGGTGCTAAAAGGTGCTAGCGGACGCCGTCTAGGCGCGTGGCATGTGGCGTCCGCTCGCGCCGGCTAGGGTCGTGCGCGGCTGCTAGCGAGACAACTTCAGGTGGACCCAGCGGCTCTGCTGCGAGCACAAACAGAAGAAGGAAGCATCGCATTTGGACACGACACGCGGCAGAGCCAGAGCGTGTCGTCTATGACGAGGTACATTTCAAGGGCAGACAACGAAGGAGAAGCAAGGAATCGAGGGCCTCCCGCTCGGGTCGACGTACGATGACATGGTGGCGCGCCGCTTAGTAGACCTCGAGCACGTAGCGCTCCTCCTCCTTGAGGTGCTCGATCTTCTCCTCTGCCTGCTCAGTGCTCATGCCCTGGTCGACGAAGCCGTCGATGAGCGCCTGCGTCACATCCGGCACGGGCTGCGTAGCAATGGAGGCGTCAGGATGTGTGCTGCGGCAGAGAGAGAGACACACGGCAAAGACGCACCCAGGTGGGACCGCACAGGCACGCGTAGCCCTTGTGCTCCTCCTCCGTCGCCGAGAGGAGCTTGGTGATGGTGCCGGCGTGCTCGCGGATGCGGTCCTGGATGTAGCTGAAGAAGAAGCAATACGGTCAGTCCCCGGCAGCATGGCGCACGCTCCGCACCGGACTCACATCTTGTTCTTCTGGTCACGCGAGAAGGCGGTGAGCAGCGTGATGAGGCCGTCGCGCTCGTACGCCTTGAGCTCCTCGCCGTAGAGGAACTCGCTGGCCTCGTGGCGCGAGCCGAAGCAGTAGATGAGCGGGCCGACGGGCTTGCCCTGGGCCTTCTGCACGGCGCGTGCCTGGATGTAGGCGCGGAAGGGCGCGGCGCCCGTGCCGAGGCCGGCCATGATGATGGGCTGGCTCGTGATGGGCGGCAGCTTCATGATGCTCGGCTTCAGCGACACGGTCACCTCGTCGCCCGGCTTGAGCGCGGCCAGGTAGCGCGTGCACTGGCCGAAGCGCGCCGAGCCCGACGGCGTCTGCCAGTCGACGGTGACGATGAGCAGGTGCACCGAGTCGCCGACGGCGCTCTGCGCACTGGCGATCGAGTAGTGGCGCGGCTCGATGGGCTGCACCTCGGCCATGAGCTGGTCGAGCGGCAGGCGCGCCGAGGGGAACATGCGCAGCACATCGGCATACGTCACCGTCTCGACCTCGCTCAGCTTCTTGAACGTCGCCGAGCCCTCGGCGGCGGCAATGAAGCGCAGCCAGCGCGCCTCGTCGCGGTTCGTCGCCACGCCCGAGAGCGCCTCGTAGAAGCGCTTCGGCGGCTTGCCGAAGATGTCGAGGCGCTGCTGCAGCAGCTGGAAGACACTGCGGCTCTCCCAGCGGCCGGGCGCCACGATCGACGGCACGCTCACCACCTCGTTGCCGTCCATGCCGTACCACTCGAGGAACTCGCGCACCTCGTCGGCGTCGTTCCAGCCGTGCACGCCGAGCGCCTCGCCGACCTCGTACTTGAGGCCCGTGCCGGCCGTCGAGAGCTCAAGGTGGAAGACGTTGCGGTCGTAGTCCGTCGGCGTCAGGCGGCGGTTCTCCGTGCACTTGACGAGCCACGTCTGCTCGTGCAGGTCGGGGCGCAAGGCACGCTCGTCGAGCGCGTACGCCTCGGAGAAGAGGAACTGCCACGCCGGCAGCGCCCACGTGGCGCGCGACGACGCCGCCGTGCCCTCGGCCGCGGCGAACACGGCCGTGTCGGCGTTGGGCGCAAAGGCGTTGTACGTGCCCGAGACGGCGCGCGAGGCCGCAGCGTCGTCCTCGGCCGCACGCCAGGCGGCGGCGTCGAAGGCGACAGTCTGCAGCGCCTTGATGCTGGCAGCCACGAGCTGCGGCACGCCACCAGGACCCAGCGGCGCAGTGCCGAGCGTCTTGCGCACCACGGCCTCGCCAGCCGAGGCGTCACCGCCGGTGTGGGCGTGCACGAAGGCGGCGAGCAGCACGGCGCTGGCGACCTCGCGCGGCAGGGCGGCCTTCTTCTCGCCACCAGCCAGCTGCTCGGCGACGCTGGCAGCGTCGATGAGGAGCAGACGAGCATTGGCAGCCGCGAGGGCGCGGCGGTCGGCAGCGCTGAGCTTGGCCTCGACCTCGGCCACCTCCCAGCCCGACGCGTTGAGCACGACGGAGGCGCCCTGTGCCAGGTTGTCGAAAGCCGCGACGCCCTTGAGCAGAGCGGCCTCGGCGACGACGAGGGTGCTGGAGCCGGTCTGTGCGGCAAGCGCCACGGGCAGCTCCTCGGCCTGCGCGGCAGCAGCACCGAGGACGATGTCGGCGCGCAGCACGCCGCCCTGCGTGTAGTTGTCGAAGCGGGTGAGGCCGCGGGCGGAGTCCGAGGCGCGCAGGGCACGCGAGACGAGGGCGCCGAGGCCGCTGGTGGGCGACGAGTCGCCGTCGAGGAACGTGGCGAGACGCTGGGCGCCCAGAAGGCCGGCGCTGAGCGCCTCGTCAACCTCGAGCGTGGCGATGTTGATGGCGTCCGAGGCGTGGGCGGCGGTGCGGAGCAGGGCGGCCCACTGCGCCGCCGTCAGGCTCTGGCCCGCGGCGAGAGCCAGCGGGAGCACGGCACGCGGCGCGGCCGTGAAGTCGCTGAGGAGCGCGGCCTGGACATCGTCGAACAGCAGGCCGGAGCTGCCGGCGCGCACCTCGTCGAGCACGTGGATGCGGCGCACGCTGGACGGCAGCGCCGCAAGCAGCGCGGCGTCGTCCCAGGGACGCAGCACGCGCACGCCCAGCACGCCGACGGACGTGTCGGCGGCGCGCGCCAGCATGCTCTTGGCCGCGAGGAAGTGCGGGCCGTTGGGCACCACGAGCACCGTCGTGGCATTGTCGGCGCCGGCGTAGTCGAAGTGCGACAGGCCACGGGCGGCGAGCGCCTGCGTGAGCGTGGGCGCGATCTGCGCCTCGGCGCGCGCCAGCGGCGCCACCTCGCGCGCGGCAAAGGCGCCGTCGAAGACGTGCACGACGTTGTTGCCCTGCGCGCCGGCGTCGTAGGCAGCCGCCGCGACGGCGACGGCCTCGGAGCGCGAGCCGGAGAGCACGACGGCAAACGGCTGCGTCGCCTCGCTGAGCGCCGCCGTGGCGGCGGCGACGCTGGCGTAGTCGTTGTGCACGCTCAGCGAGCCCGTGCCGTCGGCGTCGATGGCCTGCGCGGCGGAGCTGACGTGCAGCACGAGGCGCGCGTCACTCACGGGCATGGCGGCGAGCGCCGGCGCCATGCCGACAAGCGCCTGGGCGTTGGCGAGCACGCTGACGACCTTCTTGAGGGCGCCGGCCGTGACGGGCTGGGTGCTGCTGGAGCCGCGCTCGGCGACGTAGCCGGCGATGGCGGTGCCGGCGCCGGTGCGCGTCTGCATGCTGATGACCTTGGTGCGGCTGTGGAAGCCCTTGCTGACGGCGCGCTGCGCCTCGGCCTCGGCCCAGGCGCCGAGGCCGCCGTTGGCGGCGCTCTCGTAGACGAAGAGCGCGGTGGAGCTGCTGTACGCCAGCTCCTCGATCTGGCCGGCGGCGGTGAGGCGGCGCTCGGCGTCGGGCACGCCCGAGACCCACACGGGCACCGTCGGCGGCGCCGTCTGGTCGGCGGGCGCGTCGAGCGGCCCGCTGAGGTTCATGCTCGTCTGCGCCACGTGCGCCGGCGCCTGCAGCTCCTTGGGCGTCGGCGGCGTGGCGGCGTCGACGAAGGGCTTCTTGATATCGGCGCTGCTGCCGTCCTGCGCGTCGAGCTTCTTCTTCTCCTCGAGCGCGCGCGCGGTGATGGCGTGCACCGAGGCGCCGACGGGCTGCGTCTTGGCCTCGACGGCCGTCTTTGCGCCGGCGAGCTGCGCCTTGGTCTCGTCGGCGGCCTTTGCGCCGGCGCCGGCGAGCTTCTGGGCTGCCGCGCTCTCGGCGACGGCACGCACGGGCGCGCTCTCGGCGACGGCGTCGACGGCCTTCTTGGCGGCCGCCTTGGGCTGCTCGACAGCCTCGCTGACGGCGCGCTGAGCCTTTGCGCGGTCGTTGCGCGAGACCTTTGTGCCGGGTGCGATCTGGCTGCGCGAGAGCAGCAGCGCGCCGCCGACGCCGACGGCGAGGCCGCCGGCGAAGATGGCGGCGGTGGAGAGGGGCGTGGGAGGCGCCATGGTGAGGGGTGATGGGGGAGAGAGGAGGGAGGTGCGCCAGGCGCGGGAAGAAGTGCCGTCGCCCGCCAGGGTTTCGCGCCGGCGGAGCGCGGCGGCTTTGTCACAGCTCGGCCACCGGCGCCCGCCGATGGCGCCATGCCACGTGACGCGCGCGTTAGACCCTGGCCGGCACGTCGCGGCCGCCGATTTCCGACGCGCTCGCGCCGCCGCTTGCACCACCTCAAGGCACAGCACGCAGCGCCCACAGGGGCATCGCAGCATGTGCGAGAGATGGCGACTGAGGGTGCACCAGTAGGAGCAGGAGCGCCGTCGCCTGCCTTCAGCGCTGTGGTCGGCGCCTGCCGCAGCACGGCGCCCTGCCCGCCTGCTCCCCTGCCGCAAGCGCACGGCAATCTCGCGCCTTTGGAAGTCGGCACCGGCGTACGGCCGCAACGTCAAAGTGGAGCGCGCGGCTGCGGGGAAGCCGATGCGGGCAGATGGGCAGTGTCGCGCTGGCGGAGGACCGCGGCGGTGCCCCGTGCGCCGTCTTCTGGCCCAAGCCCAACTCAAGCAGCAGCGTCGTCTTCTCTGCACACGCAGCTCACCCTCTCACCACCACCGACGCACCACCTCACCACCTCCCACACCACACACACCCAGCATGTCCAAGTCCTTTGTCCCCGCCGACGCGGCCGTGTTTGACCCCAAGAACATGCTCTTCCAGCGCGTGCGTGGCTGCTGCGAGTGTGCGCATCGCTGCTCTGCTGGCTGACCCTGCCTCTTGCTCGCTGCACAGCTCGGCGACTCGGGCCTGCGCGTCTCGCGCCTCTCGCTCGGCAGCTGGCTGACGTACGGCGTGCGTGCGGCGGGTCTGCGACACTCTGTGCATGCGCAGCGGCGCTGACCTGCACCCGCACATGCAGGGCACCGTCGACGAGGAGGGCACGCAGGCGCTGCTCGACCAGGCCTTCAAGGCCGGCATCAACACCTTCGACACGGCCGAGACGTACAGCGGCGGCCTGGCCGAGAGTGCGTGTGGCCGGAGAGAGGGTCGATGAGGCCTGAGGCTGATGCCCACACCCTGCCTCCTCCTCGCCCGCAGTCGCCGTGGGCAAGGCCATCAAGAACCTCAAGTGGCGCCGCTCCGACGTCGTGCTCATCACCAAGATCTTCTTTGGCACGGCCACGAGCAAGGAGCCAAACGCGCGCGGCCTCAGCCGCAAGCACATCATCGAGGGCACAAACGACTCGCTCGAGCGTGCCGGCCTGACGTACTGGGACGCCGTGTTTGGTGCGTCTGTGAGCGAGCGTGGCGGTGGCGTGACTGCTGCTGCTGCTGCTGAGCCGCCGCTGCTGTTGCCGCTGCCGTTGCGCACTCCATCTTCCGGCACACGCGGCTGATCACACGCCACAGCGCACCGTCCCGACCCGACGGTCCCGATGCACGAGATCGTGCGTGCCTTCAATCACCTCATCGACCAGGGCAAGGCGTTCTACTGGGGCACGAGCGAGTGGAGCGCGCAGCAGATCGAGGAGGCACACGGCGTGGCGCACCAGCTGGGCCTCATTGCGCCCATCTGTGACCAGGCACAGTGTGAGTCTGGCAGCCAGGCCCAATCATGCCGGCCGCTGTGCGTCGTGCTGAGGCATCTGCCGTTCAGACTCGGCTCTGCACCGCGAGCGCGTCGAGGTTGAGTACGCGCCGCTCTACAAGAAGTACGACTACGGCCTCACCATCTGGTCGCCGCTCAAGTCGGTGCGTCTTTTCCTTGGTCTCCTCCGTGTCCCTCGCGCTGATGTCTCCTCTGCGTAGGGTATCCTGACGGGCAAGTACAACGACGCCACCGTCCCCTCGGGCTCGCGCTTCGAGACCAACGCCGCCTTCTTCAAGGACAGCGTGGACAAGCTGAAGACGGAGGAGGGCAAGGCTGAGCTGGCCAAGGTCGCTCGCCTGGGCGAGATTGCCAAGAAGCTCGGCACGAGCACCGGCACGCTCGCCATCGCGTGAGTCATCCCGACCCTCTTCTGATGCGCGCCAAGCTGACAGCGCGAGCGCCAGTTGGTGCCTGGCAAACCCGCACGTCTCGACGGTGCTGCTCGGCGCCACGAAGGCGAGCCAGCTGGAGGAGAATCTCAAGGCGATCGAGGTGCTGCCCAAGCTCACCAGCGAGGTGCTCAAGGAGATTGACGGCGCGCTGGAGAACGTGCCGGCGCACCCCAGCACCTTCGGCCGCACGCCGATCTAACTCAGAAAGCAAGATGCTGGGGCTGAGAGCAGAAAAGGGCTCGCAGAAGCCCAATCAAACGCTCTTTGCAGACTGTCAGGCCTCGCAGACCATCGTCAGCGGACGTTGGGAGGGATGATTCGCTATTGCAGCGTCGGTGCGAGTCGAGAAAGCCGTGGGGCTGAAAGGGGGGGGGGGGGATGCTCTATAGCAGAGCACGCACTTCGGCCTCCCACTCCTTGCACGCCGGATGCTCTGTGCGGCGACGGGAGACCGCGAGAGTGAGCGAACGACCAGCGGACGTGCAGGTGTTGCACACGAAGGTCGGCGGCACTCACTGGGCGCGTACTTCTCGAGCGCCTGCGAGGTGCGAAGGGTGGGTTGGAGAAGAGGAGAGCGAGGGAGAGTCAGTCATGCGCCTCCCCGCACGTTCACATCTTCTCTGTCCTCCTGGCATGCCTCTTCCGTGAGCGCCTTCTCGCTGCTCACCTGCAGGAACATCTCGACGTAGCGCGTCTGCGCCTCCTCGGGCGCCACGCCCTTGTTCTTGGCGTGTGCGTCGTGCTTGAGGCGCGACTCGACGCGCACGATCGAGGGACGCTCGCCGGTGACGTCTCCCGTCAGGCCCTGCTCACTCTGGTTGCATGTGCAGCGCGTCAGCAAGAGGCGGGCGAAGGAAGGGTTAAGGCGGAGCAACGCACCATGCCCCAGAAGGCGAGCTTCTCAGAGATGCTCAGCCCAATGCTCAGGCCCTTGGCCGGGTCGTTGGCCAGCTCGACACTCTTGGTGAACGCGGGCGACTGCGGGATGGCGGGCGCGGCGGCCGAGGGACCGGACATGGCTGGCTGAGGATGCAAAGGGAGGAGAGATGCAGCGTAGAGGCGAACGGTGCGGCCTGCCCACATCTTATACACCCCCCTCTCCCCTCCTCATCGAGCGTGAGGCGGTGCGCCTCCTCGCGCGGCCCGTGCGCCGGAGCGGGCCGCAGCAATGAGAAGCGGCAGAAGGCGCCATGAGAAGCGGCAGAAGCCTTCTTGCCGCGCGGCATCTTGACGGCTGCGGCTGCGGCGCAGCGCTGGCGAGCGTCGCGTGATGAAGCCTGCGGCGTGGCGGCACCGAAGAAGCGGCAACGGCGAGCGGCGCCTTCGCGGGCGGCGGCGGCGCGAGCATGTGCCGCTGCAGCGGAGGCAGATCTGCCTCCATTCTCAGGGGTCGATGCGTCGCGCTGCGTCTCTCCGAAGCACGCCCCGGCCTGCATCGCTGGGCCGAGCTCGCCCGCTCTCTGACAGCGGCTCTCACCGCCGAGGGGCCGCGCCGCGCACCTGAGCTTCGCTCTTGCGGGGAGCTGAAGCCGGGCAAAGGCCCTCCACGCGTCTTCGGAGCGGGAGTCTCCATCGCGTCAGGGCGCTGATGCTTCCGTGCAGGCACAGCCTCCCTACGCAGATCCCGCTCTACAGCGCCCGCCGCTGAGCCCAGCTTCTCTCCTGTCTCTCATGGCACTCCTCGGCACTCTCCCTCCCAGCGACCGTCTCGAAGCTCCGGCTCCCGTAGTCATCACATTGCGCAGGCGAGAGCAGCTGATGAGCTAGAGGCCGCCCTGCAGGATCCGCTGCGCCACGCGTTCCTTCAACTGTCCCGTCGGAGAGAGCGTCAGCTGCGTCCGCGCGGCTCCCCCAGCACGGCCCGACTCACGCTGCTGTAGGCACTCAGCAGGCTTTGCTCGTTGATCTGCACCACACTCTCGACGTCGGGCCGCGGGCGCGAGACGCGCGAGGCGATCGTCGTTGCGTCCATCTCGAGGATGATGCTGAAGAGGGACGGCATGCGTCAGTGATGTGGGATTCGATGCTTGACGGGCGGCGAGACAGACGAGGGGGAGGCGTCGAGGAGAGCGGTCTGCGGCTTGCGCCTGTCCCTTTGCCTCACTCGCTGCTCCAGAAAGCATGCGCCACTCACCCATCGTCCACCGCCTCGTCAATCGCAAGGGCCACGAGATCCAAGTTCTCGAGCAGTGCGCGCTTCTCAATGGCGCCGTGCGGCAGCAGCTGCGTAATGGCGTCGTGCAGCGTCGAGAGGAGGCTCGACAGCATCAGCTCGTTCTCGCCCGCGGGCGCCACGACGTAGAGCAGCACGTCGGGCAGCGTGCGGAAGAGGAGCAGGTGCGAGTCGTAGAGGATAATGTCGCCTAGAGAAGAGAGGTGAGCACAAGGGAGTGAGAAGCTTGATGCCGTGCGGATCCGTGGGTCTCCGGGCGCTGCAGAGTCTGTCCCAGTCGTCGAAACCTGAGCGGCCTCGCGACCATGTCGCATTGGCTCTCCTTTGCCCATGCGCATATCTACGGCTCGTTGGCTCTGACCGTCTGTCTTGCAGCCTGCCACATGGTGCGGCGTGCACAACGGGGCTGCCGCACCTTGGCCAGCAGGGCACCGCTCCGTGCACTCTACCGCCATCCACCTCAGCTTCGCCCATCGCGCTTGTTCCGCAAGCGCCTGGCACGACTCCTAGCGCCGCTCATGCCTTCCACGCACTGCCTCTCGCTTGCCACACTCTCACGGCTGCCAGCCGTGCGCCACACTCACCGCCGCCGCGCCGCGTCTTCTCCCACACGGCCTTCTCAAAGGCGCGCTGCTCCTTGAGCGTCGCCAGCGGCGCCGCGGCACCGGCGTCCTTGGACGGCGCGTGCGGCGGCGTGTAGTATCTGCCGATGGCTTGTCAGCGAGGCACACGGCGAGTCCGGGCGTTCATTGGCTCTGCGCACTTGCAGATGATGCGCCCGCCGTCGTTTGCGTCGAGCAGCAGCACGGCCGAGGTGCTGTAGAGCGTCAGGTTGACCATCTCGCTGCTACTGCTTTGCGCCGCCAGTGGAGGGAGTTGCAGATGTGTCGAGAGATGAATGTCAAAGAACGTCTTTGCTGGCCGTGCTTCGATGTGGGCTCGGCGCCGGCCCAAGAAGGAGCTCAGGCGTGAGACAAGGCGGCCAGATGGAAGCGGAGAAGACGAGGGAGCGTGAGAAGCGTGGACGTGTGAATGAGAGCGCGGAAGTGGGCGGTGATCAGGACGACTGAAGCAGGCTGTGCGCGGCAGTCGAGTGCAAGAGGTGTGCGTGCGCTGAGAGGTGAGGTGAGGGTGAGGTGTTGGTGTAGGAAGCCAGGTCCAAGGCGCGTTGCGCCCGTGCGCCAGCGCCGCCGCCGCACGGCTGGCCGTGGGAGGCGGGGCGTGGCACGTGACCGCGGGAGCGGCGCGGGGGCTGAGTGGCCCCATGGCGCGGCGGCGGCGACTGCGCCCTCCATGACTCCACTCCACTCCACTCCACCACCCCCGCTCCTCGGCCCAGCCATGGGCGCACTCCTCTCGCTGCCCCTCCTGGGGCTGCCCGTCTCGCTCGCCTCGTCCGCGCTCAGCGGCCTCGCCTTCTGCTTCGCCTCGACGGCCGCCTCGTCGCTGCTCAAGTCGTGCAACTGCCAGAGCAGCATGGCGACGCGCATCGGCTTTGCGCTCCTCTTCTGCCTCGACGCGTGCGTCGCGTGGCTGAGCCGCAGCGGCTACGCCGTCAAGCAGGTGGAGAAGTGGAGCTACGGCTGGCTCGCCATGGACTGCGAGGGCGACGGCGAGCGCTGCTACGGCGTGCTGGCGGTGAGTCGGACGTGGCGGTGCGCGACATACGGTGCGGGAACAGAACAGGGCAGCGTGGCGGCGAGAGAGGGAGCGGTCAGGTGCAACGCGGCATGCTGGCAGGCAGTGGAGAGCGCTACAGCTGTCACGCCTTTCTGCCTCTGGACTCATTGGTCTTGGAGGCAAGTGGAGCACAATGGCTCAACAGCGACAGCGCCGCTGCCGGCACTTCGGAGCGCCAGTTGGCGAGCTGGAGGCCTTCGGCGGACGCTGTTCGCTCGAGTGATCCGTATTCCCCTCGCTGCGCGCGTACCAGTCTTCGGTCCCGGCGCAGCACCAAGCCTCATCTCCTCCCTGCCTGCGCGTGGCATCTCACTGACGCTCCGTGCTCGGTCTTCTAGGTGCACCGCATCACCTTTGCCCTCTCGCTCTTCCACTGCCTCCTCGGCCTGCTGCTGCTCGGCGTGCACGACACGCGCAACAAGCGCGCGGCGCTGCAGAACGGGTGAGTCGCCGCAAGGGACAGGGCAGCAGGTGCAGCACGGGTGGCACAGATGCGCTTGGCGTGGAGCACAGATGCGCATGGCGTGAGGCATACCGGCGTGGAGTACACATGCGCTTGACGTGGAGCACAGATGCGCCTTGCGTCGAGCAACTTGCCTCGCTTCGCCTGCCGACCATGCTCGTCACTGGCTCTTCGCCTGCTTTCAGGCTCTGCATCGCATCGCACTGACTCCTGCCCTGCAGCTGGTGGGGCCCCAAGGTGCTCGTGTGGATGCTGCTCGTCGTGCTCACCTTCTTCATGCCCAACGGCTTCTTCATGGTGTGGGCCAACTACTTTGCGCTGGCCTTCTCCTTTGTCTTCATCCTGCTCGGCCTCGTGCTGCTCATCGACTTTGCGCACACGTGGAGCGAGACGTGCCTGGACCGCTGGGAGGAGACGAATGCGCCGTTCTGGAAGTACACGCTCATCGGCTCGACGCTCGGCATGTACAGCTTCGTGCTCGTCATGACGGGCGTGCTCTACGGCTACTTTACCGGCACCGGCTGCGGTCTCAACACGACGTTCATCACCATCAACCTCTTCCTCGTGGCGTTCCTGACGGCGCTCTGCGTCTCGCCATCAGTGCAGGAGGCCAATCCGCGCTCGGGCCTGGCGCAGAGCAGCATGGTGGGCGCCTACTGCACCTATCTCATCACCTCGGCCATCCTGAACCACGACGACGTGGCGTGCAACCCCATCACGCGCGGGCGTGCCGGTGGCGTCAAGAACACGACGGTGGTGCTTGGCGCCCTCTTCACCTTCCTCGCCATTGCCTACTCGACGTCGCGCGCTGCCACGCAGAGCAAGGCGCTCGTCGGCCGCCGCCGTGCTGCCCTCGCCACCGCCGCGCCCAGCCACGGCGAGGAGCTGGCCGGCTATGGCGCCACGGACGTCGAGGCTCCCACGACGACGCAGCCGAAGCGAAAGGAGTCGCTGCGCATCCAGGCGCTGCAGGCCGCCGTCGATGCCGGCTCGCTGCCGGCGTCTGCGCTCGAGGAGGCCGCGTCGGACGACGACGACGACGAGCTCGACTCGGCCAGCATGAAGGCGGCGCGCGACGAGAACGACGACGAGCGCAACGGCACGCGCTACAACTACGCCTTCTTCCACTTCATCTTTGCCATCGCCGCGTGCTACGTGGCCATGCTGCTGACCGACTGGTGAGGCTGACGTGGCGACCCCTCTCCTGCCTCTGCTAACACGTCTTGCCAGGCACATTGTCCGCGCCCTCGGCCCCTCGCCCGACGCAGACGAGCCCGGCACGCCCATCGTCGTCGTCGGCCGCTCGCCGGCGGCCATGTGGATGCGTGTCACGAGCGCCTGGCTCTGCGCGGCGCTGTACGCCTGGAGCCTCGTGGCACCCGTGCTGCGTGAGTTGGCGCGCGCATGTCTGCGTGCGGGAGCGGAGCGCTGACACGATTCTTGCTGCACAGTGCCGGATCGCTTCAGCGTCGACTAGCCGTCGTGGCTCTGTGCGCTCCTCGCTGCCCGCTGTACATATACCTGCGCCTCTGCCTCCCCGCAATCGGACGTTTATCCTCGGCATCTGCTGGTGAAGGGAGGAGCGAGGCGTATAGCCAGCCGCTGTCTGCCTTGCTGAACGGGCACCTTCTGCTCGAGCGCGCTGCACATACGTCCGCTCAGAGGATCAGTACCGAGGTCACAGCGGCGCTCCGTTGCCAGGCTGCGTTGAGCCTGTGACACGTGTCTCAACGCATTGCATTTCCATCCTGAGTGCTGCTCTCCCACAAGGCTCTTCCATGGTGCAGACAGCCTCGCCGCCTCGACGAGTAAGGAAGATAACGCGGACGAGAGCAAGGCCGACGCCGCGCACTGGAGCTGGAAGTCTGATCGCGAAGGGGATGCAAGCGCGATCGCTCGCATGACTCCCGATATCAGACCTGCGCATCCACTCTCCCCGCATCATCTACTGCATGCATCTGGCGCCGAGATAAACACCTAGCGAGTGTAGGCGCTGTAGTCGAAGCGCTTGCGCTGCGGCGGCGCTCCACCAGCTGCTCCTCCATGCGCAGGCGGCGGAGGTGCGTACGGTGCAGCTGCGGCAGGAGGCGCGCCGTAGTTGCCGTAGTGCTGCTGCTGCGGAACCGGCGGAGGGGCGGCAGCCGCGGGGCTGTAGCCGTAAGGTGCATGCGCTGGCGGTGCTTGATGCGGCGGCGGCTGAGGCGCGTATCCCTGTGCGGGCGGCGGCGCTGCCGGAGCATACGCTGCTGGAGCAACGCCGTAGCCTCCGGCGGGCGGTGGTGCGTACGCGGCCTGAGTGGCGGGCGGCGCTGCGTAGCCGGACGACGGCTGAGCGTTGTAGGCGTTGTATGCTGGCGCAGCTGGGGCAGCTGGGGCATAGCCTTGCGCGGCTGGTGGCGGCGCAGCATATGCCTGCGCCGCAGGAGCGTACGGCGAATGCTGCTGTGGAGGCGGCGCTGGTGAAGCATACGCCTGAGCATGTGCCGGCGGCGCGACGGGCGGAGCAGGGCGCGTGTACGAGTAAGGGTGCTCCTCGATGCGCTCCTTCGCTCGTTCCCTTCTCAAAGGTCTTCCAGCAGCGGGCACAGATGCGCTCGTAGACGTGGAATGCTGCGCCCGTTGCCATGCGAGCTGCGCGGCCGTCAGCTCAGGCTCGACGACCTTGGGACGCGAGCCTTTGCCGAGATATGGCCGTGGTGCACGGTGGAACGGGAAGGTCTGCGGCTTTGGTGGCGCAATGACGATGCCCGGCCCTGGACGCATATTCTCTGCTGGCGGCGACGCAGCTGAACGTGCGGGCGGCGGGCCAGGAGGTCGGAGCATGCGTGAAAGGCCTTCGGCACGAAGAGCACGTCCGGGAGAGTGAGCTTCCCCAGCTGGAGGGCCTCGCCGTTCGCCAGGAGGAGGCCGCGGCGGAGGTGAAGCAGAAGCCGGAGGCGAAGCACTCGAGGCACCAGCACTGGAGGCACCCACGCTCGCACCGAGCGCGAGGAGCTTCTGCCGCGCAGCTTCGAGGCGTGCAAGCTGCTCTGGCGTCAGCTGCGCGGCAGCCGGGATAGCGGGAGCTGAGCTGCCAGAGCTAGAGGTCGAGGTCGTGGGCAGTGAAGAAGAGGCGTTGGCAGGCGCATCACTCGAGGGCTGTGCATCTCCACCCGCACCGCCAGCATCGGAGACAGGCGTCGCGTCGGCCGCAGCGCTGCCGTTCGTGTGCGCTGCCTCGCCGATTGTAGCCGTCTCCTCAGTCAGCATCTTGCTGTCCTCGCTCTGCGCCTGCTCTGCCTGCGCCGTCTCCACGCCTGCCATCGTTCCCTCTGCTCCTTTCCACCCGAGTGGCGGCACGAGCCCCGGGCTCTCCAATGGCGATGCAAAGCGCATCTTCTTCCTGCGATCTTCTCTCCTCTCCTCGTTGCGCTCCTTCTCGTCGAGAGCAGCTGCAGCTGCGCCCGTCTGTTGGCGCTCGTCGCCCGTGGTGCTGCGCGGACGCCGTAGAGCTGAGGGCCGCGCTTGCACGACGGGCGCAGCGACAGCGGGGAGAGTGCTGCTCGATGCGACGGCAGATGCGGAAGCAGCCGCTGGAGCCGAGGCGGTGCCGTCGATTTGAGATGACCCAGACGACGAGGCAATCACAGCCGGCATTTGCTCGACAGCTTCTGCAGTCGCGGGAGCACTTGCGGGTGACTCGATCTCTTCAGCAGGCGTTGCGGTCGGCTGCTGCTGTGCGGCCGAAGCGGATGCAGTGCCAGTGTCTGCCGCGGAAAGTTCCGGTGCGGCGCTCTCGATTGGCTGCTCGGAACGAGCTGGATATGCTGGTGCTTCCGTGTGCTCTGCTGCGCTCGCGACGGGCAGCACATGCTCAGCAGCTGGCTGAGCGAGCGACGACTCGAGCTCGGGCGGCTGCTGCTGCGACTGCGCCAGTGTCTGCTCCTGCGGCAAAGCGTCGAGGCCAGAGTCGGCAGTGTCCGCAGAGAGCGGCTGCGCTGGCTCGGGCTGCTCGCCAGCATGCGCAGGTAGCGGCGCCTCCGCCGCGGCAGGCTCCATCACGACGCCTGCTTCTGCTGCTGGTGCGGGTGTGTCGGGCGCCGGCGCTGACGACGTGCTCGCACCGTCGGCTGGCGGAGCTGCCAGGTGCGGCAGCTCGCTGAGCATGGCGGGCTGCGCGCACGCTGCCGGCAGAGCGCAATGCAGCGCGGGTGAGGGCGAGAGTGGATGTGGATGGAAGCGCAGCGGCTGCGAAGAGGCACCCCTCGGCACGCTGGTGCAGGTGGAGGGAGGTCGAGGCGGCATCACGTGCGGCGCAGTGCCGCTGCCAGCGGCGAAATCGGCAGAGGAGCGCAGCGGCGCGTGGCAGGCGGTGCCATGCCGCGGCGCGTGCCTTGTGCGAATTCAACGCCAAAACCTCGCCGCTCCTGCGCCGCCGCCTCCTGTCCGGCCACCACACCCCCCTCAGTCTGCCCTGCGCGCACAAAGGCAGCACACCTCACCTCATCTCATCGACGCGTCTCACCCATTGCGCTCCCAATCTCGCACCCTCCTCTCGCGCCAGCAGACACTGCCGAGCTTCGGCTGCCGCCATGAACCGCGACGCGTCGCGCGCCGGCGGCGCTGCGCCGGCCGCCAATGGCGCGCCTGCGCCCAAGAAGCCGGAGAACAAGCGGCCAGTCATCCCCGATAGCGACGAGAGCGAAGACGAGGCACCGCTCGTGAGTGCTGTGGTGATGTGGGCAGAGCTGTGCTGGCTCGCACCTGCCGCTTGGCACGAGGTGGAGGTCACCGCCAGCCTGGGCGAGCCAGGGGTGTCGCGCGCAAGTCGCTGCAGTCCTCGTGGAGACAGCACGGGAGAAGGACTCAGGCGGACAGTCGAGCTGGTCGCTGACCTGGTGTATACACAGGCAAAGCGTGTCAAGGCTGAGCCCTCGGCGTCTGCGGCTCCCGTTGCTGCGCCAGTCGCACAGCCGGACTCGCGCGCCAGCACGCCGTTGTCTTCGGACGAGGACGCGCCGCTTGCCAAGGTGGTCGCCGCGCCTAACGGCAAGGGCAAGAAGCGCAGCAGCGGCGACTCGGACTCGGACGAGCCGCTGAGCGTGCAGGCGGGCAGCAGCCGCAACGGTGCTGCTTCGAGCAAGCGCGCGCCTGCCAAGGGCCGCGCCTCGGAGCTTGCCAATGGCTCGCGTGCTCGCAAGGCCTCGACGCCGGCCAGCGCGGCAGGCACGGAGGGCAATGACGATGACGACGAGGATGATGATGACGACGAGGATGATGACGGCGAGGACGACGGCGAGGACGAGGAGGAGGAGGAAGACGATGAGGACGACGACGCGAGCAGCAGCGGCAGCACGAAGTCGAAGGCCAAGGCCAAGGGCAAGAAGCCGGCGCAGAAGGGCCCCAAGGGCCGCGGCGAGAAGAAGTGGGACACGCTGTACCACACGGGCCCGCGCTTCCCGCCGCCGTACGAGCCCATTCTCGACTCGGTGAAGCTGAAGTACGACGGTGAGTGCGAACTGCGCTGCCGCTTGTATGCTCCGTGCTGACGCTGCGCCAGGCAAGCCCGTGCGTCTTGCGCCCGAGGCCGAGGAGGCCGCCATGTTCTACGCCGTCAAGCTCGAGACGCAGCACGCGCAGGACGCCGTGTTCAACAAGAACTTCTTCCAGGACTTCCAGAAGCTGCTGGCCAAGCACCCACCTGTGAGCCTGGCTGCAGCAGTGTGCGCCTGCCCGTCCGCTGAACCTTCTTCCGCCTGCAGAAGGATGGCACCAAGATCACAAAGTTCGAGAAGCTCGACTTCCGCGCCATGTACGACTACGACCGCGGCGTCAAGGACGAGGCCAAGGCGGCCAAGGCCAAGATGGCGCCGTCGGCGCGCCGCCTGGCGCTCGAGGCCAAGAAGAAGGAGGAGGCGGCGATGAAGACGTGCGTCGTCGACGGCGTCGAGCAGCGCGTCGGCAATGTCATGGTCGAGCCGCCGGCGCTCTTTCTCGGCCGCGGCGAGCACCCCAAGAAGGGCAGGATCAAGGTGCGTCACCTCTGCTTCGCCTGTGCTGCCCTCGTTGACACCTGAGTCGCGCTCCCTGCAGCAACGCATCGCACCGGAGCAGATCACCATCAACCACACACTCAAGGACCCCAAGCACCCGCCGCCCGCGCCGCCGCCGGGCCACAAGTGGAAGGACATCAAGTGCGACAAGAAGAGCACGTGGCTCGCCTTCTGGAAGGAGAGCATTAATGGGCAGTACAAATACATGTACCTCGACGCCTCGAGCAACTTCAAGTCGAACTCGGACCGCGACAAGTTCGAGAAGGCGCGCCAGCTCGACGTGAGTCGGCCTCGGTGTGTGCGACGCCCAGCTATTGACCGCTCTCCCGTGCAGAAATGCGTCGTGAAGCTGCGCCGCCACATCGACGACATGCTCAGCTCGAAGCAGCGCTTCGACCGACAGCTCGGCACCGTTGTGTGGCTGATCGACAACTACAGCTTGCGTGCGGGCAACGAGAAGGGCGAGGACGAGGCGGCGACGTACGGCGTGTGCTCGCTGCTCGTCGAGCACGTCACGGGCCTGATCGAGGGCCAGGCCGGCTCCGACGTGTCGCAGGTAAAGCTCGAGTTCCTCGGCAAGGACTCGATGCGCTTCAAGGAGACGCTCACCGTGCCGACACGCATCTACAAGAACTTCAAGATGTTCACCCAGTCCACGCGCCTCGCCAATGGCGCCGTCGGCGCCAAGGACGGCTCGGACGAGATCTTCGACCGCGTGGACGTGAGTGCACCGTCTACCGCTCATATGCTGCAGCGCTGAGCAGCAGCGCTGACACCCTGCTCCGCGCAGCCGTCGGCGGTGAACAAGTTCCTGCAGAACGAGGCAAACGGCGGCATGAAGGGCCTCTCGGCCAAGGTGTTCCGCACGTACAACGCGTCGACGACGTTCCAGGGCCTGCTCGACCAGACGGCCGAGAACCTCAAGGCGTCGGGCCTCGAGGCCACGCCGCAGACGCTCAAGGACCAGTACCACCAGGCGAACCGCCTCGTGGCCATCCTGTGCAACCATCAAAAGACGCTCAACCCCATCCTCAACCAGCGCGCGCAGGAACGCCACGAGCAGAAGGTGAGTCAGCTGGCGCTGCCCGGCGTGTCTGCCCTCACACCCGCCGCCAGCTGCTCTCGATCGCCTACGACCGCCACAAGGAGCGGCAGAAGGTGCTCAAGTGGGGCACGCCCGAGCAGATCCGCAAGGAGTACCCGGCCAAGACGCACGAGTGGGTGCGCGACCTAACGTCGCTCCTCAAGCCCGTCGCCATCACCAAGGAGCAGATCAAGGAGCACGAGGAGCGCACGGTCGAGGCGCGCAAGACGAAGATCCAGGCGGCCTTCGACCGCGCGCAGCTGGAGCGCGAGTTCCTCAAGGAGCTCAAGGAGGAGCAGAACTCGCAGGACGTCAAGCCCAAGGCCAAGAAGGGCCGCAAGCGCGGCAGCGACGATGAGGACGAGGACGAGGAGGACATCAAGGGCGGCTCGCGCTTCAAGACGCAGGCCGAGGTGGATGCCGAGAAGAAGCGCCTCGACGATGAGCTGAAGGTGCTGGCGCGCGAGCGCAGCGGCGGCAGCTCGCTCGAGGCCAGCGCGATCAACGTGCCGTCGTGCATCAAGAAGATCATCGGCAAGATTGCGCAGCACGAGAAGGTCGAGGCTGAGTTTGCCATCAAGAACAAGACGTCCGACGTCTCGCTCGGCACCTCGAAGCTGAACTACATTGTGCGTGTGCCGCATCACGCCTTTCTGACACGTGCTGACAGCTCGTGCAGGACCCGCGCATCACTGTCGCGTGGCTGAAGAAGTGGGACGCCTTCCTCGTCAAGCGCGACGGCGCGCCCAAGAAGACGGTGAAGAAAGAGGCCAAGGGCTCGCCGAGCAAGAAGGGCGGCGTCAAGAAGGAGGAGCCCGAGGACGTCAAGCCGGCGAAGAAGGGCGTGGGCAAGAAGCAGGCCATGGCGGCGGCACAGGCAAAGGAGGACGTCAAGCTCGACAAGCTCGACCGCGCCGCGGCCAAGGACGCCGACAAGATGCAGCTCGACCTCAAGATCCTGCCCATCTCGCAGTACTTCCCGCAGACGATGCTCAAGAAGTTCCGCGTGAGTTGCCGCCGCGTGGCTCTTTAGCGTGACACAACACCTACTGACATGCTCTTTCCGCAGTGGGCATCGTACGACGACAACAACGACGACCTGCCCGCCGACTGGACGTTTGTCAAGGACGCCAAGCTCAAGATCCGCACGAACAGTGAGTGGCGCAACGATTCGCCCAGCCTACCTCCGTCTGACCTCACTGCGCAGTGTCGAGCGCGAACCGCGACGGCGATGCCGTCGACGAGAAGGACGAGGCGCTGGCCGAGCAGGTCGTGGTGCAGACCAAGGTCGCACGCGCCACCACCGACGCCAAGGGCAAGAATGGCGCCAGCAGCAGCAAGGTGCCGGGTCTCAACAGCACCTCGAGCGCCACGCGCAAGCGCCCCGCCGCGGCCGACGACGACTCGGACGACGAGCCGCTGGCGGCTGCGGCGCCCGCGCGCAAGAAGGTCGCCTCCAGCATGAAGGCCGCCGCGCCCAAGGCTGCCGCCTCCGACGACTCGGACGACGATGCGCCGCTCGCGGCCGCCAAGTAGGCGTCCCACCTTCATCCCTCTACTGTCACACTCATTCCTGCACCCTGCGCCGCCTGCATCTGAACCTAGCTAATGACATCCGAGCCGCGTGACGAGTACACCGTAGTGGGAGAAGGGAGATGGAGAAGCTGCGACGGAGGCAGAGGAGGCAAGCAGTCCGTTGCGCGCGCGCGCGATGCAAGCAGAGCGGCTCAGCGGTTGAGCGCTTCGGCCAGCGCCGACGGCTCGGCGTGCGCAGGGCGCCGGTCGCCCTTCTTCCAGTCGCTGAAGCGGAAGGCGTGGTGGTGGAAGTTGCGCCGCACACTGGGATCGCGCCCCGTGCGGTCGTCGGGGCGCGGCAGCACACGCCGGAAGGACTGGGCAGCATCGAGCAGCGCCGCCGAGCCGTCGTCTGGACCCTGTGGGCGCGCATGCGGGCCGGCCATGAGTGGCAGCGAGGCCTGTGCCGTGACACCGATCGGGCTGCGCAGGTAGAAGCGCGTGCGGATCGGGTCGGTGTTGAGCACGGGCGCCGACTGCTGCCGCACGACCGCTGGCCGGCTGGGGCCCGGCGCAGTGGAGAGGCGCCGCAGCTGCGTCGTCAGGATGTTGCGCCATGCCCGGGCGCTCTCGATCGGCTCGCGCTCGCGCGCCACCTCTTCGAGCCGCGAGAGGTGGGCGTCGGTCTCGGCGTCGATGCCGTGCGCCAGCGTCTTGAGTGTCTCGTGCAGGTGCACGACGTCGGCGAAGACGGCAGAGAGCGTGGCGGTGAACGTGAGAGCCTGTGAGTGGGTCGGTTAGAGGGGGCGCTTCGCTCATCTAGGCTGCACCAGACTCACCTGCCGCAGCCAGTAGCTCGCCAGCGCGATGTTCGAGCCGTCGCCTTCCAGGCCCGCGGCGTGCGACACCAGCACGGAGCCGGCGGCAAAGATGACGTAGGTGTTGATGCTCGGCACGGCGCAGAGCCCAAAGCGGCCTGAGTAGGCAAGACGGTGAGCCACGGCCAGCCGGTACGCGAGAGCGAAGGCACTCACGATCGGCAACCTCCGTCTCTTCGAGAATCTCGACAGCAGCGCGGAAGGCGCGGCGCTCGGCGACCGAGTTGCCCGGGAAGGGCCGCTGCATCTGAATGACATAGACGCGCGTCCACTGCGACAGCATTCGTGAGAGAAGGAAGGACTGAGCCTCGCGCGTTGCCGACTCACCACATACTCGGCAAACGTGTGCGAGTAATCCGTCGGGTCCTCGGACTGCAGCAGCTCAAAGGGCGTGCCGGCCTCCCACTCGGCCAGCTGCGCCTCGATGCGCGCCGTGGCGCTCTCGCGCGTCTCGAGCCCGGGCCCGCCAAGCTTGCGGTTGAAGTGTTGCTGCGGGTGCGGAGCCAGGCGTCAGCACAAGATCAGATCAAGACTTGATCTTGTACGCACCTGGGTGAGCAGGCCCTCGAGAATGGGCGTGAGCGTCAGGCCGCGATGCAAGCGCTTCAGCAGCCGGTGGTGGCCATGCCAGCCTCCGATCTCCGGCGCAAAGGAGGCATCCGGCGGCCAGTCGCTCGTGAGGCCGTCGCCTGCCAGCGCGTCTTCCTCGGGCGAGTCGGGAAAGGGACAATCCTGCTCGACGTAGCGCAAGAACGGCGGGCGTCCGACAGCCATCGACACGTATTTGCTGGTGTCTCACTGTCAGCTCGACTCGTATCGCTCGCCAGTCCAGACTCTACTCACTCGCACGCAAACGTGACCCAAAACAGACGGTTGCCCATGCGGTCCTTGCCCACGGCCCCATCGCCGAGGATGGCCGTATCAGAGCGGTGCCAGCCTCTCTCTAGCACGGCACGGATCGCGAGAGTGCCGTAGCGCTCGGCCTCGCGATGCCGCGAGGCACGCCACTCAATGTTCAGCAGATAGAGATACGCGGCGATCGTCTGCGGCGCCGTCTCGTCTGCGCCCTCGAGGTAGAGCCGTGCGCGCGCCGCCAGCACGTGGCTCAGCTGGCGCAGCGAGAGCGAGGCGCCAGACATGCTGGCCTGCACGGGATCCCAGAGGTGTGAGGGCTCGATGAACGGCTCGTCGGTGGGGCCCATCCATGTCGTGGCGATGAGCGCACAGATGGCGCTATGCAGAAGCGGCGTGCGCTCGGCCTGGGCGCGGTGCGAGCCGCCGCGCGGATCGAGGCCGACCCAGCACATGTACGGCCAGTGCTCGACAATGGCGACCGGGTACAATTCGCCCCACAGCTTGTCGAAGATGATCTGCGGAATCGCGGGCTCTTCGAGCGTGACGGGCCGGTGGAAGAAGTCGGTCGGGTCCGCGATCGGCCAGATGTCCTCCATCGTCGCCGGCGGCGAGCGCGTCGTGCTCAGCTTGCGCCCGCTGCGCAGCAGCTTGGCCTCGGTGATGGAGCTGTTGCGGCTGCCGCCGCTCAACGTGGATGCGTCTGAGGTGCGGTCACGCTGCAGCACGGCGTTGGCTGTGCCGGAGAGCTGCTCGTCGCGGCCAATGGTCGGGTGAGCCGAGGAGGAGCGGTGACCCTTCTGCACCCAGCCGCTCGTGGCACTGTTCGGCGGGAATGGGTATGCGCCGTTCATGCTGAAGTTCTGCCAGTTGGCCAAGCCCTGCAGGCTGCCGCGCTTGCGCTCGAGGTCAAAATTGCGGAAGCCAAAGTCGGATGGCGAGCTCGCAGAGGCAGGCGACTGCACGCGCGGCTCCAGCGCCGAGGCTGCTCCCATCGCGCCGCCAGCCGAGGAGCCAGGCATGCTCGGGCCGGTCCAGTGTGAAGGACTGCGTGGATAGCTCGGCAACGGGCCAGTCTCGAATGGAGACACGGCAGCGGGTGGCAATGGCGGCGCGTTGCTCGATGTGAAGCGCGGCATGCCGTCCTGCCCGTTGTACGACGTCTGTCGGCTGCTCGAGGGTGCCTCCAGCGGCATGCTGGCACTGAAGTCGAAGCGCTGCGCCTGTGCACCTCGTATGCTAGGCAGCGGAGGCGCCTGGTCGGACAGCGTCGCGGCAGGCGGCGATGGCCGGCGCATGCGGCTCGGCGGCGGCGCCATCCAGCCGCCTGGCGAGTTCTCGTAATGTGGCGTGAGCGCCGACGGCGGCGGCCGCGGCACGCTCTCGTCGGACATGAACGAGTGCCCGCCGGGCGACTCTGCAGCAATGGCTCCTCTCCGCGGAAGGGCGGCGCCTGTCAGGCCGCTGCTCGAGCCCGCGATGCCAGACATCGGCGAGTCTGGCGCCGGCGAGTACGTCTCGGCATGGGTGGAGGCGGCAGGCGCAGCTGGCCGCAGCACACTTGGGCCCGCCTCGCTGGAGCTCTTCGTCATGGAGATGCTCTTCTGCCGCTGCGTCTCTTTCGGCGCCGGCAGCGACTTGCGCATGCGCACCGAGCCCTTTGGCGGACCACTGCAGCCGTGGCATCAGGCGCTGGCCACGCATGTGGAGACCGGCGAATGCTCACCGCTTCTTCGCCTGCCCGTACTCGCAATGCTCCTCGCTGTGCTGGCATGTGGTGCATGGGTTCTGACCATCGCACTAGCCAGAGCGGTCAGCGTCATGACGGGCGAAGCTTGGCCTCGTTGCACTGCCACGCAGCACGCCGGCTACGCCATTCGGCACACGACGCCTGCTCACCTTGACGCGCTTGACGCTGCAGCTCTTGCACGCCTGCTGGATGCGGCGCTTCTTGGGCCGCGCGGCGGGCTCTTCGCCGGCCGACGGCGCGCGGCTGCTGCTGTCGCCCATGACGTCGCGGCTGCTGTCGCCCATGGCGTTGCGAGAGCGCAGCGGCGTGGCCAGGCGCCGTGCAGCCGGCCGATGCCGGAAGCGGGCGGAGTGGCAGGAGAGGCTGCAGCAGGCGAGACGATGCGCGGCGGAGAAGGAGCTGGGCGCGCAGACGTGGGATCGCCAGTGGTGCGTGCAGCGGTGGTGGTGATGATGGTGGTGCGGGATGAGGAGCAGCGACGCCGCTGCTGCCGGTGCCGAGGCGGCGAGCTGCTCGAGGACGTAGGCAGCCGACAGCGGGTGCCTGCCGAGCTCCACTTCGCGCGTGCCAGGCACTTTGCGGCAGCAGCGCCGGACACCGACCGCCGACGCCGAGAGGATCAGCATGCAGATGCAGGTGCAGCGTCTGCGGGAGAATCGCAGCGGCAGCGGCAGCGGCGCGCGTCATGCACCTCCATTTGCCCAGCTCGCAGCGACAGGGCAGCCTGCAGGGCAAGGGCAGAGCAGCCGCCAGCTGCGGCGGCTGCGCTCTGACCGACCGCGATCAGCAGCATGTGTGCGCAGCGCAGCCCTTGCAGGAACTTGCCGTCGTGCCCTGCATCGTGCACGCTGCGGCACAAGGCGAGCGCAGTCGAGTGCGAGACGCAGACGCAGCGAAGGCAGACGCAGCGAGCCAGGCGGCAGGAGGCCGCGCGGCGCCGGGTTCTTCCTGCGGCGCACGGCTCCGCCCGCGAAATCAAGTACCAGATGCAGCCGACGGATGCGCAGCACAGCGGCCGCTCGCGACGTCGCCAGAAGGGTGTGCTGCAAGTGCAGGCTACCACAACATGCTATGCATTGTCAGCAGCGTGCACGCAAAGCAGCGCACCCCTGGGCGTGCGAGGTAAAGGCCGTGCTAGCGCCGGCCGGACGTCTCGCTCCGCCCTCTCACAAAGGTGCGCCGCGAAGGAAGGCCCACCCTTACCGTCCAAGCCTCACGTCGAGGCCGCTCTGCCGAGTCGACGGGCCGGAGTTATGCCTCGCTCGCCCTGCATTCGATTTTGCGTGCTGCGTGTGATGACGGCGCGCATGGGTCTAGCAGCACACGCTAGCGCAGGCGTCGGGCGTCGGGCGTCGGTGCTTCCAGGCGACCGAGAGGCCGCTCCGCCGGTGCGGGAGCGCTCGCGCATGCTGGGCCGCCGAGCCGCTGCATGCTGCATCCCGGGCCGCAGATGCCATGATGCAGAAGCAGGCTCTGCAGCGCCATGCTCGCAGAGGAGCTCCGGCCGCGAGCGGCGCAGGAGGCCAAAGCGCATCGCCGGCGCTGAAGCGGCGCCCTCGAGCATGCATCGCGGAAGCATGATCAGCGAGCATGACGAGAAGGAGGCAGCGCCAAACCGGAATTTCGCTGCCGGCTGCGCTCTCGTCTGCGGCTGGCGGCCCAAGCAAGCACCACGCACCAAGCGGAAGCACGGCGGCTGGGCGCAGTGCAGCTGCTCCTGCATATGCCCGCCTCCGAAGGTCCGAGGTCCATTGCTTCGTTTGTCCTCCGCGTGGCCGCTCGTCGTGCGGACGCGGCACCAGCATGCGACGCAGTGACCGTGCCAAGCTTGATGCTGCACGCGGCGCATGACGGAGAGGCCGCTGCAAGTCGATGATCCGCACGCCAGCACCCGCAGCCGTCGGGTCGGGGCAAGAAGCGTCGTTTCGACGGTCCATCCCGCTGGGTCTCCGCGGCTCCTCTCGCCCAAACGCCAGTCAGAGTGAGAGTCTCGGTGAAGTTCGCACGTCAGCCTTTCCCCGCACCCGCACATGCACGAAGCACGCAAGGTCGCTTCTTCGGCTCTGGTCTGCCATGCGTCCCACTGGACGCTGCACCCCTGCTAGCAGCTGTCTGCCAGCCGCACGAAGGACCCTTGCGCAGGTCCAAAGCAGCGGGCCTTCGTGATGCTGCGCCGGGGCGTGCTCGCGCGTGAGCGTGAGAAGGCAGCGCAGAGACGCCGACGTCCCGACGGGATCGTCAGAGTGCAGCGTCTTGCCTTGCCGTCGAAGGCCGTGCAAGATGCGAGTCGAGGCCTTCGACTTCGTCGGACGCCTAGCGTACGTTTGCTTGGCAGCGGGCTTCACTTCTCGTCCGAGTGCTCACATGTCAGCCGTACCATCTCGCTACGACGTCCAGCTCGCCTGAGCTTCGTGCCCTCGCGCTCAACGACGCGCTGACGCAACGATATGCAGCGCGACGTCCAGCTGCCGCGGCGGGTGACTAAAATGCACCGGGCTGTGGCTGCTCGGCGAGCTGGACGAACGCTACTGCGTCTCAACGTGCAGCATCGAGAGGCAGACTTGAGAATTGTGCGCGGTACAGCGAGGCGCAGCGGGTGCGGTGAGGGCGACAGCGTAGGGAGCATGCTGGATGCCGGCTCGAGTAGCGGCACGTGAGGCGTGCAGCTGAAAGCGAGGCGGCAGCGTCACACGCCCCCACACCGCACGGGCGCCATGCAGCCATGCATGAGCGACGCAGCGCCCGATCACGCGTCAGCCATGCAGCATGAAGAACCGACAGCGACGACAGCGGCACACGACGGCGACGAACAGCCGGCAGCACGGGCAGCACACACGACGAGCAAGCAAAGGACGATGAATGACATTCATGACATGGTTGAGCGTGCAGTGCGTGAGATGGGAAGAGGGGTATGGGTTGCGGGCAGGCAGGCCGCAGGCGCTAGGCAGCGGCGGCCTCGCGGGGCGCGGGGGCGAGCCGACTAGGACTTGGCCTCGTGCTGGGAGGGGCGAGATGGTGAGCAAGGGCGCGAGACGGTGTGCAGACGCAGCCAGGCTCACCTTCTGCTCGCTGGCCTTGTCGCTGGCAGCGTCCTTGGCGGCGCCGAGGCGGTCGCCGATGGAATTGTTGTTGTCCTTGGCCTGCTCCTTGTTGGCCCTGGCGGCGACGAGCGGTGGTCAGCGCCGAGCAGCGAGCGTGCCGAGTGCAGTGCAGAGTGCAGTGCAGCGCGACTCACTCCTTGGAAGCGGTGGCGCCGGCGCCCTGGATCGACTCCGACACGCTCTTGACAGCGTCCGAGGCCTTGTCGACGATGCCTAGAGGAGAGGGCAGCGAGGTCAGCGAGGTGCAGGCGGGGCGAGGTGCAACGGCGAGGGCGACGCACCAGACATGATGAGAAGAGGTTGGTGGGTGGTGGGTGGTGGTGTGGTGCGGTTGGTGCTGAGGCGAGGTGGTGGTCGGGAGGCAAGAGCGGGCGGGGCGAGCGCCCCTCTTAAGGCATCGTGCGCAGGCGGCTCGAAGTGGGGTCGCGTGCGCAGCGCGGCGCCGTGACGTGCGCGCACCTCTCGCGGCGTGCCTTGCTGCGCCTCGCTGCTGGCACCTCTGAGCTCCTGCCGCGGGATGTCACCTCCGCTGCTGCAGTGCCTGGCGAGCCCAAAGCAGCCGCGGCTGAGCCGTGTTGCTCTGCAGTGCTGGGCCCGGCGGCGGAGCACGCCGAAGCGAAGGCGCAGCGAAGGTGACGCGCAGGTGGAGGGGACCCTGCCGCGAGTGATCGGGCACGGGGCCAGTGTCCCGCGCGCCGCCGTCCGTGCGCGGCGAAGCCGGCACCCGGAGAGCGGTGCAGCCGCTCCCGCTCCCGCACCGCTCGCTTCTTCCCGCCGCCAGCCCGTCCCAGCGCTGCTGCCCCTCAGCGTCTCTCGCTCCTGACGGAGCGCTCGAGGACTGGGACTCTGGCAGCGTCTGCGAGCTGCGAGGCGAGCGCCATGCTCTCTAGCAGCGCGGAGGAGAGGGACGTGCAGTGAGCGGCGTCACGCGCGATGGACCACCTGACTGATGCTGCGCCTGATCGGGTCACCCGCGCTCAGGCACGGCTGCGGCAGCGTCTATTTGCAGCACGAAGACGCACGGCGCATGACGACAGAGAGGAGAGCCCTCACGCCGGCGGCCGCCGAGGAAGCGCGAAGCGTCCCGGCCGAGCTTTCAGCGGGCGTGCGCCTTGCGGCCGAGGATGGCGCTTCATGCCTGTTCCCACGCCTGCTGAGCTTGGCTCGCTCCGGCAGCAGGGCTCGCACCCGCACCCCCACAGCGACGGAGCCACCTCGCCGCTCCGGCAACGCGCTACGCAGCGCATGCCTGAGCCGCACGAAGAGAAGCGAGCCGAAGGGCGCAGAGCGAGAGGACGTCCTTCATATGCATCACGCATGCCGATCGAGCTTGCGGCCGCTTCGGCGTGATGCGCGGCGCAGCAGCCCCTCTCGGGTGACAAGTGACTTGAGCGAGTGCACTTTGCGCTGCCTAGTGCTGCGCCTGTGATGCTGCGCTGCTGCTGCCTCGCAAAGACGCCGACGGCCACCTCGGAGCTCACGGCCGTCTTGATCCCGTGCGAGATCGGAGCTCGGCCAACAGGCTCACTACTCAGGGGCCTGCCCGGCCACCACCCTTTAGCAGCCCCCTCGCACACAACAGCAGGCGAGGCAGAGTGACAAGTTGGTATTCGGAGCATCCCAGCAATGCATCAGAGCTCGCTGTGGCGCACGCTGCCCGCGTCTGCTGCGCCAGCGGCCGCGGCGGGGGAAGAGGTGAGAGGCATGCAGACTGCCGGCGTCGAGACCTGCGAGTGGGAGCGAGATGAGCATTCTGCCAACGGTGTGGCAAGGCGACGGCGGCGGCGACACACCTTCATGGCGTAGATGCATTTCTGAGCGCACCGAGCGTCAGCCTAGAGATCAGCAGCAGAGCGCTCGAGCAGCTCACCTCGGCCTCGAAGACATCGAGCAGCGCATTCTCCGTGGCGCAGGTGAGGTCGACCTGCAGCGTGAATGAGCGAATGCATCAAGCACGGCCAGGCCAGCGCGACACGCACCAGCGACGAGCGAGCGGGACCGTTCCAGCAGCGAGCGCCATTGTCGTACAGCTGGCGCAGGTAGAACGCATCGTCGGCCGGCGTGGCATTCTTGTCGCGCGGCTCAAAGCGTGCAAAGGAGCTGCGACAGAGGTCAGCAAAGGACAGGCCTTCCGCACGCAGCGGCTCGACACTCACCCCAGCCCCACCGTCGGCCCGCCCTTGTTGGGCTTCTGCTTCGTGCTGCCGAAGAAGCAGAACTCGTACGTGTACTCGCCCATGTTCTTGCTCACGCACTTGCCCTCGAGGGCGCGGAACTCATTCTCCCGCCCCCACTTCTCGTCGGGCGCCAGATCGGCGCGCTTCTTCTCCAGATCCCGCTGCAGCGCGTGCACGGCGTCGTCTGCTTTTTGGTGCGCCGCGCGGGCGGTCGACACGTCTGTGGGGGGTCAAGTGGTCAGCAAAGGCGTGGTATACTCCGTCTGGGCGCGTCGCAACGCCACGCACTCTCGGGCTCGCCCTCCTCGGCCGCACGCCGTGTCCGCTTGACGTCGTAGATGACGTTGGCCTTGATGAGCAGGTCGAGCAGCGTGTCGACGCCCGCCTCAAAGTACGGCACGACGGCGTCGGGCAGGTACTCGTGGATGCGATACACTGCCGAGCCGAGCATGAGTGTGTGCATCGAGCGGTGGGACCATCGGCGCACTCACGGATGCCCGAGTCCTTCGGGTCTGCGGGGTAGTCTGCATCGTCCATCAACTCAAGCGGATCTCTGTCCGAGAGCTCCTGCACACTGCTGGCCGGCCAGGCGCCCTCGTCCAGCAAGCTATCGAGCTGCACGTTACGCTCCACCTTTGCCGCCTCATCATCTGCCACGTCCGACGTGTCGCCGCCGGCACGCCGCCACTTGCGGTAGTCCATGACGACGCCCTTGACCGCCATGTCCTGGTTGTTGGGGTTGTACCCGTTCGACAGATCGTCGAGCAGCTCCGTCAGGCGCTGCAGCTCGCTCGTGAGCCGCGAGGAGCGCTCCAGCAGCGCACTCATGGCCTCCTGGTGCTTCCGCAGCGTCGCGTACAACGCTGTCCGATCTCAGTCAGCCCCATTCCGGCGACGGCCGCTCCAGCACTCACGACTGGCCTTCTTCTTCTCAATCACGCCGCGGTCCGCCCGCTCCGCCAGCTCCAGGGAGGCGCGCAGCCGGCTCTCCTTCTCCTTGGCCACCTCGAGCTCCACCTCCAGCTTGGCAATCTCGGCACTCGTGCTCTCCAGGTGCTTCTTCGAGTCCGAGATGTAGCGGTCGCGGATCTTGCTGCCCTGGCCATCGCGCGTGCGCCCGTCAGGTGTGCTCTCGTTGCTCTGGGCTGCTCCACACTCACTGCCCGCTGGATGTTCTGCGCCTCGGCTAGCTTCTTGCGGTACTGCTTGCCAATCTTGGCACAGCGGTTCGGGCACGCAGCCGTGCCGTTCGTCTCGTCGCTGCCGTCGCAGCACGCCTCGTCGCAGATGCCGTCGTTGACGCGCGATGAGGGGATGAAGGCCGGCAGATGGCCCTCGTTGATGCAGTAGAAGCGCGAGTTGGGGCACGCCGAGGTGCCTGTGCGGGATGACCATGAGCGCGAAGCCAGGATGCGGCTGTGAGCGGAATAGACGCTGCCTTACCTGGCTCGTCGCTGCCGTCGGCACAGTCGCAGTAGTCGTCATTGACGGCGCTCCAGGGAATGCTCTCGCCGCTTGTCAGACAGCGCCACGATGCGCCGTGCGCGGGCTGCGCGTAGAGGGCAGCGTCTGCGGCACAGCGTCAGCAGAGGTACCCTCGTGCCCACGCTGCCTGCCACGCACCCTCGGGAGCGACGCCGCGGGGCCGCCCCGCGCTGCTCGCCGCCGCGCTGCCAGCGAGCGAGGCGGCCGCGACGGCGCACGAGACAAAGGCGACGAGCTGCGCCTTGCTGCTGCGCGAGCCTCGTGGCGCCCGCGAGGAGGAACGGCGCATGGTCGAGTGCGCGGCGAGGGAGCACAGGTGCGGAAGGGAGCGCGAGGCTGAGGAGGTCGTAGCGGTGGGCGCAGCGGGAAGCCACGCCGCCGCACTGACCGCCCAAGCCATGCTCGGCTGGCGCGGCGCGCACCACGGCGCGGGTGCAGCGGCGCCGCGCCACGTGTCGGCGTCGCGCCGCGCTGCCCTCCCGGTGCGCCCGCCTGAACCCCTGCGATGACGCCTCAGCTCGCACTCACAGACGACACGCAAGGGCTAGTCAAGACAGCTGGCGCACGAGCAGTGCATGCGCCGAGCCCAATGGGTTTTGCCGCGCCCCTCCCCGGCAAGGAGGGGCCGCGGTGGTGTGGTGTGTGTAGTGTGTGCGTGTGAGTACAAGCTCGCGTGCCCGAGGGGGAGCACGGGGCGTTGAATGACCAGAGACATGAGGGTGTGGAGAGCGCGTGATGGTGAGGAGTGCAGCAAGCAGTCGAGGCGGGACAGAAACGAAACGCAAGGAGGGGGCACGAGTGGTGGGCCCCCCGGCGGCGAGACGTTTAGAAGCGCAGCGGCTGGAAGAACCAACGGCTCTTGCCGCTGGCGTAGCGCTCCTCGAAGAGCTTCTTGACGACCTTCTTGGCGTCCTCCTTCTGCGACACCTCGCGCAGCGTCTCGGGCGTCACGGCGCCCTTGAGGCCCTCGAGCTCGAGGGCGTAGCGCGTCGGGAGCAGGTGCGAGTAGTTGATCGCCTGGCAACGGACGCGTCAGCACGCGACAGGCACGGGCCGAGTCAGCAGCGCATGCTCACCTTGACGAACGGCTTGACCTTGCTCCGCTTGGCGAGCTTGGCAGCTCCCATGCGCTTCGTCACCTTGAGCGGCGCACGCTCAACACCGGCCACGACGGCATGCGGGAACGGGTGCTCGCGCGTGCCCTCGTCGTACTGCTTGATCACAACGACCTACAGGCAGGGAGCGAGAGTCAGTCGACTGAGAGGGAGGAGGGCCATTGACTGTGGCGCATGCGCGAGCGTGCATCGAACGGCGGCCTGCTGCTCTCAGACGAGTGCGCTGGCGCAACGCCTCGCCCTGCACAACGGTCCACCGCCAACTGGCCGCCAGCCGAGTACTGCGCCTATGACAACCTCGTCGCTGCATCTCAGCGAGCGCACGCACCTTGCGGCCCGCGAAGCGGCCCTGCAGCACCACGGCGACCTTTCCTGGCTTGTAGATCTTCGGCATGTTGAGGACTGAGCAGGTGTTGGGATCAGCGAATGATCAAGAGGAGTGATCAAGGGAGAGCGGAGCGAAGCTGGAAGCCAAAGCAGAAAGCAGAGCGATGCACCGCACGCGCAACTCAGCGGCCCTCTCGCACCCTGCCGCGCCGCCGTCTCGCGGCCCGCGCCTGCAGCCTGCAGCACGGACAGAGCAGCTGTGCCGCCGTCGCAAGTTCCCATGCCTGCCGAGCTACGTGCAAGCAAGGGACCGCTGCGCATGCGTCTCTCCACCGGTCCGCGCGCCTGCCCGCCAGGGGCTCACTGCCCAGTCGCGTGCAATGTCGCAAGCTGGATGGGCACAAAGCGCCTGCCGTGCGATGCGGCACAGGTCGGAGGCGTCACGCCGGCGGGAGGCCATGATACAGGCCTGTCCTACAGCCGCGGCCAGGCCCTATGCTGCGACTGCCGCCTGCGTGCCTCTGAGGAGGCACAATCCAGGTCTGGGGAACGTCTAGCGAGGGCGGCGGAGAGCCTGGACGACGAGCAGCGTCGCAGCACCGTGGAGAGCGTGCCGCAGTTGCCGAGCAGGCAGTGCTCAGGCGGCAGGCCTGCCGCTGTTGCCTGAGCCTTGGACCCAGCCGGGCGAGGAGGCCGCGCCGTCCTGGCAGCCGCACATAGCGGCAAGAGCAGCAGGTGCAGCGCACATGCGAAAATGCGACGCAGCGGTGCGATACAGCGAGGAGAGGGAGCGGGGCGGAATGTGCTGGGCGCGGCACACTTACGTTGAGGGAGCGAGGGTGGGGAGACAAGAAGCGAGGGCGGGCGCCGCGAGCAGGCGCATGGCGAGCCGCAGGGCGCGCTCAGGCTGCCGCCGCGCTCGAGAAGGAGCCGCGCCGGCGCTGCTACCGTGCGGCGGCGGCGGGCAGCGCTGCAGCCCGGGCGCGGCAGCAGCAGCGCCGGCGCGCTGCGGCACCGCAGCGGGAGCGACTGCGGCGCGCGTGCCTTGCCTCCTCCCGCGAAAAATGGCTGGCGGCGCGCCACGTGGACGCACGGCGCCGCTGCTGCCGCCGCTGCCCGCCGCTGCCTGCGCTTCGCACGCCCGGCGCAGTGCCATGGCCGAGGCGGCCGCGCCGTCCCTTCTCAGCTCCCCACCCTCTACCCCCCGAAAGTACGTAGCACACGCACGCTGCTCGCGCCGTTCTCGCACCGCGCATCCGTCATGCACACTCGCCGCACACACGGCTCGCATGCAGCGCCATCGCCCGCGGCTGGGCTCGCCGTGCCGGCAGACGCCGCGCCCGGATGAAGTGGGAGGGAGGCAAGGCTCGCCCGCCCAGGGCAGAAGCACTGCACGCCGCGGCATCGACGCATGGACGATGCAGGCATGATCTGCGAGCCAGAAGCAGGTCGTCGGCGGCATCAGACATGCTTGGGGTGCACGAGAAGGCGCGCCTCTGCGACGATCAGAGAAAGGCCGATCTCTACCTAGGCGCTGCACGCGTGTCGAACGTGGCAGCGGGCACGCGCTCTCGTTCGCGGCGTGCTTCGGCTCCACCAAACTCTTGAGTAGCAGAGCTGATCGTCTTTCGTCTTTCACAGCTCCTTCAAGATGGCCAAGCCTCGCGGACTGAACACGGCGCGCAAGCTCAAGACGATCCGTCGCGACAACCGATGGGTGCGTATGGGGACATGGAGAGCAGATGGGAAGGAACAGTAGAGAGACAAGAGTGGTGGGGACAGGGCCTCGGACATTCAGGTGGATGGGAGGGGCATGCGTGATGCGCGGTGAGGAGGCACAGGGTGGAGGGCGGCTCTGCGATAGCATGGCGAGCATGCCGGCTGGGAGGTCGGCAGCGCGCAGGGTCGCCGCGTCTGGTTTGTGGGTCGCATGCAGCGCAGCCATGCTGACCGGAGCGCACTGTGCAGGCCGATGCGCACTACAACAAGCGCATGCTGGGCAACTTCTACAAGTCGTCGCCCACCGGTGGCTCGTCGCAGGCCAAGGGCATCGTGCTCGAGAAGGTCGGTGTTGAGGCCAAGCAGCCCAACTCGGCCATTCGCAAGTGCGTGCGTGTGCAGCTCATCAAGAACGGCAAGCGTGTCGCCGCTGTGAGTACAGGGAGCAGCGTGAGGAGGGGCGAGCTGCAGGCTGATGCTGGTGCCACAATCAGTTCGTGCCGAACGACGGTTGCCTGAACTTCATCGACGAGAACGACGAGGTGCTCATCTCGGGCTTCGGTCGCAAGGGCAAGGCAAAGGGTGACATTCCCGGTGTGCGCTTCAAGGTGAGCACTGGCGCGACAGCCACACACGCACGACCGCCACGCGTTGCTGACGCGCGCCGCGCTCCTCTCCCCCCAGGTTGTCAAGGTCTCCGGTGTCTCGCTGCTCGCCCTCTTCAAGGAGAAGAAGGAGAAGCCGCGTTCGTAGAGGACACAAAAAGGCCCACCACGTCCTTGCGCTGCCGGGCGGAGGCGAGGGGACGGTCGCATGCTCCCACATTCCATCACCATCCTGTACGATCTTCCCACCCACGCTCCATCGCAAGCTCATAGCGGTATTTCTCATTGCCTCATCGTGCGTCGACTGTTGCGCCCGTCAGCGCTCGCCAAAGTGGAAGCGGTGCGCGCTCACGACGCCGGGCGGAAGCGCATAGAGGTCGCCGCTGAAGGCGTGGTTCTCTGCGCCCGTCTCGCGCAGCGAGGCGATGTCCAACGGGTTCTTCTCGTCCGAGGCTGGGCTGGACGCAGGCATGATGTTGGCGTGCGAGTCTAGCGTGCAGGCAGGCAGTCAGCTCGAGGATGAGACGCAGCTCGGTCAGGCTCACCAACGAGCACGGAGAGATCATCGATGCTTGCTTGCTTGCTGAGGTTGCGCGCCAGGAACATGGCGTACGTGGCGAGCACTGCAATGGCCGACCACGCAGGGATGAGAAAGGCCCAGTGCCTGTCGCTGGCCGTCAGCATTGCGCGCTCGAGCTGGCAGTCCGGCCCGGGGCGACGCACCGTGCAGGATACCAGCCCACTCCGAGTGCGCGCAAAGCACGATCGGGCAGCAGCGCCCACAGCAGCCAGAGCAGTGCCAGCAGCGTCATGAGCAGGTAGAGCGTGAAGCCGCATGCCTCGGTGCGCAGCCGAGCGGCAGACTCGGCGTCCTGCAGCGGCAGGACGGAGCGAGGCGGCGAGGAGGAATAGAGCGAGGCGGCCTTCTCGCCGGTGGCAGAACTGCGATGGCTCGCTTGGCTGGCGCTGGCTTCGGACGAGACCAAAGACACCTGCTCAGCGACATGCATCGCCGCCGGCTTCTCCTCCTTGAGCGGTAGAGTTGCCAGCTCCACCAGCCGCAGCGCAAAGTCGCCCGACTGGCTCTGTGGAGACAGGTCCGCGTGTCAGCAACGCACCTGCGGCAGGAGATCGGTCGCATCACGCACGCCAAAGTCGCTGCGTGCCATGAAGCTGCAAGCCTTCACATCCTGCGGCCTCAGAGGCGGAGCGTCGGGCTTTGGGCGACCGCGATAGTGCGGCTCGAAGGCATGCCATGGCGCGTGCAGCACGAGCGGCGCGTCCGCCTCCGCCGGCAGCTCGAAGCGGAACTCGTACGCAATGACCGACTCGCGTCGCCCGTCGGGCCGCATCGCCGGCTCCTCGGTGCGCAGCGTCAGCACAAAGGCCGAGACGGGCGCCCGGCCGCCGCCTGGCTGCTGCTGCTGCTGATTCGGCAGCGGCGAGTTGGATGCGCCAGCTGCCGGTGCTGCGCGGCGCACGGTCAGACAGAGCCCGGCGTGCTTGGCGGCCGAGAGCGGCACGGGCAGCGGCTGCTGGTAAGCCTGCGATGCAAAGCCGGCACCGCCGAGTGTCGTCGTGTCTGTCTGCAGTGTGAGCCGAGCATCGCGGCGCGAGGCGCAGCGGGCTGCCAGACGCACCGAGGAAGCCCGAGAAGAGCGCGGCGCCGTCGTCGAGGATGCGCAGGGCACTCGAGCTCGAGCCGCCGCGCAGCGTGTCGTTGACGGCGTGCCAGTGCGGCAGCGAGGCCTGCCAGCTCTGGCCCGGCGGTGCTGCGTTGCTGGCGAAGATGGGCTGCGACATTTGCGGGATCGCTGGCTGGGTGTGGAGGAGGAGAGCGAAGCAGCGGCGCCGCGCGCACGTACCACGCGTTGCGGCACGCGCAGCGCCCGCCTCTCGGTCCGCGCTCTTGCCTCCCGCCCACCACAAGCACATCGCAGCCACACCCATGCACGGCGTCCGCCGCCCGCTGCGAGCGCCAAGCGCCGCACAGAAGCTCGCAAAGGCCGCCGCTGAGCAGGAGCGGCTTCGCTCCTACCTGGCCCTCGAGGAGGCCTTCTTTGCCCTGGTGCGCCAGAGCAGCGGTGCGCCCGCGCCCGCGCCGCCAACCTCACCCCCTTGCCTTGCAGAAGAAAGGCGGCACGCACACGCACGAGGCCCTCGAGACGTGCGGCAAGCTGCTGGCGCAAAACCCAGAGCTGTACACGGCATGGAACTTCCGGCGCAGCGTGCTCGGCGCCCTCTTTGCGGCGGGCGCGCGCGAGGAGCAGCGCGCGCTGCTGCTCGACGAGCTGCAGCTGACGCGGGCCGCGCTCACGGCACATCCCAAGGTGTACTGGATCTGGAACCACAGGGCCTGGTGCGTGGGCCAGCTGGCCGGCACCGAGCAGGAGGAAGGGGTGGCCGAGGGCGACGCCGGCGCGTGGGCGCAGGAGCTGCGCCTCGTCGATGAGATGCTGCGCCGGGACGGGCGCAACTGTGAGTGGTGTCGCTGGCGTGGCGGACAGCGCAGCGCCGACATGTCCTCTCTGCAGTCCACGGCTGGAACCATCGACGCTTCGTGCTCTCCCAGACGCCGCCCTTGGCGTCCACCTCGTCATCGTCGTCGCCGCAGGCCTCCTTTCCGCACTCGCTCCTCGCACCAGAGCATCTGTCGCCCGGCGCACTCGAGGCGCACCTGGCGCGCGCGGCCGCTGAGCTGGCATACACGCTGCGCCACATTGAGCGCGACTTCTCCAACTTCAGCGCCTGGCACCAGCGTGCTGTCGTGCTGCCGTGCTACTGGCACGGCAAGGGCTTCGGAGCAGAGGAGCGCGAGCGAGAACGGGACGTCGGTACGTGAGGCCAAGTCGCTGCAGGCCACCAGCGGGCTGACGACGGTGCTCCGCCTCTCGCAGAGTTTGACCTCATCAAGCAAGCGATGTACACCGATCCGGAGGACGAGTCCATCTGGCGCTACCACGCCTGGCTCGTCGAGCTGGGTGCGTGACGCCCGGGCGTGCCGTACGCTTCACCCCGCACTGACGACCAGCGGCGCTTCAGCACCTTCCGCTGCCGTGCTTGAGCGCGAGATTGCCCTCATCGACGAGCTGCTCGAGCTCGAGCCAGCGAGCAAGTGTGCGTCGCTCACGCTGCTCTCACGCCGCGCTCTTAGCTGACAGCCGCCTGCCTATGACGCCCGCCTCGACGCTTCAGGGTGCATGCAGGCGCTGGCGACGTACAGCGAGCAGCTGGCAAGCCTCTTGGCCAGCGCCGATGAAGAGCAGTCTGCAGCGGCCGCACAGCATTCGGCACGGGCGCAAGCCCTGCTGCAGCGCCTCGCCAGTGTCGATCCGGATCGAGCAGCGCGGTATCGAGAGCAGGCCGCCGTTTCCGGGCAATGACACGCGTCTGCAACGCCGACTCGGCACACGGAGCTGTGACATTACGCGGCCGTGGTCGACATTCCTCGTTCGCTTGCTGTCTGCCCTCACTCGTCTCCCAACAGTCGCCGGCCCACGTGTGCGATGCGCGACCGCCGTGAGTTGGCGCGTGGGCGCGTCGCCTTCACGCTCGTGTCCTCGTAGAATGAGTATCTGCGGCCCGGCCGTCTCGTCAGCGGCGCTGGCAGGAAGCAGCACGCAAGCAAGGACGCACCCTGCTCCCTCCTCGCCGTCGTTCTCGTCGTAGTCGTCAGCATAGCCGTTGCCCTTCTTGGCCTGTCCGCTGCCGATGGGCTTGCCTGTGCGCACGTCGCACTCGCGGCCCTGGTGGTCGATGAACGTGGCCTTGGTGTGCACGTTGGCGGCGCGGTACGACTCCATGATGACGCTCTCGATGCGCGCAAGGTAGCGCGAGAGCTCGTCCATGAAGCGCACCGTCTGCAGGTGCTTCGAGGAGGCGCACACCGACAGCGCGTCGTCCTGGTAGGGCAGTGTGAGCCTGCAGTCAAGATGGGCGCGCGCGGCAGCAGCTCACCTTGATGATGTAGCCGAGACTGCGGGCGAGGACAGCGTCAGCCTCTTTTCATCATGACATCGTTCCCGCCGATACTCGCCCGAACCCATCAGGCGCGACCGGGCCGAAGCCGAAGAGCCGCAGGCATGGGTTGCCGCAGTTGCTCGTCGAGATGACGGTGTGGTTGAGCGTGGCGTAGCCGGCGTCCTCGAAGAGCTTGGGCATGCCCTGGTCCCACTTGCCCTGCGCCTCGAGCTGGCCCACGAGGCACTTCATGGCGTACAGGTGCCGGTCGTGGCCCTGGCCGCTGGCGCACTCCTTGGACAGCTTGGCGTGGGCGCCGCACGCGGCACGCAGCAGCTCGAGCTTCTTGGCGCCGGGCGTCTCGGCGTCGTCGAACGCCGTGACGAAGGCATGCGTCGCCGGCTGCACGGTGCGGATCGCCTCGGTGCGCCCGTGCAGGAAGGCCTTGGTCATCGCCGGCTCGTACGTCGTCTCCGAGCGGCCGTACAGCTTGTAGTAAGCCGCCTGGAACGCCATCTGCACAAAGGCGTCGGGCGAGAACTTGTGCCGCGTGATGAAGTTCTTGCCCCAGCGGCTGAACTCGAGCACCTGCACGTCGTGCTGGTGGATCAGGTCGCTGAGGCGCGTCTCGCCGAAGCGGATCGCATCGAGCACGCTCTTCTCAAAGTGCCACTCGAGCTTCTTCGGCGCCGTGGCGGCCTGGGCGTCCGCGAAGCGCTCCTGCTGCTCCTTCTCCTTCTCCGACGGCTTGCCGCCGGCGCCGCGCGCCCACGGCGACGTCTTTGCCTCGAAGAGCGACTTCGTCGCGCTGTTGATCGACTTTGCAAAGCGCATGATGAGCTCCGTGTAGATGTCGGCGACGAAGCGCAGCACCGTGTGGCCATCGGCGGCGCTGTGCTCAAAGTTGATGCCGGCGGCGCCGTTCTTGCACACGATGATCTGCAGCTTCTCGTACCAGCGGTTCGAGCACGTGCCGATCTGCGCGCCGTCGGCGTCGAGCTGCACCGTGCCGCTGAGCATGTTGGCGCACAGCTGTGCCGGGTCCTGCGGCTCCGAGTCGTCCATGCACACGACAAAGAGCGCGCTGTCGATGATCTCGAGGCAGCGCGCGTTGTGCGAGTGCTCCATGAGCGTGTTGCGCACGCCGGCCCACGTTGCGCGCTTCTCCGTCGTCATGATGCCCAGCGCGCCCCTGGCCACGTCGCCCGGCTTGGTCTGGTCGGCGTCCTTGCAGATGGCCTCCAGATTGGCGAGCAGCGCGCGCTCCGTGAACAGCGGCCGGTGCTCCTCGTCGAGCGCCTCGAACCAGTAGATCTGGCCGCGGCGCATCACGACGACGTGCCGGCTGTCTGCGTCGTGCTCCAGGTGGCAGCCCTCGCTCTCCGTCGGGATGCGCGACGTGCCGAACAGCTTGGCGTACTGGGACATGCACAGCGGCGCTGTGCAGCTTCGGCGTCAGAGGCGCTCCGCAAGTCAGGCACAGTCTGCTACTCACTGCCGCGCACTGAGTCTGGCTGCAGCACGCCTTTCCGCAGGTCGTGCACGAAGCAGAGCGAGGCGAGAATCAGACTTGCGGTGCGCATCAGCTGGTTGCCGCGCGCCGGGGTCGGGTCGTCCCTGCAGGCGAGTCAGCACCGCTCAGCATCAGACACCGCCGCGGGCCGGCTCACTCGAGAATGAAGAAGGGGTTGAGGTTGAGCACGACCGAGTCGGAAGCTGTGAGGTACGACTCGTCCCAGAACTGCGTGCGGCAGTCAGCTAGGTGCTCTGCGGTCAGGCTGCTACAAGACGGATGCGACTCACCTCTTCGATGTACGAAGCGCGCGTGCCGGCGTACTTCTCCAGCGCAGCGTGCAGCTCGGGACCCTCGTTCTGGAGGAGCTCAGTGTCAGCCTGGCGCTGTGGCGCGTGGCAGCCCGGCACACACCTTGAGGAAGTCCTCGACGACCTGCTTCGTCTTTGCGTGTGTCTTCTCAGACTGAGCGGGGAGCATGTCAGCGACCCGCGCTCCTCGTCTGAGGCCGCCGCTGTGCCGGCACTCACCTGCAGCGCCTGCAGGCTGGCGAGGTAGCGGCGCGCCGTGTCCTCGAGCTTGGGCAGCGGCAGCTTGGGCAAGTCGCCCTGCGCCGCAAACGTCTTGCCGCCGGCGGCCGCCTCGGCCTTGCCGTCGCCGAGCGCGGCGATGAGCTTGTGCTGCGCATTGGGAATGGCGGCGCCCGCGTCGGCACCGTTGCCGCTGGGAGAGGACGACATGGTTGCGGGATGCGCAGGAGTAGGTGGTGGAGAGAAGCCAAGCTGCGTGCACCGGCCGCGATGCGCAGGAAGAGCGGCGAGTGTGGGGCAGCGCACCGCCCAGGGCAGCAGGCAGCGCCTAGCCTTGGCTTGGCCGGCGACCGGACCTCGGACCGTCGTGGCTGGGCAACGAAGCAGCGGCGGCGCAGCGTTGGCCGCGGCGCCGCCGTGTGGAGGCGGGGAGGGCGCGACTCTCTGGCGCTGGTGCGGCGCACCGGAGTTGGCGGGCGGCACCGCCGCGCGGCGGCGGCACGGCACGGTCACCGACGTGTTGGAGACGCCGATGCCGTGTGGCTTGCCTTCACGCTGCATCGCTGGCCTTCGCAAGCCCGCTCATCATGCAGCACACGAGGACCGCAGTGCGACCTTCTCAAGAGGCTGGCCTCGCGACGGCACGCATCTGGATGGTCACGGGACCAACAGCTGCCCCTCACAGGCATCGCAAGAGCTACGCGGCACAGCGCCGCGCCCGTCGCCGCAGGAAGAGTCTCCGCTGAGCAGCGTCGCATCACATCGTGTCATTACGCCCACCCCAACGCAGTTCAGGCCAGGCAGCACGATCCTAGTTCTCAAAGTCGGCCTGGTTCTCTGCACACGGGCAAGGGAGCGCGGTCGTCAGTGCCTGCACCACCCGCGTCGCTGCCTTGCACGCACCGTAGTAGTACTGGATTGCCAGCTCGACATTCCGGTCGCACATGAGGAAGACCTCGATGGCACGGTCTTCTGGGATGCCCATGGCGGTGATCTGCAGCCGACGCATCGTCAGCCTCGGTTTGCGTGGCTCGCAGGCGCATGCCGAGCCCATCACGCACCTGCTGCACCTTGGCCTGGTCCTCCTCCGAGAGCTCGTCCTGTGCCGCGCGCGCGTGTGAGTGGAGTGAAGGCCGCAAATAGCAGCACACTGCAAGGCCGCCACGCCGACGCTGATTCCACACCTCGCAGATCCACTGCACTCACCATGCCGACCTGGTCGTCCTCCTCGCCGCCCGCGCCGCCCTGGGCCAGGATGTTGAGGACCGCCTCCGGGTCGTTAGCCATCGCCTCGGCCAGCTGCGGGTTGCTCTGCGCAATGGCCTGGATGAGCGGCTGCAGGGCCGCCGGGTTCTCCTGCACCAGCTGGCGCAGCTGAGCCAGCATGGCCGGGTTGCCCAGGTCGATGACCTGCCCGCCCTCGCCGTCGTCTGCGCCAGAGAGCCCGCCGGCGCCGCCGGCGGCACCACGCCCACCTCCGCCCGCAGCCTGCGCTGCCGCTGCCTCAAACAGGTTGCCGCGCGCGGCCGCTGGTGCGGGCGCGGCGGCAGGTGCAGCTGCTGGTGCGGCAGACGGAGCGGAGGCGCCGGTCGGGGCGGCGGCCGCTGCGGAGCCACCGCCTGGTGCGGCGGCCGGCGGCGGCGCCTGCTGCTGCTGCAGGAGGTGCTCGGGGATGCCCTGCGGTACACGCGTCAGCGACGTCTGCCAGATTGCCAAGCAGGTCTTTGCGATCCGCCCGGCAGGCCTGGTTTTCCCAAGTCACTCACCGTCATCAGGTACTCGACGGCACGGTCTGGGTTGTTGAAGCTGGCACGCAGCGCCTTCTGCACCTGCTCGCGCTCAAAGCCCATCTCGACCATGTTGGCGATGGCGCCCTCGAGTGCCGGACCCGTCACTGCGAGCCGGTCAGCTGCCTTGTGCGCAACGCCAGTGTCCGCGCGCTGCGACTCACGGAAGCTTGAGCCCGGGCCACTGGCCGGAGCTGCAGCGCCGGAGGCTGCCTCTGTGGACGGTGCCGCGGCAGCAGCTGGTGCCGCTGCGGGCGCAGCCGAGGCCGCCGGGGCAGACGCGTCGCTCATGGCACTGTCGCCGCTAGCTGATGCAGAGGCAGCAGGCGCAGCAGCGGGGGCTGCGGCAGCTGCAGGAGCGGCAGCAGCGGCGGCGGCGGCAGGCTTCGGCACCTTTGGCTGCACGACGCGATGGTGAGCTTGGCGAGCAGAGCCGCGCGCGCCGGTGCCCGCTACGCACCTTGGAGACCATGACGACGAGGAAGTCCTTCTCCTTGATCTTGCACTCCTCGACGGTCTGGGCGTCGGTGAGGATCTTGCCCGAGTAGATGAGCTTCTGCTGCGCCACGGCATGGCCCTGGCTGGCCTCGATCTTGGCCTTGACGGCGGCAATCTGGCAGCGGCGACGACGAAGTCAGCAGCGGACGGGCAGAGGCACGCGCGCGCGCATGCACACGCACCGTGTCGCTGGGCTCGGCATCGAGCGTGAAGTTGGAGCCGCCGAGCGACTTGACGGTGAGCTTCATGGCGGCGTGTGTTGGTGGGAGGTGGGAGCGAGAGGCCTGGCCGAGCGGCGCACGGACGACTGCGAGCGCCGCGCCTTGTTTTCTCGCGGCGGCGGCTGTGGAGGCGAGCCTTCGCCGCCGATCACCTGCAGCAGCGCAGCCCCGGCGCTGCTCGGCCGATCAGATCCGCTGCTCGACAGCTGCCTGCGAGCGTGTGCGAGCTTCGCGGCGCGATGGCGTGCTCCGCGAGAGGAGCCGCGGCACGCCGCACACCGCCCGCACCGACGATCCGGCGCCCGTTCTTCCAGCCCAGAGGGAGCGTCTCGGCGTCTGCCCTCTGTGCAGGCGCGTGCCGGCCGGCGCTGTGCGAATTCGCACACAGCTCGGAGCCAAGCCTTGCGAGCTTCGTGCCAGGGTCAATGCGACAGGTGCAGGCACGGCGGCGATGCAGACAGCGGCCGGGCAGCAGCAGCAGCGGCAGCGGCGGCGGTGCGCGCTCCACGCCGCCCGAGGGACGCAACGCGGCGCCGCGCCGGCCGCCAACTTCTTCCAGCGGCCGGCAGTGCGCCCTTCCACCCTTCCCTCAACCACCTCCCACCACCCCACACACACTCCGCCCAGCATGGCCAACACTCCCCACGGCGGCGTCCTCAAGGACCTCAACGTCCGCGACGCGCCCCTCAAGGCGCAGCTCGCGCAGGAGGCAGCCGGCCTGCCCGACATCGTCCTCACCGAGGTGCGTTGCGGCGCCGTCGCACCGGTGGCCCCGTGCAGCCGCCCACTGACGCAGCCGAGTCCTGCAGCGCCAGCTCTGTGACCTCGAGCTCATCCTCAACGGCGGCTTCTCGCCGCTCGAGGGCTTCATGGGCAAGGCCGACTACGAGTCGTGCGTGGGCCGAGCTGCCTGGCGCGTGCGCTGCCGCTGCTGACGGCCCTGCTGCAGTGTCTGCGCCAACATGCGCCTGGCCGACGGCTCGCTGTGGCCCATGCCCATCACGCTCGACGTCTCGCAGGAGCAGGCGGCCACGCTGAAGCTGGCGCAGGGCGTGCGCATCACGCTGCGCGACCCGCGTGACGACAACGCACTGGCCATCCTGACGGTGTCGAACGTCTACACGCCGAACAAGAGCAACGAGGCTGTGACGGTGTTCGGCAAGGAGGACCGCGCACACCCGGCCGTCGCCTACCTGCAGGACAGCGTCAAGGAGCTGTACGTCGGCGGCAGCGTGCAGGCCGTCAGCCGCCCGCTGTACTACGACTACGTCGAGCAGCGGTGAGTGACCTCGCGGCGTGTGCGACGTTGCAGTGGCCGGGCTGACGCATGCCCTGTCCAGCTACACGCCCGCCGAGCTGCGCCAGCACTTTGCCAAGGTCTCGTGGCGCAAGGTCGTGGCGTTCCAGACGCGCAACCCGATGCACCGCGCGCACCGCGAGCTCACCGTGCGCGCCGCCCGCCAGCGCCAGGCCAACGTGCTCATCCACCCCGTCGTCGGCATGACGAAGCCGGGCGACGTCGACCACTACACGCGCGTGCGCGTGTACCAGAGCCTCATGCCGCGCTACCCCAACGGCATGGCGCACCTGGCGCTGCTGCCGCTGGCCATGCGCATGGGCGGCCCGCGCGAGGCCCTCTGGCACGCCATCATCCGCAAGAACTTTGGCGTGACGCACTTCATCGTCGGCCGCGACCACGCCGGCCCGGGCAAGGACAGCACGGGCAAGGACTTCTACGGCCCCTACGACGCCCAGGTGCTCGTGACGGAGTACAAGGACGAGCTGGGCATTGAGATGGTGCCGTTCCAGATGATGACGTACCTGCCGGCGTCGGACGAGTACCAGCCCGTGGACGAGGTGGCGCCGGGCACGCAGACGCTCGACATCTCGGGCACAGAGCTGCGGCGGCGCCTGCGCAACGGCGCGCCGATTCCCGACTGGTTCTCCTACGAGAGCGTCGTCAAGACGCTGCGCGAGAGCTACCCGCCCAAGGCCAAGCAGGGCTTCACCAGTGAGTGGCCCGGCGCGGCGTGCGTGCGCGTGCTGCAGCCCTGTCTGACCGCCTGTCGCGCAGTCTTCCTCACCGGCCTGTACAACTCCGGCAAGGACGATGTCGCGCGCGCACTGCAGGTCAAGCTCAACGAGCAGGGTGCGTGCTTGCGCTGCTGGAGAGGACTCATGCGCCGTGCTGACCTTGTGCGGTCTCCCCGCAGGCGGCCGTTCCGTCTCGCTGCTGCTCGGCGAATCGATCCGCTCCGAGCTCTCCTCCGAGCTGACGTACAGCCACGAGGACCGCCACAAGCACGTGCAGCGCATCGGCTTCGTCGCCGCTGAGCGTGAGTGTGGCCTGGCTCGCCGCAAGCAGAAGCGCATGCGCTGATGTCCGTCTCTTGCGCCCTCGCCAGTCACGCGTGCCGGTGCTGCCGTCATCGCCGCGCCCATTGCGCCCTTCGAGGCTGGCCGCAAGGCCGCCAAGGCGCAGATCCAGTCGACTGGCGGCTCGGGCAACTACTTGTGCGTCCTTGCGCGTGGCTGGCATGCCGACCGAGCTGACGCTGCCTCTCCTCCACCCTCTGCTGCGCAGCCTCATCCACGTTGCCACGCCGCTCGAGTACTGCGAGGCCACGGACCGCAAGGGCCGCTACGCCGAGGCGCGCGCCGGCAAGGTGCGTCTGGTGCTGTCTCTGTCGCTGCGCCGCTGTGCGGAGGCTGACGCCAACCCCTCCCCGCCCTGCAGATCGCCAACTTCACGGGCGTGTCGGACCCGTACGAGGTGCCCACCAACGCCGACCTCACCATCGACCTCTCGGCGCTCAAGGTCTCGGAGGCCGTGCACCAGATCCAGCTGCTGCTCGAGGCCGATGGCCTTATTTAGATTGTGCAAATGATAGAGCGTCTATTTCCGTGCCCGAAGGGAGCGCGTGTGCTCGGCGGCATCATCACCACCCGCGCAGGGCGCGTGCTCACGGCGCTCGTACTCAGCGCTCAGCACAAGAGATATTGCACCCAACGAGCGACTGCAGCGCTTGTGCCCAGCACATGCCGTTGCGGAGCAGTCGACCAGGGGCAGGAGTCCAGTGCTGTGGCGCTGGCGGCCTTGAGGGCTGGTCGCGTCCTTGCCCCTAAGTCGAGTGCTGCATGAGTGCGCGTGTCGCAGCACCACCTGCTGCACCCGCATGCGCACCGGCACTCTGACCGCCGAGAGGGCGGCGCACTGCATGCGTTCGCTCGAGAGGAACCGCATCTGTGATGCCGCATGCCATGCCGCGCTGACTCTTGCTTGTTGCAACTTGCTCGGCGGCCGCTCTGACTGAGCCGCAGAGGGCGCACGATGAGGTTGCCAACGGATCGGGCAGAAGCGCAGCGCGGCGCGCGCGCCACTCCCTCTTCAGGTCCACGCGCCGCGGCGCCGCCTTCCTTGCGCACCACCACCACCACCGCCACCACCTTCCTCCTTCGCCTGGCCGCTGGCAGCAGCCGCAGCCGCAGCAGCCGGCCTGCTCCTCCATCATACCACCGTCGCCGCCGCCCAGTGCCATCTTCGTCGTCTCTCCCCCGCAGCAGCGCTCTTCGATGTCGGTTCTGCACACATTGGTGGTGCGCGTGACGGACAATGCGCGCAACTCGCCGGACCTCGCCGCTCGCCGCCGTCTGAATTTTGAGCAGGCTCGTGTGATTTCTGGAAATTCTCCTTCCTGCACCTCACCGACGAATGCGTTGAGAACAGCGCCGTCTGGCGCGACTACGCAACGGGCAATGCCGCGGGCGACAGCGACGCTCAGAGAGCGTCCCGCCAGGCGCTGCAGCAGCTCCACTCTGCACCAACAAAGGGCCACTCGGTTTCGCACCTCGAGGACCAGCTCGAACTCACGGCCTCGGCGTTCAAACACACGCTCATGGCAACGGCCGCTGCCAGCTGGACCGTGGCCGACGTCGCCCTCGTTCCCGTGGCGATGCTGCTGGGCCTGATTCCGGCCGAGGCCATGGACAACGACGTGCAGCTAAGGCTTGGATCCGTGCCGCCTTTCGCTCTGCGTAGCCGCGCGTCGGCACTGGACCTGAGCTGCTGGACGATGCGCATCGGCAGCAGCCTCGAGCAACGCGACATCGCGGTCGATCTGCCGCGCATGTCTCTGTCCGCGATGGCGCGCCACGTCCGGACACTCGTGCAGCCTGTCGCACCTGCAGCGCAGCCCCTCGCAACTTGCCGCTCGACGTTCACAGTGTGCCTGACGGAGGACCAGCTGCGCAACTTCGAGAGGGCCGCCACGCGCGCAGAGGGCTGGTACGTCTGCTCACACCTGTACGATGCGCTGGCTCCTCCCAGCACGGAGCGCGGCAAAGATCCCCGCGAAACTTTCCGCGAAGCTCTGAAGGTCGCGTACGATAGCGGCAGCGCAGCCGTCACGCCAAGTGACCGGCACTGGCACAACAAGGCATGCATCGCGAGCTCAGCCAAGATCGACGCGTGCGATGCCGCGCACCTCGTGCCTCGCAGCGTCGGGAAGGAGGCATACGAGGCGGCAGAGACCGCCATCCAGCGCACCGAGAGCACTGTGCCGTGCGCCGACACGGATCTCGACACGCTCGCATTGCTCGACGTGCGTCTCGGCTCGCTGCTGCCGCCGGCAGCGGAGACAGCCAAATCCATTCCCCTCGACTCGTCCCGCAACGGCGTGTTCCTGAACTTGCTTCTGCATCGGGCGTACGACGACTTCGCCTTCCTCTTCACGCCGTCCCTCAACTTCGTACACGTCACGAGGCCCACACACGGCGCTCTGTGCCAGAGCGTAGTCGCGGACTCGGTCGGCGAGCACGAGCGCCCCTTGGAGCAGCCTGGCTGGCACACCTCCGTGCTCCGCGACGTTACCGGCACGGGTGAGCCCAACGCGCTCAAGTCAAAGGTCGCGGCACTGCACCTCTCCTCGTTCGTGTCGATGTGCGCACTCTTCCTCGTCGCAGAGATCAAGATGAAGGGTGGACGACAAGCCGCTCCGATCCAGGTCAGCGCCGCCCAGCCCTGCGGAAGCACGCAGCAGGCCGGAGGCAGTGCGCAAACAGCCGGAGCGCAAGAGACTGCTACGCACGAGACCGGCGAGGCTTCTGAGCCGTCACCGAAGCGCCCGCGCACGAATGTGACCGATTCTGATGTGCAAGTGCGCTCTGCAGGACGCATCTCGACGGCATCGCGCTCCTCCGACCTTGGGTCTGACCCAGTCTCCGAGTCCTCGAACCCGACGAGCACGAGCTCAGGCTCGGGCCCGAGTGGCTCAGGCTCCGGCTCAAAGCTCGGGATGGCCGCAGTGAGCACCAAGTCCAGCCCGCACTCGGACCTTGGGCACTTTCCGAACACGTCGTCCGCACGTGCGAAGATCGAACAGCCGCCGGTGCTTCGCTCGCGCGCATCAGGCGACACTGAGTGCAGTGATGACGAGGAGGAGGAGGAGCGTCGAGCCGCCGAGGAGTCTGAGGAGGAGGAGCGTCGCGCCGCCGAGGAGGCTGAGGAGGTGGAGCGTCGCTCTTCGGGAGAGACTGAGCTGGCTTGCTTCCTGGCGGTCGCCCTCTTCGCCGCGCATCGTCTCGAAGCAGCGGAGGCACGGGCATAGAGGCGCTAGCAAGAGATGACCGCCATACTTGATACCCCCAGCAATAGCATACCATCGCAGGGAACTGGTGTGAGGCTGGCGACGTGCAGCATCAGCAGCACAACGTGGCAGGACGGGGGATGCTCGTTCGAGGCAGCGCGCAACCGTGGGAACAGCGGCGAGGCGCGTGCCGACGCGGCGTCTCTGCCGGCACCGGGTGCGGCTGCTCGCATCCGGCCTCAGGGCGCAAAGGCAGCTCGAGCCATGGGGGCGCTGCATCTGACGTTGGAGCGGGGAGGCAAGAGGCATGGTGCATCCACATGGTCCGCTGCTCATGCTCATTGCTGCCCACATGGCACGGCTATGCGGCGGGCGCCGTGCCGTCATCTCGGAGCGGCTGTCTCGCCCGTCCCGCCGCGCCGCGCGCGGCTGCGCTGCCGCTGCGTCTGCGGCTGCGTGCCGGCGCCTTCGCCGCCCTCCACGCGCGGCGTGCGCGGCGCGGTGTGCTGTGCCGGCGGGCCGGAGCTCCGCCGCCCAAAGGGGCTAGCGCCGGCGGCCCGAGTGCCCACAAATGTCCGCCCGCCTCATCATCACTCCTCTCACTCCTCGCCGAGCCGGCGCCGACGAGATGGGCCTCTCACATCACTTCACGCTTGCTGCGTCTGCTGGAGGCGGGCCGCAGGCATCTCCAGACACAGCCATCCGTGCCTGACGCCGAGTGGGATATAAGGGTGGAGCGGCTTTCGCACTGAGCTCCCCTCACCACCCCTCCAGTCTTCTCACACCTCGCACGCGCACCTCTCGAGCATCTACACACCTCCAGCAACCGCATCGCATCAAGAGCCACCGCGTCACCACTCTCCACGCACCATGCGCCTCTCCAGCGCGCTCCTCCTCGGCGCCGCCGCCGGCGCCGCCTCGTCGGTGCAGGCCGCGCCGCTGGGCTTCGCCGACTTCGAGGCCCGCGGCAGTGCCGCGCTCGACGCCGGCTTTGTAGCCGTGGCGCGCGACCTCAGCGCTGTGGCGCGCTCGTGCCTCGAAGCCTCGGGCGTGGCCGTGACCTACCCCGGTGACTCGGCCTTCAGCACGCAGAGCCAGCCGGAGAACTCCGTCTTGCCGTACACGCCCGCCGCCATCGCGGCGCCTGCGAGCGCCGACGAGGTGGCGAGCGTGACACGCTGCGTGGCAGCGCAGAACGGCGACGTGAAGGTCGTGCCCAAGTCCGGCGGGCACAGCTACACTTCTGCGTCGCTCGGCGGGCAAAACGGCTCGGTAGTGATCGACCTGAAGCAGCACCTGACGGCGATCACCATCGACGCAGACGCCAAGACGGCGACGGTGCAGGCGGGCGCCACGCTCGGCCCGCTGGCGCAGGCGCTGGGCGAGAAGGGCTTCGCCTTGCCGCACGGCACCTGCCCAACTGTCGGCGTGGGCGGCCACTCGCTCGGCGGCGGCTGGGGCTTCACGAGCCGCAGCTGGGGCTGGCTGCTCGACCACATCGTCAGCATGCAGCTCGTGACGCCCGACGGCAGCATCAAGAGCGTCAATGCCACCTCGGAGCCGGATCTCTTTTGGGCGCTGCGTGGCGCCGGAGCGAGCAACTTTGGCACCGTCACCGAGTTCACGTATAGTCTCGAGGACGCGCCCGAGTCGGTTGTCAACTACTCCTTCACCTACCCCTCCAACGACGACTGCGTCCAGCTCATCCTCGCGGTCCAGTGAGTCTGTGTGGCAGCGCCTCGCAGACTGTCACTGACGCATGTGCGCAGAGATCTCGCGACTCGGAGCGATGGCCGTCTGGACTTGGGCATGGGCGGCGAGATCGTGAGCGGCCGGAGCGCTCCGTAGGCTGACAGCGGAGCTGATGCGTTGCGCCTGCCAGCTGCTCTACGGCGAGAACAGCGGCAATGACGGCGCCTGCAGCTTTGCCGGCCAGTTCAAGGGCGCCGCCTCGACGTTCGAGGCACAGGCCGGCATGCTCAGCGACGCCATGCAATCGCGCGGCGCCAGCACAGGCACGCCGGCAAACACGACTTTCACTGGCGCAGCGACGGGCAGCGACAGTGCCTGGCTGCGTGCGCTCACGGACCTCATGGGCGACCTCAACGCGGCGGCGATCTCGGAGCCGTGAGTGCCAGACCATCGCGGACGGGCGCATCAGCTGATCATGTCGTCTAGCTACTACGCCAAGTCGCTGATGGATGATGGCTCGCCCAATTACACGGCCGACTCTGCCAAGGCCATCATCGACACGATCCAGAAGCACGTGCTTGTGGAAGGCACGGGCATCTCGCTCTCGCTGGACCTCAACGGGCCGGGCTCTGCCACCAACGCCAACCTGACGACGGCGAGCGCGTTCGACGTGCACCGCACGAGCCTCTTCTTTTCGCAGCTTTACGTCTACGGCCAGCCGACCGACGCGACGGCGCAGCAGAACGTGTTTGCTGCCACGGACGAGATCATCGAGTCGGTCAAGGCGGCCAAGCCCAACGGCAACTGGCTGCTCTACGTCAACTACATCGATGCGCAGATCAAGGACTTTGGCACGCAGTACTACAGCACGGCGCTCGAGCGCCTCAAGAGCATCAAGGCCGCCGTCGACCCGCTGACGCTGTTCGACTTCCCCCAGGGGCTGGCGCACGCATAGTGCGCCCGCCCGCGAGCGAGCGCCTCCGCTGCAACAGCGTCTGAGAGCAGCCCTCCGCACACTGACGAAACCAGACGAACCGTAATGATTATACTTCTCGCGTGCTGCTGCTCGTGATGTCGTGGTCGCCGCTGCAATGTCGTGGCTGCTGACGTGGTGTTGGTGCTACGCCCACATGCCTTGGTCCTTTGCGTCGCACTCAGGCACGGTGCTTCCTTCCTGGGACAAAGTGACGCCCTGAGCCCCGCTCGGGAGCCTCCTGACACGCAGAGTGTGCGCCACGGCGTGTCCAGGTGATCGACGAGGAGGAATAAGGAAAAGCGGCCACCCTGCCCTGCTACGCCGAGAGAAGCGCTGGATGCACGTCTTTTGGTGCCAGCGCGTGCGCCAGCAGAGGCGGTGCTCTGAACGCTGGGGCTTGCGCTGCTGGCGTGCGCGCCGCGCGGTGACGCGCTGCTCTTCTGCCGGCTGGGGCACGCTGGCGCGGGCACTGCGCCTGTCTCTTGCCTTGGCGCGCCGTTGTGCACGCGCGCGCGGCGGCCGAAGCGCGAAGCGAGATGCACGCCGCGCGCGGTGCACTTTCCGTTTCTCTCGCAGCGGCGCCGCCTCGAGCTTCTTCCTTTGCTCGCTGCCTCTCGCCCCACGTCGCTGCTGCCGTTCGTCTCGTGTGCGCTCGTCCATCTCTCGCCAGTGTCGTCCTCGCTACTCGCTCACCCAACCCGGACTCTCCCTTGCGCTTCGTGCGCTCACACGGATCCTCGCCGGCTGCGCTTCTCGCAGCTCACCTTGCTCGCCGGAGCACCATGGCCGCGGCAAAGAGCGCGCGTGCCCGTGGGCGCCGCAGCTCGGCCGCCGCCGCAGCGTCCGCCGTGGTGCCAGCTCCAGCCGCGGCACGCAAGCCGCCAAGCGCACGCCCAGGCAAGCTGCGCTCCGGCAAGCTCGGCGCCACGCAGAAGGAGATGCAGGCCGACTGGCTGCTCGACCGGCAGATCGGTGAGTGGGGCCTGAGCGCGGCGGCGGCGACGGCGAAGCATGGCTGGATGCACAGACGCAACGCTGCGGCGGAGGAGCATGCGACGACAGACGGCATACCTGCTTCGCGCTGGCTGCCCCGCACTTCGACGTCCAGGAGTCGCAGCGCCTGCAGAGACTTGAGGCGCAACACTTTTGCAGAGGCTCATGCTGCATCCCACCAGACCTGCCGCTCTACGGCATCGCCTCGCTGCTCATCATGCATGCGCTCTCGGGCACGTCGTCGCTATCGCTGGCGCACCTGACGACGCACCTGCCGCACTCGCTGCAGGTGCTCATCCCCGCGTGGGCGCGGCACCTGCCGTCGCTGGCGCCGTTTGCCAGCGACGTGCCCAACGCCTCGCACAACTCCAAGATGCGCGCCGGCGGCGCGGCCGGGCTCAACTCCATCTGGGAGGCCACGACGGGCGCGGCGGGCCCGTTCCGCAGCGACGCCGCCGGCTTTGGACACCCGCTCAGCGCGCTGCACTCCTTCACGCGCGCCTGTCTGGGCCTCTCGTACGCCGTGCCAGACGCGCGCAAGTCGCCCGTCTCGGCGGCGGCACACGCGGCCGGCCTGCCGCTGCCGCAGTCGCACCGCAGCGCCAACTCGGAGCCGTGGGCGTGGCTGGTGGGCGGGCCGGGCGTCATGTACGACAAGGGCATCAAGGATGCGCTCTTTGTGCTGACGGGCATCCTCGTCTTCACGACGCTGCGTGCCGCCACAATCAAGCACGTCCTCGCGCCGCTGGGCGAGCACGTCACCTGCCCGCCCGACGCGCCCGCAAGCGCCGGCTCGGGCGCTCGCGCCGTGCAGAAGCGCAAGGAGAAGGCGGCGCGCCAGAAGCGTGCCACGGTGCAGCGCTTTGCCGAGCAGGGGTGGAACGTCATCTACTATAGTGCCAGCCTGTCGTTTGGCCTGGTGAGTGCGCGCTGCCCGAGGTGGGTGCGAGCTGCGCTGACGCGCTCGCGCAGTACCTGGCGTACAACTCTTCCTACTGGCTCAACACCAAGGGCATCTGGGAAGACTGGCCAGTGCGGCAGCTCGACCGCTGGACGAAGGTGAGCGCCGGGCGAACCATGGCGGCACGTCCACTGCATGGCTGACGCAGTCTCGCCAGTTCTACTACCTCGCGCAGTGCGCCTTCTGGTTCCAGCAGCTCTTCGTTCTCAACGTCGAGGCGCGGCGCAAGGACCACCTGCAGATGTTCAGCCACCACATCATCACCATCCTGCTCATGCTCGGCTCGTACTGCTCGCACTTTACGCGCGTCGGCAATGCCGTGCTGGTGCTCATGGATCCGAGCGACATTATGCTCTCGGGCGCAAAGTGCCTGCGCTACATGGGCTTCACGACGGGCTGCGACGTGGCATTTGGCCTCTTCATGCTCTCGTGGATCGTCACGCGCCAAGTGCTCTACCCGATGCTCATCTGGTCGTGCATCGAGCCGGCGAACCGCATGCAGCCCGGCCTGCTCTCGCGCCTCGACTTCGACCCGCCGTTCCTGGGCTTCCGCGATCCGGTGCGCGGCAGCCTCGTGTATCTGCTCATTGCGCTGCAGGGCATCCTGCTCGTCTGGTTCGGCATGATTGTGCGCGTCGCATGGCGCGTCGTCTCGGGCAACGGCGCCGAAGACACGCGCAGCGACGCCGAGGAGGAGGAGGAGGAGGAGAGCGAGGGCCAGGAGAAGAGTGCGGCAGGCGCGTCGACACAACAGGCTGTCCCCTCGCGGCCACTGCTGGCGCAGAGCGATGCGGCACAGCCAAGGATACCCGAGTGAGTTTCCCGTGGCTGCGTTCCGGCCTGCAAGGTGTGCATCACTGACGCCAGTGCCCCTCTCAGAGCCTCGTCTTCAGCGCGGCCCAGCAGCTCGCAAGGACGTCGGCGCGCACGGTGATGCGCAATGCCCGCCGTCGCTTCGCATCTCATTGCTCCTGGCCACACCCGCATCCTCGCGCCCTGCTGCCCGTGCCCTGAACCCACTCCTTTCATGCTATATTGACGATTCTTTCAATCATTGCGCTTCTGACTGCCACATGCACTCTCCTTTGAGCAGTCGCGACTTATCGGGCGGATGGTACCTGCGCCGGCTCAGCAGCCGGACCTAGCACTCCCGCAGGGCCAAGGCCCACTGCGACCTCATGGCCGCCTCGCAAGGCTCTCAGCGCCGCCGCGATGCGCGAGTGTGCGTCAGGCTGCGCAGACGCGGCGTCGGCATGGTGCGCCTGGGCGTCCAGCAGCACATCCCAGCCCGAGCTGCGCACGCGCTCGTGGAACGGCGGCAAGCGTGGCGGCGGCGCAGCCTTGCGACGCTGCTGGTGTGCGCTCCTCCGCTTGTCGGCCTGCTGTGGTGCCGCAGCTGCGGCAGCTTCTCGCGCTGCGTGCACCTGGTGTGCGCGACGAGAGCGTGCTGCGCGTTTCTTTTGCTTGGCGCTGCCTGGCGGCGGCTGTGCCTTAGAGGAGGACGCTTGCTCTTCCGAGGATGCCATGGCCGCAGTCTCTCCTTTATTGTCGGAGCGAATGCGGGCAGCACGCCGCCGGGCTCGCTGCGAGAGCTTGACTGGTTGCTGGTGCGGTGCGCTCTTCGGCTGTTGCATGTCCGCATCCGTATCCGTAGCGAGGGCGGGCTTCGTACTATCTGCTACCGCATCGCCCATTTGCACGTCGTCCGCTGGCTCTTCAGATTGCAGCGTCGCTGCCTGCGGGTCTTGCGTCACTGCGGCAGCACCGGCGTCGAGGCGGCGAGGACGCGCAAGAGATGCACTGGCGGCGCCGAGCTGCGTCGGTGCCGGCAGCCGGCGCACGAGGCCGCAGGCATGACACTGCGTGCGCATGAGGTGCTCGTGAGAAGCAGACGCTGTCGCAGACTCAGCGTCAGTGCTGGCCCAGCGACGGCGGCACGGCAGAACTCACGCAACACGCGCGTCGTGGCCGTGAGGCCGGGCAGCAGTGGCGTTGCGCAGCGCTTGCAGAAGGAGCGCTTGAACGATGGATCGCTGGAAGCGATATGCTGTCAGCTTGCGTATGCGTAGGCGCTGCCCAGGGCCGGCAACTCACAGGCGCACCGTCGCCTTGGCCGCCAGCGCACGCGCCGTGCGGGCCGTGGCGCGTGCCTGTGCCAGCTGCGCAGTGGCTCGCTCGTCGTGGCCACTCGCCAGGGCGGCACGGGCGGCGAGGAAGAGAGCGCGCTGGCACAGATGCGTGAGCGTGTGCAGGATGTCCCACTGCGGCACACGCGTGGGCGGGGCTGGAGCTTTCGAGGTTGTAGCAGCCGCTGGCATGTTGCGGATCGCCGTACGACGGCAGCGCTTCTCAGGACCACCTCGTTACGGCGCTTGCTGAGGCAAATCAATGTCGGCACCTGCTGCCGCCGGCTCCGTCTGTGCTGCGCCACTGCAGATTTTGAGGCCAGTCCCGCACGCCTTCTTGGCCGGCGAGCCGGTGCAATCTTGATGCGATGACGGAAATGAGGGCGTGTGAGGGCGGCGCCGCAGAGGCTGAGAGGCCGTTGTGCCGCCGTCGCACGCGCGCCGATCGCCGGGCCGGCTGATGATGCTGCCACAAGCGCACGCACGGCAGCGAGCCGCCTCTTCCTTCGCGCGCGGCGGCGGCGCTTGACCGCTTGTGCCTGACGCTGCCCGACGGCGCTGCGGGGCGCGCTCACGCCGCGCGAGCCGCCGGGCCGCCGCCGCTCTCGCAGCGATTTTGCACCGCCACAGGCCTTCGCTCCTGCCGCCCAGCACCGCCTCATCTGCCACTGCCGCTGCACCAGCGCGCTCCCCGCCCCTCCGAGCGCCTCGCCGCCGCTGGCTGCTGCCTGCTGCCCGTGCACCCCGCAGCCGCTGCTGCAGCTGCGCTCGCCACACTCGCACTCCGCACCCTGGCGCCTTCCGCTGCGCCCGCCGTCTCCTCTCCTGCGCTCGGCGCCGGCCGGTGTGCCGTGCCAAGCCCAGCTGCGAGCCGTGATCGGCCTCGTCGCCGTGCAAGGCAGCTGCCAGCATCCGTCCAGGTCTCACACCGCCCGCGGCACTACTCTCTTGCTGCACCAGCGAGCGCCACAGCGGCCGCACGGCCCATCGTCGAGCGACGCACACCCGTTTTTGGCTCTCCGCATCGAGCGCGCCGTCGTGCCTTGCTGAAAAGTGCAGCGCACCTCCAGGGTACGGCACCGCCTCATCCTCAAAGCTGCAGCAGCGTCGACCGCCGGCCCGGAGCTGCTCCCACCGCATCGCCCGTCCCTCGCGCACCGCTCGCATCCTCCTTGCCAAGCCCATCTTCGTCTCCTCCGCATCTCTTCGTCCTGTCACTCCTCCCGGTCTGCTCACACAGCTCGGCGTGTGACTGCTGCGTGATTCACTTGGTCCAGGAGCCGCTGCGCAGCTCCCACTGCCCCGGCCCGAGGTCTGCGTGACGCTCGCGGTCCGTCTTCCAGCCGTCTTTGCACTCCCTCTCGTCGGCGCGTCCATGGACCCACTGGCGCACCTCCAGCAGCCGCATTCTGCACCGTCCTCCTCCGCTTCCGCCTCTTTCGCCGCGCCTGCATCTGCCGCGTCTTCCAGCGCACCAGCTCAGACACTTGCAGGTGCCCCAAGTCTCGTCGTCTCGCACGAGGCCTCACAGCAGCAGCAGCTAGACGCCGACCACTTCGGCATCCCGTACGGCTTTGACCCCTCGTCCAGCTCGCTGGGGCCTGAACAGCAGCAGCACTTTCCGTCGCTCAGCCCGGGCGTCGACAGCACAGGTGAGTGACAAGATGGCCGAGAGAGCGGCTCTGCCAAACAATGATTGGGCGTGTCACGCTTGTACGGTCCTCGTGTGGCTCTTCACTGACACGCGACTGTGCTGCAGACGCGCGCTCGTCTAGCTTCTCGTCGGCTCCTGCACTCACGCTGTCAAGGTCAGTCGTGCTACGGCAAGGCCTTGCGCGGGCATGCTGACCATGAGTCCTTCCAGTGACCCCGAGCTGGACTTCTTCGACACGACTGAACAGGCCTACACGCCGTCGTACGCCAACTCGCTCGCAGACTACTCCTCTGCTGCGTCTGCCGCCGGCGACGACCCGTTCGACGACCTGTCCGCAGCTGGTAAGCCGGCGTCGTTCTACGATCCGACCCAGACGGACGACTACACGCAGTTCAGCGCCTCGATACCGCAAGACGGCAGCTACCCACTTCCAGCGCCTGTAGCGGAGAGCGCGCCCGAGGACGACGGCTTCACCGCATTTCTGCAGCAGCAGCACGCGCAGCACCTGGCACAGCAGCAGCTGGCTCAGTACGCGCAGTTCCAGGAGCCGCACAACTCTCTGTCTGCACAGCAGCAGGCGCTCTCGCCTTTTGCTTCGCCGCTCCTCGGTGCCTCCTCTCCTGCGAGCTTCCACGGACGTGCCAGCAGCTTCGGATCGCAATCAGACGCCGGCTTCGACCTCTCGCAGCACAATCTGCAGCAGCACCAACAGCAGCAGCAGGCGCAAGGTTCGGGTCTTTCTGCAGAGGAAGAAGCCTGGATGCAAAGTCTGGGCCAGCGCATCACCCTCGACGACCAGCCGCCGCACGCACCAGCGGCAGAGAACAAAGAGTTCCGCTTCCCGCCAGTGTTTGAAGGCGAGCAAGGCAGCAACACCGCGCAGCAGCAGCAGTCGCAGCGGCCACACCAGCACCAGCACACGCCCTCTGTGCCGGTGCTCAGCCTGAACGACACCGCCATGGACACCTCGTCGCATAACGCGGGCCCCTCACACGGCCACGGCCATGCTCATGGGCATGGCCGCGCGCTGTCGGCCGACGCTGCAGCGGGCGGCTTCCACTCTCTCCCGCAGTCTGCGCCGCCCACTCAGCCCTCGTGGCCCATGGAAGGCATCAGCGGCGGCCACGACCGGCGTGCGGCGTCCTCGAGCGACCTGCCTTCGACCGGTCAGGACGACGCCGCGTTCTCTTCCACGCCCGCTCCGTCGTCCATGGCGCCGCCCTCTGCGCACGTCTCGAGCGGCGCTGGCGAGGAGCCCGCACGGCAAGACTCTTACGAGAAGATCCGCAAGTTCCTCAAGCTCGACGTCGACATCGGCTTCCTGACGTCGCCCAAGAACTCTGCCGGCGGCTTCCTCGAGTCGCCAACGGGCAGCGGCCTGTCGGCGTGGCGCAAGCGCTCCAACTCGGACGTCGGGCCGCGATCGCCAGTCGACGGCCCCGTTCGAGCGGGCTCTGGCCTGTGGAACATCATCCCTGGCGGCGTGACGGACAAGACGCCGACAGCCACGACCGCAGGCATTGACTGGGCGTTCGAGACGGCCAAGATTCGGCAGGCCAAGCTTCAGGGCGTCAGCGTGCCGCAGAGCCAGTCGCCGCTCGTCGTGTCTGCCATGCAGACCGACACGCTCAACCCGAACCACCTGGCGCAGAACGAGGCGCTAAGCGACGTGCAGATGGAGCAGATGCCCAAGGCGGAGCATTTCCCCTCACCTGCTCCTGCGCTCTCGCCGGCGCCGGCACAGCACTTCGGCATGACGGACGCCGCCGCGTCGCCCATGCATGCGAGCTCGGAGGATCTGTCGGGCAGGTCGAGCCCCTCAGGTAGTCTGGGTCCTGTGCGCCGCGAGCACGGCAGCGCCAGCGGCCGCCCAAGTGGCATGCCGTACCACGTGCGCGCCAGCAGCCACAACAGCAGCGGCTCATCGTCACGGCCCAGTGCGCTCGCCGCTCTCTCGCCGCACCTCGGTGGCCCGACGCCGTTCGCCTGGCAGAGCAAGCCAGCCTCGCCGCTGGACAACACGAGTGCGCTGCGTCGCTCGCAGACATCGGCGCGCGAGGCTCGACACTCGCCTCGCCACCGCTCCGCGCAGAGCGAGGACCTATCGAACATGGCACGCGCGGCGGACCCCGCCGACTACCTGGCTCGCGTCACCGCTCCGGACGGTTCTCTCGCGCCGCCAGGAGGCATCGGCGGCCCCATGCCGCCCGGCAGCAACGGCGGCCCGCCCGGCGCGGCAGGCTTCTACGCGGGCGTGGGCTCGCGCGGCGGCCATCCGTACCGCGTCAGCCACGACCGCCACCACTCGTGGGGCTCGAACACGAGCAACTCCAGCGCGGGCAGTCCGGGACCAGATGGAAGTGCGAGCCACCCCGGCGGCTCTCCCATGGTGGCGCCCTACCATCCGATGCACAACATGCAGCCGCCGCTACCGCCGCCGCCGCCCTTCCGCCCCATGCAGCCAGAGTATGCTCAGCAGCCGCCGATGCCCGGACTCAGCCGGCATCACAGCACTCAGTACTCGCAGACGGCTGCGCCCACGTACGGCGCCCTCTCGCCGCCCGTGCCCTCGGCGCCGTCCGCCAGCGCCGCCGTGCACGCCGTCATTCCGCCGCCGCGCCTGCCGCTGGACGGCGAGATGGTGCCTGTTGCGACGGTGACGACGAGCGCGACGCAGGCAGCGAGCGCCAGCCGGCGCACCAATGCGGCTGTCCACTACTGCCCGTGAGTGCTGCACGCTTTTGCAGCGGAGCACTGGCTGACACAGTTCCGCCTCGCAGCATCCCAGGTTGCAACTCGTCCTTCACCAGGTGCGCCGCACTGTCGCATGTCTTTCTCGCTCTGTGCTGACCTCTCTCGCGCCGCCAGGAAGTTCAACCTCAACGGACATCTCCGCTCGCACACGGGCGACAAGCCGTTCGAGTGCGGCGAGTGCGGCAAGAAGTTCGCCAGGCGAGTCACTGCATTGTCGCTGAAGGGCGGACCGCCAAGCTCACACGAATTCTCAGGCACTTTGATCTGTCGCGCCACGAGCGCCTGCACTCGGGCATCAAGGCGCACACGTGCGAGACGTGCGTACTGCGCCTTACACTGCCCATGCCCATCTTTTCGCTGACGCCTCTATCCTCCAGCTGCGGCAAGAACTTTGCGCGCATCGACGCGCTGCGGCGCCACCTGCGCACCGACGGCGGCAACGGCGTCGGCTGTGCTGCTCGCGCCGGCTCGACGGCTGCAGGCGGCTCGTCGCCCGGCGAGGGCAGCGATGCGGCGCCGTCGCCCAACGGCCGCTTCGTCGGCGCGGCCATGTAGTCGTCTCCCTCTCAGTCTGCTTCTGACAAGCGAGGCACCGCTGCTCCTCTGGCTGGCCCGGAAGACCAGCGGGCCTCATCACTCTTCCGCCTGCACCTGCCCCTTGCGCGTGTACCATTAGACCGTGGCGCACTTCCTGTACCGTACCGCCAATGCCGCGAAAGAGATCAGTAGCTCGTTCCCAGCGCCGCTGCAAGGCGAGACAGAGAGGCAGGGCTCGAGGTGTGAAAGCTGCTAGATTTCGGCCGGAGGCGCATGCAAAACCCACGCTGGCCCCTGTGACCCTCTCCCCACTTGCGCTTCGCTTCTTCTCTATTCACACGCGCCTGCTCCCGTCGCACGCAAGCAGGCCCAAGGCCATGCCCTGACCCTCCCCTTCCTTCTTCTCTCCCTCCTGCAGAAGCGCCGCCCTCTGCGACGTCTTGCCTTCCAAGGTTGCGCCAGCCTACTCGCTGAGCGCGGAGGCGACACCAGTGGAGGCGCCGCTTAGCCGATCAGGTCGCCCATGGCGCCCATCTCGGCGCCGCCCATCTCGCGGATGCCGAGCTCGAAGTAGGACTGTGGGCGGGTGCGAAGACAGGGCAGACGTGGGTTCAGTGTGCGATGCCTACGAAAGGCCTTGCTCGCGCGCGATGCTCACGAAGATGGTCGTGCTGGCGAGGAGCACGCCGGTGCCGGAGCCGAAGGCGCCGATCAGGTCAGCCGTGACGCTGCGCGTGCAAGCGGATGTCAGCGCATGCCATGGGTATGGCCACTTCAAAGGCAAAACGCACGAGAGAGCACCGATGGTGGCGCCGCCAAGCATCGCGGCGGCAGGGATGACGCGCTTGAGCTCCTTGTACATGCTGCCCTCGCGGTGACCGGCCATGACCATCTGGTTGTCCTTGAGCTGCTTTGCGACCTCGCGCGGGCCAGAGCCCGAGACCTCGATCCACGTCTTGCTGAAGAGCGCGCAGGCCGAGAGCGTAAAGGCAATGTACACGGCCGTGTGGATGGGGTCGCCGAGCACCTCGCGGAACGTGTGCGGCGGCGACATGTAGTAGGCAATGCCCGAGATGGCATGCAGCTGCGGCGAGTCCTCCATGGGCTCCCACACGCCCAGCAGGCGCACGGCCAGGTTCGAGGGGAAGCGCGAGGCGAGCATCTGCGAGATGATGAACACGTTGCTCGTCAGGGCCGACTCGAGCATGATGGGCATGTTGCTCGTGTAGAAGAGCTTGACGGGGTACGTGCCGCGCTGTCCGCGGAAGCGGTTCGACTTGACGGGAATCTCGATGCGGAAGCCCTGCAGGTAGATGACGACGAGGAAGACGAGCAGCGTGGCCACGAGGTTCATCACGTTGGGCAGCCGCTCGCGGAAGAAGGCCTCCTTGAGCGCGCGCGTCTTGTCGTTCCACGTAAAGAGCAAGTGGAAGAGGGCCACGAGGGCACCCTCAAACTCGGGGCCGCGGCCCGTGTTGATCGTCGTGGGCGAGAAGGCCTTCCACACGATGCTCTCGCAGATGTTCGTGGCGATGAAGAGCGAGATGCCCGAGCCAAGGCCGTAGCCCTTCTGCAGCAGCTCGTCGAGCAGAATGACGATGAGGCCGGCAACGACGAGCTGCAGGATGAGCAGCAGGCAGACTCCGGCACCCAGGTCCGAAGGCTGGCCGTACAGGCCAGTAAGCACGTAGACGGTCGCCTGGCCGAGCGAGATGATGATGGCAAAGACTGCGGCAGGGCGTGAGCAATAGCACATCACAAAGGGAAGCGCGCAGCACCGCAGCGCATCGTGAAGTGCGGCGCGGCGGACGCGTCGGAGCGAAGGCACGCTCCCGCAAGAGCGACGACCTGCGCCCTGCCTCTGAAGAGCAACGACGTGCGCCCTCTCTCTGTAGAGCAACAAAGTGCTTCACCACTCGCAAAGGCGGCGCCATGCTCTCCCGCACTCAGGCCCATCCTTCGTCTACGGCACTCCAGTCTTTCCACATTGCGCGCACTCACGCTTCTGTGCGCCGCCAAACAGCGCGCGGTCCTCCTTGAGCGAAAAGTCGACCTCGACGAGGTTGGCGCCGGCGAGGAGCTGCATGATCATGCCGCTCGTGACGATGGGCGAGATGCCGAGCTCCATGAGCGTGCCGCGGTTCGACGCCAGAATGACGCGCATCCAGTAGAGCGGGTCCGACGAGTCGCTCGACATGATGCCGTACAGCGGAATCTGCGACGAGACGAGGAAGATGGCAAGCACGATGGCCGTCCAGGCCATGCGCGACTGGAACGGCACTGCAGAGGCGGGTCAGTGTGTGGTGCGCAAGGGCTGGCGAGCGCCGGCGATGCGTGTGACGGCGTGCTTGGCAGCGGCAGGAGCCTTGGTCCCCGACGGGCGGCAGCGGCAGCGGCACGGCCGCGAGCACACGTCGCCGCCGCCGCCAGCGTGCCGGCGCAGGCGTGCATCGCGATCGTCTGCCATGGCCGCAGCGCCTGGCAATGCGGCAGGCTTGGTGGCCACCGTAGACGGCCATGCTTTCGCTGCCCCTTGCCCCACCTGCTGTGCCAGCGCATACATGCCGCACTCGGCCTGCGCCCCGCACCCGTCGCAGTCTGACGCAGCCCGGCGCATGCGCGCACACCACGGCCGCTCGCTCGCATGCTGCGCCCACTCACCCTTGCGTTCCGGCGCCGAGACCTCGGGCAGGACGCTCATGAAGGGGCGCACGAGGGAGAGGAAGCGGACTGGGCGGGCATTGGGGGTCAGCGAGGGGGGAGCGCCGGGTGCTGACGTGCTGCAAGCAGCAGCAGCAGCTGCACCGGCCACTGCACGTGCGGCAGCACTCACAGCCACTCATGCTGGGCGGTCCGGTGGGGGGTGCGAGGTGGGGTGTGACGGTGGGAGTGTGAGGTGCGAGTGCGGGGCACGCTCACGCCGCCGCCGCGCGAAGAAGCGCCCGCCCGCGCGCGCGCCGAGGCCGAGCGACGTGGCGCGCGCACGGCGCCGGCTCGTGCGAGGCGCGCGCCGCGGCGTGGCGCATGCGGCATGCCAGCGCGGGAGCGGGCGGCGTCTCGCTGGGCGCGCCACGTGGGGAGCCGCCGACTCTACAACAATGCAGCCCCGTGGGAGCAGCGCGCCTGTATTGCGGCCTGGCGCGCATTTCTGAAGTGCCGTCGAGCTCGAGGCAGCTGCGAAGAAGCGGCGCGCGGCCGGGCCACTCGACTCGACTCCACCTCGAGCTTCTCTTCTCGCCCTGCCCTCCATCCGCCCACAGCGCTGCCTCTCTACAGCTACAGCATCGCACTCAGCTCCAGCGCAACCACCACCCTCATCCACCTTCGCCTTTCTTCGCGCACGCGCACCGTCTCGCCCGCCATGAAGCGCGGCGCCGCCAACCAGATCCACAAGGACGCGCCCAGCGACGACGAGGGCGACGAGGGCGCCGGCAACGAGAGCAGCAGCGGCAGCGCAGCGGGGCCGCCGCCGGAGCGCCGCGCGTGAGTGCACGGCATGCGAGGCGTGGCGCTTGTGAGAGGCGGCAGAGCGGGCCGCGGGGCATGCGGCGGTGCGGGCAGCGTGGCCTGCCGCGCCCTCGCTGCCCAGCGCAGAGCGTCGTCGGGCGCCTTCGCTCTCTCTGCTGCACAGCACCTTGTCGCTGACCTCACTCGTCTCCGCTCGCAGCATCCGCGGCCTGCCCAAGCGCAAGGGCCTCACGCCCTCCGCCGCTCCCGCCGCAGCGGCGCCAGCCACAACACCCAGCTTCTCCTTCGCACAGCCGGCAGCTTCGCCTGCCTTTGTAAGTTGGTGGCCGACGACTGACGGGTCGGAGCAACGTTGCACGCAGTGGGGCTGATGCTTTCCCTGAGCAGTCCTTTGGCTCGCCGTCAGCCCAGCCGACGGCATCGTCATCCGCGGCGAACGGCAATGGCGGGGGCAGCAGCAGCACCAGCTCCTTCACGCCCTTCGGCGCTGCCACGGGAGCAGCCACGTCCTTCGGCAGCAGCAGCAACAGCAGCACCTCTATGCCTTTCGGCAGCAGCTTCGCTGCGCCATCCTCCTCTGCTGCGGCACCAAAGAGCGCGCCTGCTCCGTCCTTCTCCTTCTCGGCCTCGCCCTCCTCCGCCGCGCCTTCCGCCTCTTCCTCCACTCCCGCGCACGCCGCTGCCACATCCGCGCCATCCAGCGCCGCGACGCACTCGTACCACGCCCAGCTGCGCGGGCTCAACCACTCGTTGCAGAGCGCCATCGCGCGCGCTCTGGACGTCGATGCCTTCGCAGACTTGCAGCCTCTGCTCTCGCGCTATGCCGAGCATCGGCAGCGCGTAGAGAAGGAGAAGGCGAGCTCGCCTGCTTCCGCTCCGAAGCCGGCGGCTACGTCTGCCGCTACCGCTTCACCAGCTCTTTCGCCAGCTCCCGCTCCCGCTCCCTCTACTTCGCAGCCCAGCAGCAGCACTGCCGCCAAGCCCAGCAGCAGCAACAGCGCCCCAGCGAAGCCCGCCGTCTTCTCGCCGCCAAAGGTGGCCAGCACGCCGTTCCGCTTCGCCGGCGCCCCTGCGCCGACAGCCACGAGCAGCAGTGGCGGCAGTGCCGAGGCCGCAAAGCCCGCATTGCTGCCGGGCCAGCCGACGTTCACGCTGCCCAGCGGCGGCTTCAGCTTTGCGGGCAAGCCTGTGCCAGGCACTGCTGCGTCAACCTCGGCAGGCAGCAGTGGTGCAGCCTCCGCCTCTGCAGCGGCACCGGCGGCGGGCGCGAAGGACGACGCAGCTCCGGCGGAGAAGAGCGAGACGAAGGCACCGACGCCGACGCCGGCCTTCTCCTTTGGCTCTTCCTCGTCCCCCACAACCGCTGCTGCATCAGCTACGAGCATCGGGAGCAAGCCTGTGCCGGCCGCAGCAACGACGCCGGCCTTTGCCTTTGGCTCCTCGGCTGCCTTTGGAGGCGCTGCTTCGGCTTCTTCGACGCGTGAGTCTCTCCCCTGATGCCCTTCTGCTCCGCGCAGCACCGGCTTCGAGCCTCGTCCGCTCACATTTGCACAAACACGCAGCAGCTGCACCCTCCAAGCCCGCGTTCTCCTTCGGCACTCCCACGTCCGCACCCGCCGCCAGCTCCGGCTTCTCCTTCGGCAGCGGCAGCTTCGGCAGCGGCGCAGCGCCGAGCCCGCCGGCCGCGGGCACGCTGCGCTTCGGCTTTGGCTCGTCCGCCGCCGCCTCTACGCCGCCGGCCAGTGGAGGTGCCAGCGCCACGGGCTTCACCTTTGGTGCCTCGTCGACGCCGCAGAAGAAGCCGGATGAGAAAGAGGGCGAGAAGTAAATGCTTCGTCTCGCATTGAAGCGCAGCGAGTCATCGTGAGATTTCGTGAGAGAGATACAGAGAGGGCAGACAGGCCCGCGCACTGGCGCACTCGAGCTTGAGGTGCAGGGGAGTCTGCGGCGCGGGCACGGGGCGCCTTCACTGCTGCGCCTCGTCGTCGCGCAGCAGGCCCTTTGCGCGCAGCTCCTCGGGCGAGGGACGCGCGGCAATGCCGTGGCCAAGCTTGTCCTAGTGGCAAGTGTGTGGCATGTGAGCAGGCGCCCCGGGGCTGCGGCGGTAGTGCGGCTGGGCGTCGAGGCCAGCGCGCAACTTCAGAGCGCTGGCAGCGCGTCCACCGCAGGACACTTTGGCCCACTGCCCCTCTTGCGCTGCCCCTTCGCCATTCTCTGCACAGCCCATCTCCTCTCCCCTCTCTCCTCCCTCCGCGGCGCGCGGCGCAACTCACCTCGAGCTGGCTGCGCTCCAGGCTGGCCTTGCTGTCCTGCAGGCCCGGCGCCACGGCCTGGTCCTTGAGGATGCCGCGGCGCTCGAGCTCCTCGCGCTCGGGGCGCCGCTCCAGACGGCCCTCGAGGCGGTCTTCGAGCTGGTGCTTCTGCAGCTCTGCCTGACGAGGCGAGGCGCGGCGCTCAGCTTGAGGTGACAGGGGTGGGCCCAACTCCAACACACCTGCTTGGCCTGCAGAGCAGGAGCAACCGTCGTGTCCTTGAGGATGCCCTTGTCCTGCAGGTCCTTCTGGCCCGCACGGTTCTGCAGCAGCTTCTCGAGGCGTGCCTGCGAGTGCGCAGCCAGAGGGCGCCGCATCAGCGAGTGTGCTGCACGTGCAGCTCAGCGGCCAGGCCAGGCAACGCACCGCCTCCTCGGCGTGGCCCGGCGAGAGGGGCTGCTCGCTGCTGCTGCTGACGGAGGTGTCGAGGTTGGGAAGGGCGCCTGGCGAACGCGTGAGTCACAGGACGAGAAGAGAGGCGGCAGGCAGACGGCGCACTCATGCTGCGGGTGAGATGGACGAGGCGGTGGTGGTGGTGGCAGGAGCAAGGCAGCAGCGCAGCGCGCGCCAGCAAGCTCCACCTCGACTCGCGCTCCTCGCTGGCGCCGCGCCGCGCGGGCCACAGCCACCTCGCGCCCTCGACCGGCGCCGCCTCTCGCCTGCCGCGCGGCCAGGCATCCTGACAGAGTGTTCCGCTTCACCGCCTCTGCAGCAGCAGTCCCGTCGCCGCAGCATGCATGCTTCACACCACACAGATGCTGCGGCCCGAAGCGATGCTTGTCTGGAGGGGCGCCTGCGCACGGGCCCCTTTCACGCTGCGCGCTGCTCCTGCACCAGCTCGCCGCGCGCTGACTTTGAGGCCGCGCCTCCGCCGCGCGCCGCGCGCTGCCGCCTGCGCTGCGTGCTCCCTGTCTGATCCGCACTGCTCCGTCTGCTCAGCCTAATGGCTTGGTTGCGGAAAGGCGCTGCATTCTTATTCTCGATTCCGTTCACGGAGACATCACATGTCGCCCCAGCTGGCCGACGAGGCCTTCTTGCCTTGGCACGTCCACGTCTCGTCGCGCTCTTGAGGCGCACCTACGAGTTTGTACGGACTGCTCGCGGTCAGCACTCGAGGGAGACGCTGTGGGCCGCAAGCCACACCACTCACGATGCCTTTCCGAGGCACTGCTGCACCGTCAGCAGCTCGTAGCCCATCGCTCGGTAGCGCGGCGCCATCGTCGCAGCAACTGTATCGATGCTGGCCTCGAAGATCTCATGAGCCAAGGGCATGTGCGGGTCGGGATACGTGCAAGAGGAGAGCACGTCGATGCTGGTCATGGGCGAGGCGCCCATTGCATCCCGCGAGTCCGTGTCCCATGTCACGACACTGAGGCCGTGTCTCGAGTTGAGGTACTCGACGCAGGCGGCATCGCACGCTCCGTGTGGCGGGCGGATAAAGGCAGGCACCACGCCGAGCGTCTTCCACGTCGCCTCCTCGAGCAGCTCGACCTCCGCGTCGATCTGCGTCTGCGTGAGATCGCTCAGGCGCGCGCCCGACCACGTATGGCTGGCGATGAGGTGGCCCTTGAGCAGCGATGCGCGCAGCATGGCCACGTTGCTCTCGTCGTAGATGCATGCGCCGTCGGCCAGTGCCCCATTGACAAACGCCGTGTAGTGCCCGCCGCTCTGGGCGAAGATGTCGTCCAGCTGCGCATGCCACACCGCAGGGCCCGCATCGAAGCTGTACGCCAGATCGCGCTGGCAATTGCCAATGGAGCGCGGCACGGGAGGCAGCACAGAGCTGGCCATGACCTCGCCCAGCCGCGTCTGCAGATTCTCGAGAATCTTGCGCGACACGGGCGGCAGCAGGGCCTCTTCGGTGCCGCTTTTGAATGCGGGCGCAGTCAGGTCCGGGCCGTCCTTGATGCCGGAGCCGGACAGTCCGAATGCAACTTGTTGCGCCGAGTCTTGAACGGGCCGACCTGTCCACGAGGAGACGGACTGTGCTAGACGACCGGATGTGACCGCCCATGCGACCATGTTGGCTTCGGCCTTGATGCCTTCTGTCGGCGTGCGAGTCGGCGCGGCGTGGCAGATTGCGATGAAGAGAGAAGACAGCGGCAGCGCAATAGAGAGCCGTCTCATCTCGTGGGCGTGGTATATAGAGCGCGGCTGCCAGAGCCGGGAATGAGAGTCAGCAAAAGGGACGGCGGAAGGACTGCCGGAGTCGAGCAGAGAGAAAGAGAAGGACAGGTCGTGACGCGAGACAGGGACGGGGACAGAACGGAGCCAAGTGAGGGTGGGGAATGGAGGAGAGGTGAGATGCGAGCGGCCAAGTCCGACTGGGAGCATCTCTCTCGCTCGAAGGACCTCTCAGCAAGCTCTGCGGCCGTTGCGGTACCTGACAAATGTTGCAGCACCACATGGGAATCAGCTCATCCTTGCACCTGGCCACCACATGGGCACCTGCGGGCGCATCGGCACCTCGGAAGCGGCTGATCTCAGCGCGGGTTGCCATGAAGTAAGCGTGCCTGCGTCCGGCGTGGCCAAGGCTGCGAGCGCAAGTTGCAGCATGCTCTTGGCGGCGCATGAAGCGAAGCTCGAAGGCGCTGAGCGGTTCTGCCGCCTGCCGGCTGCGGGAAGAGAAGCGGGTGCCGCCCGCCAGACGCGCGGGGGGCCCCTTGAGCAGCGCGCCTAACGCAGCCGACGCGCGCCGCTCCCAACGGGCCGCGCCCGCCGCCGCCGTGCCGCCCGCACCCGGTGCCCGTTGCCGCCTCTGCATCTCAACAGCGGTCGGGAGCGACGCTGCAGTCTACACTTGCAGCAGGCAGAGTCTACGCCACCCAAGCTTCACTTCCCACGCAAGCCGTTCGCACGCTTGGCGTGCGTGTCCGGCTGAGCCGCTGTCACGATCTCACGGCCTCGGCCTCGGCGTAAGAGCCTCCGCATATGAGCCTCGAATACAGCCGCTGAGATGCTCAAACGCCCGGTGGGCGAGAGGGCCGCCGCATAGATTGCGGCAGGCCGTTGCAGCGTTCCGCATGCGTACAGAACAGGGGTAGACCAGTTGTGCGGAGTGCGGAGTGCCGAGTAGGTGGTGAGGCGAAACGTAGCTAGCAGTACTGCGGTCTTGACACGCGGTGGTAGTCGAGCAGCTGCAGATGGCTGGCGTAGACGACCTCTAGAGGTGCTGCTAGCTCGGGCAGCTGCGTGACTGGCGCATCGTACTCCCCCGAGTCGCCGCCGGCAGCGTTGAGAAAGACACCGTCCTCCAGCGGCTCTGAATCGTCGCTCTCCTTCCCCGCTCGCAGCGCAGCTGCTGGCGCTCCGCCAACTGAGCCGCCAGCACGCAGGTGGGCGAGAAAGTGCACCAGACGCGCGTGTATCGTCTCGCACCGCGCTCGGAGACCGCCGTAGCGCAAGTCAAGCACCTCCCACCCGAACGGCTTGTAGCTCGCGTGCCACATCGTCGCCTGCAGGTAGAGAAGGGGGAGGGGGGGGGGGGACAGGGGCAACAGCAATCAGCACAGTGGGATCACCGGCAACACTTCCAAGTCAAACTCACGTGGTAGCTGTGCAGCTGCGCCAGCGCGGCTCGGAGCTTGGAGAGGCGCGATGTTGGCTCGGGCCCTGCCAGGTTCTGAAGTTCTTGCCAGTCGCCGTCGACGTAGGCCGTGTGCAGACGCAGTCGCAGGCCTGCCTTGAAGGAGAGCACGGTAGCCAGCAGCTGCGGCAGCCGCAGGCGGGCATTGAGGGGCAGATCGCGGAGCTGCGGACTGGCAGCTTCGTCTGGCGCAGCGGCGCCCGGAGATAGTCGCTCTGTGAGGTGCGCCGCCAGAGCAGCATAGTGGGCCTCGAGATCTAGCCCAGACGCTTGTACGCTGGGCGAGACGAAGCCGAGCGCAGGCTCCTCCCAAAGCAGCCATTTGCTCGTGTTGGCAGCGAAATGAATGCGATCGTCGAGCCTGCCGCGACGCGTACATGTGAGCAATGAGAGGTTACAGGCATCAGCATCAGAGCACACCACCACTCACGTCTGATCGTCCGGGCCCACCTCGTCGAGCTTCGACGCCGCGACAAAGTCCGTGAACGAGGCGCCCGTTATGCCGTCGAAGCGCGCGTGCAGGCGCGGCAGGTCCACCTCCTCCTTCTGCTCGTAGCAGTGTTCCGCGTAGTAGTGCCACGCCGGCAAGGAGCTGAGCGGATCGTGCTCGTTGCCCTCGTCGCCCCATACTGTCGCCATGACGTGCTTGACGCCGCTGCGCGGCGCCTTGCTGGCATTCAGGTTGGCGCGGCACGTGGCGAATGTAAAGGGCAGAGCGGCCCAGTGCCGCGTCCACGTCCAGATGCCGGCGGCCATCCATGGACTCTTGCGCGCAAGCAGACGATGCGAGTTGATGCGGTCCGTGTAGAACTGGGCGCTCTTGTGGTAGTACGACCAAAAGACGAGATCGACGTCTGCCGGGATCTCAATCGAGGCGTCGGGCTGGGCACTGTCGTAGTAGCCGAGCAGGCTGTTGTTGCGCGCAGGCAGACAGAAAAGCATGTCGCTCCAGATCTGAGGCTGCTTGCCGAGGCGTTTGGCAATGGCGTTGACGCGCTTGAGATGCTCGACGAAGACCTGCGTGGGCTCCTTGTAGTGGTGCTGCCCGAAGATGGTGTGGTAGCGTCCATGCGCAAGCCCGTGCGTCTGGAGCCTCGAGTCAGCATCGAGCCTGGAACGGCGCGTGCACGGCTCACTTCGTCCATGCCGAGGTGCACCCGGTTCGTCCGGAAGGGCTTGGTGGCAGTCTGGGCCGGCCTCATCAGCCTGCAACCTCAGCCACAGCGCGCCAGTCGCGACTCACCGCGATCATCTTCTCGAGTAGCACATATGTCTCCTCCCACTCGGCCAGCAGCACCTCGGTCGTGTCGCGCATGCTCAGGAAGCGCGGCCACTGCAGGATCTGGCCGAGGTGGCCCAGCGTCTGGATGCACGGAATGACCTCGATGCCGAGTGCATCTGCGTAGTCGTCGACCTCACGCAGCTCGGCCTGCGAGTAGCCGCCGCGTAGGTAGCCGAAGAACGGCTCGTCTTCGAGGACATACGTGTCCTCGGTATAGAGCTGCAGCATGTTGTAGCCGAAGAGTGCCAGCTTGCGAAGCGTGTACTTGATCGACGAGACCGTGAGCACGCCGTTGCGCGAGCAGTCAATCATGGTGCCGACGGTCTCGAAGAGCGCGTGCTCTTGCAGTGCCAGCTTGGCGCATGCAGCCTCTGGACTGAGGAACCAGCGACCAGAGGCATCGTAGAGCGCTGCATGCCGTGCTTGTTGATCTGATGGAGCTGGCTCGAGAATGTCGCGCGTGACGCCGAGGATGTGGCCGAGCGCGCGAAACGCTTCGCAGCGCCGGACATAGCGCACGGTGACGATGAACGGCGCAGCTACCGCACCGCTAAGTGGCGCCGAGTCCGGCAGGAAAGACGACGTCGAGGTGCTGACGTGCAGTGCGCGAGGCGACAGGGCCGTGTCATGCTCGAAGCTGAGCAGTGCGTCAGCGGGCCCGCAGCGTCCAGACAGGCCGAGCTCGCTGCAGCGGCGATGCCGACGACGCATCATGCGATGCGCCAGCTTGTGTGGCGTGCAAGCCGAGCGGCGCCGGCGCAGCTCTGAACTCACCAGACGTTCCAGTGCCATGCGCGCTCCTCCCCGCCCAGGTGCACGGCATGCAGCGGCGCGCCAGCGGGGTCGACGACGACATTGCGGCGCGGCGCATTGCGCGCCACCTCTGCCAGGCCGGCACGCAGCTCCTCGGGCGTGCCGCTGGGCCGCAGGTGCAGCACGATGCTGGGCAGTGCCGCCCTGGAGGCGCCAGCACGGGCCGAGCTGGGCCCCGCAGAGGAGTGGCCGGGGAGCGCGCTGCCAGCAGCATGAGCCTGCATGCTGGTGCGCCCGGCGCGACAGGCGGCGAGAGGGATGCGATCAGGAGGCGAGGAGGAGGCTGGCCGAGGCTGCTGCGACGAAGAGGCCGGTGCTGGTGGTGCGAAGGCTGCAGCGGCCTTGCTCCACACGTCGTGCCTCTCCAGGGGGCGCCCCGTGCGCAGTGCGCGCCGAAACGCGAAAGCTGGCTGGACCCGTGGCGCGGCGGGCCGGAGTCGCGCGCGCGCTGCCTCAGGGCCGCGCACGTTGCGCAGCCACCGGCCACCAGCCACTTACCTTCGCCACCCTCATCTCCCTCGCCTTCTCCACCCTCACACTCCACCCACAGCCATGCCTCGCTCCTCGCGCTCCTCGGGCGGCGGCCGTTCCGCGCCCGCCGGCGCACGCGGCGCCCACTCCATGGCCGCGCCGCCGCGCCAGCAGAGCGCGCCCGTGCCGCACCAGCAGGCCCACCAGCCGCCGGCCATGGCGCAGCAGCAGCAGGGCCGCGCGCCGGGCATGTTCAGCCAGGTGCGTCGCCATGCTCCCATGCGCCACACACATCGCTGCATCGCTGACGCATCGTGTGCAGATGGCATCGACGGCCGCCGGCGTCGCCGTCGGCTCGACCATGGGCCACGGCCTCTCCAACATGCTCTTCGGCGGCGGCGGCAGCAGCGAGGCGGCGCCGGTGCAGGACGCGCAGCCGCAGCAGCCGCAGCAGGGCAGCTGGGCGCAGCAGGACTATGCGCAGAACCAGCAGAACCAGCGCATGGCCGGCAACTGCGAGGCGCAGTCCAAGGGTGCGTGCCTAACTTCCGCCGCCTGAGGAGCATCCTCGCTGACCATCTCCTCGCAGACTTCCTGCGCTGCCTCGAGACGACGAACAACGACATGCAGTCGTGTGCCTTCTGTGCGTGTTGCGGCGTGCGCCCCCATTCCGCAAGCTAAGGCATGTGCTGACCACATGTGCTCCCTCTTAGACCTCGACCAGCTCAAGGCCTGTCAGGCCGCTGCCCGGCCTTACTGAGTGACGGACGCAGTTGCGGGCCGCGAGAAGCGCAGATAACCCGTTGTAGAACTGGAGCGGCATCAGCGCTGACCGCCGATGCCGTCGCTCGCCATTGCCGCTCCCGTTCATCCTCGTCTCTCTGGCCCTCTTCCGCCCGCCTCCTCTCGCAACCGTCGCGCGGCCCTCATTCACGCTAATGCCACATCGTTTTCCACCGCTCAATATGCTTCGTATTAGGGACTCAGGGTGTGTGTGCGTTAGAGAATGGGCTAGTAGTACATGTGGCGAGGAGCGACGGGAAGTGCAGGGATAGCGTGCTGATGTGGTGTGCGTATCGGGTCGGGTCGAACGTATGAGTGCGTCAAAGGAGGGTGCGTGAAGGACGTGTGTGCTCGGAGACTTGAGGGAAGTGATGGACAGGGGAACGAGATGCTTTGCGAAGGTCCTCTAGGCCTGCAATTCTTCGTCATCATCCAGAGCGAAGCCCTCGGCTGCGGCTACGTGTTCGTCGTGCTGGTCGGCGAGGCGCTGCTCGACCCACATGCCGAGCGCGTCGCTCTGCACCTCGAGCAGTGCCGGGTGCAGCTGCATCTTCGATGCTGCTGGCGCCGTCGCAGCTGCTGCCGGCGCAGCAGCGCGTGCCTGCGCAGGACGCACGGGCGCCAGCGCAGAGCGCACGGCCGGGCGAGCAGCGGCGCTGCTGCTGCTGCTGAGGGCGCGCTTGAGCGGCTCACTGTTCTTGGCAGCCGTCGCGCGAACGGCTGGCGGGCCAGCAGTGCGCGTCGGGGCGGCTCGACCAGGGGCAGTAGTGGTCTGCGGGCGCGAGGAGCCCGAGGAGAGCGGAACTCCGGAGCGCACGCGCGCCGTCATCGACGGAGGCGGCGGTGGTGCCATGGCTCCGCGAGCGAGCGGTGCGCGCGCGCCAGTCGACGACGCACTGCGCACGGAGGCAGTCGAGCCTTGCGACGGCGTGCGGGCCTTGGCCGTCTGCGATGCGGCTGGCACAGCAGCGGCGGCAGGTGCGACTTGCACGTTGGGCCACGGCCCTTCGTCATCGGCCTCATCAGTGCGCTGCAGGCCCTCCTGCGGCTCGAGAGCGTCGAGGCCGTGCTCGATGTGCGTCTTGAGTTCCTGCGCCAGCATGTCGGCCTCGAGCTCGAGCGAGAGCTTGCGCGGCCGGTACACGCCCATGGGCCGGAAGGCGGCCAGCATCTGGCCCAGCTCGGCGCCGCGCGGCAGGTTGTCGAGCGCAGGCGGGAAGTCGTAGGGCGTGTCTGGACGGCGGGATGAGCAGAGGTACGTGGGCATGCTGCGACACTGATCGCTCACTCTTGGCCCAGTCGCTGGGCGCCATGTACTCGATCTCGGGCCACTCGTCCCACTCGGCGACGTGCGTCTGCACCTCCTCCTCTGGCGCCTCGTACACCCGCCCGCCGGCACTGGCCGCCGCCGCCTGGTCCATGAGTTCGCCCATGCGGAAACGTGCGGCGCCGGCGCGGCCGAGCTGCGCCACGGGCGTCTTGAGCTCGGCAGCACGCTGCGCAAACGCCAGCGGCACAGGCTCGGCGGCGACGGAGCGCGGCGTGGCGTAGCTCATGTCGGCCAGACGCGAGGGCGCCGGCGTCTGCAGCTGCAGCGCTCCCTTGCGCGGCGAGACGGAGCGCGCCTTGCCCTTGCCCGCCTTGGCGGGGCTGGCGGCGGGCTGCAGCGACTGCTTCGACGGCGAGAGTAGCGCGTCCTTACCCGAGCCCGAGCTGGAGCCCTGCCCCTCGTCGCCTCCCTGCTGGCGCGAGCGCATGGGCGACTGGTTCGTGCGGTCCTTGTCGCCGAGGAAGCCGTGGCGCCCGCGGGCGGGCGTGGCGCCCTGCTTGGCGAGCGACTCGAAGATGCGCTTGCCCTCTGGAGAGGAGGAACGATGCGTGAGCTCTATGTTGTGGCAGAGAGGATGCGCTGCCCTGTACGAAAGGGAGCAGATGCTGCCTCGGCGCGCGTCCCTCTCTCAAGAAGAGAAACTCACCGCCAACCTTGCCCTCGCCGAGCTTGGCGCGGCCCTCGGTCATGGCGCCGCGTGCGCGGCGCGCCGGCGACATGCTGCGGCCGCGGCCGGTGGCGGGGCCGGGCGTGTGTACGGATGCGAACATGGCGGCTGGCGTGAGGACGGGGAGTGTGATCGAGTGGAGGGGAATGGGAGGGAATCGGAGGGGAGTGAAGGGGTTCGTGTGTGTGTGTGCGTGAGGAGGCGTCGAGGCGGCGCTCGAGCGAAGACGGAGCAGTGCGCGGGAAGAGGACGTCGACAGCGGGCGGGCGTGAGGCGAAAAGCGGAATGGAGAGGGATGGGGAGCAAAGAGAAGGGACGGAGCAGCAGCTGCAGCTAAGAGGAAGGGCCGCGGCCGCGATGGGCGGAGCAGGCGCGCGGCGCTGCACGCCAAATCAGGCAGGCGCCGAGCCGCCGCGCGCCGGCTCGCGCGCGCCGCCAGCTTCGCGTGCCCGCCCGCGCGACGCGCCGCCTCTAGAACAAACCGGCGGCGCCGGTGTTGATCTCGCCCGGCGGCGGTGCAGCTCGACGCGTCTGCGGGTGTTGGTCTCTAGCCGCGCCGCGTGGGCCGGATGCAGAGCAGGCGAGGGCAACGGATGACGCTCGGATACAGCGCCGACATCTTCACGCTACCCACCACCTCCAGCGCAGCACACTCCCGCCAGCGCCCGCACAGGCGCCATGTCCTCCAAGGCGCCGCGCTTTCCGCCCGAGCGTGCGTGTGGCCGTCGAGGCGCATGCTCCGCCGCGCGCCGTGCTGACCTCGCTTCTCGCACAGGGCCCTCGGACGTGCCCGGCCCCAACGCGTATTCGGTGCCGTCGCCGCCGCGCGCAAAGGCACCCACCATGGCCGTCGCCTCGCACGCGCCGCGCCGCATCGACGTCACCGCCACGCAGCTGCCGCTCGCCGCGCGCAACGTCAACGTGGCGGCGGCACTGCCGGCCAAGGGCGCCGCCGCGGACAAGGAGCGCGAGAAGCTCGAGCGGCGCCTCGAGAAGGCACAGAAGGCGCTGCAGGAGCGCGACGAGGAGCTCGTGGAGAGTCGCAGGGAGGTGGAGGACATGGCGGTGGAGCTGCGTGAGTGTGCGGCATTGCGCAGAGATGGGGGGCAACCACCGAGGAGAGGCGACTGATGCCTCCCCTCCCTCCTCGACGCAGGCCTGGCGGCGCAGAAGCGCACGAAGCTCGAGGCATCGCTCGCCAAGGCCAGCGGTGCGCCGAAACTGGCCGCGCTGCAGACGTCACTGCAGACACTCGAGGAGCTGCATACGCGCGCCAAAGCCGACGCCGCCGCGCAGATCGAGGCGGCGCGTCGCGATGCAGAGGAGGAGCGCAAGCAGCGCGAGCTGGCGCAGCGCGAGGCGGCCGACGCAGTGCGCACCGGCGCTCGCCTCTCCTCGGAGCTCGACGGCTTGCGCAAGGAGATGCAGGACCTCGAACGCAAGAAGGTCGCCAGCGCGGAGCACCGGCTTCATGCGGCAATGTCGGAGAGAGACGCAGCTCTGCAGCGGGAGCAAGCCGCTTGTGCCGAGCTGCAGAGCGCAGAACAGCAGCTCGATGCCGCTCTCGCATCGGCAGAGGAGGAGCATGAAGAGCTCGAGCAGGTCGTGCAACGAGCAGCTCTCCTGTCGCGAGCCGGCTGCGAGCTCGGCGAGCGACTACGCGCCTCACAGCTGGGCGCCGCGAGCTTGCAGCTCCTCAACTCCGTCTACCGGCACGAGAACCAACTCTTGCGCGTGCGACTGGAAGCAGCGAGCGCCGAGTGCAGCGAGTGGCACGGTCGCCAAGCGGTCTGGCAGCAAGAGCGCGAGACGCTTGCGGCACAGCTCAACGACGCACATGCCGAGCTCGCGACAGCCTTGCCGCTCGATGTCGCAACCTTCGAGCCGGCAGTCGAGCCCAGGGCTCCCGCTCAGCTCGACGGACTGGCTGAAGTGCTACGTGCGGCGGCCGAGTCGCGAGCCGACCTGCTCGCAGACGAAGTCGCCGCGCTGCGCCACACGCAGGTCGAGCAGCGGGAAGAAGCAACGACGCTTCGGCTGGCGATCTCTGCCTCGACGGCAGAGCAAGAGCGGCTGGCCAGCGCAGCAGCCGAGCGAGCCGTGGCGCTGGAGCGCGCAAACCGCGAGGCACTGCGTGCAGTCAATGCCGAGCTGCAGATCGCCGAGCTGCAGAACGCAGCTGCAGAGGTGCAGCGCGAGAAGAGCTTGCTCAAGGACGCCAACAAGGCGCTCCTGAGCAAGATCAGCAATGCGCGCGCCAAGGAGGAGCGCTGGAGCGACGAGGTGGAGGAGTGAGTAGCTGACAGCCTCCTGTTGCGGAGCGCCTGCTGACCGACTGCGCGCCAGACTTTCTGCGGCGCTCACGCGGGCGACGGCGTACGAGGAGGCCTACGGCAAGCTCTCCGTGCAGCACACGCACCTGCTGAGCCGCTTTGACGATGCGGCATCGGAGGCCGCCGAGCTTGCGTCTCTCAACGCGACGCTGGCCGGACACGACAATGGCGCCCAGCGCATCCTCTACGTCGACCGGCTGCGCGTGGACCGCGACGAAGCGCGGCACGAGGCACTGGCGCTGCGGCTCGAGCTCGACGCCGCGCAGCAGGCACAGACGGAGCTGGCGCGCAAGCTCGAGTGCTTCACGTCCATCGACATGCCGCTGCACGAGCGGCCACGCACCAAGGTGACGCGCGTGCGCCGCCTGCAGAGACCGCTCGGCGCCACGATGCCGACGCCTGCGCTGCGCGACGAGCAGAGCGCTCCAGCGGCGCAGCCAGTCGCGGCAGCAAAGCGCACGCCGCCTCCGCCGCAGCCGACGCACTCGACGCCGGCGCCTCGCCGTGCCGCAGCGGCCTCCACGCGTCTGCCTGCGCGGCGGACGCCCATCAAGGTCGCGCCCCTGCGGCCAGCGCACCACCGCAGCCTCGGTGGCGGCGCGACAGGCTCGGACTGGCTCGACGAGCCCGAGCCGCTGCAGGTGCGCCCGGTCACGCCTGGTCGCGCCGCCTTGGGCCTGTCTGCCGAGGGCGAGATGACGCTGGACGAGCTGCGTGGTCGCTGATGGGGTCGCGCTGTCTGTCACTTTTTTTGCCCTGCTCTCCTTGCCTGCACGCTACGCTGCTTGATACTGCTGTAACCCTGGTCTATTGCCCGCCCACTCTCGCTCATCGCCCGCCGAAGTTGAAGATACTCAGCAGCGCAAAGACGGAGTAGAGCAGGCCGACGGGGTAGGCGATGAGGAAGCGCTGCTCGCTGAGCCGCATGATCGAGACGAAGATGCCTGACGCCGAGCTGGACGACCAGAGAATGAAGAGCGGCGCCGCGATGTAGCCGAGCAGCGAGCTGCGCGCACGAGCGGGGCGTCAGCAGCGCATCAGCCGTCGTTGATGGCAGAGTCACTCACTCGAGCGCCACGAAGACGCTGATCGCCGCGAGGATGCAGAGCGGCAACAAGCAGTAGCCCAGCACGCTGGCGACGCGATATGCGTCGATGCCCTCTTCTGACATCATATTCAGCAGCATGTAGATCGACACGTCGCCCAGCAGCGCCACGCCGTAGATGTAGCCGAACTGCGACTTGCCCGACTGTTGCAAGAGGCGAAAGAGGTCAGCGTGACCCACACCGCATGGGCAGCTGCATGCCTCAGTGCATTGCGGCGACGTCTCTTGCCAGCGTGCAGAGTGCAGCACGAACACAGCAGTCCAAGTAGCAGCAGCGTCTGGCCACTCGTGCGGCCCCTTGGTTCCGGCCCCAAAGGGCGCACGCACTTGCCCCCCCCCCCTCACTCCGTTGCCCAGCACACTCACCAGCAGCAGCAGCATGCCAAACGCAAAGCAGAAGATCAGCGGGCCTGCCAGATCTGTGTCGTCCATCATGTGCGCGTCGCGCTGGTGTGCGGCCGAGTAGCGGTGCACGGGGTTGAGCACGGTGAGCGACTTGTCGAGGATGTGCGAGAAGTTGATGCCGAGCTCTGCCGCGCGCGCCAAGGGGGCTTCAGCCGCCGCGCGAGCACATGTCTGCCAGCCAAGCACCGCACTCACCCTCCATCAGCCCCGGCTCGTCGGGGAAGCCGCCGGTGCCAAAGGCGCTCCAGAAGCCCATCTGCGCATTGAGCATGGCGCGGTCGGCGGCGCCGAAGCTGCCGCTCATGTTGCCCTCGAGGCTGGGGCGCGCATCTCCGCCGCCCCCGACGCCGCCATATGCGTCGCTGGCGGACGACGAGTAGAAGGAGAGGGGCGCGGCGCCCGTGGGCGCGGCGCCCGACGGCCCGCCGCCGCCGCGCAGCGCAGAGGCACTGGCGCCGCTGCCGCCGTACGGATCGCCGCCGGCGCGGTAGCTGACGCCGCCGCCGCCGCCGCCTGCCGCACCGTACGGCGAGGAAGAGTCGAAGATGGCGGACATGCGCGAGGTAGAGGTGCAGGTGGATGGCGGTGCGAAGGACGCAGCAGCAGCAGCGGGCGCACGGGCGCAGCAGCGTGGCGCGCCGCGCGGCCGCCGCGGCGCCGCGGCGCTGCTGGCAGCTCGGGCCGAGGCGCGCACCGCCACGTGACGCGCCTCCGCGGCTCGCTTCTGAGACACCCAGATCCAACCGTTGGCTGACAAGCAGCATCACCGTCTTGACCGCCAACACCGAGACAGCCCTCACACACTGGCACACGCACGCTCAGATATAGCTATATGTTCTGGTCGACGGGGCGCTCGATAACTTGCGCAGTATCGCCGCAGCGCGTGCATCGCTTCACAAGCCCTGCCTGTCATCCCATCTGCCCTGCACCGCAGGCCGCTTCCATCCGCACGCCCCTCTACTCGCGCATCAGCACCGCAGCACGCCAGGTCTGCCGCCGCAGCGATGGCAGAGCGGCCCGACGATGCCCGGCGTGCCGACAACGCGCCGCGCACGCGCGCCTTCTATGCCACTTCCGTCTTGTCCAGCCGTGATGGGCGGAAGAACAGCTTCGTCGTCATCGACCTGCCGCCCGTCGCGGCACCTGGACCTCCGGCTGCCGAGCCGGCAGCGCTAGACTCCGCTGCCACGCCGTCTCCACCCGCCGAGGCTGCACCGCTGCGCTTGCTGCGCCTCTTTCGCCTGTACTGCGACCGGGCATTTGCCTTTCTATGGGAGGATCTCTTCGCGCAGTCCGATCACGAGGAGGAGGTCCCGCCACCGACGCCAACAACCTTGCCTCGCAACAGTGGATCAACAGAGATTACGGAGCGGCAGCACGCCATGCTCACGGCGATGAACGTATCTCTTGTTTCCTCCGGCGTCGGTGTCAGGTGAGATAATCAAACCTCGGGTACGCATCTTTCGCTGACCTCGAGCCCGTGTCACAGCGATGCGCCGGATCGCTGGAGCGAGGCCGCCGCATCGCTCTCGTCGTCTCGGATGGAAGAGCCTTTCATCGAGGCGGCTCGCCTCGTCGAGAGCTTGGCCACTGCAGATGACCCGACGGGTCTCTCGCCCACCTTCCTGAGCCTCGAGCAGGGCCGCATCGTCCTGCAACTGCACACGCTGCGGCAACTGCCATCCGCAGAAACGATTCTCGGGCGTCACGAGCGGCCGTCTGAAGTCGAGTGGACTCGGTCGTGGCTCAAGTGCAACCGACCCGTGATCAACGGCATGCTCGAGCTGGTCCGCATTGCGCGAAACGCGCAGACGCCGTCATCGCTGCCGCCGCTTCCGCCGCTGCGCCTAGTGGGCGTCGAGGACGCAGCCCGCCACGGTCGTCCCCACCTCTGGTCCCTGGTCAGGCCAGCCCTGTTGCTCTTCAGCGGCAACCAAGTGGCCGGTCTGCTCGAGATCAAGAACCGTGACCCAGCGTCGCTCGCTCGCGCCACGCGCTTCGTCAGCACCGCCACGCGTGCGGCTTCGCTCGCGATCGACAAGCAGCTCATCGAACAGCTGTTCGTGCAGACCGCCAGCCCTAATGTCGTGTGTGCTGCGATACTGGGCGACTACGGCCAGGCCTTCGTGCCGTTCGAGCTTCAGCGAGAGCGCGACTCATCGCAAGGCGTGAATGCGCCTGCTGGTTCAAGCGAGTCCCGATGTGCGGCCGCCGAGGGCTCGTCAGATCAGTGCAAGGGACCTGTCTACCCGCCGCGCCAATACCGCATCTCCTTCGCGGACGAGGCTACTTTCGCGGAACTGTCCCCGGGAGAGCGAATGCCCGCGGCGGCCAATTCTCCGGAGTCTCCGCAGCAGGTTCGCTGGACATCGGACGGCAACATGATCATGTCGATCGTCAGATGGGCCCTCTACGCACAGCTTCGCTCCCAAGAGTCGTCGCCTGTCGCTACTCACGGCCATATTGAGACGTGGATCTGCATACATGTCTTTCCGGCGAGCTTCCAAGCGCAAACTCGCGCGGCTCGACCGCGGTCCGGCGAGAAGCACAGTCAAGGACGGCCTCCCAAGCGAAATCGCATGTCTGCGGCGCAGGCGGCAGCTGACGGCGGCGCGCATGAAGGCGCAATTGCGAGCGCTTCGCCTGATGCGAGATCGTCCGGTGCTTCTAGTCGCTCAGCGCGCACGGCCCTGAAGACTCCCGACCTCTCGTCACTCCTCATCCCGGAGGGTGAGTTCGCTCGGCCCCGCAAGTTGTCCGCCTCGAGTGCCGTCGACACGTCCTTCTACGCCTCGCCGGACCGCAGCGAGGACGTGGACGAGGCATCACAGACGGACGTGTCTCTCTCCAGCGACAATTTTGGCTCCGTGAGCAATGCCTCGGTCGTGCCTTCCGAGCCCGCCGGCCGTAGCCTGCCCCGGCCGGGCGACATCGGCGACTATCTCTACGTCGCGCTCGCCCCTTTCTCTCAGAGCAACTACGCAAACGTGTATCGCGCGTGGCGCTCGTCATGCTACACTCAGCTCGACCCGGCTCTGCCGCAGCCGTATCTCCGCACAGTTGCGCCTTCGGGCGCATCATCTTGCATGGTCAAGGCGCCGCGTCAGACCGATGCGGGGCTGATCGCCGAGGACGAGGACGAGTGGCAGCGCAGCCGGCGCGAGGATCGCGAGAAGGACGCCATCCGCCGGGCGTCGTACGAGGCCGACGCCTACGCCGCGCTGGCGCCGCTGCAAGGAGTCGTCATCCCGCGCCTGCTGTACGCTGGCCCCTTCGAGCTATGCCTGCAGGGCAAGATCCCGGTGCTGCTGCTCGAGGACGTCGGCGGCGCTCCGCTGTACGCGGTCGATCCGGCCACAGTGGTCGTGTCCGACGTGCGGGCCGCTGTCGTCGCAGCATATGTGCAGCTACATGCTGCTGGCTGGTGTCATCATGATGTTGCTCAGCGCAACATCATGCTGCTTGACGACGGGAGAGCTGTCATCATCGACCTAGAGACTGCGCGCCGCGAAGCCGAGCAATATGCCGAAGGGGAGATGATGATGCTACACGAGATGCTGAACAAGTGGGAATCAGCCGCGCCTGACTCAGACTATGAGAGCTATTGACACGATGCCCGACAATGTATAAGTCTTGCGAGATCAACGTGCAGAACGGAGGTCGCTGTGCGGGAGATGGAGACGAGGGGAAGGGAAGGACTCGCACGCGGCGGGCCGCCGCCGCCGCCGCTTGGCCTGAGAAAGACTCCGCCTTTCGCTTGTCTGGACGCTCGGATGCAATGACGGAGATGCAATTAGGGCACGCATGCCGGGAACATGTGCGAGATTAGGGAGACGATGGCATGAGGGGAGGGCTTAATGCGAGGGCGCCAGTGCGTCAGAGCCGCAGGCGCCAGCCGCGCCGCTGCAGCTCGACGGCGGCAGCGCAGCACGAGGCGAGATAGAGGAGCATGACGAGCATGGCTGGCAGCGTAGGCATGTGCAGCGTGCGCAACGACAGGTTGACTAGGCCGGTCAGCACGTTGCCCTGCCCCGCGGGCGTGTCAGTTAAATTGCGCAGGATGTGTGCAGAGCGAGGCCCGGCACTCACCAGCAGGAAGACGACGAGGCCGTGCTCGTTCAGCGCCGCAAACAGCGGCGGCGTGTGGCTTGCCTCGGGCACACGGCCGTGCACGAGCGTCATGTGCACGCCGACGTAGCCGAGCAAAAAGCTCAAGTTGAAGGCGCCGACCCAGAGCACGTATGGCAAGTTGGCCTGCGGAGGCGTCAGCAGCCCGGCGCGTCGCAATGAGTGGCAGCCGTTGCTCACCAGCCGGCGGCTTGTGCCGATGCCGAAGGGCACCGTGAGGCCGTAGCCGATCCAGAAGCAGATCGCCAGACTGCCAAGCACCTCGGCCGTCTTGCCGAGCTTGGGCTTGGCGCGCGAGGCACGCTCGCGCCGGTACATGAAGTACGGGTCGAGCGGCAGCACGTAGTGCCCCGTGTCGAGGCCGAGCAGGAAGATGGCGAGGTAGCCTAGGCGAGAAGAAGTCAGCCTACGAGGCCAAGTCTGTCTCCAGCTGTGCTCACCTGGCAGCGACGTCAAGCCTTCCTTGTTCGCATCGATCAGGCCATGCCGTGGCCCGGCGCGAAGTGCCCACGCCTGCAGAGGCGAGAGCCAGAGTGCGCACTGGTACACTGGGTGGCAGCGACATTGAGCGCCATGCGGACATGAAACACTTCACACTGCCACTCACGAGCTGCAACGACCAGGCCCACGACAGACCAGCGTGACCGCCGCGCCAGCGGCCGCAGCAGCGTGCCGGCAAGCGGGAGCAGCGCGAGCGTCAAGAAGAAGTTCCAGTGCACGCCGTACTCCGACACGTGCTCCTACGAAAGCGTCAGAGCGGCTCTTGCGGCCTCTGCGTCCTACTCGCCGACTCACTGGGTATTCGCTGCCCTTGACAGCGACGACGCGCGCCAAGCCGAGGATAAGCAGCGGAATGGCCCGCTTCACATCTCGTCGCGCCGCAGCGCGAAGCGGCTCGTAGCGCGTCCGAGCTCGCAGCAGCGGCCGCGCCGAGACGAGACCGAGCGAGTAGACAAACGAGCCCACCCCGAGATCCATCTTTGTGGAGCCGACGAGTCAGTAGCGCTCCACGATCCCTGCCTCCACTTCGGCGCCCCAAGCATCTTCCGGCACTGCATGCCCTCACACGAGCCAATCTGTGCCCCCCCCCCCCGGGACCTCGGACCGCCGGGGACAGCCCCCCTCCCCCTTTCCTCCCTCCGGACACGCGACTCACCAGACTGGTGCCCCAGCTCTCACACTTTGCCAGCTCGCGCGCAAAGATGCGCTCAAAGTCGACTGCCAGAATGCAGATGAGCGTCATGAGCATCATGTGCGCCCGATACACGGCGATGAAGGGCCGAGCAGCCGGCACCGGATCCGCTGGCGGCGCGGCTGCTCGCTCTGCTGCTCCTCGTGACGCGTTGCTTCGTGGCGGCTCGACGACGGGCGAGAGGCTCGGGCTCGACGTCGAGGCCAGCGAGGACTGGCGGCGCGGCTCGCGCGGAGCTGTGCGCACCTCACGCGACAGAGGGCTGCCGCTGCGTGCTATTGATGCGCCTGGCAGCGGCGACACACTGCGGCTCATGCCCGGTGCATCCGGCACCGAGGGCCGCCTGGCGCTGCCGTCGTGTGCCAGGCCCGTGTCTGCACTGCTGCCCGTGGGCGAGGCCTCTGCGCCGCGCAGCTCGTCGGGCGCCGCGTACATCGTCGGCGGCGCCGCGGCGGCGTGGGCGGCATCGGCGGCCGAGTCGATGCTGATGCGCATCGGCGGCTCAGCCAGCAGCGGTACGGCGCTCTCGGGTGACCGTCGCCGAGCCTTGGCCGGCGTGCTCGACGAGGCCTGCTGCGGCGCGCTGGCGCGCGCCTGGGCGAAGAAGCAGCCCGCCAGCAGCGCGGCATTGAGCACGAGGCTGAGCGCCGGCGAGGAGAAGAGCGTGCATGCCAGCAGCAGCGGCACGACGAGCAGCGCAAACTGCGCCGCCAGCGAGGCAGGCCGCAGCAGGGCGTGCAGCGCATACGAGGAGAGCGCCGTGGCGGAGAGGAGGTGGATGCGCGTCAGGCTCGAGCCGGCCAGGTTCGACACGGACGCCTCCTTGGCCAGCCGGTACGCTGCTGCCGAGTCGGCCGCCATGGCTGTGGCACCAAGCGGCAGAGCGTCAAGAGCGGAGCGAGCTCTTGACGCCGCCGCTGCCTCGCGAGCGCCCGGCGCGTGCGGGTGGAGGCGCCGCAGCTGCTACGACGGACGTCGCGGCTCGCGCTGCTTCAGAAGCGTGGAGCGTGCTAGCGGGTGCGGCGAGGCTCGCGTCAAGGGCTTGGGCGATGCGAAGTGAGGTCGGGGTGCTAAAGGAAGCGGCCGTGCTGGAGAGAGACCCGCTCAAGCCATGCCTCGGCGAAGGTTGCAGCGCGGCGCCGGGCCCGCTGGCGTAGCGTGGGCTGTGTGCGCGCTGCTGCTGGCCTGCCGAACCGGGCCCACGACGGACGCGCCACTACGCCGCCGCCGCCGCGCGGATGTCGGCCGCTCGCGTCCCACGCGCAGCTTGCCTCGCCTCCACACCACCCTCTCGCATCATGACCGACCTCTTCACCTCGTACGCCTCCGACTTTGCCGAGCTGGCCGAGGCCATCGAGGGCAAGCTCGGCGGCCTGCCTGCCACGGGCGAGGCGCGCCGCGCGGCCCTGCGCCGTGCCGACATGGAGGCCGAGGAGGCCGAGGAGATCCTCGGGCAGATGGACGTCGAGCTGCAGGGCCTGCCGGGCGCCGCAAAGGCTCGCTGTGCCACCGAGCTGCGCGAGCGCAAGATGCGCCTCGAGAAGATCCGCAAGGACATTGTGAGTTGCTCTGGCACGGCGCATGCGGATGCCGCAGCTTGCTGACAGGGTGAGGCTTGCGCGCCTGCGCAGCGCTCAGCCACATCCCGCTCCACGGGCCGCGAGCTGCCCGGCGGCGGCTTTGCCGACTCGGGCGGCGATCTGGAGGCCGAAGGCGAGGAGGGCGCCTACGCGCAGCGGCAGCGCCTGCTGCAGGGCACTGCCACGCTCGAGGACGGCTCGCGGCGCCTCGAGGAGAGCCACCGCCTGGCGCTGCAGACCGAGGACATGGGCGCAGACATCCTGCGTGACCTGCGCGGGCAACGAGAGCAGATTGAGAACAGCAGAGATACGGTGAGTTTGGCTGCAGAGATGAGGCTGGTGCATCAAGGTTTGAGGGCGTCTGGGCATTGTGGAGGGCGAGAGTGGAGGACCGGCCAGGCGCAGACCAGCTCTGGCCTTACCTGTTACACTTTGCTGAAGCTACGTGGCTGACTTCATGCTCTCGTCGTGTCTAGCTGCGCCAGGCCGACACCAACATCGACCGCTCGAGCCGCACGCTGCAGCTGATGATCCGCCGGTGAGGCTCGGCCGCTCAGCCCTAGGACCTCGGGCTCGCACTGACGCTACTCCATCCTTCCTACTCCTGCTTCCACTCCCATTTTCTCATCTCGCGCCGCTGCTGTGCTTACTCCAACGGACGTCGTCTCTGGCCGTTTGGCTAATCTGCCACCCGTTCGCCCACTCCGCTCCCCCGCAGCGCAAAGCAACAAAAGCTGACGATGGCGGCCATCCTCACGGTGCTGGTGCTGCTCATCCTGCTCATTCTGTGCGTGTGCCACCCTGCGCTCTGCTAAGCGTGCATCAGCTGATCAATCCTCGGCAACGCAGGTACTCCAAGTTCTGAGCATGCCCAGCCACTGCGCTCCTCTTCGATGTCGGTGCCGCACCTGCGATGCGCACCACTCGTGCCCCGCCTTCAGCTCTCCGTGTCCCGTCGCTCTGTGCTTCCGTGCTCTGTACATATACGTCACTTGATCTGTTACTCTGCTCGATGGGCGCTTGCTGCGCCGACATCTCCACGTGGGTCATGGCGCCGTTGTGGGCTGGAGAGAGTGGCAGAGAGGGCCAGAGAAAGACGCTTCCACGCGGGGCGGTGCTCCTTGACCTCAGTCCTGAGCTGATTCTATACTCGTTGACGGCTTCGCTGCTCGATACAAGTCTGAAATCAGCCAGCGAACACCTCTTCGCTGGGAAGAGCGAGAAGTGCTCGTGGCCTGCCCTGACGGCGTGCGGTTCCTGGCGCCTGACGCCGGGGCGCGCGCGCCCGCGCGCCGGCCGCCAGAGCACGCGACTCGACCTCTCTCAGCCCTCTCTTTACTCTGACTCTTCACCATCACCATCACGCAGCAGCTCAGACCTCAGCTACTCGTCCACCACCTCCTCATCCCTCCGCTTTCGTCCGCTCATCATCGTCCGCAAGCCTTCGTCTAGGCCAAGCACCACGCATCACGTGCTGCGGGGCTGTGTCAGAAGTCGACCTCGCCGCGCCTCGAGCCGCCGGCGCGCCGCGCTAAGCCGCGTCAAGCCTGCATCTCGAGCTGCGAAGCCACGCGTCCTTCGCTTCGCTCCACCTCAGCCCCTCCTTCTGCTCGAGGGCGAGCACACCCTCCTCCTCCTCGCGGCCCTGGCCGCATTCGCGCCTTCGCGCGTCGAGCTGCCTGCTGCGCTGCTCTAACCAGTGCCAGCGCATTTCGCTCGCAGCCCTTCTCGCTCGCGCATCGCTCGCGCATCGCTCGCGCACCGCACGTCACGCATCGCGCTCTTGTATGCCCTCGACTGTGCGTCTGCCAGGCGAAACAGCAAGTCAGAAGAAGGCGCGCATCGACGAAGAGTGCCGCCAGCTGCGGGCAATCGCACCGGAGCGCAGAACTACCGCGCAGCGCGCCCGCATCAAACTGCTGCGTGCGAGCGGACGGCTGAAGATGCAGGCCGCCGCGGGCATGGACGCGGCGGATCGTCCAGCTCGTGCCTCTGCCTCCTTCGGCATGGGCACGTCAAGCGCAGGACGTCCTCCTCCTCTCGCGTCCTCCTCGAAGGTGCCTCTCGGGCCTTCAGCGAAGACGGCGCCGCTTCCCTGGAAGCTGACCCATCCGTTGCTTCGCCCGGTGGACGCTCCTCCCGGTGCTGGCGTCGGCGTCTTATTCGCTGCGACTTTTGCGGCGCTTCCCGCCAACTTCGAGCACGTCGGCAACATAGTTGCAGCTCAATTTAGACAGCTCGCCAAAGATGACCGCCTTCGTACTCCTCAGCTCCTCATGCTTCCTAAGCTTGAGTGCGACTTCAGAGCGCTCCGCCCGCCGGAAGCAGACTACGCGGAGCACCTGGCGCTGCCCGCCGGTGCCATACACGATCGCGCAATCATCAGCAGCGCTCTCGATCGCTTGCTGAAGCTCCGTCACAAGAACGGCAGACTGGTGCTGAAGCTACGGACGCAAAGAGCACTGACCTCGGACAGTGGCACGAACCAACCCGACGGGAACCGTGCGCCCGAAGAGCAGCCAGACGACGAGCAGAGCGCTAATCAGCAGCTCATGCCGGTCCGAGATTACTACCGTGTCGAGGCGGAATTGCGCTTGATGAAAGTCGAGAATGCCACGCTCAAGGCAAAGCTGGAAGGAAGTGCCGCCCGGCCCGGTGCGACATCACATGCTTCGGGTGGCGCGGCAACTGCCTTCGATCTCTCAGCTGAGACGCGACTGTCTGCTGCTCTGTCGGATCTCGCACAGGCGCAGGCCTCATCACACGAGAGCCAGCAGCTCGTCGCTGATCTTCGGCGCCGCCTCGACGAGGCGCAGACGCACGGGCGCGAGCAGCAGGCCCGCGTGGAGAAGCTGCAAGCGCGACTCGTCAAAACGAAGAACAAGCACAAAGCGCAGAGGGACAAGTCCAGCACTGGCGAGCTAGCCGAAGGCTCGCCAAAGCCTGCCAATTCGCCACCGGCGCCGTCGCGCGCGACGGCCGAAAGCTCAAGCTCAGCGCTGTTCCGTTCGGCCACTACGCTGCCGTCTCCGCCTCGGGCGGGCGCGTCTGGCACGAGCCAGCCGGCCATCAAGCGCGAAGAGATCGAGGAGATGGAGGTCGACCAGCTGGCGGCAGATAGCGAGCATTCCGTCGAGCGAAGCACTCGTGCGGCGCGCACACCAGCAGCGCCTGCTCGTGCCGACAGCGCGGCGCCACCGATCAGCGCGAAGCGCAAAGGCAAGGCCAAGGCGACTGAGGTCGTCGAAGTGAGCTCAGATGCCGAGAGCGACGCGTCGTCTTCGTCATCCGGATCGGGCTCTGAATCGCAAGCATCTTCGCGACCGTCAGTACAAGCACAGGCATCGGCGCAGCGCGGGCGGCCAGACGTCATTGTCGTCGACGGCGCGGAGAGCTCGTCTCGCTCATCGTCGGGTGCTCGTGCGCCCACAAGGATCCTCCCACCGGTCGCGCCTCCGCGGCAGAGCGAGGCCGGCCCGGCGAGCTCAAGGAAGGCACGCAACCAGGACGCAGCACGAGAGAAGGCGCGCGAACTCGCGAACAAGGAGCGAGCATCCGAGGAGAAGGCGCGTCTGCGCCGCGAGCGCAAAGCAGCGCAGGCACGCATGCTTCTGGAAGAGCAGCGAGCCCGTGCCGCAGCCGAGGTCGCCGAGGCGCAGCGGCGCGCGGGTGCGCCTTCTTCGGCTGTCGAGTCGCAGCGCGCCGCCGAGAAGAGCGCCCACAAGGCAGCCAAGCGAGCGCGAAAGGAGAAGGAGCGTGCTGATCGCGAGGAGATGCTCGCAGCGCAAGCACGGCTTGCCGAGCGCCAAGCTCGCGTCGATCGCGCGCCAGACCCGCCCGCTGTCACCTCTGCTGCCTCGACATCGGCGCCGGCCAGCAAGAAGCGTCGGCGCGAGACGGATAACGAGGACCAGCAAGCTCGCCCTGGCGGCAGTTCCCGCTCACGTCCGCGTCGCAGCGATGCAAGTTCTGGCGACGCACGCTTCTCTGAGTGGCAGCGCGATGTGGCCATGCAGGGCGGCGCGGGAGATGCAGCGTCGAACGACGACGACGATGCAACGTCGATGGAGCAGTTCCTCGAGTACCAGCGCTGGAAGCAGCGCATGAAAGACTTGCGTCGTCAAAAGGACTCGCGCATGGGTCGGCAGAGCGATGCCGAGGAGGACGCGCCAGTGGCGGCAGCACAATCGGGTACGTGACAGCGCCGAGTCTCGATCAACAGTGCACTGACGCCACCTTCTGCAGGCTCGGGCGCTGCCTGGAACAGCACTCCGTCAACCCGCCGGCCGGCAGCGGCGCTGCCAGTGGGCAGCTCGACCGACTCGTCGTTCGCACGTCTAGAGTTGCAGCGCGCGGTGCCACTGCAGGCGGCGCAGAGTGGTGCTCCAATGCCGCCCGTCGCACCTCCGGGTCCGGCCAGCAGGAAGCGATGGACGCAGGAGGAGGTGCGTGCTGAGCACTGCAGCGTCCGAGCTGCTCGCTGAGACTTGTATGACAGTTGCGAGCCCTCGAGGATGCTTGTAAGGCGAACCTGAGCCGCCGTGACCTGCGATACCATCAAGATCGCCAGGAGGCCGTGTACGATGCGTTCTGCAACGCGACCGGCCCGCCATTCCGCACGATCAGCGGCGTGTGTCAGAAAGCGTACGAGAGCATGTACTGGCCGCCGGTAAGTCTGCGCCTTGTCAATGCTGGGCCGTAGATGTCCGGGAGCTGACTACGTCGTCAACGCAGGACAAGCGTCCCATTGGCCCGAATAGCAGAGCGGGGCCGGCTCAGCCCAGCTCAGCCAGGCGTCGCGAGAGACGAGCAGACGCCATCTAGCTGCCGGCTGCCTCAGCGGACGCAGTAAGACCAGGCGCCCAATCGCATCACTTGTATCTTAGACCGGCGACCGTTCCTCATCCGTCACCTAGGCCGCCCTACCATCCAACTAATTCAACGTTCATCCCCGTCTGCGTCTCATTCTCACACGCCATGCGAGCGGGGAGCATCTTTGACATTGCGCATTCTAGCATCGTACGTTGGCGTGCACCGCCGACGGGGCACCGAGTACGCTTAGGTGACGCTGTGCCACAGTCTGCGTCAGCCGCCGTGCGATGCACGCTTCCCAGCACGCAGCCACTCACGAGAGGTTGCCGAACGTGGCGTCGTAGCCGGGCGTGCTCCACTTGCCCTTCTTGACCATCTCCTCGACGGTGCGGCCAATCTCGGGGCGCGCCTTGATGACGTCGTCGGTGGAGAGCTGGTTGAAGGGACGCGCCTGCTCGATGTTCTGCAGCGTCGCCTTGAGGTCGGCCAGCTCCGTCTCGATCTTCGAGGCGGTGGCCTTGGCCTGCTCGGTCTGTGAGACGCAAACAGCGGTGTCAGAGGCTGTCTAGAGAGTCGCTGATGGCGGCCCGGCGTCACTCGTCGGGCGTATGAGAGATGCATACTGCTCGTCGCGACAAGCCGTGCTGCAGCGCGCGCAGAGCCGCGACCGCTTCTCGAAGATCTCGCCCTCCAGCCGACGTGCTCGTCTGTGCTCGTCTGTACACACTCGTCCGCGCATCGCCTCCCGCCGAGTCTCGAGCCTGTGCTGCAGCAGCCATGCCGCTAGACATAAGGCGTGCTCTTGCCAGGCGCGCCGACCTGTTGAGCCCCGACCATCGGCGAGCACCCCCCTACCATCGCAGTCGACGTGCTTGTCTCGCACGGCCCACTCCCTAGTCGCCATTACGAACATCGCGCATTGGCCTTCTCTCATCACCTCCTGATCTGCACTCACCGCCTTGGACTCGAAGGCGTCAATGGCCTTGAGCTGCGCGTTCACGTCGTACGTGACGGGCTTGAAGTCCTTGAGGATCTTCTCGGCCTTGGCCACGACGTCCTGGTTCTGTCGAAGGTGCGCACGGGCGCATCAGTCCGCTGTTCTTGTGCGCTGCGGCTGCAGCATCTCGCAGGCCCTGGCGAGGGCATCGCCTGCGAGCTGGGCCGAGGTCTGCAGGCCGGCCAAGCAGAGGGACTACGCTGCCTAAGACCTGCCCGCATGCATGTGGAGTCCCCTGTCGGAGCGCATGACGTCCCCTTGTCCATCGCAGCGCTTCCACCTGCAAATCCTCCCCGTCCTTCACACCGCAGCACAGACGACTCACCTTCAGGACGCCGCGGTAGTGGGCCAGGTCAACATCGGCGCTCTGGCTCTGCAGCAGCGCCAGGCTGCGCTTGGCGTCGTCGGCACGCTTGCGGAAGGCCTGCAGCTGCGACGTCGTCTGCTTTCCCAGGCCAAGGCTGTGTGTGTGTGCGTGGTGCGCACAAGGGACAGCGCGAGAATAGGCAGGTGGCAGAGCGAGGAGGAGACATGCTGCGTCAGTATCGGCCGCCAGCGCGTGGGCCCGAGGCCGCAAGCCACGCTGCTCGCGGCGCTGTGCGCAGCGGCAGCCGGCGTGCACGGCGGCGCACACTCACGAAGAGTAGATGCGGCCCCAGTTCGGAGCGGACATGATGGGCAGGGCGGGGGGTGTGGAGAGGGTGGGACAGCGAATGGCTCGCGCGCTGTCGCTGGCGACGACGCCGCCTTCCGGCCGTGCCGCTCCCAGCGCCCAAGACGCGGCTCGGCGCCGACTTCGAGGCGTGCTTCGCGCCGCGCTGGCGGCCTGCAGCGGTGCGACGAGGCCGGCATCGCCAGCGTCGGCCGGCGACGTCCGCGGTGCGCCAGAGAGCAGCTTCCGCGATGCGCCGAGCGGCACTACAAGTCAGCGCCGCGCGCGTGTATTTGCTCGGCTGGCCATTGTTGTAATGCCGTCCCGTCCAGGCAGTCGCGCTCGCAGACCGCCGCCCGCCAGCCAGCCTTCTGCCATCCGCAGCGCGGCGCGGGCGCAGCGTCAGCCGCCGCGCGCCGCAGCGCCTCCTGCTTCCCGCACCATCTCCTCCCCCTCAAGTCGATCGTCACCGTGAGTATGCCGCACCCTCGACGCGCATCTACGGCACGCACCGCACACGGCAGGTGATCGGTGGATTGCACGCATCTCGAGGACGCTGGACAGGCCTGCGTGTGCGGTGGCTGGGGAGGTGTAGCGGCGAGCACCGAGCAGGTTGCGGCTGGGCGCACGTCGCAGGCATCGCGGGCATGGCTACTGCGTCGCATCGGCAACGGCGCTGCGAGAGCTGTCGCACAGCCTGCGCGAGAGCACGACGTGTCCGCGGCCTCGCAGCGCCCGCAGCGAGCACCTGGCAGCGGCTGCGCCGGAGCCGAGCGATGGCACCGCGCCGAGCCTCGCCAGCGATGGGCGCAAGTGCGATGCCGCAGCGCCATGCTGGCGTGCTCGTCTTGCCGTACAGCGTAGCCGGCTGCCACTGTCGCACCCACACGCCTGGCTCACGCCGCTGACGCGTGGTGCCCCTCTCGCAGATGCCGCCGAAGAAGGCAGCCATCCTCGCCGCCGCAAGCAAGACGAGCAAGAAGAAGAAGTGGTCCAAGGGCAAGGTCAAGGACAAGGTGCGTAGATAGCGCTGCGTGCGCGTGCGAGAGGTGTGCTGCTGGCGAGTGCAGGCGCTGATGCTGCGTGCTTGCTCCGCGTGCAGGCCCAGAACATGGTTGTCCTCGACCGCCCCACGTACGACAAGATCCTGAAGGAGGTGCCCACCTTCAAGATGATCTCGCAGTCGACGCTCATCGACCGCATGAAGATCAACGGCTCGCTCGCCCGCGTGGCCATCCAGCACCTCGAGCGCGAGGGCCAGATCAAGAAGGTCATCCACCACCACGGCCAGCTGGTCTACACGCGCGTCAGCGGCGAGTAAACGGCGTCATGCTGTTCCGCTCGTCTCCTGTCTCGTCCATGGGCCTCTTCGTTCTGTAGCACCACACACACACATCACACACCACACCACCACGCATGGGTACCGAGCTAAAAGCCTGGCGCAATCACATGCGCCGTGCGACATGACTTTCCGCGTGACGGTTCCCAGAGGTGTCTAGCGAGCGGCACGGCAACAGCTGTGCCGGCCGCCCGGCGAGTGAGAGCCGTGCACTGGCGACGCCTTGCCGCGACTCGAGCACCGCGGTCAGAGCCTGTCTCGTGCCGCAGAGCGCCCACCACGTTGCGGATCCCAGCCCTGTCCTCGCCCGTCCTAGCAACACTCGTGCCAGCGACACCTGCAGCTCTCGCGCCAGCCGCGGCTCACACACACACACGAAGATGCTGCATAGGAGGCGCACGCGGGGCGCGCCAGTCATGGGATTTTGGGTGGTGGTGGGAAGGGAGTTGCCCCGAGTCTATACACTCGGCATATGAATCGCAGCTGCATGACTCTCGGGGGAAAGGAGCCATTCACGGCCAGACTGCGCCAGACTGCGCCCAGCAAAGGGGCAGCCGACGGCTTGGGTGTCTCGCCGTGCCGAACAGGGTGCGCTCAGACGACGTGGAGCAGCCTACTCCGGATCGAAAAGAGGTTGAGACGAAGTGAAAAGAGACGGAACGGAAACAGAGACGAGAGGAGGCGTGCGCGGAGAGACGGCGCACGCTTACTCCCAGCTCGTCGTGGCGGCGCCGGCCGGCACGTCGGCGGCCCAGTCGCCGGCAGCGGCGGCGTCGGCAGCCGGGTCAGCGGCCCAGTCGACGTTCTCGTTGGCGGCGACGGCGAGGGCGAGGTTGCCCGGGGCGGAGCCGGCAAGCTCGGCATCGCCCTGCGTCTCGACGGCGGCGCCCGACGTGGCAGCCTCGGCAGCCTCGGCGGCAGCCTCGGCCTCCTGCGCCTCGGGGTCGCGGAAGAAGTACAGGTCGGGCATGACCTCCCAGGCGTCGTCGCCGCGCGGGACGGAGCCGCGCAGGCGCAGCACCTCGCGGGCGAGCAGCCACCAGAGGAGACCGATGGAGTGCTGGCCCTTGTTGTTGCCGGGCACGACGACGTCGACGTGGCGCAGCGGCGCGTCCGTGTCGCACAGGGCGATGACGGGGATGTTGGTGTACGAGGCCTCGCGGATGGCCTGGTGGTCGACGCGCGGGTCGGTGACGACAATCACGCGCGGCTCCTTGAAGGAGCGGGTGATGTAGTTGGTGAAGGAGCCGGGCGTGAAGCGGCCGGCGATGGCCGTGGCGCCGGTGTGGGCGGCGAACTTGAGCACGGCGCGCTGGCCGTACGGGCGGCCCGAGATGACACACACGTCGGCCGGGTTCTCGACGGCGGCGATGATGCGCGCGGCAAAGACGAGCTTCTCCCACGTCTTGCCGAGGTTGAGCAGGTGGATGCCGTCGGCGCGGCGCTTGAACACGTACGGCTCCATGGCGCGCTCGCAGTTCTTGCTGCCGATGTGCGTCTGCGCCGCGAGGAGCAGGCTCATGTCGGCCTCGGTGGCCGCGAGAGCGGAGGGCTGCTTGGCGCCGGACATGATGGGTGGGTGGGACGTGACGGGAAGGGGGTCAAAAAGGCTGGTCGTGGAGAGGAGGCAGGCGGCAGCGCTGCCGCGTCGCCGTCATCGGCCGGGCCGCGAGATGGAGGAGCGGCAGTCGTGAGAAGATGCAAGGCGGCGCGCGAGAATGCCGCAGTCGCACGCGCGAGTGTGCGGTACTGCGGCGGGCGCATCACGTGCGACGCGTCCACAGCGCAGGGGCAGCGGCGCTGCAGGGCAAGGACAGCGCTGCAGCGCTCCGCCAGCCGGCGCCGCTCCGCGCCTGTCTCGAGGCGCCGCCGCCCGCTTCTGACCCTCACCACATCCCCCCTGTCGTCATCTTCCAACATGGTGCGCATCCTCGCCTCGCCGTCTCGCCGTCTCCTGTCCCGCACTTCCGTGCACCCCTGCCGTGCCGCGCTGGCCGGCACCTCTGCGCCTGCGCCGAGCCGCGCGGCCACCCGCCGTGCAGCAGTGTTGCCAGCTGCGCGTCCACGGAGCTCGCCGCTGTCCGACACGCGGCAGCTGCCGCAGCGCACGCGTATGGTCGTACCATAGCTCGTTGCGTCGTAGCCGCAGAGCCCGTGGCGGCGGCCAGAACGCTGCTGCAGGCGTCTCTGTGGGCACGCCAGCGCAGGCCACGAGGTCTGCAGCCTCGGCAATGGCGTCGCAGGCGAGGCTGCCACTGCAACGGGGCGGCGCATGGGCTGGGCTCAGGTGGTTGCATGAGCCAGCGAGGCTCCGGCCAGAGCACCAGACGGCCGGGCTGCTCTCAGGAGTGGGCGGAGACTCTGGGCAGCAGCAGCGTGGAACGGCCGCTGTGCCGCCGTGGCTCGCTCCGTGTCGTGGCCAGGCCACCGGCGTTTCGCCCCATCATCCGCCTCGACAAAGAGCTCATCCCGTTGCGCCGCCTACAGCCGTCGCAGAAGACCTTCCGCATTAAGAGCAAGCTCGCGGTCGCGGCCAAGAAGTCGCGCCCGATCCCGCAGTGGTTCCGCCTGAAGACTGTGCGTAGCGCCCGCTGCCCTGACTGCTCTTCACGTGCTGACATGTGCTGTGACGCTCGCAGGACAACAAGAGTGCGTGTTCATGGAAGAGCTGGTCAGGCGGGGAGAGGCGGGGCCGAGCGAGGCCAGGCCGGCAGGACGCGGGGCTGACATGGTGCGCCGCTCTGCAGTTCAGTACAACAAGAACCGTCGCCACTGGAGACGGACGAAGCTCGGCCGTGAGTATGCCGTGACCAGAGAGCGAGCTGGGCGGAAGGGCACACATTGTCGCGCATGCAGAGACGTGCCGTTCGCCCGAGCAGATGGAGAGCGACAAGTGCTGACCTTCTCGTGCGCCCACAGTCTAAACGCCGACTGCTCTCGTTCTGCTCTGCGCTTCCCGGCTCTCTTCATCATCACCACCATCCATCACCTCGCACACGCGCGCCTGTGGCACCCTATCGCCGCAACTCATGTACACTGCACTGGTCCGCGCGCCGGCGCTGCCGGCGCGACCTGACGAAAATCTCACCTGCCAGCCAGCGTTGCTCGTGTGCAGTGGGTGTGCGGCCGGGATTGCGAGACGGGGGGAGTGCACGAGTCTAGCGTGTGGGCCATGGGTGCGGGCGAGAACAGAGAACGCATTGGCATTGGCAGCACGCGGGATATCCTGCTTCGTCACGATGCCCAGGCGCATCAGCGACTCTCGCATCTAAGCGCGCTTCGTCCGCTGCAGCCGGATCGGCTCGCCCTGCTCGTTGAGCAGGCACTCGCTCGCCGGCAGCACGCGCGGGCCGTCACCGACCTGCGTGTGGATCAGGCGGCGCACGGCGCCCGCCTCGTGCACGGGAATGACGGCGGCGTTGAAGCCCTGCGGCAGGGCCTCGGGCAGCGGCTGTGCTTCTTGTGCGCCGCGGTGCGACGCGTTGGCGCCGGCGCCGAGGAGGTTGAACTGGGAAAGGCGGGGTGGTCAGCTGCGAGCCTGCGTCTGGGCAACCTGCCTGCCCCACTCACCGTGTCGTCAAAGTCGGCATTGGGGAAGTAGTGGCGCACGAGCTGCAGGATGAGCGGCACGTTCTGCTTGGGCGCGTACAGCACGGCGTTCGGCCCAGCGTCGTACGTGTACGCAGCAACGGCGCCGCTGCCGGCCGCGCGGCTGGCGCGGTTGAGCTCCTCGACGAGCGCGACGATGGCGCGCGAGACGTCGTTCATGTAGAAGATGGGCGGGCTCGTGTCGAGGCAGCAGGCGTGGAAGTTGTTCGAGTCCTGCATCGTGGCGTCGGCGAAGCTCTCAAAGTCGCGTGCGGCAATGGCCTTGCGCATCGTGTCCATGCGCTGCGGCACGACGTTGGCAATGCGCGCCGCGAGCAGCGGCGACGTGGCGACGGAGCGCTGCATGCCGGCGGTGGAGGGCGTGCCCTTCTTGGCGTCCGAGACGACGCAGATGAGCGCCTGCAGCTCGGGCCAGTGCTCGCGCGGCGCCACCTCGACGGCCAGGCTGTCCGAGCCGTCGGCGGCCTCGCCGCCCTGCCACGCCACAAAGCCGCCGAAGAGACTGCGGCACGCCGAGCCGGAGCCCTGCCGTGCAATGCGCGACAGCTCAGACACGGACACGCTCGACGACAGCTCAAAGAGCGTCGAGACGGACGAGACGAGCGCGGCGAAGCCCGACGCCGACGACGCCAGGCCGGCAGCGGTCGGGAAGTTGTTCTCGCTGCAGATGCGCAGCGGGAAGGTGGAGAGCTGCAGGCGTGTCAGCACGTTGGAGGCAAGGCTGGCATGGCAGTGGTCCGGCAGCACAAGTCGTTGCGCATCCTCGCACGCAAGCGCTCGGGCAGCAGGCAAGCTTGCGAGTGGAGGAAGAGCAGCATCCCTGCCTGACCTTCGCAGCCTCGCGCACAAGCTCTCCGACAGATCTCGCAGATCCTGCCTTGCAAGGCTTGACAGTGACACTCACCTTGGGCAGGCTGCTGTCCTTCTCCTCGAGGGCGCGGCGCTCGCGGCGCAGCTCGTCGATGCAGGTGCGCAGGCGGCCCGACTCGCCGATGCTCTCCTCGACGCCGTTGAGCCAGAGGCGGTCGCCGGCGGGCCAGGCCTGGTCTGCGGCGGCCGAGGTGAGGCTGCGCAGGTGGTCCTGGTCCAGCGTCACGGAGAGCGAGTCGTTGGTGGGCAGGATGAGCGGCACGTCGCGCTTGCCCCAGTACTTGACGACGGCAATGTTGACGGGCGCAGAGCAGGTGGCGGTGTGCGGCGCCATGATGAGTGAGCGTGTGTGGGATGCGACGGGGGGATGGGAGAGGCGGGAGGGAGAGATGCACAGCCGACACCGAGCTCGAGGCGCGCTAGCCGCACCGAACGCATGATCTTCTCGCGCGCGCGGCCGCGCCGCACTGACCCCGCCTGCGCGCCCCCAACACTCGCGGCGTCGAGCTCGCTGCCCTCGGCCGCTCCTCGTCGCCAATCTCAGCACCAGAGGACAGCAGGACGCAAGTCAAGCTACTCGAAGCATCAGGAGCACCGGCTCGCGGGCACGGCCGCAGCCACGGCAGCAGGAGGGAGCTAGCCCCAGGCGCATCACGTGACGCCAGGGTGTCGCTGAGCCGGCTCTGGCTGCGCTCCGCCGCCGCCGCACCTGCAGCGCGGCGCGTGCTGAGCCATACTTCTGTCAGACGACCACCATCCTCTGCTACGCCTCTTGCTGCCCGCCACCCTCCTCGCTGGCACCAGGCACTTGCTGCCTTTCGCGTCCCACACACTGCCCTCTGCCCGCCGCCGCCATGGCCGTCGACGAGGCTGAGCAGATCCGCGAGCTGCAGGCGGCGCGCACCGCCCTCGGCGCCAAGGACAAGGCGGCATTCGGCAAGGCCGGCGCGTACGGCGCAGACGAGACGTACGGCGGCGGCCGCAAGAAGTCTGACTACCTCACCGAGCTGCCCGCCAGCAGCGGCGGCGCCGGCGGCGACAGCGACGATGACGACGATGACGAGGGCGGCTCGTCCAGCCGGCGGCGCCGCAACCCGCTCGACGCCTTCAGCGCCCCTGTGCACTTGCTCAACGAGTTCGCCAATGACGACGACGACCCGATGGAGGACCGCTCAAAGCAGCGCCAGATCGCGGCGCGGCAGAGTGACTACCACCTGCGGCGCTTCGAGCGCGATGCGGGGCCCGAGAAGGGCAGCGATGCGATTGCGGGCGAGGGCGAGGGCGGGTACAAGGAGGCCATGCGGCGCGCAGAGGTGGAGCGCGAAGAGGACCGTGTGAAGCGCATCATCGAGGCCAAGGAGCGCGATGCCATCGAGGCACGGCAGAACGGCGTCGAGGACGAGAAGCCGCTGGGCGCCTCTGCGCCCGACGCCACGCCGCGCGTCGAGCGCAAGCGGCGGTGGGACACGGGCCCGGCCGAGACGTCGAGCCGCGCCTCTGACAGCGGCTGGAGTGAGAATGGCGATGCTGCAGACGCCACACCGCGGAAGCGTCGCTCGCGCTGGGACCAGACGCCGACTGTGGGCGCCGATGCGGCGGGCGGCGAGACGCCCAAGCGCTCGCGCTGGGACCAGACGCCGGTGGCGGCGGCGGGCAGCTCTTCGGAGGGCAGCGCGCTGAGCGGCTTCGCTGGCCTGCAGACGCCGATGGGCATGATGAGCGACGGCGCCTTTGTGCTCGACCCGCGCAACCGCTACCTGTCCGACGAGGATCTCGACCGCATGCTGCCGTCCGAGGGCTACACGATCGTGCCGCCGCCGGCCGACTACGCGCCCATCCGCACGCCCGCGCGCAAGCTGATGCAGACGCCGATGGCCGCCGGCGGCGGCGGCTTCATGATGTTCGACGAGGCCCAGTCGCGCGCGCTGGCCGAGGAGATGGCGCCGGACCTGCCGACGGACATTCCGGGCGTCGGGCAGCTGGCCTTCTTCAAGCAGGAGGACCAGGCGTTCTTCAAGAAGATTCTCAACGACGCCGAGGACGAGACGAGCCTGTCGCTCGACGAGCTCAAGGAGCGCAAGATCATGCGCCTGCTGCTCAAGATCAAGAACGGCACGCCGCCAATGCGCAAGACGGCGCTGCGCCAGATCACCGACAAGGCGCGCGAGTTTGGCGCGGGCCCGCTGTTCGACAAGATTCTGCCGCTGCTCATGGAGCGCACGCTCGAGGACCAGGAGCGGCACCTGCTCGTCAAGGTCATCGACCGCGTGCTGTACAAGCTCGACGACCTTGTGCGGCCGTATGTGCACCGCATCCTCGTTGTCATTGAGCCGCTGCTCATCGACGAGGACTACTACGCGCGCGTCGAGGGCCGTGAGATCATCTCGAACCTGTCCAAGGCTGCCGGCCTGGCGCACATGATCTCAACGATGCGGCCGGACATCGACCACGTCGACGAGTACGTGCGGAATACGACTGCGCGCGCCTTCTCGGTCGTGGCGTCGGCGCTCGGCATTCCGGCGCTGCTGCCCTTCCTGAAGGCCGTGTGCCGCAGCAAGAAGAGCTGGCAGGCGCGCCACACGGGCATCCGCATCGTGCAGCAGATTGCCATCATGATGGGCTGTGCCGTGCTGCCGCATCTCAAGAATCTCGTCGACTGCGTCGAGCGTGGCCTCGACGACGACCAGCAGAAGGTCAAGACGATGACGGCGCTGGCTCTTGCGGCACTTGCCGAGGCTGCCGCGCCGTACGGCATCGAGTCCTTCGAGGACGTGCTCAAGCCGCTCTGGACGGGCATCCGGCAGCACCGCGGCAAGGGCCTGGCGGCGTTCCTCAAGGCCATCGGCTTCATCATCCCGCTGATGGACTCGGACACGACGCTCTACTTCGTCAAGGAGGTGACTCCGACGCTGATCCGCGAGTTCCAGAGCGCCGACGAGGAGATGAAGAAGATCGTGCTCAAGGTCGTCAAGCAGTGCGCCGCGACCGAGGGCGTGACGGGCGCATTTCTCAAGGAGGATCTGCTGCCTGACTTCTTCAAGGCGTTCTGGGTGCGCCGCATGGCGCTCGACCGCCGCAACTACAAGCAGGTCGTCGAGACGACCGTCGAGCTGGCCAACAAGACGGGCGTGTCCGTCGTCGTGGGCCGCATCGTCGACAGCCTCAAGGACGAGAGCGAGCCGTTCCGCAAGATGGTCATGGAGACGATCGCGCAGGTCATCGGCAACCTCGGCGCCGCCGACATCGACGAGGGCCTCGAGACGCGTCTCGTCGATGGCCTCATCTATGCGTTCCAGGAGCAGACGCAGGAGGACAAGGTCATGCTGGATGGCTTCGGCGTCGTCGTCAATGCGCTGGGCATGCGCGTGCGGCCATACCTGACGCAGATCGTCTCGACGGTGCTCTGGCGGCTGAACAACAAGAACGCCAAGACGCGCCAGCAGGCCGCCGACCTGACGACGAAGCTGGCCGTGGTGATCAAGCAGTGCGGCGAGGATGCGCTGCTGAGCAAGCTCGGCGTCGTGCTGTTCGAGCAGCTCGGCGAGGAGTTCCCCGAGACGCTGGCGTCGATCATCGAGGCCGAGGGCGCCATTGCCAACGTCGTCGGCATGACGCAGATGAACCCGCCCATCAAGGACCTGCTGCCGCGCATGACGCCGATCCTGCGCAACCGGCACGAGAAGGTGCAGGAGGCCAGCATCAACCTCATCGGCCGCATTGCCGACCGCGGCGCCGAGTACGTGTCGGCGCGCGAGTGGATGCGCATCTGCTTCGAGCTGCTCGACCTGCTCAAGGCGCACAAGAAGGCCATTCGCCGTGCCGCCGTCAACTCGTTTGGCTACATCGCAAAGGCCATCGGCCCGCAGGACGTGCTGCAGGTGCTGCTCACCAACCTGCGCGTGCAGGAGCGCCAGAGCCGCGTGTGCAGCACCGTCGCCATTGCCATCGTCGCCGAGACGTGTGGCCCCTTTACGTGCATTCCGGCGATCCTGAACGAGTACCGCACTCCAGACGTGAGTGGCCCGTGCTCGATGCGCCCGCGCAGCGTGCTGATCCGGCCCTTCTTCCCACAGCTCAACGTGCGCAACGGCTGCCTGAAGGCCCTCTCGTTCGTGTTCGAGTACATTGGCGAGATGGCCAAGGACTACGTCTACTCCGTCGTCGGCTGCCTTGACGACGCGCTGGTGGACCGCGACGCCGTGCACCGGCAAACGTCGGCGGCGATCGTCAAACACATTGCGCTCGGCACGGCCGGCCTCGGGCAGGAGGACTCGATGCAGCACCTGCTGAACCTTGTCTGGCCCAACATCTTCGAGGCGTCGCCGCACGTCATCTCCAACGTCATGGACGCCATCGAGGCGATGCGCGTGGCCCTGGGCCCCGGAGTGCTGCTCAACCACACGCTGCAGGGCATCGTGCACCCGGCACGCAAGGTGCGCGAGCCGTACGTGCGCGTCTACAACAGCTGCTACCTCGGCGCCGCCGACGCCATGGTGCCCTACTACCCCAACTTCGACGCCACGTCGGGCGCCGAGGGCGAGCGCGGCAACGACTGGGTGCGCCATGACCTCCTCTCTCTGCCCCTCTGATCTGTATCCTGCCGGTCTCCTCCTGTTATCACGCCTTGCAATGCGACACACCCCTGCATCTCCACCGCTGGCTGTCTGCGTAGGACGCGCGACCGCTGTGAGGCAAGAACGTTCATTCTAGTCTGGGCGACATCTGCGACGCGGCAGCATCGCAGCGTGCAGCTTAGATGCCCTGCGCCAGGCTGTGGAGAGGCATGAGCGTGAGCTGCCGGGCAGATGCGTCGCCGCAGCGAGCCGACTCACAGCGCGTTGAGCTTCTGCACACGGCTCTGCACGCTCAGGTCGACGGAGCGGTCGCCGAAGTCCACCTGCAGGCCGCCCTGGATGGCGGCCGAGACCTTGTAGTTGACCTTGAGCGACTTGCCCTTGGCAGCGGCAGCTGAGCCCTTGAGGGCCTTCTCGATGCGCTCGGCATGCGCCTTGTCGAGCGGCTGCGCAGCGCACGGAGATGAGCTCGACGTTCGCTTGGCAACACCCGTGCACGCGGCACACTCACGGCAGCGCTGGTGACGGTGATGACAACCTCGCCGCGGTGGGCGCTCATGAGCTCCATGAAGCCCTCGATGACCTTGCTCGTGTCCTGCATGCGGCCGTTGGCCGAGAGGACCTCAAAGAGATTGCTGCGTCGGCGGGTCAGTCGTGGTGTCGGAGAACCTCAAATCACGCTGCTCTCCCGCGCTCGCTAGAGGCAGCGGCGTAGCGCCGGCACGCATCGACGCTCTCCCGGGCCAGTGCGGGACGCAAGTCCCTCTCTATCTGCTCCACATGTCCCGCGGCCACGCGCCCAGGTAGACAGCTGTCGTTCCGGTGCCGCGGCAGCCGCTTTTGACTCTGCTGAGATGCAGCCGTGCGATGCGGACTGACTCGCAACGCCAGCAATCGCTTGACGTGCGGCGCTCCACAGCACTGCAACGTCTCTCGGCGCGAGTCCTGCGCATCTTGGCCAGATGCTGTCCCGAGTCTCAGGCATGACGGACCACATGCGAGCGCCGTCGCGTCGCACTGATCGGCGCTTCTGGGCCTGCAGCCACCTCTGATACCCTTGAACTGCCCAGTGCTGCGCCCTCTCGCGCCCTCCACACCCGCCACGCATGTGTGATCCTCCTCATCACGCTCTCCCTGCGCGTTGTATACTCACCGCGTGATGGTGTTCTCCTTGCCGCCCAGCAGCTTGTCCAGGCCAGCGACCTTCTCCTTGCTCGGCAGGGTCGGGTTGCCAATGAAGTCGCGCAGCTTCGCGGCGTCGGGGCCAGCAAGAGCGGCCTGCACGGCGCGCAGGTCCTTCTCGACGGCCTCGAGCGTCTTGCTGTCCTTGTTGGCAGCGGCAACAAAGGCAGAGGAGGCGTACTTGCCTGCAGAGCAAGCAGACACGGCGATCGGCATTAGTCAGGGAAACGGGGCCAGACACTTGCAGCGCTGTGCAAGCCGGACACACGCACCGGGCAGGCCGTTGAGAGTGAGCGGCGGGCGCACCGAGGTGGCCGTGGCGTAGCCGCGGGTGGCCTGGCGGGCAGGGATCAGCACGGGCTTGGCGAGGAAGGGCCGGCGTGTCCCTTGCGCCCGAGACCGGGGCAGGCACGCCAGCGCCAGACGCGCCGGATAGCAGCTGCAGTCCCGGCGGCGGCGCGCATGGCGGGGCACGCACCTGTGCGAGACGGGGAGCGATGCGGGAGGCGACCATGGTGACGAGGAGTGGGGGAGCGTGGGTAGGGAAGGATGGCAGCTGACGGGCAGCAGTGCCTGTGCGGCGCCGCCGTCGATGCGGTGCTTCCAGCCCAGGCTCGGCGCTGTGCTGGCGGCGGCGGCGACGGCCGGGCAGCGCCGGCGGCGACACGCGGCGGAGTCGCTCTCGCCAGCTCCGCCATCCTAGATCTCTGCAGCACCCGTCCACGCCTTCGCATGGCCTCGTGGTCGAGCAATGAAACATGCAAAATCTACAGCGTGTCTGCGCCGTCACATTGAGCTCGCTAGCTGTGTCCGAGGCCTGTGCACGGCCGAGCATGCCGGCCGTAAAGCCGGCATGCGCGTGGCAGCGATGCGCGATAACCCCCTCACGCGACCCAAGGGCCGGCCCTAGGGCAAGCGAAGTGTCATGCAACGGCGGCAGCGTGTGCGAGATCGGGGCTTTGCGCATGTCTGCGGGCAGACATGAGTCGACGAGCCGCATGAAGCCATCCTGGACGAGCGTGAGCTCGCAGCATGCCAATGCAAACCGGTGCAAGCAGCCATTGCCGGCTCGGCGCTGGAGGGGCGCCACCGGCGCGGCGTGAGCGCGAGCCGAGCGCGAGCCGACGCGGCGGCCTTGCTAGCGCCGCGCGGCAGCGCCGGTGAGTCACTCATTCGCTCCACGACGTCAAGAGCAGCCATCAAGCAGCCTCAACACCTTATATCCGGGCACACGCGCGAGTCAGGATCCACGAGCGCACAAGCGAGCATCTCTGGGACGCATCTGCCGCACGAAGTGCGTGACTCGAGGCTCGGCGCGCAGCGTATAAGACGAGGACGTGGGCACGCATCGAGCGTCTGCAAGTCATCTCCCTGCGCCATGTCGACCGCCACGCACGTCGAGAGCGTCGCCGCTCCCGGTGCTCCCCCACCTCCGTACGCTCCCGCACCCTCCGCATCAGCGCACGGTGAGCAACAGCAAGCGTCGCCTCGGCGGCCCAGCGTAGCCTCCACGCTGCAAGACAGCGGCGCCAGCAGTGCCAGCCTCAGCAGCTCGTCCAGCAACGGCGACTGCAAGTCGCAGGCCACGCTGACGACGCATGCAGCGCCGCCCTCTTCTTCAGGCGCCTATGCCTCGTTCAACCCGCACGTCTACACCCTCCCGATCGCGGCCGGTCCTTCGGCATCGGCACCGCTGCCCAGCGCACCCGTGCATCTGGCAGTGCAGGGCTTCGCCCATCGGCAAGATCGCTTCGTCGTACGCAACGCGCTCGCAGAGGGCGTGCCTGTGGTGCTCTCCACCGACGAAGAGACGCAAGCGACCGGCTGGCAGGCCCGTCTGAGTGCGGCCGGCGAAAAGGTATGTGGCGGGTCCGGCGGCGCCTCTATACGCATCGCACTGACTCCTTGCATCGCAGACGGGCTTTGTCGTCCGGCAGCATGCCACTTCAAAACAGTACGAGCTTGTCGATGCAGACGGCCGGTGTCGTGCTGTCAGCGGGTGAGTTGCCGTCCTGCCTTCGATGCCCGCCGCCTGCTCTGACTGACCTCGCTGGCCTGCAGGAAGAAAAGCTCGCTGAAGATGCGCTTCTCGGTGGCCGGACCGGAAGACGGCAGCACGTGGACGTGGAAGGGCGCTGCCTTCGGGACGCTCGCGCTCAAGTCATCAGGGACGAGCGCCGGAAAGGTGCTGCTTGCCGAGTACACTCGAGGTGCGTCCTGCTTCTCGCCCCTTTTGAGCTTCACGAAGCTGACTCGTCTCGCTTTCAGGGCCACAGCAAACGTCCTCGCTCGTCGTGCACGCCGCCGCCGGCACACACGTCATGCTCGTCGTAGCCTCGCTCCTTCCCGCGCTCGACGCTGCCCGCGCCACGTACGAGAAGAATCACTGGGAGACGGCCGGCTCTCGGGAGGCGCCCGGAGCGCCAAGCGAGTTCGAGACGCGCGTGTGGGCGCGGAAGCCCAAGGCTAGCGGCTCTTCCTCTGCCGCACCATCGTCGGATGAGCCGGAGCCGCGCAAGCGCTCCCTGGCCAGCTTCTTGCTGCCGGGCAGGAATCGTGACAAGTCGGCGAGCCGTGACTCGTCGCCGGCGCCAGACAAGGCCTGAAGCACCGCTAGCTGCTTTCGCCGCCACCTACATCATTTGCTCTAGCAGCGCACATACCCACCACCTCACGCAATGCCAGCACTCTGCCCTCTGCCTTGCAATGCGTGACCATTCTACTCCTCTCCCTCATCGAGCAGCGCGCCATAGTCGACGTCCAGGTCGACAGGCAGATGGAACTCCGGCTCATCGTCCTCGTCGTCGACCTCAAAGTATTCCCAGGGCTCTTGGCCCTCGGGCAGGCCGTGCTCCAGCTCGCGCCGCACGTCGCGCGGCAGACCCCAGAGCTGCGGATCGGGGGCACCGCCGTGACCCGTGACGTCCTTGCGATGCACTACTGCGCCGCCGCCCGCTGCGAGTGGCGGCGTGAGAATGTCCACGAGCGCCTCTTCCTCGTCAGCTTTGCGCCTGGACGCCTCGTCTTCGTTTTCCTGCAACGTGTGAGCTCAGTCAGCACCAGACACGCAGCGACCAGACGTGACAGTGGCGGCAACGCACCACATCGAACTCGTCTTCGCGCTCCTCGTACTCTACATTCTCCTCGAGCTCCTCGAAGCCGGGCGCGTACGCAGACCAGATCTCCGCGGTCGGCGTGAACCAGATGTTGACGGCGCCGCCGGCGCTGGCACTGGCAAGCAGCGGGCGTGTTGGATGCCACTGAGCGTAGACAGTCAGCAGCCGCGAGCTCGACGTTGCGTCAAGCCGCGACTCACGTCGACATCGACGAGCGGCTCTTTGGGGCCCTCGAGGATCTTGTCGAGCGCCCCTGCGCCCCTGTCCCAGATGTAGATGTTGTGCGCCGCGATGTGAGCCGCGCCTGCATCGCCACCATCAGCAAGTACACATGCGTGAACAGACTGCGACGCAGCGCTCACCGGCGTACACATAGTCGCTGTCGCCCGAGAAGCCGATGCCGTTCCAGGGCGTGCGGTTGACGAGGTCCTGGAACTTGTAGCTCGCAGCGTCGGCGAGACGCACGGGGTTCTCTCCTGCCTCCTCGCCCGCCGCTGCCGCCGCCGCACGGCCGGAGAGGACAGAGTATACGCGAATGGCGCGGTCGCTCGAGTTGACGACGAGATTGCGCCCTGCTCCGTCAAAGGCCATCTCGCGCACTGGCGTGATGGCGCCGAGATGCACGCGCTGCACCAGCCTTCCACCACGCTCGCCGTCGGGTGACAAGGCGAAGAGCAGCAGAGAGCCGCGAGAGGTGCCGGCTAGCAGGTGCGTGCCGCTCGGATGGAAGAGTGACATGGTGATGTTGCCGCTGAAGACGCCGCATCAGCATTGCAAGCTGACGCGCAGCAGAGGCCCTCAGGTAGGGGAATCTCGCCCACGCCTTCGAAGAGCGCGAGACAGCGAAGGGTACTCACTCATTGCCTGACTCCTCCTCTTCCGGCGACAGGCCGACGACCCATCGCCGCTCGATGTGCTGCACCTCCACCTCGTCTTCCTCGGCAGCCGCACCGCTCGGCACTGGCGGCTCCTCAGCAGAAGCCCGCTCGCTCTTCACGGCGCCGTTGACTTCGTGCATCTCGCTGTCTCCTTGCGCGGCCGCTCGCCGTCTGCCACGCCGGCGGCGGCGCAGGGAGAGCGATACGAGCACCGACTGCTGCGTCTCGAGGGTGACGAGCAGCAGATTGCTGCGGCGCTGCGCGTCAGGGCAGAGCGAGCGGCCCTTGCCCGGCCCACTCACCTGTCCGACGCTGCGACATCGACGCTCGTGACGGGCGTCTCGAAGCGGACGCTGTGCCGCGCATTGCCGGGCGCCAGGTCCCAGCGCACCACGGTGCAGTCGGCACTGCCCGAGACGAGGAAGCGCCCGTTGTGGCTCCACGCCAGGCCCGTGACGGCCTTGACGTGGCCCTCGAGCACGCGTGCCAGGCCGCGCGTCTCGACGTCGTACAGCACGACGAGGGCGTCGCTGCGGCCCACGGCCAGACAGTGGGCGGCGCCGCGCGGCGGGAAGAGCAGCACGCTGCACGACGCGCCCTGCAGCGTGCTCTCGACGGAGTCGGGCGTCTGCTGCGCGAAGGGGTTGAGCGTCATGGCGGCGGCGGCGGCGCGCCAGGACGAGGCCGCGACGGCAGACCGAGGCCAGGCAGGTGGAGGAGGGGAGCGGCGAAGGCGGAGATGCGGTGCGGAGCATGAAGGCGGCGAGAGGCGCACGGCCGCCTCACGACGCTAACAGTCTAGTAAGACGCGCCGCTGCGGCCGGCGGCTCGCGCTCGGCGACTTTCCGGCGTCCGCACCCCGCACTCGACTCGCCGCCGCCAGACAACGCCGGCCAGGCTTGCTTCTCCACCACATCAACACTCAGGGCAAGCAGCATGCTACGCACTGCACTGCAGAGACTTCATGCACCATCGCCCAGCGCGCTGCGCCGTCTTGCCACGGCTGCAGCGCCGGGACAGCAGCAGCAGGAGCGGCCGCCGGCCCAGGGACCGCTCACCGGCGTGCGCGTGTTGGAGCTGTGCGTCGGGTGCCGTTGCTGCGGCGACATGGCTGGCTGACACTTTCACCACAGCGGACAGCTCATCGCCGGCCCCTTCTGCGGCCAGATCCTGGGCCACTTCGGCGCCGACGTCGTCAAGATCGAGCCGCCGTCGGGCGACCCGCTGCGCATCTGGCGCGAGCTCGACGAGGACGGCACGTCGCCGTGGTACCGCAGCATCGCGCGCAACAAGCGCAGCGTCACCGTCGACCTGCGCAAGCCCGAGGGCCGAGAGTGCGTCGCAGTCCACCGCATGCTCAGCCGTCGCATGCGCTGAGACATTGCCCGCAGAGTTGTCAGGCGTCTCGCTCGAGAGGTGGATGTTGTCATCGAGAACTTCAGGCCCGGGACGATGGAGAAGTGGGGGCTTGGGCCGGACGAGCTCAAGGAGGACAACCCGGGGCTGATCATGGCGCGCATCTCTGGATACGGCCAGACCGGCCCGCTGTCTGACCGAGGAGGGTTCGCTGCCGTGTGCGTAGGCCGCAGGCTCTTCGTGGACGTCTCTGACACCTCGTGCAGATGCGAGGGCTTCGGCGGCTTCCGATACGTGAACGGCTTCCCCAACGACGAGGGCAAGCTCGCTGGAGGTGAGGCAGCTGCCGCCCGCTGCGCGACCCAAACCGCTGACGCAAGCGCAGCGCCCGTGAGGCCGAATCTCTCCATCGGCGACTCGCTGGCTGGTGTCAATGCCGCGCTCGGCGTGGTGCTGGCGCTCTTTGCGCGCGGCAAGGGCGCCGCCGGCGAGCGTCAGGGGCAGACGTGAGTCTCTTATCACGCTTTCTCGCACATGCAAGCCGGCGCTAAGGCGAACCTGCACAGCGTCGACGTGGCTCTCTACGAGAGCGTGTTGTGCAGCATGATGGAGGGCTGCATCCCGGCGTACGACCGCTGCGGCGTAGTGCGAGGTCCATCCGGCGCGGGTGTCACAGGCATCGTGCCCACATCCGCATTCGAGGCTAAGGACGGCTACGTCATAGTGGGCGCCAACGGCGAGGGCCTGTACACGAGGCTCATGCAGAAGATTGGCAGAGAGGACCTGCTTGGGCCCAAGTACAACTCCAATGCGAAGCGCGTCGCGAGGCAGAAGGAGATCGAGGCTGCCATCACGGCCTGGACGCTCAAGCACAGCGTGCAGGATGTGATCCTCGCGATGGAGGAGGTGCGTGTGCCATGCGGGCCGGTCAACAGCGTCAAGGACAGTGAGTTGTGGCTGCGACAGGGATCGGGCATGCGTGGCGCTCAGTCGTTCTGCTTCGCCTCGCAGTTGTCGAGCACCCGCACGTGCAAGCACGCGGCATGGTGGAGGACGTGACTGTGCGCTCGCAGGGGAGAGAATGGACCGTCAAGATGACAAACATGTCGCCGATCCTCGAGCGTGGAGGTGCCACACGCTGGGCCGGTGAGTTGGCTCGCGGCTCTCTGCCTCACGCAGCTCTGACGTATGTACCAGGCGAGGATCTGGGCGCCTCTACGTCCGAGGTTCTGCAGGGCGCCGGGTACAGCGAGGCTGAGATCGACAAGCTGCGGACAGACGGCATCATCTAGCTAATCTCAATGCTTCACCTCCCGCCTCTGCCCTGCGTCTCAAGATGGTGATGTGCTGCGCCCGTGCCGAGAGCTCAGGTTGCCCGAGTCGTTGATGTACGACTGGCGCCGCCGGCTCAGTCGTCGTCGCTGTGCGCCGGCTCGCGCTTCTTGCGCTTGCTTGACGAGCCCGAGGCGGCGGTGCTCTTGCGCTTCGGCGCCGGCTTGGCCGCTGCCTTGGCCGGCGTCTTCTTCGCCGACGCCTTCTTGGCAGGCGCCGACTGCTTGGCCGCCGCCTTCTTGCTGATGGTCTTGACGCGGTACTCCTCGCCGTCGTCGCTCGAGCTGCTGTCCGAGCCGCTGTCGCCGTCGCTCTCCGCCTTCTTCACCTTGCCCTTGCCCTTTGCCTGCTTGCCCTTCTCCTTGCCGCCCTTCTCCGCCTTCTCCGCCTTTGCCTTCTGCTTCTCCGCCTCCCGCGCCTTCTCCGCCTGCTCGCGCAGCACGCGCACCTCCTCTACGAGACGCCTCGTCTCCTGCCAGTCTGCTGGGTCATTGCGCCGGCCCTGCAGCGCGTACAGTGCCGGAACCTCGCGGTTCCAATAGCCAGGAGTCTCGAGCACGATCGGCATCAGGGAGAACCGTTTGTCGTTCATAACCTTGAAGAATGGCCAAAGGCCCAACTCGCCAAGGCCGATGTTGGCGTGGCGGTCCTTGTGCGAGCCGAGCGCCTGCGAGAGGCGATGATCAGCTGCGAGGCATGAGTGCGCTGCCGGGAAACTCACGCCCAGACTGTCGCTGCACGGTCATGGCTCTGAAGTCAGCAGTGTCAAGGCGCAGTAGCACAGGTGACTGACTTCAAGTGCACGCCCTGCCAAGACGAGGTGAGCAGTCGCAAAGCAGCGCGGCGAGCATCAAACTCACCTTGAGGTACCCGAAGCCAATCTCACGCTCAAACTCGGCCATCGTCTCCTCGAAGGCGGCTTCCGTTCTCAAGTCGTAGCCGGCGGCGAAGGCGTGGCAGGTGTCGAGGCACACGCCGACTTTGCTCTTGTCCTTGACGAGCTCTGGGGCCATGAGCGCATCAGACGGGGCGCTCCAGAGCATCAATGACCGTTCCGTTCCTCACTGATGATGAGGCCCAAGTCCGAGAACCGCCCACCAATGATGTTGCCTGCCCCGGCCATGTTCTCCAGGAGAATCGTGGGGCAGCCCTTGACCTGCTTGTGCGCCTGGTTGATGCAGTCCGCAATGGTGCCGCACGCCTCCTCTGTGGTGCAGTTGCCGACCGAGGATCCAGGGTGGAAGTTGAAGAGGTCGATGCCTAGCAGCGCGCAGCGCTCGAGGTCGTCGATGAATGCGCCCATGCTCTTCGCGCGCTTATCTTCGTCCGGATTGCCCAGGTTCGTCACTGCGCGGCGTAGCTGTCAGACAGGAGCGCAGCGGGCACACCCGAGCAGCTCACGGTAGCAGCCATGTGGCATGACCTTGGACGTGTAGCCCTCGGCGAGCACGCGACGCTTAAACTCGTCGACGTTGGCCTGCGGGATCGGCTTGCTTGCCCACGCCATCTTGGGCCTGAATCGGCTCTCATCAGTCACGGCTCTCTCGCCGAGGATTACGGCACGACGGGGCTCACCGCACAAAGAGCGCAAATGCTGCACGACGGTGTGTCAGCATGGCTGGCGCCGGACCGCAGCTTGATCGCGACGCGCTCACCATTGGCTCCGATCGACTTGGCATTTTCAATGGCGCTTTCGATGCCACCAGCCATGGAGACGTGGGCGCCGACGAAGTGCGTCGAGCCCTGTACGCGTGCCGGTACGACTCGCGGCTCGGCCTCGACCTTGCCCTTCTTGACCTTGCCGCCGGGGAGCTTCTCGACGGGCACGGCGGAGGAGCCATCGTCGACATCCGAGGCTGACGGCTCAGGCTTGACCGCCTGCTTGCCCTTGGCCTTGGCGCGAGCGGGCTTGACGTCGGCTACGACCGAGCTGTCGTCCGAGGCCGCGGTCTTGCGAGGCTGTGCCTTGGCCTTGCCTCGAGCCGGCTTGACCTCAGCTACGACTGAGCTGTCATCAGAGACGGCAGTCGTGATGGCCTGCTTCTTCGTCTTGCCCGCACGCAGAGCGCGGGCGCTGGGCAGCGATGCGTCGTCATCCTCCTGCGGCTCATGCTTCACCGCCGCGTCGTCGGGCTGCTTCTTGGGGCGCGCACGACTGCCGCTCGGTCGCGTCTCGACGAACACGACACTGCTGCCCGATGCCGAGGCGGCATCAGCATGTTGCGCGGCCGCCAGCGCCGAGCTGGGCCCGGCTGCGGCGGCCGAGGCGCGCGCGGACCGGCGGGCGGCGGGCATGCTGCTGCTGCGAGCTGGCGGACGTCGTGGTGCTGCCGAGGCAGGATGCAGGGTCCTGCAGCTGTGTGCTGAGTCGCAGCGGTGCAGACGCACGTCGAGTGCCGGGCGAGTGGCTGTCTGCGCTGCCGTGTGCCTTGCGGAGGAGGTCAGGGTGCGGAGGCAGGCGCGTGTCAGCATCAGCGTGCACGGCCCACGCTGCCGTCTCCTCCACAGCCAACGGATCTTTGCCCGCGGCCCGATTTCCGCGCGGTGCGCGAGCCGGCCGAGGTGCCGAGTCAGGGCCAGCCTCTCAGGGGAGCGCCCCGCCTCGCTCTCGCCCACCACGTTCGCCTCCAGTGCTTGCATCACAGCTCGCCGCGCTGCACCGACGCCAGGCACGTCTTCGCTGCGCTTCGTTGTGTTGGGCTGCTGCGCGCTTGCGCCACGCTGCTCAGGGGGTGCGCTGCTCTCCTTCCCGCCTCATGCTCGCTCCTCGTCTGCTTCGCTCTCTGCCACGCTCTGCCTTGCCCACACCCCATCTCTCTCGCTCCGTCATGACCGCCGCTCTCTCTGCGCCGCGCATCACTGCCAGTGGGCCGGCGCTGCTGTCTGCGCAGACTGCCGGTCCGCGCGCCGACAACGTCGCCAAGCTGGCGGCCATCGCGCGCGACCTGCGCAGCGACACGCTCACCGTGCCGACGGACGCCATGTTCGCCGCCATGGCCGAGGCAAGTCGCGGCGACGATGTGTACCTGGTGCGTGCTGCGCGCATCTGCAGAGCATGTGTGTATGGGCCGCTGAGGCTCCAACTTTGCCTTCTGCCTCGCAGGAGGACGAGACGACGACGTCGTTCGAGGCCGAGCTGGCCGCGCTGGCAGGCAAGGAGGCCGCGCTCTTTGTCGTCTCTGGCACGCTCTCGAACCAGCTGGCCATCCGCACGCATCTGCTGCAGCCGCCATACAGCATCCTCTGCGATGCGCGTTCCCACATCCACCGCTACGAGGCCGGCGGTGCGGCCTTCCACTCCGGCGCGGCACTCGAGACGGTGGCGCCCCAGAACGGCCATCATCTGACGTGGGCACACGATGTGCAGCCGAATCTGGTGCTTGGCGATGATGTGCACTCGGCACCGACACGCCTCGTCTCGCTGGAGAACAGTCTCAACGGCACGATCCTGCCGCAAGACGAGGTGCTGCGCATCAGAGAGGGCCTGGATGCTCTCGACGAAGACATCAAGCTGCACCTCGACGGCGCGCGTCTCTGGAACGTGGCTGCCGAGACTGGTCTCTCCGTGAGTCCGCGCGCGACAGTCCAGTCTCGCACGGGCGCTGATGCCGCGCGCAGATCAAGGAGCTCTGTGCGCCTTTCGACACCGTGTCCATGTGTCTGTCCAAGGGTCTCGGTGCACCAGTCGGCACGTAAGTTACAGCAGCTGGCTCTGCCGTTCGTCAAGGCACGATACTCATGTCCAGCTCACTCGGACAGCGTCCTCGTCGGCCCGTCTGCTTTCATCCGCAAGGCCCGTCACTTCCGCAAGCTCTTCGGCGCCGGCATCCGGCAGTCTGGCGGCCTGGCAGCCGCCGCTCGCGTGGCTGTCGTGCAACACTTCCCCAAGCTACGTGCCACGCATGAGCTGGCACGCTTTGCGGCAAAGGGCATGCAGGAGCTCGGCGTCGAGATTACGAGTGGTGCCGAGACGAGCATGGTGAGCTTCATGTCTTCTTGCTGCTTGCCGGGGCAGTGTACTGAACGCCCCGCACTCAAAGTTCTTCTACGACCCAACGCCCCTCGGCTTCGACGCCGCCACGCTGGCAGTGCGTGCGGCCAAGCTGGAGCCGGCGCTGCACCTCGCCTCGGGCCCGCGCATCGTCGTGCACCACCAGACGAGCGCAGAGGCCATCGACGACCTGCTTGCGCTCGTGGCGCAGCTCAAGGACGAGTTCGCAGACCGCGCCGGCACGCACGCAAAGGCGGTCAATGGCTCGCTGTACAGCGGCATGAAGAAGGCTTAGAGCAATAGATCACGTCACCCCGGTCCCGTCTCCTGCTCGATGAGCGCTGTAGCACGTGTTCATTCCACTGCGCCTTCATCTGACCCCACTTCGTCATCAAAGTGCGGCCCTACGCGTTTTCCTCGTCGCTCTCGCTCCGTTTGCGTGAGGGGGACATAGCGCGTGAGGAGTGCAGCAACGAGCGCCATGACGCCGCCATAGCGCAGCACCCACGCCGTGCCTCTATGCTCGGGGCGCGGCACGTCGCCTGCCTCGCCGCCAGCTGCGGCGTCTGCTGCGCGGAAGATGAGCGCACCGACGATGGCGACGACGAACTGAGGCAGGACGATGGCGAGGTTGTGGATGCCGAGGATCGTGCCGCCGAGGCCGCCTTCTCCATCGCCAGGCGCGGCACCATCCTCCACCACCTCGGTGCCACGCGCCAGGAACGTCCCGCCGTTCACTGCAGGCTCGTTCTCGCCGCCTCGAAGCGGAGCACAGTCGCCCAGCGCGGCGTTGAGCTGTTCTCGTGCGGCGCTGCGCTCGGCTGCCAGCATGCTTTCTCGCCGCTGAGCGACGCGTGCTGGGCCGTGCCAATCCGTCTCGAACTCGAATGGGCTCGAGCCTTGCTCCGCCTCCTTGGCGAACTCCATCACCAGAGCAAACGGCACCCAGCTTGCGACCGCCCAGCTGATGCCGACGGCGGCGATGAGTGCAGTGGCCGCCTTGGTGCGCAGAGGCAGCAGCGTGCCGGCCATCAGTGCGGCGAGCAGCACCAGCGACGCCGTCCAGATGGACCGCAGCGTCATGCCCTCGCGCAAGCCTCGTGCCAGCCGCTGCGTGCGCGAGAGACTGATGCGGGGCGTGCCGGCCTCTTGCTCGCCGTCTTCGCCGTGCGGCGATGCGCGCAGCTGATCGTTTGGGCCGAGAAGCTTGGGCCGATGCGAGCCCGCAGCCAGCGCAGCGTAAGGCAGCAGCATGCCCGCGGCGAGTGCCACGAGGGCGTACAGCAGCAATGCCAAGCTGCCGCGCTCTGCATCCTTGTCGCCAATCTGCGGCTGCGCGTGCGCCTGCAGATGGTCGTACGCGTGGATCTCGGCAATGTAGCTCGAGGCGTAGAAGAGCATGGGGAACCAGCCCATGAACGCAAACATCTGCGTGGCGCAGACTCTGCGCACGGGCCGAGGCAGACGCACAATGGCATGCCAGATGTCGCGTACGCTGCGCCGCAGCTCGGCGAGGACGCCGCCCTGGCGCGACGCCGAGCTCTCTGCGATTTGCTTCTCGGGCGTGCCGGCGCAGGTAATGCCGACGCCCAGCGCCATGCCGAGGAGCGCGATGAGCGCCAGCTTGCGGAACTGGCCGCCGCCGATCCAGCGCAGCCACGGCTGGCGGCCCAGGTCGGCATAGCCGATCGAGTAGCCAATGACGTTGCCGAGCGCCGTCATGCGTCCCTGCCATGCATTCGCCAGCGTCTGCTGAGCTGCGGGCGCAGTGTCGAGGATCAAGGCGCGCGCAGAGGCCTGCAGTGCGTTGAGCGCCAGATCCAGCGCCCAGAAGCCGGAGATGGCAAGCGCACGGTCGACGTGTCCGAGGGCCTCCTGCCGCTCCGGGTCCCAGTCGCCGAGCCCATTGCCCACTGCATCGACGATGAAAGAAGCCAGCGGGCCCGAAAAGGCGACGACGAGAGTGGAGAGCGCCACGAGGGCCGTCGAGACGACGATGTAGGCGCGGCGGCGGTAGCGAGACGTCGAGCGGTCCGAGAGGGAGCCGACGAGAGGCTGCGCTACCATGCCGCTCGCTGGGCCCGCTAGCCAGACCAAGCTGGTTGCGGACTTGGAGAGGCCGAGAGAGACCAGATAAGGCGTTCCGTAGCTGCGCGAGGGTAAGCATGAGGAGGGAGGCCCACAGCAGAGACCACTCACGCGAGCTCGAGGCACCACGCCATCTGCGCGCCAGCAATGGCCGCGGTGAGCACGATGAACTGCATCTGCGACATGCGCCCCTCCTCCTCGCTGGTGGCCGCGGCCACGCTGCTCGGCGGCTCCACACTGCTGCTCGGCCTTCGTGCACGGCTCTGGCGCGTTGCGGCGCCTACCAGGCGGCTGGGCAGGCTGCGTGCCCAGGCGCTCCATGTCGTCTGCGCGGGAGAGGACACGTGCTGCGTGGGCCGCGCAGTGACGTCGCTGGCGCCAACCTCGGTGTCCGTCAGCGAGGCGCTTGCGGCGCGCTGCGTCTGCGTCTGCTGCTGCTGCTCTTGCTGCTGCTGCTGCTGCTGCTCGTTGCGCCAGAGGTGGAAGCCGGACCAGCGGCTCTCGTCGCGATGCGGCACCGCGTCGTCGACGGCGCCCGCAAAGGCCGCGGATGCAGACTGCCGCCCCCAGCTGCCGCCGCCGGACGCGTGCTGGGCCGAGACGATGTCGGCGAGCGACTCGATGGGCGGCGGCGTCTCGACTGCCGGGCCGCTGCGCGGCGGCGAGGCGGACGGCCGCGCCATGAGTGGCGGCGCTGCGGAGGCGGATGGACAGCCGCTGAGAGGCAGGCCGCGGTGGGCACGGATGGCGGCTGGAGGGAGCTCGGAGGGTGGATGGAGGACGGGAAGCAGAAGCTGTGCTGCGAGCCGCGCGTCCAGATGCTGCCTCCTTCTCGCCTCGAGCGGGCCTTGCCAAGGCCTCGCGCCTGCTGGCCGTGGCGCGCCTCCACACGACGCGGCGCGACTTGAGTTGCAGCACGTGCCCGCCGCTGCCGTCGCCTTCGCCGTCGCCCGCGTCCATCGCCTCGCCGTCGCTCGATGTGCGCTTGACTAGCCAGCGAGCGAGGCGAGACTATTGTCTTAAAGGCAATTGTGAGCTGCAGCTCACGCTCGCCGCTTTCGAGCGCATGCTTGGCGGTCGCTATCGACGGCGAGGCAACGGAGCGTCAAGGCGGCGTCACCTCCTGCTGGCACTCACCACCCGACGACCATCAATGCCGCCTTACTCTCCCCCACAGACTTCGAAGCTTTGGCCATGCTCTGAGATCGACCAGGAGGAGAGTGAGAGACACACAGTCACGCGCACATGCGCCGTGCCGGAGAGAAAGCCGAGGCTGCTGGGCGCTGCGCTGGCGTGTGCGTCTGTGTGCTGCGTCCGCGCGTGTGACCCGCGCTTGCCGAGATGAAGCGTGGGCGCTGAGAGCGGCAGACGGCTCTCGAGACCCGCTGAAGCGAGATAGGGCCGGGCGCAAGGCGGGCGAGGTGAGCGGAAGCCATCTGCATGAGCGGCGCGGCCGCCGAACGCGCCGGCGCTAAGCGCGACCTCGTGGCGCGCTAGCAGCCGGCCGCGGTAAGGGTGAGATGCCGGCGGCCTGGCCGAGGCGATGTTGGAGCGCACCCGCCTCCCGTTGCTCCCTCCGCACCCTCCGCATCTCCTCGGCCCGGCACGGCTGCCGGCGGCTGGCTGCGATAATGCACGCTGGAGCACCGCTGCCGACAGCGAGGGCGAGGCAGGCCCGGCGCGGGTGATGAGGGCTTGGGTCTGAGTCAGAGTGATGAGGTGCCCCCTGAGCAGCTGGCAGACCGCGCGCGCGCGCCGCCGCGCCCAGGGCGCCGAGCCACTCGCCGCAGTCACCTGGCCTTGCCGTTGCCCTGCCGTTGCGGGGATAAGCACCTTCCTTCGCTCTCCTCGCCCGCTCTCTCTGCTTCTTGCGTCCCGACCACCTCCTCCTCGCCTTTGCCAACCATGCGCGTCGCCCCGCTCCTCGCAGCGCTCGTCGGCGCCGCCGCATGCGTGCAGGCCCTGCCCACTGCCGCTGGCCCTGCACCTCCTGCTGGCCCTGCGCCGCCCGCTGCGCCGTCTGGCTCGGCACCGACACCGCCGGCCAAGCCGAGTGCTGCCGCACCTGCCGCTCCTGCCGGCGCACCTCCGGCCCCTGGCGCTGCGCCGCCGGCACCGGGAGCAGGCAAGCAGAAGTCTCCTTCTGGTGCGTCTGCCCCCCCTTTCTTGCCCTCGCTTTGCCACTCGCACCGCTCAAGCTGATGCCTGTCTCGCGTGGAAGACTACGCCGTCGCGTCCAAGGTGCCTGGCATCCCTTTCGAGCTCGGCCCTTCGTACGCAGGCTACGTGCCCATCGGACCCGCGGCCAACCAGCGCGACTTGTTCTTCTGGCAGTTCCCGGCCGCCGAGGGCGTCGGACACGATGATCTTGTCATCTGGCTGAATGGCGGTGAGACTGCAAGAGCACCCGATAGATCACAGAGGAGGCCGTCTTTGCTGATAGATTTGCGACTCGACAGGACCCGGATGCTCCTCCATGGAGGGTCTTCTGCAGGAGAATGGTCCCGCTCTAGTGCGTCTCCTCTCCCCCCCCGCCTCTTCCTCTCCACAGCACCTGACTTTTCGGCCTCCGCAGTTCCCCTGGAACAGCACCGACGTCGTCAAGAATCCCTGGTCCTGGACCAAGCTGGGCAATGTCATGTGGGTCGACCAGCCCGTCGGCACGGGCTTTGCACGCGGCAACCGCACGGCCAAGACGCAGGAAGATGTGGCGGCCGACTTTGCTGCGTTCCTCGTCAACTACTTTGCCATCTTCAAGGAGATGCAGGGCAAGAGTGCGTGCGGTGGCATCTGAGAAGGGGAGAGGCACCTGGCGTCGCTGACGACTGACTTGCCACCTCAGAGCTTTGGCTGACGGGAGAGTCGTATGCCGGCGTGAGTGCTCGCAGCCTCTACTGATCCTGGCGAGTCTAGACTGACTCTTTGGCGAACGCAGAAATACATTCCCTACATGGCCTCGCACATCTACGCGCACCCCGAGCTCAAGGCGGCCGGCGTCAATCTGCAGGGCATCGCCATCAACGACCCCTCCTGGGCGGCCGACCTGGCCCTCGAGGATCTGCCGGCGTACTCCTTCGCCAAGGCGAACCGCGACGTGCTGCATCTCGACGATGCCTTCTTTGCCACGCTCGAGGCGAAGCTGGAAAAGGCAAGGATCAAGACGTTCCTGGAGGACAATCTCAAGTACCCGCCCAAGGGCCTGATTCTCCCGCCGAGGGAATACAACGAGACGGACTTCTCGCCGTGGAACGACGTGTACAATGCGGCGTACGACAAGAATCAGTGCTTCAACGGTGAGTGCCGAGCCAGGTTTGAGAGGGCAGGCAGCGGCAGCTGACGCAAAGAGAGCAGTGTACGACGTGTCCAAGGCATACTCGTCGTGCCCGAGCGTCACCGACCCACTCGGTTTCCCGCCGGATGCCAGCGATCCCAGCCCGCGCAACATCTTCAACGACATCCAGGGCCTCAAGGACGCCATTCACGTGGATCCTTCTCACACCTGGTGCGTCTTTCTCCGCAGAGCCTCGGCTGGCTTGCGTGGTCTGCAACTCTGACGCCCTTTGATGTGGCTGCCCTTCTCCCCCCGCACAGGCTCGAATGCACAGCCTCCGATGCCCCCGTGTTCCCCGACGGCGACTCCTCTCCGGCGCCCATCGAGTCCGGGCTGATGCGTCGCGTCATTGAACTCGCTCCCTCGGGCCGCACGCTCGTGCAGCACGGCATGCGCGACTTTATCCTCCTCGCGCAAGGCTCGGCCCTTGCGATCCAGAACATGACATGGCACGGCAAGCAGGGCTTCCAGACCAAGCCGACGCGCGCACTGCTGACTGTCAACGGCAGTGAGTGGGGCTAAACGGCAGTGGTGTGCGAGCGAGCGATCCTTGTGCTGACAACCGGACCCCACTCGAAAACAGCCGACGCTGGTATCGTGCACACCGAGCGCGGCCTGACGTTTGCGCAAGTGACGAACAGCGGTGTGAGTCGCAATCGTGCCCGCCTTTCTTGGAGACGATGGGCAAGCGCTGGACGACTGACGCGCCATGTCCTCTCTCTCTCCACAGCACATGATCCCGCAGGACGACCCGCCCGTGGCGTACAAGCTGCTCAAGTATCTCCTCGGCCAGATCTCCGAGCAGGCACTCAGCCAGCACGTCGCTGTGTAGACAAGAGCATGTACTCCAAGACGACCACTCTCCTCCCTCCTTTCGCTCGCCCGTCTCGCGCAGCGCCGGCCGAGCGACCTCCCTCGCTCGCGCCCGCCCAAGTTTTCGCCGTGAAAAGTGGTCTCGGGGAGTCGCAGAGCAATCCCAACGCATCTTCTCCCCCGGTCTCAGTCGCTCGAGAGCAATCTCATGCGGTGTGCAGCCCAAATCTCTATTTCCTCCAATTTCCACATGCGCCTCTCTCTCCCTTTTTCCCTTTACAAGCTCTGCGTCGGCGCCTCTTTGGCCATCTTCATGCTCTGCGCCTGCTCCTCCACCACCTCTCTCGTCGCCTGCGCCAGTCTCTCCACCTTGCCCCCACTGCCTTGCGGCAGCTTGACGTCTCTGCAGCGGCGCTCGCGCTGCAAGAGGCCACGCATCTCCTTTGGCAGCACGTCGCGCTCAAAGTCCCACTGCACGTCGCGCGCAGCCTCCAGCGCGCCCGTGACGGCCTCGGCAAACTTGGCCGGGTGCGCCGTGGAGAGCACGACTTGATGCACGGAGCCGGAGGCACGGCGATTGGAGGCGCAAAAGCCGACGGCCGTGTGAGGGTCGATGAGGTAGGAGCCCTCGTGGTGAGAGGTGGCGCTGCGCGTGAAGTACTTGAGGATCGTCGACTTGGTCTGTTGC